CTGCATGCCTGTGCTTTGACAAAGGACTTGGAAATGCTGCCGGATGGGGAACTTACTGACATTGGTGCCAATGGCATCAATCTGAGCGGCGGGCAGAAATGGCGGGTCTCATTTGCTCGCGCCCTGTACTCGAGAGCCGGTATTCTGGTGTTGGATGATATCTTTTCAGCAGTGGACGCCCACGTTGGTCGACATCTGTTCGAGCAAGCTCTCGTAGGAGAGCTGGGCCAGAACAGAACGAGAATCCTGGTGACGCACCACGTCGCCCTGTGTCTCCCAAAAACAAACTACAGTGTCCTATTGTCCAACGGCACCGTTGAACAAGCAGGCAGAACGGAGGAATTGCGGCGCACTGGGAAACTCAAAACGATCCTCGCCGAGGAAGACGAAGCAGACCGAAAGAAGGACGAGGAAGAGGATGCGGTCGAAAATCTCACCGTTGACGACGGCGGCGGCCTCCAGAAGTTGTTGACCAACCACTCACGCCGTTCGAGACGCAAATCTGCTCTTAGCGATGTGGGCGACAATCTGATTCGGCGTCCATCGCGCGCGAGTCTCAATGACGCGAAGCAGAGCCGCGACCCGCCAAAGAAGTTTACAGAAGAAGAGAAGCGAGAGACCGGTGCTGTGAAGTACAAGATCTACGCCGCCTATTTCAAGGCTTCTGGTGGGTTTGGTTATTGGCTGTTCATCCTCGCCGTCTTTGGTATTTGGGTAGCCGTCTACCTGGGCAGATCGTACTGGATCAGTGTGTGGACGAGATCGTATCGCACAGAGACGGAGCATATCTTTCCTCAGAGACTGGTCTCACAATCTCTGAGTACCGTCTATCACCGCCTCCACTCGGAATTCTCTACTGCGGCTATTGATGCGAACCTTCGATATTACTTGGGCGTCTACCTTGGTATCTCCCTCGTCGCCTGGATGATTGGCACAATTCGCTACTTGCTCGTCTTTATGGCCTCAATCCGCGCCTCCAAGATCCTTTTCGAAGCACTCGCCTTCGCCGTTCTCCGCGCTCCTCTACGATGGCTTGATACCGTGCCAGTCGGACGTATCCTCAACCGCTTCACTTCCGACTTCAACATGCTCGATTCGCGCATCGCTATGGATTTGGCGTTTATGCTCCACAACATGATGCACGTTTTGTCAGTCGTGATTGCAGGACTATTCGTGTCGCCGTTCATGATCGTCTTTGCCGTCGGACTCCTTTCGATCTCCATGTATTACGCACTGCGTTATCTCGCTGGTGCCCGGGAGGTGAAGAGATTGGAGAGCAATGCGAAGTCTCCCGTCTTCGAGCAATTTGGCTCGGTGCTCATGGGCATTGGAACAATCCGTGCATTTGACAAGTCTGACACATACCTCGACAAGATGTACACCAAAATTGACCGACATTGTCGCGCGTACTGGCATCTCTGGCTCTTCAATCGCTGGATGGGGTGGCGGTTGAACATGGTTGGCGCCCTATTCGCAGCCATCACGGCAGCCCTTATTGTGTCCATCACGAGCATTGACTCCAGTCTTGCCGGATTTGCCCTGAGTTTCGCACTCGGAATGAGCGAAGGTGTGATCTGGTTCCTGCGACAGTACTCGAATGTGGAGTTGGACATGAACGCCACCGAGAGAATCGTGGAATATAGCAACATTACGACCGAGAGTCAAGGCGGCGTGGACGCACCAGCGGCCTGGCCCACCGAGGGTAATCTCGAGGTCAGCGATCTGGTAGTTGGCTACGCGCCTGACCTGCCACCAGTACTGAAAGGGTTGACATTCAGAGTGACCAAAAATCAACGAGTAGGCGTTGTGGGACGCACGGGCGCAGGGAAATCTTCACTCACACTTGCCTTGTTCCGATTCCTCGAGGCCCGAAGCGGGAGCATCTTCATTGACGGAATAGACATCTCCAAGATCAAGCTGTACGATTTGCGTTCGAGGCTGGCGATCATTCCACAGGACCCGGTCCTCTTTTCGGGGACGGTCAGGAGCAACCTCGACCCGTTCGAGCAACAAACGGATAAGGAGCTGAAGGATGCCCTGGCGCGGGTGCATTTGATTTCGTCCACCACGGCTTCATCATCGGCTGTGGCTAGTGGAAGTGCTACACCCATCTTAGATCAGCACGACACCGAGGAGGGAAGGCACATCAACACCAATATCTTCCGCAGCCTCTCGTCTAAGATATCCGAAGGTGGCTTAAACCTCTCACAGGGCCAGCGCCAACTTCTCTGTCTCGCCCGGGCGATCGTCTCTCGACCCAAAATCATGGTCTTGGACGAGGCAACGTCGGCGGTGGACATGGAGACGGACGCCCTGATCCAGCGCAGCATCCGCGAGGAGTTTACGGACAGCACGTTGATCGTGATTGCGCACAGGCTGAGCACGATTGCAGACTTTGACAAGATCCTGGTCATGGGAGAAGGAAAGGTGCTCGAGTTTGACAGTCCACGGGAGTTGATGGGCAAGAAAGGAGGGGTGTTTAGAGGCATGGTCGAGATGAGTGGTGAAAGGGCGGAGCTGGAGAGGATCATGGGGATTGGTGGTGGCGGCGCCGAGAGGCAAGATCAGCAACCCGAGCCGGAGCAGGAGCAAGAAGAGGATCGAGCAGTCACAGAAGGAGGAAGTCCTGCTCCCCATTCTAGCGACACCACCACCACCAAACCGAGCGCCAGAGGTGCGAAGAAGAACGACCAGGAGGACGACGACAACCCAGAGCATGGATGGGGAATTTAATCCCGAAACCAGCATTCACCCAACATCACAACCACCACCCCCAAAGTTACTGCAAGGGAATGAAGTAGATACAGGTACCTAAGGTAGGTACGTCTGTTGACGGAAGAAAAACGGGGGAGATGTCCCAAAAGTAGACCCTCAGAAGTGGAATGCTTTTACTGTGAGCACCGAGTGAGTATGAGTACATAGTAGACAAAAATGGGTTTCGAAAAATTGGCATGGTAAAGGCAAGGCACGATATGGCGCTGTATGGTCTGGTCTGGTCTGGTCTGGTCTGGCGTGGCCGGGATATGGGGAGTTACCTTGGTTCTTAATGATGACAATGATATGAATTGTATGTATCATACAATATGATACCTACCTAGTATGATACTTCTTAATACGAATTATATTATATTATGTATTATATATGACTTGTTATGGCAAGAAGCCACCCATCTATCCACGCACCGCACCGTAACGCAACGTACCGCAACAGTATTTTGGTTTGGGATCCGTCCGTTCCCATTGCGGAAGGAATCCCTTTCCCCTTTCTTTCCCTTCCTCTTCTTCTTCTCCAGTCCGTCTCTGCAAAGCGAGGACGGCCATTTATTAGCGAGGTGACTTTTCCAATTAGAGGCCAAGCGCCGCCAGCTAGGTAGGGGGAACAGAAAGACCTCGGAAAAGCGGCATGGTAAGGGGTATATTCGTTTAGCGAGAAGTGGTTTTGTTTCGTGGGAGGCGAGCTTGTGGTTACCGAAACGGGGAATGGGTCAGAGAAGAGAAATCACAGATCAGAGACCCAGAGATCAAGGCTGCGCATACGCATATCACTCACTCACTCACTAGATATATACTTCTAAACAAGCGACGAGAGAGTCCTGGTGCACTGTGCAAGGAGGAAGAGACACAGCTGGAGAGAGAGCAAAGCAAAGCAAAGAGAGCCTGAAGGGCGGTGTAAACAATCCATCGAAAGAGGAAGGTTGTTCAGAAGGAGGCCCAGAATCGTAGAGATGGGAGACTTCCAGGACAGGCTTTGAGCCCGAGCAAGTGAGAAACGGGTTGGTTGATATCAAGTCGTTCGTTCCTTGTCTTGGAAAGCGTACCGGAATAGAATAGAACGCCTTCGAATTTGACGAAACTGTGGAAAAAGAGGCATCCAAACAAGACATTCCAGAAGGGAAGGCATATCGAATAAGGAATGCGTACCGAAAAGATCAGGAAATAGGAAAAGAAAAGCCATATTGGACGACAGATGGCAAACTGAAAGGGAAGGCGTCCATGAGAGGAAGCCGCAACAAGTTGTTTTTGCGTGAAGATGAACCCAAAACAAACGATTTAGGCCTCTGATATATGAGGAAAACTTGGATAAAAGAGGCAGGCGTACCGTGAGAGGTAGGCGTATAGGTGACAGCGCACACAAAAGACGAGAGTCAGGAGGTTGTAGAATGGAATGATTGAACTTTGTATAGCATGTCAAAACAGGAAGCCGTCCGAGAGAGGAAAGTGCTTGGATAAATGGTGGATGCACGTATAACCCTAGCCGCGACAGTTGTGGCTCAATCTCGTCGTGTCATCATTCGAATGATGATGGGGGCGAGTACCCTAACCATCTCTTCAATGGACCACGATCTGCATGTCATACAGATCCAATGGCATGTCGTGGAAGATCAGTGCAACAGCCTTAGCCCGGAAAGGATGTCCCACAACAAGGCTGGGTATCACGTGATAGGTCTGTATAATCTGGTTTGTTCCTGACAAAGCAAAGCCGGAGCCTGGTGTGGTGCCTGTACCTCGTACTCGGTGCTCGTAGGTCCAGCGCGCTATCAGCAATCTGCATCTGTTCCTTCTTGGTACCTTTACTCCTTTCTGGCACCAGCGGACCAATAGCAGAAAGAGCCTTTCCCAGATGAGCCGGTACACCAGGGCGAAAAGAGCATAGGCGTTGCCCACCGTAGACTGTGGCTGCAAGTGTACCCTGCGCCACATAGGGTTGAAAGCAGATACTCCCGCAGTCTCTATCCGCACGAGAAGGGGGCTTCAACCCAGTTTTATGCTGAGACAATTCTGGAAGGCAGGCTTGAAGTCTCTAAAGGTGTGCTTGGTGGTGTCGCAGAATGTTCGCTGGTCGGTTCTCTGTAACCAGCATGTGGTGGTGGGTGCCTAGGGTTGCGAGCTGGAGCTGGAGCTGATGACACCGACATCGTAAAGTCGTAGGGTGCTATACCCCGATTGACTCAGCCTTCTAAGTCCACAAGTCAGACCATTGACGCGGGTAACAAATGCGGCTATAGTTCATCCTTACTTGTAAACTCGTCATGCCTTTTGTCATACTTAGCTGCTGCCGAGTCTCCGAAGAAACCCTCCAGCTCCATATATTCGGCGGCAAACACTGTAGTAAGGAGAGCCCAGTCTTCCACCGTGGGGATGTCTAGATGCGCGCCATCGTCCTTCATCGTGTGCCAGACGGAAGGAAACCGAGCGGGGATGAGGTGCAAGACTTGGACACCCCGAGCGATGAAAGGGATATGATCGTCTTGCATAATATAGCTGTCGAATCTATCCGTCTCCTTCTTATCCTTTTCGGGCAGCCACGTCCGCGATGGGTTACTCCGGAACATGCCCAGCTTGCGAAGTCGTTGCTCGGCCTCGGCCATTTTCACATATGACCAATGAGAGGTGTGTTGCCAGGACGGAATTGGACGGTCTTCTGAGGACCCGAGAAGATCGAGCAGCACAAACAGTTCGATAGAGTCGAGGTAGTTTTTGTAGACACTCGTGGCTGGGTGCATGGTGTGCTCCCACTCCTCGGCAAGCGACCTGGCTCCATATATACTGTCGGTCGCAGTCCAGCTGAGAAAAGCCTCCTCGCCGTCGAGAAATAGTACTTGGATTCCCCTTTGCTCCTCAAATTCAGGATCCGTAAACCCCTGCTCTTGCATCGTAGACCACTTCTTTGCCAAAGCTGCGTCTATGGATCTGATGGCATGCATGATCATGGCGCACGGTGCCGCCGAATCGATCGCACCAATGAATCCTTTCGGCTCGTACTTGGAATCGTAATGCGCTACCAAGGTCAAGCGCCCGACATTGCCGGACTGTGTCCAAGGGGGGTCTCGAGTGGCAATCAAATTCACAAACGGCACCTCTTTGTCTCCGTGGGTGGGTGTCTTCGCGGTCGAATTCTGGAAGGTCAATGACCAGTCCGGCAAAGAGGTGCGGAAGAAATCGACGAAATGCTGGAGGACCTTCTTGGAGCCCTCGGTGCCGGGAACTCGTGGAATCAATATAGGCGCAAGGAGATTTCCGGTGTGTATGTCGAAATCGCTGGTCTCTGGACGGGGAAGACCATGTTGCAGCGTCTCGTCAGAGAGCGGGACATACGCTAGAACCCCTGGCCAGAGAGATATCAGCGATATCACAGTCAAGAGCCTCGTCAGCACCCAGCACCGCATTTTGGCAGAGAAGTCGGAAGTGACGCGTTCATCCAGACGTGAACATGATATCTAGGAAGCAGTGACGAGGGGTTCTTTGGTGGAAGCAGGGGACGGCCACTGGGCGAGATTGTCTTCCATCCTCGGCGCAGTTTCCGTCGCAGGACGCGATGCGCGGATCTCCAACTTCAATGGATGGTTGCAACCGCGTGTCTCAAATTCTACACCAGTTATCACTGACCGCAGTCTGATACTATAGAGACAGATGAGGGGCTTGCCATCAGCTCTGGTGGCTGAACTCCGCTATGCCTTCCAATCCTGCTCCCGGCAATATGCTGCCTCGAGAAGGACTCAATTCAGCACTTTGCACCAAAGGCTAAAAAAATCACAGCATCGAAAGAGCGAAAGTGTTCCAATTCAAGTTGTTCACAGTCAACTGCAGGCTCAGAAAACAAACCTTGCTCGACCGTTGATACCTCCAGCGCCGCGCGCATCAGAAAACAAGCAACTTATACCTCAGGAAGAGCAAGAAAAGTCGCTCGACGCAGGCCGCGATGTTGAGGTTCCCTTCAAGGTTATTCCAAAGGCTGAGATCGCTCCAAACTTGACCCTGTCACCTAAAGAACGGCTCCATATCGAACAGTTGACGAGGAGATTACCCCCTCGACCTGAACCAAAGGGTGCGCTGTTCGTACAACTTTCCGCGGCGGGCACATACACTGACATGTACAGTGTATAAGAAGAGATTGCGCATATACACTGCCGGCAATGGGAGGATATATATGCTCACATTCCTTCGCTTCACCACGATTGCGGCCCTGACTTTTGTCACCGTCATAGTGGCTCCGGCGCACTGGGTTAGTGGGAGCTCATTATGGACTGTAGCTGGCAGTGAGTGTTCCCCTCATCGTGTACCGTCAGCCCGCTGATCTTGAATCGCAGTATGGTTTGCGGGCCTCTTGCCCTTCATCTTTGTGAACTGGACGCTGAGACCAATGGTGACGGAGATCTTCCTTCGGCTTCCAGCGTCTGCTCAGACGTCCCCCAAAGTAGCGATGGCTTATGCGAAAAGCCTGCCAGGAGATGCCACACTGGATCTGAGATTTATGCGGTCATTCACCATCACTGATGTGGTGACATTGAGAATCGCCGACACGAGACCGATCAAAAGCCTCCTTCGGCCTGTTAGCTTTGCGTGGATTGGACCGATGGTGCAGCGTGGCAACTTTCTGAGACCGAATCCGACTCAATTCTATGTACGGCCTGAATCGGCGGGAGGACGAGCAGCAAGAGATGTCATTCCGGGGATCTGGAGCAAAGTGTACGAACGACTTACTGGGGTTGAAAGCAATGCCGTATCCAAATGGCGGCGATGATTGAAATCAGAGTCAATTCTGGCACTTTTGAACCTCACTTCACTTCCCAACTTCTCAACCGGGTCTGAATTAAAAACATCTGGCAGAATCGAGCATTCACTGCCATGATATTCCCCTTGCCAAGTCCAACAATCACTCTTGTGTGTCTTTTCCGTAAATCTCACTGTTTTCATCCTCAACTTTGACCATCTTTCTCAACTCTCAAACCAAACGCATCTTCCTTTCGTCAACACTCCATCCACCTGTGCCTCGCACAAGCCCACCTGCCACATTCAGCCTCGATACATTGCCATCAAGCTCTACCGACCATGGCAGACGCTACTACGACCAAAGCTTCAGGTGGTTTGACTCCTCGCGAAGGAGAAGTCGCTCTTGCTGCCCTTCAGTGTGTCAAAGGTGGTGAGATCCAGGTAAGCCTTGCCCTGATTCTCAAATACAATGGCCATCATCGCCGCCGCCACGGCCACTGAAGAGATGTCTTACAATTCTTCCTGCTGACACAGTCCTTTTCAGATCGACTATGCCGCGCTTTGCGACCGTCTTGGTTTCAAAAACGAGGCTACAGCAAGGACTGCCTGGTGCGGAGTCAGGAGAAAGCTCTTCACTGATACGAAGTTATCCACCGATGAACCGGGAACGCCAAAGGCCAAAACACCTCGCAAAGCCAAAGACTCGAATGGCGCTACACCAAAGCCAGCTAAGGGTGCTCCAAAGGCTGGTGCTGGTGCCGCCGCCGACAAGGATGGTGATCATGACAACGGTGATGATGAGAAGAGTGGCTCTGCTGCCGCTGTTGCCGACGGCGACGCGAATCGATCTGAAGGTCAGTCTCAAGAAAACTCGCAACATATACATGTTCAAGCCACGTTTTCCACGCATCTCATCGCTTTTATCACAGCCTCGCATACTAACGTCCTTGCTCCCTTAGAAGCCCCAACTACACCCAAGACTCCTACGACCCCCAAGAAGCGGTCCCGCAAGACTAAAGCAGAGAAAGAAGCCGAGGCCGCTGCCAACGGTGAGGCTGCTCCAGGCGACGGTGACGAGGACGAGAAGCCACCAAAGAAGCGGAGAACTCCCGCCAAGAAGAAGGTGACCGAAAGTGAAAATAACGGTGAGATGGACGGCGACACTAAAGCTACTCCTGCCAAAGGGAAGAAAGCTTCCACTCCCCGCAAATCTGCCACTGCTGCCGCCCACAAAGTCACCGATGCAGCTAGTCCTGGAGAGGAAGAAATCGCAGTTGTAGAAGTTGCCACCGTGATCAAAGAGAAGGATGGTGTCTCAGACGAGCCAGATGCCTCCCGTACTGCCGTTTCCACTGGGTTCGTTTCCTCCTTCTGACCTTTTGGCTTGTGTGCTAACACTATTCCGCTTCAAGTGCCAGTGCCTCCAAAGGGATGAATGCCGATGTCAACGGAAGTGTTGGCGACATAGCGAGCGCAGCTGTCGAATCCGTTGCGGCCAAAGCCGCTGAAGTTCTGGCGGGGGCGGCCGGCGATAATTGACCTCACCTCTACCTTGAGGAGCTTCAGTGGCCGGCACGACCTGTACAACGAGGAATATTGTAACTTTCAGCCCCATGTGCCAAGTTACTTTTGAGGAGGCGAGATACACAGTGACGACGGGGAGAGAGAAGGGAGCAAACTAAAGCTCTTTCTTGGCTGCAAACGTAATTGGAGGAGATCTATGTGGCGGAAGACATGGGCAAGAACATGACGGAATGGGACTCACCCACATGTGCGCACTCTGCATAGTCGATGTGAGATGCGAAAGAATCCATGCGGTAAAAGGTTTGCTGAGAGCTTGCGAAAGTGCCGAGATCGAGGTCGGCGAGACGTGGTGCTGGATGAATCAGTGAGGCTCGGCTGGATGAACAGGAGAGAGTGTGTCTGTCTCTGTTGGACATGACCTCCTTTCAGAGAGGCAGGGAATTGGAATGAAGTTCAGGTTATCACCTCTCCTCAACCCATCTCATCTCATCTCCCACCATGAATCAGGCTTGGTCGAGTAAATTAGGAATGGACAATTCAATCTTCTCTCTGCATCGTTCTCGTCCGCTCCCTCTGCGTACCTAGGTATATCTATGGCTTCGTCGTCCACACCACACCACACCACATCATTCACTTACCCATGTTCAACTTCATTTATGGTCTTCGATAGGCTTGCTCAGTCTTCAACATCTAATGTCCAATGTTCTCAATCGACCAAGCATACATTCCCAGGTACCTATACCTGTCTGTACCTATACCCATCCCGAGGTCCCTGCCTGGGCTAGAGAGATAGACAGATAGATAGATTGTCAGACAGACAAGAAGGGAGTGATTGATTACTGTTCATACAGTCTTGACGAACGTCCCCAGCTAAAAGGCCATCTATCTATAGATAGATAGACTCTCGACAAATGTCAGATCTACTATTCGTTACGTACCGAGTAATACATGGTTCATAGATAGATAGATCTCTTTTCGGTTCTTTTCTTTCTCTGTTTCAGACTCCTCTTGTTACCCACCCACAAACTCCCCGTACATTGAATATCGCGGAAACCCGCCTGTTGCGGCCGTGGTGGCAAAAGACCGCGGAACAAACTTTATATAATAACACATAGCGAGGAGGGATGACTGATAAAAACAGACAATCACGGCTTAAACCTCATCGCTCATACAACACATGCGACAGAACCAGGACACCGCTCACAAAGCTTCAATGCACTTGACAAGCACGTCGAGGCCGCGATCTTCCACTTCTTTCCCCTTGAGGATCCATGCGAGATCACTCAAGATGCCCAATGGCACTTCTTTCTCCTCGTCCTTGTCGTTCGCCTCCTTGGCCTGCATCTCACCACCGTGAGAGCTCTTGATCCTCTGCTTCCGTGCCATGAGGTTGGAAATCTCCCATTCCTTTGCCGCCTCTTCTGCGCGTTCAATGACTTGGTTCGAGATCCCACACATGCTGGCACAGTGCATACCGAAAGACCCCTCGGCGGTGCCCTCCTCCAGTTTGTATAGGAATGTCACTCGCCTGTCTGCATCGTCCACGAGGATCTTCATTCTCTTCGGCGCTATTTCTGGGTGATGCGCAAACTCCGAAGAGAGCGAGTGGTAATGCGTCGCGAAGAAGCCCAAGCAGCCCACATGTGTGGCTAGATGGTGCAGGACGGCTTGGGCGACGGCCACGCCATCGTGCGAAGACGTTCCTCTTCCCAACTCGTCCAGGATGACCAGGCTACGTGGTGTGGCCTCACTCAGGATCTTCTTTGTCTCTGCCAGTTCGACAAAAAATGTTGACTGGGCGGCAAAAATGTGATCCTGAGCCCCTAGGCGCGACATGATTCGGTCAAACGGTGTAAGACGAGCAGACGCGCAGGGGAGGTAGCAGCCGATCTGAGCCATGATAACCGCGATACAGGTCATTCGAAGAACCGTGGATTTTCCGGCGGCATTTGCACCCGTGAGAAGGGTGAGATTTTGCGAACTTCCGCCCAAAACAATGTCGTTAGGGATGAAGTCGTCAACCTTGGTCAGAAGACATGGGTGGCGTAGATCAATGAGTTCCAAGGTCGACCGATCACCGGCATCCTTGCCAGCTGGGTCAACGAATTCTGGACGACAGCTCGGGTGTCCCAAAGATGTGCTTGCTTTCGCAAGGGAAATCAAACAGTCGAGTTGTGCGATTATCTTGACAGCTGCAAGCCATATATCGTAATGTTCGTCGAACTTGGCGTAAAGTTTGAGCGACACATCCTTGACGATCTGAGAGTGTGTCTCTTGCGCTTCTTGGAGTTTCCGCACAAGGTTCCGTAGTTCTGGGAAGTAGTATCTTTTGACGCTCGCAGTGGCGGACATCTGGTCCCAAGCGGCGGGAACCTTGATGCGAGTAGGCACTTCCATTTGCATTATTTCCTTGCCGTTGTCACGGAAGCAGATAGCATTGGACTTGAGCTCTTTGCGCCACTTGCGGAGAAGGTCATCAAACTTTTCGTTGATGGCATCAATCGTGTCCTGGGAGTTGTCGAACTCTTCTTCGATACCGCGCTCGGGCACTAAAACGCCAGACTCCTTAGCCTTCTGGCGGTCAAAGGCATTGTCCCAATACTTGAGACGGGGTTCGAGGTCCGGCATAGCTGAAATCAACTGGCCGATGACACCTTCACTATCCGTCGCTTTACCAGTTCCGTCGCGCAATAAGGACATAGTGTGGTCAATTTGCTCGAATCCCTCAAGGACTCTGACAAAATCTTGAACTTTGCAGGTTCCAGCATGGACACGCGATATCAGTCGCTCGAGGTCCGGCATCTTTGTCATTTGGGAAGTGAAACGATCCCGGACTTTCGCATCGGCGTTGAGAGAGTCGACGGCATCCAGCCTTGCATTGATTTTCTTCGTGTCCATGAGTGGATGGCACACCCATTGTTTGAATAAGCGTTTGCCGAACGGCGTGACACAGCGGTTCAACAGCTGGAAGAGCGTGCCTTCACTTCCACCGTCGTAGGAGTTGGCAAAGACTTCCAGGTTGATCAAGGTCTGACCATCGAGGACCAAGCTCGTGGCTTTGCGAATGGGGTCGTACCATGTAAAGTTACCTATCGTCACGAGGCCACGCTCAATCTTCAAAGCCCTCAGATACTGGATCAAAGCACCAAGGGCAGACATGAGCAAATCCTTCTCTTTCACCTGTTGCAGGACTTCAGGCCACTCGTTGGGAAAGTAGTTCTCTGCTTCAATCTCCTTGGCAGTGATATGGCCTTCCCAGAATTCCTTGCCAGGTTTCAAGTAGTTCCAGATAGTTGTTGGGCTGGTGTTGTTCTTGAGGATGCGCAACGTCTTCATTGACACACCGCCCTTTTCCAGCAGAATCTCTTGAGGTCTGGTCTGGGCGATGAATGTCTCGAACTTGGTCAGATCCGCATCGTCGACAAATTCAGAGATGTGGAATTGACCGGTGGCAGTGTCCACAAATGCCACACCAAATGCAGGCAGATCCTCGACCTCGGATTCCTTGATTGCTACACAGTACGTCGACATGTCGTCCTGGAGCATAGTGCCGTCGACCAGTGTACCTGCAGTGAGCACACAGGCTAGTTCTCTCTTGATGACTTTGTCCTCTTTGCTCTTCTTGCTGGCAAATCCACTAGATTTCTCATCCCGCTCACGCATGTCTTTGCCCAGAGCAGTCTCCTGTTGGTCAACGCGGGCAATCTTGAACCCCTTTGCGACGAATTGATTTGCCCAGAGGTCGAGGCTCGACTCCGGAACGCCCACCATTCTCATGTTCACACGGTCAGTCAATTTCAAATCAAACAATTGATGCCCGATGGTCGCATCGTTTTCGTAGAGCTCATAGAATTTGCCTTTCTTGAAGAAGACAATAGTATCCCAGAACTTCTGCTTGATTTCCCAGTACTGCTTCTCAAAAGGCGAGAAACCCCTCCAGGCCATGGGTGGGATATACAAGGTGCGTGGATCGTAGTCAGGATGGCCCGGTGGATTGCGGTCCATATCTCTGATATCCTCAAGCCAGGCGTGGCGTTGTTCCGGCTCGGTCATGTGGGCTTTCTGTTTCTTCCCGCTGGGTTGTTTAGGTGGAATGTTGGTCGGCCGTGGTTGCAAAGGCTGAGGATGCTCAGGGTCGTACGTCCACTGCAGAGCAGTCGAAGTGCCCTCGGGGATTTCTTGGTCGACATCGCCCTCAACCTCATCCGTTGCAGGAGTGAAGTGAGAGGAAGCAGTTCGGGAGGTGGTTTTGGCAGTCCGCTTGCGCTTCGCAGGCCGGCGTACTTCGTCTTCAGAGTCATCAGGAACAATGAAGTCATCCATTTCTGCACAGTTAGCACGAAGTCACCCAGATTGAGGTAGGTGTGTACCATCTTCCAGCTGCGCCTCAGCTTCCTGCTCATAGATGTCCTCGTCCGCACTATCGGAGGGTCGCTTGCGTTTAGTAGGTCGAGCCCGGCGTCCTGGGGTCGGCTTGAAAACATCATCACCGTCGGTGCCTTCGCTGTCGGACTCGAGATAGTTGATCTTCCTGGTTTTGGCCTATTGACCTCAGCGGTTAGTTCAACGCAGTCACTGACGGGCGTGGTTTCTTACCCTGCGCGAAGGTGTCCCACGGGCTGTCAACTCCTCTCGGCCATTAGTCTGCTCATCGTCAGCTGAGACTGGCGATGGCAGACCTTTGGAAAGAGGCAGACTCGCCTTAGGGGTGTCGTCCTCATCTTCAGGTTCGACCGCGTCACTGCTGGCAACGGGCGTCAGAGTAGCTGAAGATTTGCCAGCCGGTTTTGTGCGAGTCTTGGATGGAACAGGCGTATCAGACACTGATCGAGCAGGCAATGGGGCTGGAGAGCCAGTGGAGGGAGTCTTTTGGAAGAAGCCAAAGAGGGTCTTCTGTCCACCCGTAGAAGAGGATTTCTTCAATGCAGGGGTGGAGGCAGGAGTAGAGACAGTCTTCTTTGGCATGTTTCGGAGGCAATGAGACCATCCAGGCCTCTATACCAGAGAGAAAATAGTATCAGTTACTGAGCGGATTGATCAAGTCCTGAGAAACACGAAAATGTTGTAGAGAAGACAACCGCGTGGAGAGAGACCGAGTTGCTAGCGCGTCCAACGCCTGACGCGTAAAGTAGCCGATCAGGCAAGCCAGACACTAGACGATCCCAGCCACACCACCCCCTCAGTTGTCAGCCTCGTTCTTGGGAGCAAGTTACATGATATTTGATTTTACACGCTGCCTTTGACGCAGGCTGATATACTATTACATCTGAGGTCACAACGTCTTCAAGACCGTTGACTCGCCTCCCCCTCCTCTCTGTTGTTGTCCATTGATACATCAGGACTGTCCTTGCTCCCAGGAGGTCCATCCCATCCAGGGCATGTCAATCCAAGCTCCACATATTCCTCGTCTGGGACGATGTTGATAATCTTGATCCTCCACTTCCCTGTTCGAAGAATGAGCAAGTTGTCGTCAATGATCCATTTTTGAACCTCCTTCCAGTCGGACGTCTTGACGGGCGTAAAGCTGAGGCTATCGTCCATTGCATTTGTTGCATCTGAGGCGCCTCCCACGTACGCTCCTCCAGCATTAATAAGTCGCTGGCCCTCTGCTTTTGACGTCACCATCCCTGCCGACCAGAGAATATTGCTCATAGGTTTCTGGGAAATGAGGCTCCGTGGGAGTTTGATGTGAGTCGAGACATTGTCTTCCCGCCGCAAAGGCTGCGCATGCTTGTTTAATGAAGGGTGTGCGAAGAGTGGGGTACCAGAAGAATGTGTATCACTTGCTCGTGTCTCTGTCAAGCTCGCCTTCATATCGCTGAGGCTAATGCCATTTTTGAAAAGTTGACGATGTTCACTTTCGGCGCGGTTCGCAGCATCTAGCCCGTAGATAAGCTCGACGAACTCTTTTGCGAGCCTGTGCTGTGCTACCCGTTTTGATTGATCCATTTGATGTTCCTTCATGATCTCGGCGATCTCGGGCAAGGGTAAGAAAGTCAGCAACTTGAGGTATTTTTCGACGTCTGAGTCTGAGGAGCGCAGGAAGAACTTTAACTCGTGTCAGCCTCGTCAAGCTCTCTGTAGGGCACAAGTCATACCTGGTATAGATCGAAGATGCTCGTCATATCTGGATTAAGCCACACGGCATTACCAGCGCTCTTTCCAAACTTTTGTCCCGAGGCCGTAGTCAAGAGAGGCACGGTGAATCCCATGGGATCCGAAGTGACCTCAATGCCGCGCTTTGAATCGAGGAGCTGTGTTTGCCGCAATGCAACCTGGTACTCGTGTGAGTCTTTGGCGATTTGCTTCACAGCTTCAGCACCCGCGAGAATATTTCCGAACTGGTCCGCTCCACCGACTTGCAGCTGGCAACCGGATTGGAACAAATGCCACCAGTCCCATGCCTGGACCAGGGGGTAGCTGAACTCAGCAAAGGACATTCCGTCCCCTTTCTCTAGCCTATTCTTCACCCTAAAAGACAACCATGGTCAGCAACCAAACCACCTGCGAAAGAAGGAATGGCCTGCTCACGTGTCTCGGCCCAGCATTGGACCTATCCGTATGTGTCGACCGAGAATGGACAGAAACTCTCTTGCTGTGACCTTGGACCACCATGTTACATTGTTCTCGAGAGATCTGCGCCAGGCCCATTCCCGCGTATATCCTTTCCGTGCGGCGTATGCTTCGATCGACGCACCGAGCCTCTTGAGTTGAATATGCATAGCTGCCATGTTGCCTTTCCTCTGCGATGGAGACATCATTTCTCTGCCTTTCAAACGGCCCGAAGGGTCGCCAATACTAGCGGTAAATCCCCCTAACTGATAATGGTCAGCGACTCCTTCGCAAGAGACCACGTCCACTAGTACTGCTTACAATGAAATTGGCCTTGTAACCATGGATATAGAGCCAACCCAAGACCATGAAGGGAACCATATGACCAACATGTAGAGAAGGGGCGGTCGGGTCTATGCCAGCATAGACTCCAACTCGACGATGGGTGAGGAGCTTGTCCAAATCTTCCCTTGTGCTTCAAATCGTCAACAAGACATCCTGGACCTTATTTTTGCAGACTCTCACCCGACAATCTGGTTGATATATCCCCGCTCCTCAAGTATGGTAAGCATCGACTTCATGCTGCCCTTTTCGATGGCTTGGGCTTTTGCACGCCATTCTTCCTCCGCTTCTTGTATCCGTCGCACGTGGGCTTGCGTGATCCATCTTCGTGGGGACGATGCGCTTGGAGGTGGATTCCGATTGCGAAAATGGCTGCGGCAGCTTTGACAGATGTACACGGAGCGACGAGCTGTGCGGAAGGAGTTTGGTGTCTTCATGAGGCTCTGTACTCAGGTAGTTCAATGCGGGCGCAACAAAATGAGTTCAACTGCGCAAACGAAAAAGTTGTGGTTCAGGACGGACTTTCGGCGCAGCAGTCGCCGACACCGTCAGCCAATCATCAACGAGCAGCCAACATCAGGCACGTCGTCAAACTTCCTTCGTTAGGTGCACGCCCATTTCCCTTTGTTTTCGACAAAAGTCCCCCGCAGTACTATTTACACTTATGGGCACTCCCGGTCCCCTATTCTTGAACACGCCGACTGGCGGAATACTCGTACCCGTTGCCGGTTCTCCCTGAACACATTTGTTTGCAGACACTTTCGGACTCTTGGATAAACAGTATCTCGTACCATGCACCCCTACATTGTACAACAGTGGACAGTCACCACACAGCCAGAGTACTTCGAGTGTTCTGTGTTGTTTGAAGCATACTGGCTACCTTCCAACGCATGGATCTTTGATTTGGTATTGAGATGGTGTCCACCCAGCCAGTTCCTGGTCAACACTAGCGATGCCTACTGGATGATATATCCAGATGCAGACTGAATTGAGACCCGTTGTGATAATGCAACAAATCCTTGGCACGCAACAGAACCCCAGATTCCTCCAGAGTACTACGGGTAGTGGTTGTCCGAGGCCGGAAAAATAGGCGCACGGGTGCCCAGCCCGTCCTCGGTGTCTGCATCTTGGCCTCGGAAGTATACAAGCCTGTTGTCCCCCGCTCAAAGGTTCCTCAGGCTAATTCATTTCTTATCGTCCTGTATCTGATTCCCACAACCATGTCGGTAGAAGGTCGTTGCGACGAGCGGTTCCTCAAGGTGAAAGAGCTATTCCAAGGATTCCTGGATTCTGGCGCGGAGCTTGGAGCCTCAATCTGTGTCAATATCGATGGTAAGAATGTGATCGATCTTTGGGGAGGATGGGCCGACCAAGAACGAACCAAGCCGTGGACGGAGAACACCATTGTCAACGTCTGGTCAACAACGAAGACCGTCCTCTCACTCGTTACTCTCATTCTCGCCGACCGAGGATTGCTGGGGCTCGACGACCCTGTGGCAAAGTACTGGCCTGAGTTTGCAGCCGAGGGGAAGTCAGACGTCAAAGTTCGCCATCTCCTCTCCCATACATCTGGACTCTCAGGTTGGGATGATCCCATCAACATTGAAGGAGTCGAAGATGTACCCAGCGCCAGCGCGAAGCTTGCCGCTCAGCGACCCTGGTGGGAACCCGGCACCGCTTCTGGCTACCACGCTCTGACTATGGGTCACCTGTTACAACCGGTCATCCAATCCGCCTCAGGTAAAACACTCGGCCAGGTGGTGAAGCAGGAAATCGCCGGACCACTCAAGGCAGACTTTTCCGTCGGCTGTCCGGAGAGCGAGTGGCATCGAGTTGCCAAGGTCGTTCCACCACCACATATGGACCTTTCTCAGATTGACCCAAAATCCGTCATGGCAAAGACATTGAGCAATCCTCTACTGGACGCCAAAGCTTCCTGGACTGACGAATGGAAGCGGGTCGAGATGGGTGCTCTGAACGGTCACGGCAACGCAAGGTCAGTTTGTAAGATGCTCTCTGCCATCACGCTTGGTGGCGAGGTTGATGGGCAACGTCTCCTATCTCCGGCCACCATCGATCGCATCTGGGAAACGCAGTCGAATGGTACAGACTTGGTTCTTGGTATAGAGGTACGCTTTGGCATTGGGTATTGCCTGGAGGCACCAATTCTCAAGTGGCTTCCCAAGGGCAAGGTCTGTTTCTGGGGAGGCTGGGGCGGCTCAATTGTCGTCATGGATCTTGACAAGAAAATCACCTTTGCTTATGCCATGAACCACATGGAACAAGGCACCATTGGCAATTCTCGATCCTCGGCGTATATCGCTGCATTTTATGAAGCACTTTCATAGCGTATAATGGGTGGCAAGCAAGGAACAGAACTTTGAAATTCCACTGAAATATCACTACAAGCTTCTTGCTGCAAGGTCTATGGCTCGCTCAGGGTTATGACTGACATTGCTATACTTGCAACATATTAGGGTAAGGCGTGCAGGATCACGGTCAAGGACTAAACAATGGTTTCTGGATTATCTGGAAGGCACAAATATGCCAAGGCGCCTACTTACCTACAAATACCTAAAATAGTCGGTGTAATACTTACGAGGTATATTTGTAGAGACAAGGTAGGGACGCCACGAGCGCGTACCCTGGTGACGCATGTCTCAACACAGATCATGTGCCGAGGCTGACTTTAACAGACGCGCTATCATCGTTCTTGCATCGCAAGATACCATCCATGTCTTTTTCCCTTTCCGATGACCTAGACGCAACGTCCAGAAGGTTTCCTCAGGCTGGAATCCCGAAATGGATCAACACACACACTTCGGCATACCGAGGCCCCACATAATTACCCTCCCAACCCTCCGTGGCCTCCCTTGGCTCGGGGCAGGGGCAATACTCCATCAACCAGATGTAGTAATCGCGCCCCCCGAGGAACACGAACGAAAACAAGTGGCGCTCACTTGTATGCTGCTAGGTCAATGGGGATCGTCGTATGATTGCATACGGTACTTACTTTTCCAAGAACAGAATTTTACAGGACCTTATCCGGACCTCCAATCGAGGGATATAGATAGATAGTTAGAGAGTGTCGACTTTTGATAGTCTCTGTGCCATGAGCAGCTGATAATTTTTAACATTCTCAGCACCTCGAAAACGATGGCGAAACCGGATGAGAAACTGGGGTTCGACCCGGAAGCGTTGAAAGCAAAGTACCTGGCCGAGCGTGAAAAGCGAATCCAAGCCAATCCACATGGGGTTGACCAGTATCGATCGGTCGAGGGTGCCCTGGCTCACTATCTGGACGATCCATGGGCCGGTCAAGATGACCACCGAGAGCCTCTCGACATCAAGACCGACGTTGTGATAGTCGGTGCCGGGTACGGAAGCGAGCTCCTGGCATATCATCTCGAGAAGAACGGGATTTCGGATTACAAGATTCTCGAAAAGGGGGCGGACTTTGGTGGTGTCTGGTTAGTAGTCTAAACACACGTTCTGTTACCAACCCAATACTGACCATATCATGCCAGGTATTGGAATCGCTACCCTGGTGTACAGTGTGACATCGAATCTTATATCTATATGCCACTGTTGGACCGTATCGGGTACATCCCCACAGAAAAATACGCCCACGGGCCAGAGCTCCTAGACTACGCAAAAAGACTTGCGAGGGATCTAAAGCTGTACGACAAAGCTATTTTCAAGACAGAGGTCTTGAGCATCCGTTGGAACGAGAACAGTTCGATGTATTCGGTGCAAACCAACCACGGAGACAAGATATTCGCGCGTTTTGTGGTCGGTGTCGCCGGCTCGCTCCATCGGCCAAAGCTACCGGGATTTCCTGGCATCGAGACGTTCAAGGGACGGAGTTTCCACTCGAGTAGGTGGGACTACAAATACACCGGAGGCGACTCGACCGGTGGCTTGGTCAACCTCAAGGATAAGAAAGTGGGCATCATTGGCACAGGAGCCACGGCGGTTCAGATTGTACCTCACCTCGGCCAATGGGCAAAGGAGTTGTACGTCTTCCAACGAACCCCGTCTTCGATCGACGTGCGCAACAACCGACCAACGGATCAAAATTGGGCCAAAACCCTCACGGGGAGTTGGCAGCAACGACGTATGGACAACTTCAACAATATCATCGGCGGCGCTCCGGAGGAGGAAGACCTAGTCATGGATGGGTGGACCGACATAATCCTACGGTTGTTCCCGTCGAAATCTGACGGCAATGCGGAACTGAGCAAAGAAGAAAAGGAAAAGCGGAGGCAACTGGCCGATTTCGAGAAGATGGAAGAAATCAGAAGGCGAGTCGACCGCATCGTCAAAGACCCCGAGACGGCCGAGAGCTTGAAGCCGTATTATAACCAGTTTTGCAAGCGGCCATGCTTTCACGACGATTATCTCGATACGTTCAATCGTCCAAACGTCAAGCTCGTCGACACCAAAGGACGGGGTATCGAGCGAGCCACGGAGAAGGGAGTCGTGGCGAATGGCCAGGAGTACGAACTCGACTGCCTAATCTACGCCACAGGCTTCGAGCGAGCAACGTCATGGACGCATCGCGCTGGAATGGAGGTATACGGCAAGAAAGCGCTGCCTCTATCCGAAAAGTTCGCAGACGGCCCGAGCACGTTCCAAGGCTGGATCACCAGAGACTTTCCAAACTTTTTCATGATTACGACCGTACAAGCATTCATCACGCCCAACTTTCTGCACACGACCGCCATACAAGCGGAGCATATTGCCTATGTGATCTCAGAATGCAAGGCCAGGAACATTCAGGCCATAGAGCCTACTCAAGCCGCCGAAGACGAGTGGGTGGAAATGATCATTGCGTCGGGAGAAGACTCGAGGGCGTTCCACAGCGAGTGCACGCCAGGTTACTATAACAACGAAGGTCAGATTACGAGACAATTGGCCAAGAGTTCCTCCTACGGCGGCAGTCCGTTGACGGTGATAAATTTGCTGAAGAAGTGGCAGACGGACGGGAAATTAGAAGGTCTTTCGCCCACATATGCTTCGGCGACGGTGGAAACGGTATCATGAAAACTGTCATCTACCAGTAGGCAATACATTAGATAGACAGATAGAGGGATAGATATATTGGTCATGCTTTTTTTCCCCACAAGTCACTCGGAAACACTCAATCAAAGCAGTACCAAAGCTACATCTCTCTAATAATAACTCTCCACGTCAATCAATACAGCTTCACATTGTGCTGTTTCATAGCCTTTGCAAGTCCACCGTTCCCCAAGAATTCCGCTTTGTCGTCACTCCACTCGGGCTGCACTCTGTAATGGATGTTTTCACCACTGCACTCGGCAGCCTGGCCGGTTCGACTAGAGTCGTCGATGAATCTCATAAAGGCCGTGATGATGGTGGACACTGGCGTGATGTATTCCTCCGGGGTGGTGAAGGAATAGATCTTGGTCAGACCCGTGTGGACGAGACCTGGAGTCCCCCGTTAGTTAGTGACGGGATTTTGGATGCTATGTTAGCAACCCTCGTCCCCTCCCCTTACCTGGACATATACAGTTGACCGTGACAGGCTCTCCGAGTTCACGTAGTTGTTGAGCCAGGGCTCTAGTCAGTCCGACCACCTTGAGGGAGATCAGCTTTTGTCAAACGCGTCGAAACAAACAACACCCGGCATTCTTAGGGGAGGGGAACACACCCCGTGTTTGGCAGCTGTATACAGCGGAATCGTCGGGCCAGGATAGATGCCGGCCATGCTCGAGGTAAAGATCAATTTGCCAGACTTGTCTGCGTTTTTCCGGAAGAAGTGAAACCCGAGGTAGGCACAGTAGATGGGGCCCAGCAGGTCGATGTCGATGACCGCCGTCGAAGGTTTCGGCGGCGTCCCGTCGGCTCGGTCTGGCTGTGGCTTGTAGAAGCTGATACGATCGCCGATACCCTGCGAAAGAGAGTGAAAGGTGTGAGCCTCTTTTTCTGCTTCTCCTTCTTCTTCTTCGAGTTTCGGTAACAATAACAATAAAGTCCCCATCTCGATCACAGTTAGTTGGCTAGACTCTTACCGCGTTTCCAAAGACAGCATCGAGTCGTCCCCATCGGTCCCACGTCTTTGCAAATGTACCGCTCAGCTCCTCGTAGTCGGCCACGTTGGCCTTGAAGAATAAAGCCGAATCGCCGTGCGCGGCCGCGATTTCCTTGCCCGACTCTTCGTTCACGTCGATGATGGTGACATTCCAGCCCAGCTGCCACAGGTGCTCGGCCACCGCGAGCCCCATGCCCGACGCCCCGCCCGTGATGATGCAGACTGGGGATTTCGCAGGCTTTGCGCTATCATTGGAGGCCATCTTCGAGGCAAACAAGTGAACCACGAACCGAGTTTGGAGGTTGGGATGATAAGACACAATTTCAATGTGTTCGATCGTGAGGAATCGCTTTCAAGTAAAAGTCAACAGGTCCTCCAATGTTCGCTTGACGTCTTGGGATCGACGTTTACGCACAAGGCTCGATACGGTTCTGATAGGCTCTGGGCAGCCGCCGAGGAGTTCGGAGCGCTGGAAGAGACTGACCTCGGGGGGCTGATGAGGCGGTTGAACTCACCCGAGTCGTCGATCCACTAAGCCGAAAAATTGTTTCACGTTAATAAGAATACCTGGTCGCTGTAAGTCCCTCGTATTTGGTATAAAAGAGCCGTGCTCATAACTCGTACCAAAGATATATACGTCGCAACGAGCAATCTCCGATCCGAGGCTACTAAGAGGTCATGGCTGCGTATACGGTACAATTCATACAAATTCAGAAACTGAGTCCTAGTTACAATACATGTGTAGAATGATCACGCCCAGGTATACCCCGAGTAGTCAAAGGCAGACAGCAGGTTCTCTGCAAATCCCAGGTCTCCATCCGAGTACCACTCAGAGGTCGAAAATGGATTAGCCGAGATATCAGGCACTCTATCACTGGTGGGATCAAGCGCCGTGGCGGCGGCAGCGGCGGCATTTTGTTGTCCCATCTTTTCATTGTCTTCGTCCAAGGCATCGGCCATTATTGCGTTGCGCTTGACCGGGTTTTGAGCCGAGTGGCTAGTGCTAGATGATGACTGGAGCGAACGACCGAGTACAGCCTTTCTTGAATCCTGCAACATATTTACTACGTCTCGCAAGATTGGGCCATGGTCCGCTAGAGGTAAGGAGCACTTGATGCAGACGTCGACCTGAGCGATACTCCGCTTGCGGATCTCCGAGTCTGGGTTGTTGAAATCGAGAAGCAACGCTGATGTCGCCAGGTAGATGTTGGTCAGGGCCGAGGGGGGTAGAGCCCCGTGGAGGTCGTGATTCAAAAGCTGCTCGAGTACAGCTGTTGTTTCGTAGCCTGCCTGTCTGATGAGGAAAGAGTGCCACTCGGTTTGCGGTGAGTGTTCGGTCGTCTGCTGGACTCTGATGCGTGCATATACGTCTCTCGTCATGTTGTCTTTGTAGATGACAAAATGTGCCCCCCAGTAGATCAATTCAATCACCGACATGGCCCACGCAGCACCTCGAGAAGCGCCATATGGGACCCCGGCCAGCAACGTGTCCCACCGCAAAGTGTCTGGGATTTCAGAATGCCATTGCCGGAGGTCACGAAGCATATACTGTCGTAGGGCAGGTAGAGTCGTTCCAGACCCCGTCCAGCCCCAGGCCACGGCATCGTGGAATATATGCTGCAGGATGAGGTATATGTGTCTGCATAGCTTCGCCTTCTCGACGCATACGAGAGCATGTTTCAAGCGTTCGCCTTGTGACTCATGGCTGGAGTTGTCGGCTGCCATGTTTATGTCAGTGTCGTTGAAGCCGAAATCGCTTAGGGTCAGTGTAGGGGCCGACGGCCATACGCGAGGGTACTGTCCCGTGTACATGCATAGATCACATTCTTTCATGAGCACACACCACCATAAAATTCGACGTCGGTTGCGATCATGCCGGCTTCTAGAATGTGAAATCGTAGACAACTGAGGTTTGTCCTTGTCCAGATTCAAAAAGTAAGCTTGGGTAATTGCATTACCAAGCCAATAAGTCGCGTCTTTGGGATTATTCTCCTTTACCCACCCGAGGAGCAGTAAGGAAGCCTGGCATATCGTCGTCTTATCCTTTTCGATGTCCATGTCAAACAGTGTCTACAAAACAGACGGTCAGTTTCTTCTGCCAACAAAGAATCGGCAATACTCGACCTTACCTTTGCTCGCTCATAGTATGCCCCCCTTGCCGCCAATTTCGACATGTAGCTTTGCCGGATCACCACTTCGGGGTCAACCGACGCTACCCCAGCAAACATGACTGCATGAAAGAGCAACAAGGGCATCCTCTTCACGGAGTGTTTCGTACTCCCACCAAGAATGCTGCGAAACTCTGCCAAATCGATTACCGGAAGGAGGGGGTGTACAAAATCCGCGTACTGGTTCAGGATGGCCAATTGAAGCGGCTTCGGAGGGAAGGTGAAAACTCCTTTGCGGCGCAGGTAATCAACGTCATCCACATGGTTGACTGAAAACGCTTCAATGAAGTCGGGTAGAACAGTTGTAGTGTTTGAATCTGGCTTGTCATTCGCGACGAGTCTGGCATTATGAGAGTGCGAGATGTCGCGAGGATTCACGGTATCACTTGGTGAGTGCGATTGCTGACGATCGGAGTCGGCGTCTTCGGCTTGTCTCTCTAGAGGTTGCTGGAGTGGAGGCTGCTCGAGTTGGGAAGCATTGAAGATATCCAGATCCGGACCGCTCATCAGGGTTGCAATGTCGTCGGAAGCCGCAACATCCCAAATAGTCTGCAGATCATTCTGCACATGTTCAGGCCCAACGTTCCGGCTGTGACGAAGCTGACTCTGGCCGGCCACGGCAGCTGTGTGTTGTCGTAGGTTGGCTTGTTTATCGTGAGGCCAGGAAGGATTTGCACTCGATTCACGCGTGTGTTGGCTTTGACGGACGAACTCGCATCTTGTACCGTCGAGTGAACAGTTGGTGCACTTGCCGCGCTTTCTCGTGGCATCACACCTGACTTTGCGTCCCCGACACCGCAGACAGGCGCGAGAAGCCCTGCCGTGCTTTGGTGGCTGGGCGGTAGCGGGCATGGCTAGATGTGGCTCTGGACCGACTGGAAAGCCGGTAGGTGCGGGTCTCACAGGGTTCTGATCCTCTGCCATTTTGGAAACACAGGGCAAAAAAGAGCCCCGCAGTGTTGTGGATTGACGTGCGGTAAAAGTTCTTTCAAATGTAAATATCTCCCAAGTACGAGGAGGTAGATTCCCCGGCGAACCTGGCCAGATCGGGGGAAAACATGGAGTTTGAGGTTGGGAAAGCTTGGTGGCGTCACTTGCGCGGGTACTGAAGCACTTTTGCCGAGTATAATCAGACTAGTCTTGATTAGGAGGATATAACGACTGATTTCACGTGATCACTATCAAGCTAGGCCTAGTTTAGTCAGAATAAAGTCTTGTTCTGACTAGGTCGCGCCCAGAGATCTACCCTAATTAGGACTAGCGAGGTATGTCTGAACATCGCAAAACGAAAGAATGGACAGAAAGTTGTCCTGTTATCTCTCTCCACATTACCATCTTGAGGGCGATTTCATTTGAGAAATTCACCGAGTATAGTCTACTTTGAGAGTAGCATTGTGCCAGGGTGTAACAGTCTGTACATCCCCCCCTTCTCCAACACTTTCGTCCCATTGAATCTGCTTTGTGAGAGCTAGCGAGCGCACACAAATCCTGGAAACCCTGCAGATGACTGTTTTTGACACTCTGCAATGTAGTTCTGCAGTCCTCCAAAATAGTAGAGTGTTCCGGTGGGCTTTCCGGGAATATTGGCGCCCGTGAACCACGATCCTACCTTTTCCGCTGTTTTAGACATGACGGTGGCACCGTACAGCTGTTCGCACAGTTCGTTCCAGTTGTCTTGAGCTTCCTTGGTTGGTTCAATCGTCTGTTGGCCCGTTTCTCTCAGATAGTTTATCATCTTCCCTATTTCTGTACCAGTCGTGTCGATGATCATAGGGAAATTGCTAAAGGTGCCTTTTGGTCCGGACATCATGAATAGGTTCGGGAAACCTTCAATGCCTATTCCGAGCATGGTGTCGATCTTTGTAGACCACTCTTTGGCAATTGCTCGGCCATTGCGACCACGGATATCCATGCCCGTGATCGGACCCGTCACCGCGTCAAAGCCAATGGCATAGATGATAATATCAAATTCGTACTCGTCCGTACTAGTACGAATACCCTTTGGCGTGATCTCTCGGATTGGGCTTTCTTTGATATCCACAAGATGAACATTTGGTCTGTTGAAAGATTCGAGATAGCGATGTCCCAGAGGAGGCCGCTTAGAGAAGAGGGCGTAGTCTGGATTCAGCTTCTCCGCAGTCTTTGGGTCCTTCACGATCGCTCTGGTCTTGTTTCTCAAGAAGTCACATGCGGCTTTGTTGCACTCTTCGCTGGTGAATAGGTCGTCAAAGGTTTCAAAGACAAAGTTGAAGCCTCCTGCCTCCCAGCCAGCATCAAAGGCTTTTTGGACGGTTTCCGGATCATCTTTGACGTCGGCATATAGTCGCCCCGTCGGAGGGATATCCAGTCCAAAGACCTGACCCCTAGCACAAGCCCAGATATCATCGTAGTTCCGTTTGATCTCGGTGGCGTGTTCTTTGGTCACCGTATAATTCCTCGCCGGCAAGATATAATTTGGTGTTCGTTGGAAAACATGGACAGATTTGGCCACATGGGCTGCCACAGGGACGATTTGTACTCCTGTAGCACCCGTACCAACAACTGCAACGCGTTTATCCTTGAAGGAGACCTCCTTGTCTTTGGGCCAGGACGAGGTTTGATACCATTCCCCTTTGAATGACTCATAACCCGGAAACGGTATCTGTTTGGCAGATGACAAGAGCCCGGTGCCGAGGATCAGGAAAACGCTCGAGTATTTTTCACCTTTGCTGGTTTCAAGATTCCAGACGTTCTTGTCCTCGTCAAAGTGTGCTGACTTGATCTGACTATTGAAAAGAATGTCTTTACGCATATCAAATCGATCGGCGACAAAATTCAAGTATTTCTTCACTTCGGGCTGGCGAGGATAGCGTTCCGACCAGGTCCATTCTTGACATAGCTCCTTCGAGCAGTTCAGGGCATAAACCCAGCTCTCGCAGTCGGTCCGACATCCAGGATAGTTGTTCCAGTACCAGGTCCCTCCCACTTCCGAACCCGTTTCGAAGATTTTGGCTGACACTCCAATGCGGCGTAACTCGTAGAGCATACGAAGTCCAGAGAATCCCGCTCCGATGATGGCGGCTTCAAAGTCAGGATTGCCTCCGAACCCCGCTGGTTTGGTGCCGTTGACACCATCTAGTGATTTCGCGGCCATTTCGGAGTACGCTGTTGGGTTTGGTAGGGAGCGATCACAAGAAAGCAGAGTAGTAGCGCCCCGTGCTTTCCATAGACCTATTATGTTCAAAGAGATCGACCTTCGGACGCGGAGTCGAGTTGACTTTACGCGGCAAGGGTGCAAATCGTTCCGTCATTCCTCAACCTGGGGCCTTGGGAATTTCCCCAGGAATGCGAGTCTGGGTGGAGGAGGCCGGTTTGACTGTGGGTCCCGCGGAGCAGAATCCTCGGCATACCGAGGCAACCCGAGGGGCTTTTGTCCCCTTTCCTTTGCTGATATACTGTGGAAATTGCTGTGGCGGAACCGAGAGATCCTAGCTTGGAGTCTATCTCAGGGGAGAGAGGCTGGTAGCTCAGGCTTTTCCCCAAAGTCTTTCCCGTGGGGAACCTTTCCGTCCAGAACGGACCCACTCGAATACTCGGCATGTGGGTCCATGTGCTTCGTCAGGGGACGTTGAGGTCCGTGCTGTTTGAGCACATCTCTTTCCTAGAAGCACACTGCAGCTACAGGGCTATGGCAGTGAGAAAGATGTGAGCCTGGCGACCGAGCGGGAGGCGATAAATGTCGACTTCAGGTCATTGTTCTATATCGCGCGCGCTGGACTTCCCCACAATGGCGAGCTATCAGCGCGTCGTGAATGGCACCAAATGCTGTTATAACATTGTCAAGACTTCTTATGTTTGGCACGTATCGGCCGTAGATACCTCCAGCAGCGGCAAAACGGCCCACACGGATGGCAACCGGGCCCCCCTCTCTGATCAGCTCCGTAGTCAAAGGTTCATGCCAACAATCTATCAGCGGCGACACTGTGTAAGCAACGGCACTTTCCAAGTAATAGTACTCTAGAAGGGACGACTTTCGATGAGTAGCTTACATTCTACATCTTGTTACTCAGTCCGGTGACAGAAGAGCAGGAAATGGCCTACTCCTATGTCAGGGCGGACAAGCAGAGTCGTCCCGGGAGAAGCTGCTTTCGAGATATCTACATTCTGACGGCCTTAATCTCTCACCCCGCATCTTCGCTAGCCATTTCTCTAGTCATTCTTCCTGCAATCGGGGTCCGGGATGATCCCGGGGGACGCTTTGACCTGTAAATGATATAAATGTGTCTGCCTGCCTCCAGCTCCCAATCACAGCGACTTTTGCCAAGTTGTCCGCAACCCAGTGTCCCAAATCAAGTACCATCATATTATCCGTAATCATGAGTGACTCCACGGCAACGACAGTCGAAAAGGACATAATTAACCCTACCACCGAACAGGTGGAGTTGCCAGCTCACAAGAGTGAGCAGCACCACCACCATCATGTTCCTCACCCTCACCCTCACCATACAAACATCGACGAATTGGATGTCGTCGAGATCACAACAAAAAGTCCGTATCGCGAGATCAACTTCTACGGCACATTTGCCGCAGTCACCCTTGCTGCATCTTCCAGTTTTGGCGGCTTCCTGCTACCTGCCACATCATTGACACTGATCAATGCGGATATTGGTACGTGGCGTCATCATGCTTCGACGGCCTGAAGCGATTAACGCGGTGGACAGGCCCTTCCAGCAACTATACATGGGCGATCCTGGCCTGGAATGTCTGCCTCACTGCTGGGGGTGTACTTGTGGGTCGTCTCTCTGACATCTTCGGTCGTCGTTGGTTCTTCACATCCTCGTCTCTGGTGGCCATCATTGGACACGCCATTGGAGCCACGGCAAACAACATGAACCAGATCATTGCAGCTTCTGTCTTCATCGGCCTGGCAGCTTCCGCACAGTCGTCTTTCAACTATGTGCTGGCGGAGATTGTGCCGGTAAAGCACAGGTTTTACTGGATGAGTCTGATGTACTGCATCATCTCGCCGATTTCTGGCTTTGGGGCTGTGTTTGCGCGTCTTTTCATCGTCAACACGAGCGCAAGTTGGCGCTGGATTTACTACTTCTTCATCATCAACAGTAAGATCACCCTTTCTTCCGGTCGGCTTTGGCTAATGATTCACAGACTTCGTGAGCCTTCTCCTATGGTTTTTTTTCTACCATCCTCCTCGCTTCTCGGCTCTTCATCGGAACCGAACAGTCTGGGACGAAGTCAGGGACCTTGACGTGGGAGGAGTCATTCTATACACCGGCGGGATCGTGCTTTTCACCCTAGGGATATCTTGGGGCGGGACGATTTACCCATGGAAATCAGCCCACGTTATTTCCTGCATTATCGTGGGATTCTTGGTATCTGTTGCCTTTGTTCTTTATGGTACATTCCTGTCCTTGCTCATCATCATGGGAGTGTGCTAAAACTTGCCGCAGAGATATATATGCCACTCAACCGTCCTCTCATGCCGATGCACCTATGGCTGAACCGGGATTATACCTCCATCACGATCCTTACCACTGTTGGGGGCATGGTATACTTCTCTATCAATGGTGCGTATGATCAGGCTGCCAACTTTGCCGCCCCTGACTTACCCTCTCTAGTGATCTACCCCGTCATGGTTGCGGCCCTCTTCACCACAGACGTTGTCCTTGGAGGTCTCTATACTTGTGCTATCGCCGCAAGCACTGCCCTTGGCCAGGCCTCGGGATCCGCCCTTGCGGTGCCAGGCGGACACGCCAGAGAAAAGCTCATCTTCAGTGCAATGGCTATGACCGGCTTCATCGGTGGGATGGCCGGCGTAGGTCAAAGCAAGGTCATCTCCACCGTCTTGGTAGCTCTAGGTTCGCTCGCTGTGGGCTTGATTGAAGGTCTGGCCATTGGCATCGTCACGGTGGTGATCGACCAGAAAGAGCTGGGGGTTGGAGGTGGCGTGTTCGGAAGCGTGAGAACCCTTGGTGGTGTTCTCGCCAGTATGTTGAAGTTGTATCCCGTCCGTACTTCGAGGCTAACTCCTTCACAGCCGCCATATTCTCCTCGATTCTCACCAACAAGTTGACCGACTATACCAAAGATATGGTGGTTCCCGCGACCCTAAATGCAGGACTGCCGGCAACGTCCCTGACTCAATTCCTTACTGCTCTCGCGTCGGGCAGCGCTTCGGCAATCAGTGCTGTGCCTGGAGTGACACCATCGATCATTGCCTCGGCGGTGAGCGCCAACAAGGCGGCATATGCAAAGGCCTTCCAGATGGTCTTCTACTCGAGTATTCCTTTCGGTGTCTTGGCCATATTGGCAGCTTGCTTCGGGCCGAAGATCGAAGACAGGCTCACCCACGATGTTATCCGTCGGCTTGAAGGAGCGGACCTCACGGACAACACTACCAGCGAGGAAAGTATCGAAACCGCCACGCCATAAAAGGACAGAATGATCAAAGGGCCTACTGCTTGGGATGGATTGCGTGGATCTTGGAAATCTCTTTACGTGCCTATATACAGCTTGCTGATCCGCTACTGGCTTGGCCGCCCGCCTTTGTGGGTGCGAGGTTGACTTGACGTACGCTGCTCTACTTGGCTCTTCCATGGACTATCGGGCAGCAAAAGCTCTTGTATCATCAACTCATAGTACCATTGCTGGTGGTTAGCAGCAATAATTCCTGCTTCCAAAACACACGCGCGTCAACATTAAGCGTAGGAAAATTAACCTCTATAGATGTTCAGAACGCAACGCGTAATGTAACCCAAGTTGCCTTGACCAATCACTTCTTTTTGCGAAGGCGAGCGTCCGAGTGGTGGGAAAATGTATGGCGGTCGTTGATATCCATCTATAACAGCAAAGAGAGGTTGTCTTTGCGCGTTCGTTCAGCGCCCCTCGGGCATGATTTATGACTCTTGATTCAATTGATTGGTAAATGGATGGGTATGTATAGCCACAATCAGCCACCGTTGGTCGTCCGTCTTTCGCATGGTATACGTTGCGGTAAACTGTTCGCAGAGGGTGCCATCCTGCCTCAGTCTCCTACAGGGACAGCTAACGAGCACCAGACCGGCTTCGTCCAACACAATGACCTTCTTGGGCGCCGCCCACACAGAGTTGCTGAACCCGTCCTTTTTCAAGCGTTCGACGGTGCTGACCAACAAATCCTCGGCGGCCTTGTGATCACGTATCACTGACACACCAGCTCGTGAGATGGATACAAAAGGCTCATCGTAAAATTTCGCGACTCCCCCGAAATCTCCTGCGTTGAAGGTGCTGAGGTAGTTGTCCAGTTGCTGCGCGGCTTCCTCGGTGATCGACTCCGACGAGGACATTTTTTTTTCCCCTTTCTTCTGTGTTTTAACGTTGAGATGATGATGATGACCTTTGAAATTCTGTTCAAATGTCTGGAACAAGGGCTCATCGTTGAAATAGACTTCCCCCTCGGCGCGTTGGCTTGCCAAACTTGCTGGTGCAGCCGCGGCACAAAAAGCTGGAGAACATCACTGTAGTGATTTCGTACTTCCCAAGGCCCTCGGGAAAACAGCGTGTGGGGTTCTTTCACTGTTCGTGGAATCGACTCCAATCAAACAAACGAGTGATGATGGCACATAGACAGCCATCCACAAGACTGAGGGCCAAGTGTTTCAACATTTTAGCTATTTCCTCTTTGCTTAGATTTTCTTCCTGTGTCCCAGAAGAAGACAAAACAGCGTTGCATCACCCTGGGGTAGTTTCGATGCTCTTGCGACAGGACGCCCGGCTAAGCTGAGCCGATTGGAGATTTCGTTCGGAAAAGTAATAGCCGGCCTTGTTCTTGGCTCTGCGGAGTACTCGGTATGCTGTTTTCGGCTAGCTTAGACGGTTTTGTGGGGGTCCACTATGCCGTTTTCGCTGCAACTCAAGAGCATCGCGATATATATACCATGGTTACTGGGTTTATTTTCGTTTCATACCTATGTCGAAAATTGCTCATCAGGGCAGACCTCATCCAGAGGGTAAATACCAAATGGGAATGATGTCTTGCACGCGCAAGAGCCGAGGTAGCCGCATTGACGACAGAAGCCCAAACGCAGTACAAAATAGTTCATTGGGTAGAAACACCGTAAGGCGACCTACTGAGTGAATGGGGAAAACCACTTAAATACCGGCAAGGACAACAAGTAAGGCCTTGAAGGGCTATTAAGATGATGAGAATATCACGTGATGTATCACGTGATGACCACATGGATCGACCAATCGGGTGCGCCGGATATACCCAGTCAACCAGTCAATCAGATCCACGGCCTTGGGAAATTCTTGCCCTGTAGATATACCTCGTATTCTGCTTCGCTTTTCTCCACAGGATAAACCGTGATAGAAAATGACTTTATAAACGTAACTCATCCTCCGGGCAGAAGTAAATTTACCGCAATCACATATACGAATCTGGAACATACAATATTCCTTTGCGAATGGAACAATCGAGTGATGGCCTGTCAATCCCAAATCTGTCAATATGCCAAAAGGGACAAAGGGAAGGATTTCCCAAGTGGGCCTGGATGAACCAAAAAAAAGTGGCATGAATATGGGGCACGGATGACGAGGTAGGAAATGTTGAAGCACTGCACGGGCCACATCCCCCGGTAAATGAAGAGATCCTCCGCGCTCTCTCCTTCTCTATCAGGTTAACAAAAACTACTTACTTTGAAGGTGATGGAGATCGGAGCTCGTTAGTAATCTCCAGCCCTCCACAACTCCCACGGGATCCGGTCTGACTCCTGACGATTCGGATCCTTCCATGCGTAACGAGAATTGTACCGCCCAGACCTCCAGTCCGCAAGCCTCCTACATATACTAGCCCAAGACTATCCAGGATCCAGGATCCCTGACCTATGTCTTTACTCGGTATAACTCGCCGCACCCGCAGCCACGTCCACCTTGACCTCGACCCAGACTTCAATAATGAGTCCCACAGTCCGAATTTATCCCCCAGCAGCGGTCACGACCGATATGTTGGCACCGCCTCCGCAGAAAACTCATTCAGTCTCTACTCCTCGTAACCACGACATCTCATGCCGCGAGATGCATTTGACGTCGGCGGCTGGTTCACTCCCTAGGTCTTGCTGATGTATTGTTCATTGCCGTCGTCAACAACCCGGTCATGTCAAGAGCCTGCTGTGCTCAACAACAACGACGACGACGACAGCATCCTCATCATTCTGCGACGTAATGAGCAATAGCCACTATACCGGCAGCCTAGACACGACAACTAGCATTGTGGCCATCACCTCGGCGCTGTGTCTATACAATGCACTGGAGCTGATCTTGCTCATCTTCACGACTTTTGCCATTTACCGTGGCCTATATTTCTGGTCGCTGCTAGTAGCAACAACGGGACTGGTTCCCTACACTATCGGGCTCATCCTAAACTACTTCCAGGTGGCCAGCCTCGCGGGCCTAATTATCAACAGTGAGTTCTTGTGGCGTTTTCTGCAATGGCCATTTCTTTGCCCACATGGCTGTTTTGTTCCATAATGCTCCCCGTCCTCAGCATTTACTGACGCAGTCGCAGACTATGGATGGTGGACGGCCATCACAGGGCAGAGTGTGGTGCTGTACTCTCGACTGGGAATCGTGCTTGGAAAAGGCAACGACCGGATCCTCAAGTACGTCAAATGGATGATCATCGTCGACGGCCTCACCCTCCACACAGCGACAACAGTCGTCGAATTCGGCTCATACTATGGCTCGCCACCCGCCCAGGCGCCCTTCTCGCGCGCCTACACGTACGTGGAGAAAATCCAGATGACGGTCTTCTGCATTCAGGAGTTCATCATCTCGGCCCTCTACCTCTGGAAGACGATGGACATCGTCAAGGCGCAGAGCCTCCATGCGGCCTCCCCGACCAACACATCCGAGCAGAGAAAGAAGAGACGTGTCCACCGAGTCATGTGGCAGCTGTTCATCATCAACGTCGTCATCATCGTCCTGGACATCGCGCTGCTGGTCCTCGAGTACAGGAACCTGCACATCCCCGAGGTCGCGTTCAAGGGCTTCTGTTACTCGGTCAAGCTGAAGCTCGAGTTCGCCGTCCTCAGCAAATTGGTCGAGGTGGCGGGCTTCAGGAACGCGAGGCCCGTCCCAGCGAGCCTGAGCCACACTTTCGACATCACGTCCAACGACGTGACCGACAGTCTGCCCACCACGACCAAAGACAACGCCGACATGGCCCTCGATCTGGGTCACGGAACTGGAACGGCGGTAATCTCCAACTCCAAGCATCTGGGTCGCCTGTCCCGGACCGACAGCGCATCGCCGCCAGAGTGGGCTGCGGACGTGCTGACACCCCCGAGACACATTACCGACGACGACAACGACGTGGAGATGAACGCCGAGTGTCCGGGCCAGGGTCAGGGCCAGGGCCGACGACAGAGCTCAGCAGCCACACTTGGCGGCGTGCTCGAGCGCGGGGCGAGTTCCATGTCGACTCTCGTCCCCGGAAACGTGGCGGAATACCCCCACCAGCGCCGCGTCAGGGCCGGATCGGAACTCCTCTACGCGGAAGCGATCCGCGAGATAGCGCGGCGAGACTGAGCGGTGGATAGAAAGTCACAGAGTTCTTGTTCTTTTTTCCACTCTTTTCGCTGCTCTGCAGAAGACACAGAGCAGAGCAGAGCATGTGCCCTGTTCCTCTCACTCCCTCTCTTCCTCTCTCTCTCTCTCACGCATATACGTACACTCTGATTCCAAGAAAAGAGCGAATCTACCGAGTCTCCCACATTCCTGGCTGCAAAGGCGATCCCCCGCCGCACCAATAGATCCGGCTCTATCTGCGGATTTATTCTAACTGACCCAGTCCGTTTGGATCTTTGCGGGGGAATATAGCGAGAGACAGCAGATCCCAGCTTTGGCGATTGAAGGCTCAGCGACGCGACCTCGTCACTCCCCACCTGGGCCACGAAGCGTGAAAAGCGTCAAAGCCTCAGAAGGAGACGGAAAACTACGCCTTATGCGGCCGCACTGCACAGCCTCTTGGTGACCCCCACGCGATTCTCCCGCGCCGTTTGGCTCGGGAGAAAAGGGCAGGCAGGATATTTCGTCCTTCTCCAGAACTACACTCCGATACCAAAAGGGATTCGGATCCGGGTCAGGATTGAAAATTACATATATTGCGGTCGTGGTCGGTCATCAGGAGTGGCGAGCTGAGGGAGACACTATTCTCGTTATATGCCGCTCAAGTCCAATTCGTCCATGTTATACAATATCGGCCCTGGTCTCCGAGTCCTCTTCTTTCAATGCACATCGGATCTAGACCTATCCAAACAGTGGTCTCTGGACAGTCCCAGATATCTCGAACCGAATATTCCTTTGGCTTTCCGCCCCATAGAGGTGTCGCTCCATAAAGGTGTCATCTCTTCACTAGCGGGCGGAGTCCATTCATTCAGGCACCTCAGCGCTCCAACTCTGAGCCAGCTCGCTCCCAAAGAGAAAGCGATCCCAATCCAAACTCGCTCCGGGCTCCACGGACAACTGGAAAGTCGCGTCGTCCGCATCAGCACTGCCTGGTACATCCCAAGCAGAGCTCGGTAGGTAGGCAGTAGAGTCAAACGGTTCGGGATATGTCGGCCCAAATCCCTCGTCGGAAACTGGCTCTGACGAGCTCTGAGATTCCATTTGTGGTGTCTCTGTGTTCAATTCCGGAACCCTGCATTGCTGTGACCTGTTGGCCTTGCCAGTGGATTTGCGGCACAGGAGTCGCGGCGGCCTCAACTCGAGATGGATTGCCCCAAAGTACGGGAGGACCACGGTCCGGTGCTTCACATCGGCGCCCTGGAGAGAGTCGACGTCTTCGTACAGGAAGGAGCCCAGCTCCCGCAAGACTTTGAGGCCCTGTCTACTGATGCTGCCGCCCTGTTGGGTCGCGCGGTACCGGAAGACGTCCTTGATCTCTTCGATGAGAGCGAGGTCGTCGCTGATGTTTCCCATCCCCACGGATCCTAGTTGAGACCGAGGCTCCGAACAGTATGACAAGCGCATCAACAGGCCTACCATGAGGATGCACGCACTGAACAGTCCCTGGAAATCTTCGCAGCTGCAGATGTAGACGGCGAGGGATGGATCGGAACGGAGCAAGTTGAAGATGCGAAGCATGCTGCGACAGCCTTGCATACAGAGATGTTTGTTCACCGCGTATGGATCCGGCGTAATGTACTTGCCGGGGTGTTGGTTCTGTGCAACGATATTCGGATCGACTTTGAGCATAAATGGCAGATGGAGGAAGGCCTGGACTTGCCAGAACCACATCTGGGCAAGGAGATTTTCGTGCGCCCGAAACGAATCGGAAACCCCAAGGTGTGATTCCACGTTCCACCAGTCCGGAGGCATAGCTGCTGCTACTTCATCCAGCGTTGCTTGGATCTCCATTGTGGTCTGGAGTTTCACTGGATCCGGGTCAGAAGTCGCGTTGCGGTCGTTCACTCGGCCTGCAGCAATGGACACGACACGCCTGAAAGCGCGCATTTTGATTTCCACGGACAACGATGCCCCGTCTCGACTGGATGTCTGGCCCTTCAACACGGCCATTGCCAGACGGTCCGTGAATTTGACGTCCTCCGCGTGGGGAAAGCCCAGGGTCATGCTCATGAGTCGATCGAGCTCCATGATGGAGCCGATAAACCGCTGCCTGTTGAAAAGCTGGGTTAGTTGCTGCCCGCACATCTTCGGCGCAAACTCGCCCGCGTCAGCTGGTATCTTGGGCTCTGCGAATCCGATCTCCTGCGCGATTTCCAAAGCTCTGCGTGTGCTCAACCAGGACTTGCGCAATTGATTGCTCTCGGCGTACATCTTGGCACGTATCATCAGGAGCAACAGGATGCCGGGGTCATGTTTGTGTTTTTGCTGGGCCGCGGGAGAGAGAACGACCATATCGACGACAAGCGTTATTCGGTCGGCTAGTTCGGAAGGGGATGTAGAGATGTTCAGCTTCTGATCGTCGACGCCAGGGCGTAATTGGTAGAGGGACAGGGCAATACAAAGGAGTCCTGTGGCTAGCGACACGAGATCGTGCGTGCGGGACAGTTTGGTGAGTACGAAATCCCGGAAGGACAGAGGTTCGTCAGAATGGGTCATCGTACGAGACGTGATAGTAGAACCTGGCCATATGTGAGACAATGGAGAGGCATTGGCCCTTATTTGCGTGCCCGGCACCCAGCTCCCCAACGTCGAACTCCCTTGGGCCTGAGTCTGTTGTTGGTCATCCTTGCCAAAGGGGGAGAATTCCTGCATCGCCACCGCCTGGTCTCGCCACGCGATCCACCACTTCACAGAAATATCTAGCACCTCGTGCACGTGTGGTTCGGAGGAGATGGTCGAGAGCAACTTTTCAGCATCCGTGCTGTCGACACACTTGGTAAGGTCTGAAAAGCTCATGAACTCAACCTTTTGGGCCAGGATGGAAGAAATACAGGCCGTGTTCTGTGTAAACATCTCGTTGTTGAACAGCTGTGAAAGCAAGGGACTGAGTGTCTTGCAATGCTCCTCCAAAGCCATCGTGGTTGGGGCACAGACATCTCCTGTGTCATTGATTGATTCTTGAGGATACTGCTGTAATTGTGGGATTGGTTGGTGAGAATTGAACATGCCCGAGGCTGCTATTCCGGTCGCTATTCCTCGCTCCGGCAGGGTCTGTGGCTGGAACTGAGTAGAGTCATATTGCTGAGTATCGGCGGATAAGCCGTTCATATTCGCGAACTCGAAACCCAGGTCGAAATTCAAGGCATTGACATATGCATTTCCGTCAGTAAGACCCAATTCTGCATCTAGGTCGAATGTAGGATTAAATTCGTGTCCCCAACCCAGATATGATGTGGGATCAAGCTCTGTAGAGTTGCCCAGGAACGTCAAGGTGTTACTCTGGGTTTGGTGAGAGGCATTTGCAAGTACGTCAACCTGCGTCCCTCGCCTCTCTCGCTCTCGGGCCAGCCGTGAGACCAAGGGCTCCATCCTGTCTACGTGGATTTTCACACGTGGGTAGTCCTCATCTTCGGGTTGACTAGTCGATGACTGCATCTCACGGCGTCTTTTGTAAATCCTCGACTGACGGACGCTTGGTTTCGAGGACGTTGAAGCGTTCGTGGCTTCTTGAGGAGATGTATCCAAGGCGACATAGCCTTGGATTTGGCAGGTGCGGTTGTGCTTTTCGCATTGGATACATTTTCTGTGCTCTTGCGGGGGAGAAGAAGACGGTGTTTGTGGGTAGTTGCACTTTATCTTTCGGCGACGGCCTTGGGAATGAATATGGGTTAGACTGATTGTTTCTTTGTAATTAGGTTGTATGAAGCGAACGTCTGAACTGAAGCACTGGAAAAAGAAAAACCGTTTTTTAATGGCAAACAAAGAAGATTCAACCTGTCCAGGCCAGCATCTGAAATGGACAAGTCCAAAAAGGCAGAAGTCTGAGGCTAAGTCAGGCCACACTTTTCCTTCTCCTTCTGCGTAAGAGGTCTGAGTATACAAGTATATAAAAGTCGGCTCAATGCATGCCTCAGGCAGCCTGTGTTTCACAGGCCCAAAACAACGTTGTAGATCAAACAGGAACCGAACAAAAGTGGGGAAGGACAAGGAGAATACGTACATTCTTGACACGACTTTGTGCCCTTTCTCATCTGCCTCAGAGGTGAGGGACCATTCGATGCGTCCAGACCATTCTGAAGGGTGGCCGATGTCTCGGCTTCCATTTCTTTTTCCCTTTGGACAGTACAGTTTCAGATAAAATGATTTTCCACGGCGCGAGGGTAGTGGGTATTCAGCAGCGAGGAATGCAGGACCATTTCATTGAAAAAGTGAGGAGTTTACTTCATCTAACAGAAGGTGAGCGATTCCAGAGACGTTGCCGACAGAGGAAAGTATTCCAATGGTTGGTGTAGACGGGTAGAATGCAATGGAATTGGTGCCTGAGGACGGATAATGGAGGATATATTGTGCCAAGACTTTGCGTCCGGGCCGGAACCTTCATTGACGTCTACATTATTAAGCGGAATGCTTGGCATATTTGGAAAGGGAGGCGCCACTACCAGAACATCAGCTCCTCAACTCCCTCTTATCGATCCTCATCCATGGATCTCCACTGACTTTCGTTCTCACTCTCACCATAATCCTCCCTCGTCCCACCGGCTCGTCGACTTCGAGTCCGACTTTGACTGCGACTCACATCGCCAAAGCGACTCTTGCTCCGACTTTTACTCTTACTCCTCGTCCGTCTCTCATCCCGCCATCTACCTCTTTTCTCCCCCCTGCGGAACGCCTCACTCTTCTTGACTTCATCGACGTCCATATCTGGATGCATCCGTCGTATGTGTTCGTAGAGTTTCTTGCCCTTTGAAAAAGGCACTCGTGCTCGTGGACATGATGGGACAGGGCAGAGGATCCGGTGCTCCGGGTCGTTGTCTGATTCTCTGTCGGTGTCAAACTCGAGATTGGCGCTGTTGGCGCTGATACTAGCACTGCGCGAATCTGGCGTCTTCTTGACCGCCCATGAACCACCTCTTTGCCTGTGTACGCTTTCCAAGTGCCGATGGAGGTACCATCTTTTGCGAAAGGGAACCTTGTGTCTCGGACAAGATTGATGTGGACAAATTCGATCGTTCTTGACCATTTCGACTTGAATTCCTGAGCATGCATTACCCATTTCTTGGCAGTTTCTGCACGTTCTTGATCCTCCATGTTCGCCGTTGGCGGGCTGACATTCGGCTTTCGTCGCCTGACACCTTTCGCAGGGTCTGGAGGTGCGGATTAAAAGACCTTCGTCCTCGGTGGATTCTGCTTCTCGTTCTCCCATCCGAGATGGCGCTTGACTTTCAGACTCATAAGCAAGGTGTTCCGTAAAGTGTGATTCACTCCCATCCTTGCCCTCTCCCTCGTAGAAAGTGCGGTACAGCATGTTCCCGTCAAACAGCTTTGCACATCGCCGACTTGCACGTTCCACAACTGCGGGATCCCATCCTGTCAGGCTAGCCATGCCCATCACATCGCTCCAATCGCGTAAGCCGAGATTCTCGACCCTTCGGGACCGTGCACCAGAGGCAGCAGAGGGGACCGACGCGCTCGATACGTCGGTAAATACGGACGCCGAACGTGCCCTCTGCTTAGCAGCAGGACGCGAACCGCTTCTTCCCCGGGCGAAGTCGCTTGTGTCGTCTTCGGGACTGTGAGAGTATTTCGCCCTGCGTTTGCTTTGTGGCTTGACTGCGTATGCGTACCTAGCTTTATGAAGACCAAGCAGCAAATCATCGACTTTGCTTAGGATATGTCGCGCGCTAGGAAGAAAGTATTCACGCGCCTTTTCGTCGTCCGCAAGTGGAACAGGGCGTCGCTCCATCTCACTCGTATCACTGTCGCTTTCTTCTTTACCTGCAACGGACGCCTGCTCTGCATCATCATCGTAGAACGGAAACGGTTGGGAGTAGAACACCGGCTCTTCTGCGGCTTCTGGCGAGTCCGGACTCTCTGTCTCTTCCACATCTCCTTGATCCTCGGGCACGTCCACCTCAGCCTCTCCATGGTCGGTTTTCATATCCCTCTGTGATGCGCCGGTCGTGGATAGGTTTTCCCAGCGCCTCTCATTCCATCGTTCTCGAGCGATCCTCGTAGCGGTGGCAACCAGCCATTCTTCAAGGTTGGCACTAGGTCGCGAGTCGACTGCCATGCGATACCCGCCGTCTCCCTCCATTCGGGGCAACAATTCTTCCCGAGGAACCTGATCAGGAGGCATTGGCCAAGCTGTCCAGGATCTGGCCAGTCCATTTCTCCCTCCAGTGCGTCGTGCCTGATTAGCCTCGTCCTCATCGTCCCTCGACGTCGCGGAGAGGACCGACGACGCTCTCTCCTTGCACTTCTTACTGCGCTTTGCTTCCCTCCCTCCCCCTCCTTCTTGCCGCAGCTTACGCTTCAGTCCGAAAGCGTCGAGGAGGTGGATGCTGAGGTCCTGGCTGCGGACACGGTCCAGACTCAGAGCCACTGTCCTTTCCACCTTCGTCCAAGAGTTCCACGTAGACGCGGGGCCGAAGTAGCGGTTCGGTCGCGTGAAATATGTCTTGCCATCTTCCCCCTGTGCGAATTTGTCGTCTGGCGTCACATACGGGACAGTCCGGGGGGCTACGGGACCACCAGACTGCGATGTGTTGATGTCCGGCGCACCAGCAGCTGTAGGGCGAGGGGGGGATGGTGGAAAGACCGGGTCAAGCACTGGCACTTTATTCTCGGCATCCTCTGTATAAATGGCATCTGAGTCCATTCTCGCGCAATTTTAGAGCGACTCATTGCCAAAGTCCGAAAAGGCGAAGTTGTTCCAAAAGTCGTTGTCCGGCACGAAAGATGATCTCATTTGGAAATCTCGAGAGGGCGAAGAGCGGAAGATTGAAGGCAACAAGAAAAAGCTTGATCTTGTGATCGTCTTTTTACACGAGCCAAACCATCACTCTACAAAGACGTCGTCGTTCCTTTGATCCGCTGGCTAGTGTTGCCGAGACTTCTACGTCGAGGATTAAGAATGGAACATGTATCATTGTCACTTAACAACTCGACACGTCGGGAAGATCGACCTTCACGGTGTCAAATTACGCGCAGAAAGAGTTGATAGGCGACTCTACACCGTCGTCTGTGTCCCAAAATATCTTTTTTTGGTCTTTTGCCTGATCTAACCACAGCCTGCATATTGTTCAGCCCGTTTTGTCTTCCCTAAACGCCGTGCCAGGGTATCTCAAGTCTAACCACCATATCCTATGCCTACCAGTTTCCCATCCTAATCTCGCAAGAACATCTTATACGTGGCATTGTCCGTGCACTCCTTGAAAGGATATCCAATGTCTTTCAAAAAGTCCTCCAGTTGATCCCTCTCATTCTCAGGACACTGAATGCCTGCGAGGATCCTGCCCACATCGCCGCCATAGTTTCGATAATGGAAGAGTGTAATACTCTGGCCTGGTCGCAATGTCCTCAGGAACTTGAAGAGAGCTCCCGGTCGCTCTGGGAATTCAAACATATAAACTCTCTCATCTTTGACGCCGGACCGCCCACCGACGAGATATCGCAGATGTGTCTTTGCAAGTTCATCCTCAGAAAGATCTTGGGCTGTCATTCCTGCAGCTGCAAGCCGGGAAAAGAGTGAGTCGAGTTCTCGTGCCCTTGCGCCAGCTGAGGAGACCGTGATGCCCATCATGACATGTGCTTGGTCGGTGTATGAATACCTGTACCCAAATTCTGTAACGGCTTGTGGGAGGACGGCCTCAATGAGCTGCACGAATGAGCCCGGGCGTTCTGGAATACTGACAGACAGGAGAGCCTCTTTCTGCTCACCCAAGGTCGCACGTTCCGCGACAAATCTTAGTCGATCAAAGTTCATGTTGGCGCCGCTGGCAACCGCAACCAATTCGCGGCTGGTATCTGTGTCCGGATTCTGCGCGACCCATTTCTTCAAACCTGCTAGTGACAAAGCACCTGCTGGCTCCAACACTGATCTCGTGTCTTCAAAGACATCTTTGATAGCAGCGCAAATCTCGTCAGTGCTAACCTCGATAACCTCGTCCACCACCTCTTGACAAAGTCTGAATGTCTCTTCCCCCACTGTCTTCACAGCAGCACCATCGGCGAAGAGGCCGACTTCTTTAAGCAGCACTCGCCTCCCCAGCTTGAGAGACTCGACCAGGGCATTGGCGTCGGAAGCCTCGACGCCAATAATCTTGACATGAGGGGCTATTCTTTTCACATACACCCCGATGCCAGCTATTAAACCCCCGCCACCGACGCAGCAGAAGATAGCCTTGAGCTTTTGCAAGGACGTCTGTCTCAACAACTCCATACCTATCGTCCCTTGCCCTGCAATGACATATGGATCATCGAATGGTGGAATATTGGTCAACCCATACTGTTTCTCCAAGGCATGACAGTGGTCTTTGGCCGAGTCAAAGTCGGGTCCATGTAGCACCACATTTCCACCCATGCGACTGACATTCATATGTTTGATGGCTGGTGTCCCCTGTGGCATCACAATGGTTGCAGGGATCTTCAAGTGTCTTGCAGAGTAAGCCACTCCCTGCGCATGGTTACCTGCTGAGCAAGCAATGACGCCTTTCCATGAGATCTTGGTTGGAAGATGAGCCATTTTGTTGTATGCGCCTCGTAGCTTGAAGGAGAAGACGGGCAGTAGGTCTTCTCTTTTCAGGAGGACTTTGCATTCGAGACGGTTGGAGAGATTGATGGCATGGCTGAGAGGGCTTTCGCTGACAACATCGTAGACCCGGGACGTGAGGATCAACCGCAAGTAGTCTGGGTAGCCCGAGGGTAGGAGGAAGTCTCGAGGGACGTCGTAGGTAGGAAGGTCAGCCCTTTCGGAGGGTGGTGTGGGCATGGCGGTGTACTCGGTCAGCGACAGACTTGATCGCATCGGCGTCGAGGGAGTTGTCGTGCCGTTGACACGAGGTTCGGCGGCGTCCATGGTGACGTCCAGCGATAGTAATGACTCTCAGGTACTTGTGGACAGGTTAATTTCTCTCGAAATTGTGTTGTAGGTGGCTGTCCGTGCTGCAGATGAACAAAGTGTGTAGGATTTTCGTGTTGACTCAAAAAATTGTCGGAGCTCATCCTCCCCGCATTCCGCCTGTCTCATGAGGGTTAGAGGACCTCACAAGCTCTCGATAGCTCCAACATCCCCCATCGAGCAGGCGCCCTTTTACTTGTTAATACCTCTGTCTAACCTTCGTACAGTACGGGTAGGCCAAGCCAGGATTAGTCAATTTGCACCAAGATCGAGTCGTGGCCGACTCAGAGGAAAGGTCTGTGCTGTCTATCTGGACTCCTCTAATTCGAGCCCGCACGCGAGCATATTTCCGCGTTCTTTGCTAGCAGATCGACGTACGTCACGACTTTCACCTCTGGGTTTCTTTCGACTCGTCCTGCGCAACACTGCAATCAACTCCTAACCATCTCCTCAAAGCTCATCCCGTCTTGTGGCGGAACAACCGGTCAGCGAAGACGGCGACACTCCCGTTCGTCCACGCAGATTGAGGCAAATACTCACAACAATGTCCGACGACCCATCCACGTCGGCTGGGCCATCGCCCCTGACCGCCACCGCCATCCCATCCAGCTTTGATTCATCGCCTGAATTCTTCGAAGAATCCCGCTTCCAAAAGCTATGGCGCAAATTACGTCAAGAACCTCTGATTCCGCTGGGCTGCGCCGCGACATGCTATGCCTTGTATATGGCGACCAAGTCCATCCGCGCAGGTGACCATCATCAAACAAACCGCATGTTCCGCGCGAGAATCTACGCCCAGGGCTTCACGCTGCTGGCGTTGGTGGCGGGCAGTATCTTCTACAAGGATGAGAGGATGAGGAGGAAGGAGTTCGAGGCGAAGTTGGAGGAGAAGAAGACTGCAGAGAAGAGGGAGAAGTGGCTGGCTGAACTCGAGGCCAGAGACCAGGAGGACAAGGAGTGGAGGGAAAAGATAGAGAAGATGAGCCGAGACGCCAGAGAGATGAGCGAGGACATCAGGGACAAAGCGGAAAAAGTGATTGAGGTCGGAAAGGAGGGGCTGCAGAAGGCTCAGGAACAGTCGGCACTCCCTGAAGCAGCCGGGTCAGGAGACAAGAAGAAGAGCAGTTGGGCCATCTGGAATAAGAGTGTGCTGGAGGAGGTCAATGGGGACGGCTGGGGTCCTGGTATGTGGGCGAAGAGATCGAGGGATGCCTGGAAAAGGTCCTGAGACATTTTATCTCGAGCATTCTGTGAGGCGATTCTGGATCGAGAGTTTCTATCGTCGCCACTCTTCTTTGGACTTGGTCCTGTAAAAGTAAAATCATATTTGCTGGGGTATAACTATGCACAGGATCTCCACGTCGTGGTGCCTTTACAAGCTAGGCTTCCAGGCGATTCCCTTTGTGTAACAAGCAGTCAGTCTCGACTGGTGAAGATGGTTCAAAACTGCTGGTAGCTGCACCCAATCCTCAGTTCCAGCGAGAGCCAGCTTGCGCCTGTGCCTGCGCCTTGGTCGAAAGTTGCCAGACATGGCATTCTCGTCGGCCATGGCCTGGACATATCGCCAAAAACGGCGACTCTCGGGACTTTGTCTGACCTCGGTTCTAATGAATGCCACCACACATTCATCAACAGTTCAGATTTCTTTCGACGGTGGGTAGGTTACATCCCAAGTAGCCATGTACAGCACGTTTGCTGGGAAACTTTCACTGGAATACCATGTCTCCCATGCCCGCTCAGCCTCATCCTCGCGCCGGGCCCATCTCCTCCACCCCCCTCCTGACGCCGTCCCACTCGGCCTTGCCCGTACTGATCAGATACCTGATCCTCTCGATCTCTCGAACGTCTTTATTCCGCGTGAATTCGCCTTTCGCATACGCGATGCTCTCCCCCCTCTGGGGATGAGACATGTGTCGGTACAGAGAGCGGAGGATGTCGCGGTAGAGCGAGAGAACACGTTGGCGCTGGATGAAGTGGTCCAGAGATAGGGGCGGAGACTTCCGGAGACGCGACGACGGCGTAGAGGACCCTGCGATTGTCTTGCCCAGGGGATTCGTGGGGTTGGTGACGGCGAGGCGGACGAGGTTTGGGCGCATGGGGGGACGTGATGAGGATCCAGGGATCAGAGGCGCCTTAGGGTTGTGCGCTGGAAAGTGATCGAGAAGGTAAAGGGAACCAAGAGTGCTGAGCTTCTCAGCAATGTGTTGGGCAGAGGCACACGTTGAGACACACTTGTAGAATCCTTAAGCAGCAAACAACATCTGGAGTTCTGCGGACAAATCGTCTTCCGCCAATAAAATCGCTCAAGGCTCCTAATGACGTCAGTCTGAGGTGACCTCGGCCTTGTGCGTTCTGCTTCTTCAATAAAGTCATTAAATCCCTAGGTATCTAATAGAGATGGTTGAAATAATACGGCTTGGATTTAGTCTGCTTCCGGAACCGTTGCTGTTGCATACCTCTTCAATCCTCATATTGCACGGTACCACCAAACAGGTCGTCATCATGGCCTCTTTTCCCAGGGCTGCTGTGGCTGCGCCGAAAGGCCCCAACCCTCTCATAGCCTATTTCTTCTGCACCGATTACAAGCCTGGATTCGACATTGGGTGCATTCGAAGATATAGTTGGGTAGGCTGTGGATGCACTCTTCGCAGTTGTGCGGCCCTTGAATGTATCGCCAGCTGGTATGTCTGCAGTTGTGCCTATCTCTTAGCATATTGGCTGCTTCGCGCACAGCTCTCTCCAATCTCCCGGGATCGTCACGAGCCATATTGGGGAGGCCACGGTTGGCGAGAGTATTTGCTCGTGAAAGTAATCTGCCCTCGTCCCATTGATCACAGCCACATTGTTTCCATTGAGTACCACAGACGTAGCAGAATTGTGCACCACATCGACAGCTAGATTGAATTAGTCATAAGAATCCAAGCAAGAGAAGAAGGGAACGCTCACGTCATATGGTTGCAGCCTACATCGAGCTCGATCAGCCGATGACACGCATAGCATTGCTGCCATCCACTCTCAGTTGCAAGGCTGAGCGTGGCCTGCATTCCAGGATCCTCTGGACAATGACCGTCGTGGGCTCGCTTTTTGCAGAGGGTGCAGGTCCTTGTACCACATTTCCCGCAAGTCGCTATATCCCCCTCGATGTTGCTGGGAGTGACGAAGGCAGAGCATGTCTCCAGAGAACAATACGTCCGATCTCGAGTACCGAATTCGACTTTGGCGTGTTCAAATCGGTTTCTGAGTTCCTTTGTGAGGAAGATGTCGACCACATTCATTTCGAAAGGCTCTTGACAACAGCGCGGAGGAAACAACGAATCGTCCGTGGTGGCCCTACTGACAAGGTCCTGCAAACATGGTTTGCAATAGCCGTGGCCACAGGGCACCTCAATCACATCAAAGTACTTCTTGACCTCTAGGCAGATCACGCACAAGATTGGAGGGGTCACGGAGTGCGTGCTCGCGAGCAGATCCTCTTATGGAGCTTTCGGCCTGACCATGGTCATCTGGTTCACGCCATTTGTCGGGTTCGATATCTTTGAGCAGCTCATAGCCGACATCTTGGGACACGTAACGTCCCGCAAGTCTTGCAGGAATCTTCTTGCTGAGATCACCGGACTGCAAGTGGACTTCGGATGTGACGCAACTTCCATTCAGACGATGCGCATGAGCGTGGTCTTCGCAAGCGACTTCTTCCTCGCGAATAACGTCGGCAATAGCCTCTGCGTCTGCTCGCACAGCAGCTGTGATGCTTTGTGTCATCTGTCGATCGAACAAAATTGAGCGCATGCTTTCGATATTCTCTTCAAACAAGGAGAGTGCTACTTGAGCATCGTTGAGCTCGCCATCCCGATTCTTGTCTTTGGAATTAGCACGAAGTTCTTCGACATCTTGAAGCTGCAGCTTAAGAATGAGATCAGCTGTCTCAAGGTCCAGGTCGTCGAAATGAGCAGTGCATTCATCCATTTTTGCTAGAGATCACTGAACTTGGCTGGAGCAAGAAGGAGGATTAGGAGGGCAAGGAGCAAGAATGGCAGATGAGCGAGCATCTGTAAACCTCTTTGAGTAGGCATGTCTGTCGTTCAATGGCATCCGTACGGAATGTAGCGTTTTGTTCCATGGCGGACTGCATATAGTGAAGCTTTGAAACACTAGACCGCGTTCCTTTCAGTACCCATCTAGGTCACATCGATAACAAGCAAACCATGTGGCGTCATCCTCAATGGTAAACTCTGGATCGAATGCGACTGTGAGCGTTTGCAAGTCGTAGACAGCATTTTAGCTTCGTAGAAATGATCTTGAATTATTTCATGGTGGGGACCAGGCGTCGACGCTCCAACTGATAGCTTGTTTCAAATTAATTGACTTACGTCTCTTCCATGGACTCAGATTTCACTCTGCAGCCTCCCGAATCGTAGTAGGTTACTTGCTTCAGTAGTAAGGAGTCCCATAGCTAGAGTATAGGGGTCGGTTAGAAGATCCTGTCAGAGTAGAGGGTATTTCGATGATGATATTGTAGCAAAGTAGGAGAGCTCAACTAGAATGACCATGGCCATAACTTGAAAGCAGTGTAAGGTATCATCGTCCGCCCCACGAAGTTGAATCACAGCAATGGAACACTGAACTGAATCTTGACATTCAGCCATCATAGTCCAGACACCATCCTTCCACAAGTAATTGTGCAGAAGCCACGAGAGTAGAAGGGCGTATAGCACACAGCTTTGAAAACCTATGTTCAAGTGTCGTGTGAAAGAAGTGATAAGGATCTTTCAAGGTGGAATGATCACACTCTGGTACCATTTTCAAGCCTGGGAATTTCCAGCAAGTGTGATGTTCCAGAACTAATGGGAACTCGCTCACCGCATTTGGATTCAACCAGCCGAATAGATCCACATTCATGCATCCTTTGCGTTCAGTACCAAAGCTCCTCGTCAATGTGACTTGGTCGAATTTCCAGGGGCGAGGCTGGGGAAGCGGCTTTCGCGGATAACCACAGGACGAATCATGGAGCATGTTTGCTAGAGATTATCGCTATTCGCGCAAGCGTTTTTTTACAGCCTTTCGGCGCCGTAAAAACAAATATCCAGGCCTAGCTGAAGAAGAGGGGGGCGCTGCTGGCCAGTATTACTGTTCTTCCTGACCACAATCGCCAGGACTCGAACAAAGAATGGCGCAAGTGCTGTGATTAACCTGGTAATTAAGTCGCATACAAGAACATTAGAGGGTCCAGCGCACGCAGGTAGCGGCAACTTGGGAAATCCGGGGTGATTGGTGGGTTCTCGGGGACTGGGGGAATCGCGTGGACGCTTTTCTGGTTGCTTCTGCTTGGAGGCGTCTTTTCTTTTGCCGTACCGAGTACAGATAGAGTTTTTTTCGTTGCAGCAGCGTGACCAGCTGAAAGGGGATGGAATGATAGGAAGAGAGTCAGGAGAGGCGGTGGGCGCAGGCAGATACGAGGACAAGAAACTCGGTAGAGTGGATGAGTGGGTGAGGAGGACAAGGAGGGGCACGCCGGGCGTGGTCGGGGCTAGACTCGCTTCAGGGTCAAATGACGCAACAAATTGACGGGAGGTTGGTTTAGGGAGTCACTGGAGTTTTAGGGGCAACCAAGGAGTATGGCCTCCCACCCTGGAGATCCCCCTTCCGAGCCCTCCCTACTTGTACCTAGGGAGGCAGTAGGCAGGTAGGTACCAACCAGTCACCATCAGTCACGGCTCTTAGGCTGCAGGAAACCTGCGAGCACCAACTCCGACACTCCAGAAGGAATAAATGTCTGCTCTCACATGCTCCAGCTGAACCACTCACTAGACCTGCCACCCTGCTTCATCGCGTGCGATTTTCCCATCCTCCAAAATCACCCAGCTGTCATCGAACAAAGTCCCGCGCCCCTTGTACCTCAGTGGGTCATTGGGCTGCAATATGATCTCAAGCCTCGAAGCGGTCTCGGCTTTGTCCTGCTGATTTCCCTCGAGGCAATTCTTCATATACAAGTACTCGTACCCTTGCCGTTTAACTTCTCATCCTCTTCTCACCTCGAATCCACCAATCTACCATGTCTTCCCACGATGACTATGCTCCACGTCCACGCCGAGACCGTACCCGATACGACAACGACGGCGGTCTTCGCTACCCAGATGACGATGACTATGGCGACCCTCGAAAGTCGGCACCCCGCCACCCTCACCATGAACCATCCCCTGCACCCCTCGATCCTCGTGACGGACCACGACGCAAGAGAGATGCTGATCCTCGAGACATTGAGCCGAAATCCGGTCGTGATGTGAAAGACGACCCTCCCCGATATCGTGAGGATGGCGATCCCAAATCAGGCAAATCCAATACTGCTGCACCCAGGAGAAGACGTAGCTTTTCCAATGATGACGAAGCAGCTCGCCGTGACCCAAGAAATGGCAACGGTACTGGGGTAGCCTACGGCCGCTCTAAAGGATATCGAGAACCTATTCCGGAACCAGAGCTCGTTGCTGCTCGGTCAGCCAGGCGCAGAGATTATGACGATGACTTTGAACCACCTCCACCTCGTCGCGCCCACACACAGAGAGAGCTGGATCGTCGCCGTCGAGACGATCCTTACGATGACGAGCCACCTCGGCCTCGTCGTCACCGCAGTCCCGAAGACAGACACTCCGACCGTGAGCGGGGATATAGATCTGATCCTCGGGACGCCCCAAAACACCGAAGAGATGATGATCGCTATGACGACCGCAGACACCGTGGTGGTGGTGGTGGCGGTGGTGGTTCGCGTCGCGACGATGGCTATGCGTCAGATCGGGGCCGCTCTGATCGAGACAGAATGAGAGACCGCGATCGTGAGCGAGATCGAGATCGGGACCGTGATCGCGACCGTGACCGGGATCGCAGGCGCCATGACTCCGACCGCGACAGAGACCGTCATCGAGACCGAGACCGGGATCGGGACAGAGACAGAGACCACCACGACAGTCGAGACCGTGATCACGACCGAAAGGACAAGAAAAAGGGGTTCTCACTCGACAACATTAACGATCTAGTCGAACAAGGCCAGAAACACTACAAGACTCTGGCGCCAGTGATCACCAGCCTGACGAAGATGTACATGGACAACAAGAAATGATTGAGAACTCTGGTGTGCTTACCACGGCGATTGAGCCCCCGATTATGGGGTGCATGGGCAGAGAATGAGTCAATAAGTGATCTGAAGGAAATGCAGGTGACAAGAGGTCAAAGCCACACTGCTGGAGGAGGCGGCAGGGCTGGCTCCCTCCCGTCTTGGATGATGCTGAACAGCGTTGCATGATTATGAAGGGAAGGGTAACTTATACGACGGTGACAGCCGGGCCGGCATTTTCCCTGCTCCGGGAATTGAGATGTACCACTAGGACTATTTGGCATTACTTTGGGATGATGGGCGGGCAATTTCGGAATGACCAACATCATTTGCAAGGTCATGGGGTGGGCGGTCGATTTGGATTCTGTGTCATGGTTTGAACAGCAGTCAGCTCAATAGCAATATAAATATCAACATCGCTCCATTAGTGAGCCTTATTTCAAACAAGTTCCTTGAAACTACTGGCTAATTATCTGACTGACTGATTGATTGACTGACTGAATGGCTGGTTCACTAACTGGCTGACTGACTGAGTGACTAGGACTGGAATCACGATTGCTCTCTCCTCCTCTCCCCCTGTCTTTATACACGCCTACGAAGGGCACACTTGTCTCCACAGCGCCAGAGGGTGGAGCCTCGGCCGGGGCAGCTCCTACTTGCCGGACGAGGCTGGACCAATTACCTAGGTTCGCGATATATAACGAGTACCTGGATCGCAACCACTTCAGGGGCTCCAGCCCTTTAGGCCTTGACGACATGGAAGCCCGTGAAGTTGGGCAACACGGCCCGGATCTCCTTGACGTATTCTGGGATGCCGCCCGCATAGTTGACCTGTTCGAACGCCTTTCCTGGAACACTGCCGCCCATGTCTAGTAAGAGGAACGAAAGATTACCGAGTCAGCCATGTCTGTGTGCCTCCAAGAAAATGAAGAGAGAGAGAGAGGGAGGGAGGAAGGGAACTTCAGGTAGTTGGAGATTTTGGGGAATAATGCGGGAAGAAAGGAAACTCACATGTGCTCCTTGTGGTTGGTAGCAAGGTTATATTACTCAGGTCGTTGATGTGATCCTTCCACTTCTGGCTCGCTTCTTGGGTTGCGTTGATGTATTTAATGCCCTGGTGATCAATGTCTCTTATGGCGTCGCGGATCCAGCGGCCTTGGACTTCCACGGCTGAGGGGCCGTTGGCGAGGAGGGTCGGGCCGTGAGGACCTGTTACACAAAGGGACATTAGTTCATTGGTAGATCGCTGTGTTGAAACTGTTGACTCACCGTAGAGATGGAACATGTTCGGGTATCCCGAGATCGTGGTTCCCAAATAAGTGTAGGCTGCCTCCTTCCATTCATCGTGCAAGGTGGTGCCGTTGATGGACTTCAATCCCATATTTGTCATTCCACCCGTGGTGATATCAAAGCCCGTCGCCAGGGCAACGATGTCGAACTCGTGGACTTTGCCGTCGCTGGTCTTGATACCGGTCTCGGTAAACTCTTGAATCTTGACACCGGACTTTTCCGAGATGTCTACAATATTCACATTGTCGCTGTCCAGGACTTCGTAGTAATTCTGTTCGAGACATGGTCGCTTGACGCCGAAGGGATGCGGAGGCTCCACAGGGCAGAGTAGAGCACGCTTCTCGGGGTTCTTGATGCGCTTCTCCTGCTTCTTGCGCCAGAAGTCGTAGACGCAGCGGTTTGCCTTCATGTCAAAGAGGAAGTCTTTGTGGGAACCCAGCCAGAGACCGAAGCCCGCCTTCTTCCACAGGCGTTCGTAGACGGCTTCACGCTCCTCAGGGGTGTCTTCAAAGGTGTTACGCTCCTCGAACTCATAGGTGAAACCCGCAAAGTGCTTCTCCCGCATGCGAAGGAGCTCGCCGTATACGGGATACAGTCGTTCTTGCTCCTCCTTGGTCAGGTCGCGTTTACCCATGGGCAATGCGAGGTTGGGTGTCCTCTGGAAGACGGTCAAGCTCTCAACTTGAGGTCCCCATTCTTGGATAATCTGCACCCCGGAGGCACCAGTGCCAATAACGGCAACTTTCTTACCACGAGCATCAACGCCCTCCGGGGGCCAGAATGAAGAGTGGTGCATAATTCCCTTGAATTTTTCCATGCTGGGATAGTCCGGGATGTATCTCTTGGCTGCAAACCCGGCGGCAATGATCAAGAATCTGCATTTGGCATTGCGGCCATCAGCGGTTTTGATGTTCCATTTCCCAGAGTTTGTGTCAAACTCGGCACTGGTGACCACACTTTCGAACGCGCAGTCTTTGCTGAGTTCGCAGACCTTATCCACATGGTCAAAATAGGCTTGAAGCTCGTGGTAGTCCGGATAGTTGGTCGTCCAGGTCCAAGTCTTGTATACTTCTGGAATGGCAAGCTGATAGATGGGAACCTCGGAATCAACCCGGGCGCCTTAGGCCAGAGTCAATTGAGCGAATGATATGTTTTGGCGAGATAGAAGCCCTTACCTGGATATACGTTCCATCGCCACGTGCCTCCAAACGAGGTACCTGCTTCATACAGAACGGTTTTGAAGCCCGCCTTACGCATCTCATAAAGGAGATACGTGCCTCCGAACCCTGCGCCAACAATCAATACATCAATGTCAAGGTTATCCGCATAAGGCCCATCGGTCCTGCGTCGTCGGCCAAATTCGAAGAGATCTCTCTTCAAAACGCGTTCGGGTAGTTCCTTGGGCTCAGATGGGTCTCCCATGATGATCACGTATGGCTGAGGGCAGGTGAAACGTATGAGTAATCGGATGTAAGGTAACGGCGGCCAGGTAGATTCAGCACTGGGACATTGTTGGTATCCTTATATACACAGACCCCGCCGTCCCAACGTGCTTGAGATCCGGTGGAATGGATGCAGCAGCTTCTCCTCCTTTTGCTCGCTTGCTGAAAGCATGTAGAAACGAAAGCCTATTACAAGGACCCAAGCCTCTTCAATGGTTGCAGCGGAACCGCGCAAGCAAGGCGAGTCGCTTGATTTGGTGCTGGTCACGCTATGATAGATCCCCGCATCCCCTCAAATACCCACAAGGTGGACCTGATGGGATAGAGGAATCTGGGGTCAGCATTGGGTTCGGCATACGGGACGAGATGATTGGGAACCCTGATATTGGGCTGGGGTTGTGATCCAAGGAGCTCAGGCTCGAAAACGGACATGAGTCTCCGATATCCTCGGCTAACTCCACGTTCAAAGCTGTCTTGAGAACTTCCCATGGACCGATGTGTCCCTCGTATTCCTTCTTATCAGATAGGTGGGAAATTCTTAAATGTTGGCCATTGAGGGGTTGAACTGCCAGCAGTGTAGCGCATCGCCTGATGATCGAGTAAGTACAGCCGAATCGTCGACTGTCAGCGATCCATTGCCCTGGGACCGGAAAAGGATGCGACGATCCTTCAAGCCCGGATCCTACAAAGGCCACTGCGTCAGTTCCCGAATAAGGCACAAGGTTTTCTGTTCGACTCAAAGAGGCTTACCGGAAACAGGGCCCTTCACAAGGTCAGGCACCGCCAGAGGGGTTTCGACCTCGTCCCAGCGCTTGAGGCCTTTTCTCCACAGTAAACATTGAAAGTCAACTCTGTTCCTCTCGCTTGGGGTAGCTTAGTCAAAAGCAACAGCTGAGACGTGGCAGGTGAATGACCATGGAGAGTTTCGGCCAAATGGTCGTGCCGTAGCGTAACTTGGGTGAAATTGTAGTAGCCGTCATGTTGAGCAAAAACAGCGATCTTTGAAGAGATAGACGAACAGCACGAGGAGTTGTCAACAGAGTCTGGAATGAGGATGTGAGCTTTGTTGAGGAACTTGTCCATCACGAAGATGGAGATTGTGATTGGGATTTCGTCAGCGGCGCCCTCCATACATAACGGTTTGCCCACTTACCAATCACCACCTGAGCGCTTCCAACGCCTCGCGCAGCCAACCTCCCTCAACGATGTCCTTCGATCACAAGAGTCAAATTGTACACCTCGCCTTCATCCATACAAGATGCCTGCCCACGCTTTCTCACCATCAGGATGACGCGTCGCAAGGGCTGGCCCTCACCACCGCTACCCGCAGTCTCCAGAATCCCCGTGTCCTTTGAGATCCCCGCCTCACTGCAGCAGTTCTCTACCATTTCACGCTCCCTCGCTGCGACAATGGCGTCTGGGACGGGGCCCTATGACCATCCTCTCTCGAACTCTACCTCGATATCCCAGGCATCGTCCAATCCTACCCCTGTGACCACGCAGTCGCAACATAGACCGAGTTCTCAATCCTCCTCGCAGTCGATCTCGTCGCACTCGACCGCCCCTCGCGTGGGCCAATACGCTACAACCAAGGCCAATCCTCTAAAGCGCTCTTTCTCCGAGGTGCAGTATGAATCTCGATCCGCTCATCAGCCAACGTTTTCTAGGACGGCGTTACAGGATGCAGAACAGACTGATGCCCACCTCCGAGCCGTCGCAAAATCCACAACCGTTGTTGCGGAGCCGAGTTCGCATTCTCCGCAAACGCCACATACGAACATCCCGACGACGACTCAATCCGAGGAACCTCCACTGAAGGCAGGCGAAGCACTTGTCTTAGCGACGCACCCCAACACGATAGCACAATTGATTGCCAGGAAAAGAGCAGAAAATGAGATGTCGGGTCATCGAGAGCGATGGGCTCGCAGGCAACAGGAATATCGAATGTCACAGTCTCCAGCGACTCAGTCGGGGAGTGAGCTCAATCATCAAGTCTCTCGCAACGAAGTGACAAAAGCCCCTCCAAAGAGCAGATCGAATCCTCCTCTAGGACGATCTGTGTCGGCCATACCAATAGTGAAACCTGTGACCTCGATTGTGTTTGACGCGCAAACTTCTGTGGCCGAGTCTCCTTCCACCACAGCAACAGAAGAATCTACGAAACCTGCCGAATACAATAGCGAGACGCGGCAATCCAACGATAATGACTCGTTCTTTGAATCGCCTTTCTCTTCACCAATTGTTGAGTTCCTTGAAAAGGCTACGGACAATGCAGGATTGAAAGAACCACTAAAACATCAAGCGGAAGTGTCCAACACAAACATCACCACGGCCACAACAGCCCCCAAGTCTCATCTCGATCGCGGTGCAGGGTCCACAAACTCTACATCAACAACCGCCAAATTCCAAGAAGCACCAGCAATACCTCCTCTTTTCTCAGATAAGCCTTTACCGAACCAATCTCAACCTCAGTCTTTGCACACAAGCTCTTCGCAAAGTCCGTCGATGAGCGTACACCAACAAGCCCAGACTGAATCGCTGACTCCGGTCCAAGGCCAACTAACTCAACATCAACCAAGAGGTGGACCGCCACAATTAGCACCCCGTCAACTGCCAGCACCGCGAACCATACCCTACTACCCACAAAATGTGGGCATGCCGGCTTTCTATAGAGTGGAAATGAATCAAAGCTGGCCAGGTGGTGGCAACGACTTTATCTCAACTCCCGTTTCTTCAAACCCTGGATACGATCAGCACGTTTTACCCCCGAGCCTGAGCTATAATCCATATGGCGTAGGTTCGATGGCTCCGTACCTGGTGGGACCAGACCTCCCACCGCCTCCCGGTCCCCTCCGCACTTATGGCAGTATGATGGCAACCGAGGTCGCAGGACAATCAAGGGAGCAGTTAATTGATGCAGGGCACATAACCGCGGCAGATATGGTCGCCGGTATTAATACGAGATTCAAAATTGCGACAAAGGACGACTTCACTGTTCCAAAGCGATAGTGAATTTCATTGAGGGATATTGCTTGTGCATCGGCGTTGTTGACTGGCCTGGACATGTTCCGGGCCAGCTTGAAAAGAGTCGAATCAACTATCTGCTCTGAGGAAAGCAGAATGTTTCGACATTATTGTTCGACCACCCAAGGTGATTACGATCAACGATTGACAACCCCAGTATATAAAGTTGCAGCGGCGTTTTTGGTATAATGAGACGGGATCCAGGAAAGAAAGCGTTCTGTTAAGATTGCACAGCTGAGACTCTTTAAGACGGAGAAATACTCCATACCCGCAAAACTTGTACAGTACGACGTTACGATGGCATCGGGAACCAAGAGGAAAGGGTCAGTTCAGGTCCTTTGGGCGTTTTGGAGGATGTTTGTGTCTTTGTTTTCTTGTTATCCTACCGCATGGCTGGCTATACCTGGCAGGACCAGACTGCCGCAGCCAGCGCACCTCCAGAGACAGATCTTGAATGTATAAATACACAGGCCCATGATGGCACGGACATGATCAATGAGTTGATTTTGCTGAACGCTTCGTTGTATGTGTCCCTTTCCAACTGTAGACTGGGATTTCTATTCCCCCCCCCCCTCTTTTCAAATCTTTGAAAAATTTACGAAAAGGTGATGGGCTTCTTCGTCAGGCCTGATATCAAATCCTCCATGAGATCTCGCTTGCGTTTCTTCCTCTGCTCAGCCTCGTCCAGGACCGGGACGGCGTTGCCACTGGTAGATCCGGCGTTTTCTTCTTCTTGCTCGTCGTCGTCCTCGTCTACCGTCTGCGCGGGCATCCAGGAGCAAATCCTTCCGTCTCCGTGGGCCGTGTACATCTCTATGCCTTCCCCCATGGCGGCATTGACCCGCCAGACCATGGCGTTTATCCTTCCTCCGCTGGTCAGCCTTGCGACGTTACCCACGCCGCTGCCGCTTAGGGCGCCTCTTCTGCCACCTCCTTTCTTGGCGCCTGCGCGCTGCACATCCGAGGCCCTGACCCCTTCTGTCTTCAAGATCCTGACCAAGTTGCCCTCTCTCAAGTGGTGCTGAAACACCATGCCCCTTCCGTCGTCGTTGGGCCACCAGAGCATCTCCTTCCCAACACCGTGACAACCTCGCGGAGAGATCAACGGTCTCAACTCGCCTTGCCTCTCGTTCCTGATCCTCGGTCCGTAGTGGACCAGGTCGTTGCGGCCTGAAGCGGCGTCCCAGACGCGAATGCGCTGATCATGGCCCGCAGTGACGACCTTGTCCCCCGTCGGAGACCACTGCACGCTGGTAACCGGACCGTTATGCGCAAGGGCGTTAAAATCTAACAATTCGCGACGGGCTCCTGCTCCGGTGGTCGCCGATGCGCCGATGACGCCGATCGCGTCGTCGAAATCCAAAGAAGCAAAGACGGCATTCGCTCGGCGGATATCGTAGAAGAGTACGCGGCCGTCGGTGGAGCCGGACGCGAGGAGGTGCGATTGTTTTGGGGACCAGCACACGCTGTACACGGCGCCGTTGGGGCCGGCCAGAGAATGCGTGGACAGCCCTGAGCGGAGATCAAGAAGGCGGATGGCTGGGTGGGCTGTTCCGACGGCGATCAAGGGCGACGAATCCGGAAGCGGGGAGAGGCAGTGGGTATAGGGAAGAAAGTCCAGAGAGAATGTGTGGACAGGAGTTAGGGCAGAAGGGGTTATTGACGTGACTTTCAGGGTCTTGTCATAAGAGGTTGTGAGGAGGGTGGAGGGAGTAGGATCGAAGGGATAAATTGAGATTGAGGTGAGGGCATGAGTATGCGAGTCGGGGGTGCTCTTGGACAGGGTTGCTTTAGGAATGTATTTCGTCAATGCACTCCGCGACGCTGACGGCGGCGACAAGCCTTCATGCTCCTCGAGATCCCACAAGCGAATGGAAGAGTCCGCTCCTCCTGAAAAGAGATAGCGGCCCTCATTCTCGTCGATGGAGAGGCAATTCACACCGGCTTGATGCGCAATGTAGGGTGGCAATCCTCCTCCGCTAATTGAGCTGGCTTCATCCTGCTGAGGTTCTAGATCCGTCCTCGCCCACGCGAAAGTGATGTTTTTCTGATGACCCAAGCTATGGATCAGGCTCTCGGTATGACTTCGCCTGAAGGCCGCCGACGAGACCGTGCCCAGACACCGGTCCAAGCGGAGTCGATTCATGCATCAGCGGGACTCAAGCTGCCCTCTTACCGTGCGACAGTTATACTCTGGAGGTGATATGTGATTGTGGTGGCGATGAAGAGGGAGGATGTTGTTGGGTTGCAACGGTAGCCAAGGAACAGTTTAAGGCTGCAGAGATGCCAAAAAGAGTCGATATTTGGTCTGACAGACATTTCCCCGCTTTTGGTGCTGCCACCTCGTTTGTCTGACGTAGTTACCGCTCTCCAGATTTCCTCTCAGTTGACCACGTCTGGTGGGTCGGTCATTCTCTCAGATATCATCGCAGGTCTCCGTCAAGACGTTACGGCAGATCTTGGTTGCCGGTCGAAGCCTCTACTCACCTGTGGTTATGTTCGAGTTCAGCGCGCCTTGTATCCAACCGTGCCAGCCTGGAGTATTGCCGTTCGGTGCGTGGAGAACAATTTGCACTTCGCGTCGAGCATGGTACACCGTACCGGCTAGGCCCCAAACGGTAGTCTGCAATTCTACCCAAGAAAGCCTCGCAGGTCAACCTCTTCTTCGAACCACGGCAGAAAATGTTGCTCGAAAATGGTGTTTGAACTACATATCTGGGGCCCGGCATTTGAGCTTCCTTCTATCGACGCCCAATGTCTAGCTACAATTTGTTACCTCCGTCATTGCCTGCAACCTGACCGCTGGGTGCTGATTCCCTCAAGCGATGCGCGCGTCAGTCCTTTGGGAGAACTCCCTGCCTTGCGTGATGGCGAGACCTGGGTCGCTGGGTTCGCCAACATCGTCGACTACCTTCGGAATATCTCCAATGGCGAACAAGACCTAGACAAAGACCTCAGCGCCCAGCAACAAGCAGACTGCGTGGCATTTTCCGCCTTGATCACTTCACTTGGCCAACCTCTTCTCGATCTCAGCCTGTACGTCAGCAGTGACAACTACCTCAACCACACAAGACAAGCTCTCAGCGATATCTTGACATGGCCGAACAGCTGGACTTTACCGCACCAATGGCGCGCACAAGCGAAGAAGAGATCGGAACACTTGGGTTTGAGCAGTTTGGATGTGGACAGTGCGCAAGAAGAGGAGGATAAAAAGGCGGACGCAGGGCTAACTGCACACATACCAAAGTCTCTCCGAAAACCCAGGCAAACGGTGACGGGGCTACTGGGCCGGCACCAGCAAAAGAACCGGTTCCGACTGGACGCTGTCACCGAAGATTTCTTTGAGCCTCTAAGTGAAATGCTGGGGAAGAAGAGCTGGCTAGTGGGTGAACAGGTTTCCAGCGCTGACTGTCTGGCCCTCGGTCATCTGGCGCTGATGCAGACACCGGCACTGGAACATGGATGGCTGCGGGAGTCTCTACAGACAAAACATAATGACCTAAACCAATGGGTGAAGAGTCGAGTTGCGGAAGTGTTTGGTCCGCCCATCGATGTCACTTTGGTTCTGGGACGGAAACCAGGAGATGTCGCCCAGTTGTCATTACCATGGCGAATTCCCGCTCCCAAGAGTTTCCCGCAGGTCTTACAGGCGGTGGTTGAGGGGTGTATTAGTTCTATCCCTGTGATAGGATCATTGCATGGAGTTTCGGAAATCGGTAACACGCATGGAACCGGACGAGAACGATACCGCGAGAAACAGCTGCAATTGGCGAGACTCCAGCAACAGCGAGACATGTATCTGAGGGTGGTCGCGTCAACGATGACGATGATGGGACTGGCAGCGTGGTTGGTGTATCAAGGTCTGCTGCCTGTGCCTCGATGGGGACGCTCTGCGCCTCGAAAGCGTGCGTTCGGCGAAGCGGGTGTCCTTCTTGGATTGTGATGCCCTCAAAGAGGTTGATGGTAATATCTTTCCACAACCAATGTATAAGTATAGCACAGATCGAATAACTGTCCAAGTCCGGATCGTTCAGGACTCACATTCCAGGACACTTCCTCTTTTGGAGCTAAATATTACCGCAAACGGGATAGTGTAATCTGGGAGAAAATGAGGACCTTAAGATGGCTGGGTGCCAAGAGATCAGCCTTGTCTAATCAGCCGACGATGATTGGTTCCCCAGGATGAACAGGATGAAGATTGGGCAGGTGCTGACCGGCGATGACGGGTACCTGCCGATTTCATGCTTCAAAATGCGACATTGACCCAATCAAAGATAACGTGGGGGTCCCTCGACGCCGAGCTCATCCAATAATGCTCCAACTACCTTTCATCGTTCCCTCACCTTAAGGTCCTCACTTTTTCATTTCCCCCCATTGTGCCACTCTTGCTCTGTCTGCTTCACTGGAGTCGGCTTTGTCACGGTCGTTGCATCCTGACGGTGACTGCCTCCCCTCCCTCTCTCCCTCTCCATCCCAGAGGAGCAGGGGTGGAAGAACCTGTCCTTTGTTTTATCCCACCTCTAAAGGAAACAGAAAGAGGTGCTCTCGCTGGTGCTCTACCCTAAGCTCGTGCATTTCCATCTCATCATCCCTGTCGTTGTTCTAATTCTCCTCATTTTGCACTCCCGGGATCTGTATCTGGTGGGAATCCGTCAACTCTAACCGTATCTCCCAAAGCTCACTCGAGTTTTCTGCAAGCTCGGGATCTCGCCTGGTAAGGTCTTCAGCTTCCCAGCTGGCGCATAACCACGAGTCGCTCACGTATACAAGATCTAGCTTGATCCAGCCACACCTCACATACCTTGTGCGGTTGCCCGCAGCTTCAGCCCGCCACGCTACAGGGCCGCAACCTGCTGATAGCCGCTTCCACTCGCTCTTGCGCCGAAATGTCCAACTTCGAGTCCCTGGTTGATCTGATTGTTCGGCAAGATGAATCCGAAGCCGCCCCGGCTTGTGAGACAGGCAACGAGTACGATGGTCGCATCGGCTTACGGGTAGCCGCGCTTTTCATCATATGGGTCACTTCGTCGATAGGCGCGGCATTCCCCATCTTTGCAAACAGGCACAAAGGGCTGAAAGTGCCCAGCTGGGTGTTTTTCATCTGCAAGTACTTTGGGTCTGGAGTCATTATCGCAACCGCCTTCATCCACCTGTTAGCTCCTGCCAACGAGGCATTGACCGATCCATGTCTGACTGGACCCATAACGGAATATTCATGGGTCGAAGGTATCGTGCTGATGACTGTATTCGTACTCTTCTTTGTTGAGTTGATGGTCATGAGATACGGCAATTTTGGTGGACATGCTCATGACCACGGCGACGATGGACATAGCCATAACGAAACCCACACACCTCCCTTCGACCTTGACAGGTCCACCACCAACACAGAAATGACGAGCGCTGCCGATTCGTCGCCGTACAAAGATAATCCCACGTCCGTGAGCATGCCACTATCTACTCGTGTATCTCGGGCTCAAAGTACGCATGTGCCTGGAGAAGATCACTTGGGACATGTCCGTGAACACAGCGAAATTGAGGAAGCGGCCAACCCGTTCAGCCTCGAGGATTACAAAGCACAAATGACGGCAATTTTCATCCTCGAATTCGGCATCGTCTTTCACAGCGTCTTCATCGGACTAACGCTTGCTGTGGCCGGCAGCGAGTTCAACACCTTGTTTATCGTCATCATTTTCCACCAGACCTTTGAGGGACTGGGTCTGGGGTCCCGGCTGGCGGTAACGCCGTGGCCGAAGGGTCGACAGTGGACCCCATACATCTTGGCCTTGGCTTATGGCTTGAGCACTCCGCTGGCCATCGCCATCGGTCTGGGTGTGAGGAAGAGCTATCCTCCCAACTCACAAACAACACTCATCGTGAACGGCATCTTTGATTCGGTGTCTGCTGGCATTCTGATTTACACTGGCTTGGTGGAGTTGATGGCCCATGAGTTTATGTTTAGCAATTCGATGCGAAAAGCGAGCATTCAAACGGTGATGGCGGCGTTTGTCACCATGTGTCTCGGTGCCGGACTGATGGCCCTACTTGGCAAATGGGCTTAGTGAGCTATCGGTATGAAATTTTTTGTTGAAGAGTGTGGCATTTGAACATGTAAAATGTGGAATGCCGGGCTCATGTGTATGTCGACTTTGACCGGACATGGACCAGGTCAAGGGATGAAAATAAATCAATGATACCCTGAGAGAATCTAGCCATAGAGCTAGATTTAGTTGCGCGACCAGAATAGACATGCGCCATTCAATTCCAAGTGATGCGAAAAAAGATTCTTCATGTTTCTGCTAAAAAGCTGGCGGTACGGGCTTAAAGTGACTGAGGATGTATGTACGTACCTAGCCAAGCGACTACATACCTCGTACTCGGGACAGATATACTTTACTATAATACTGTACTATACGAGGTGCTGGTGACACCATACCATACCATACCATACCTACCTACCTATAGGTAGTTTGAGGTACCTTGGAAGCAAGTAGGGAGGGAACTGCCTACCTACCTACCTACAGTACACTACAGCGTACTATACTATACTACACGATACCGGGCTCCGGGAATGAGAACAAATAAACTCCTGTCAAGTTACTAGTATTTACCTCTAGTAGACAGATAGATAAATAGATGGATACCCAAATCCCTCCACCATCCCCACCCAACCCTCCCAGGCCAAATCCCCAGGCTAAATACCGAGAAAAAGAATCAACTATCCCGACCCTATCGGGGGAGAAATCCTTCATACGTACCAAGAGAATGGTATTTCTATTCTCCTCTTTTCTTTTTTGTTCGCCTCTTTTTCCCGTGTAATTACACCTCCCTGGGCGGGGGACAGGACAGAGGGGGATCATTCATTCCGCCAGCACTGGTCTTATTGTTACCGTTACTGTACCGGATCTTTTCTTTAACTCATTGCGGCAAGAATTAGGGGTGTGAAACCCATTTTGATGGCCCGTTCGTCCTCTCTCGATATATTTCCCCCAAACCACGTCACCCTTCCCGCGCGAGAATACCGAATAGTCGCCCATTGTCGACGACGCACCTGGATAGGTCCGAACTTGATTCATCCCCACCGGTGCCCGTGGTACTAATGTCCTCGGATCTACGCACGTTGTATTCACGGTCATCCACCCTGCAGGCCTCGGGTGCTATGCATTTCGGGCGCGCGAGAGGTCCGTGACAACCTAGTTCGGGGAGAATTTCGGTCTCCATTTTGATGTCGTCGCAAGGCACGCCGCGCATGCTGGCAATGATGAGGGCGGCTTCGAGACAGGGCGTGCTGTTTGCCGTGAGGGGCGGCTGGCAGAGTCTTTGCTTGGATGGGGCGGGAGAGACAGCAGGGGATGGGGTGGAAGATGGGTGACGTGCGGTTGATGATATCTCAAGGTCGGAAGTGGCAAAGTTCGAGGATGGAGGCGAAGGCATCAGCGCCGGGGTATCGTCTGCCTCTTCAACTAGTGGAGTCCAAATACGATCTTCGTGCGTTTGACCGTTGACTGCTGCGACGTCGTGCACACTGAATGAGCTCGGAGGCGGTCCGGACACAAATGATGGAGGTCGTGAAGAAAACACAGTTGTCGTCGAGTTCGTCATTTTATTGCTGGTTGGCTTGGCGACTATTTCACGAAGCTGACTTGGTGGTGCTGGCATGACCGTAAAGGGAGTGCCCTGTGCGAATGTCTTGCCGTCGAACACACGGCTCTTCCTTGTTGGGCCGGTGCGTCTGATCTTCCGTCGTCCATCATCACAGGAGGGACCGTCCACCTTGTCTTCCCTCTGCGGAAAACCGCTGGAACGCCCGGCCAAGGACCTCTGCAGAATTTCGTTCTGCTCCCGCAAAGCCTTGACTTCCTCTCTCAAGACACGATTCTCCTCCGCAACCCTGCGTGCTGCCAGTTGCACTTCTGCAGTGGCCTGCACGCCTTGGGCTTCGTAAGCGCGTATACGGCGCTCGAGGTCTTCAATGTACACCTGTCGGCGGGCGCGGCAGCGCCGTTGGTTAATCGTGTTGCGCTTGGCTTGGGGGACCTCCATTGGCGGCACTGATCGCGAAAGATCTATGGCTATGGGAGGAAAACTCGAGTCTGGCCGTAATGCTGATTCCTGGGCGCTCATCTCCACTGGAGTATAAGAGCCCATGATGTGAGGCTCATTATTCATCCGCGGCGTGCCTCCGCTCTGAGGTGGAGAGTCGCGATCAATAATCATCCGCGTTTATGAATCAACGAGCCAGAAGCGCGCTCTTTACAACATCAACATGAATATGAGTGCGTGGACACAGTGGTTTGGAAGCCAGCTGGTATGGTTGGTTGGTCGGAGGGAGGATTGTCGTTGGCGGGCAGCGACGGCACGAAAAAACGATTTTGCGTCTTTTTTTGAGCAGCACCACCACCAACAGCACAAACACGTCTAAAGCGGCAAGACGCCAAGAGCTTGTCACCCCTGCGCTTTGATTCGTCCGGCGGCTACTTGTTTTCCATGTCCTTCTCATCCACAAATTCAATGGCCATGGGTTGACCTCGTCCTCGATTGTCCACTAGTTGTCCCCATGAGCCGTGTCTCGCTATGCTGTGGCGGAAATACCAACCATGAGATTGCATATTTCCCCTTACCGCATCAGTACCGGTTGTACGCGGGTCCTTATCCTACGATGCCAGGCCAATAGCTGCCAGGCCGTGACACACCCCTTGATGTATTAAACCTGAGCACGATACCTCCAGATCGGGACACTGTCTATTCCAATACGTGTCACGTTGGAAAGCCCAGGAGTTCGCCACCTCAGCCTAGTTTGCACAATCTTGTCAATATTGTATCGAGCTTCGTGCAACAATGGACGCCGCCACAATTTATCAGACTGTCAACACCAAGTATTCCGACCTCGCCTCTCGTGCCGATCTTAGTGAAGTCCAGGCATCCAAAAGCACACACATTGCAGCATCTTTCGGCTATTCGTCGGAAGACCTGGCGTCCCTCCCCACCGGGACGAACCTTGGCCTCTCATGCGGAAATCCACTCGCGACAGCGAATCTTCAGCCCTATGAGAATATGGTTGACCTCGGATCGGGAGGAGGGCTTGACTGTTTGATCGCGGCCAAGCAGATGTTGGCGAAAAGTCCCTCGCCGAGTGGGAAGATATATGGCATCGACAGGAGTGAAGCAATGATTACATTGGCGAGGAAGAATGCCACGAAAACAAACCTGCCAGAGAGCCTGGTGAAATTCATCCAAGCACCAATCACGGAGATTTCCCTCCGAGATTCCTCAATTGACCTGGTGGTCAGTAACTGCGTCATCAACCTGGTTCCGGACGAAGATAAGCCGATCGTCTTCAAGGAAATCTATCGACTCCTCAAGCCGGGTGGGCGGGTCGCAATCAGCGATCTTCTCGCAAAGAAACCCATGCCAGACCATCTACGACAAGACGCAGCTTTGCTGGTGGGCTGCGTCGCGGGTGCAAGCCTGGTTGACGAATATCGACATTGGATGGAGGAGGCCGGGTTTCAACATGATAGCATTGTCTTTATCAACACCGGGAGAGACTTGAACGTCTACCATGATGCGGAGGTCACGGCGCCTTGTTGTATGGAGGCGACCCTGTCGAAGAGTTGCTGTGAGAGCGGCACAGCGAGCGCCTGTTGCGTCGAGAAGAATGGTAGCGATCCTGTCAGCAAGGTTGACCTCAATGAATGGGTGGCTTCACATCAAATCTATGCCGTCAAATGACTGGCAGTCATCCAGCAACACCATGCAAGCAGGGCGTGTGATACAGAGCATGTTTTACCGGATGAGATCAAACGAGGAGTTCATGTAGCCTGAATCGACAATTCTTGATGTACCTCCACAATAATTCTTACCGAACCCCAACGGCCCTACAACAACACCACTTAGTCCTTATTTATGCAGTACTCCTTGTACATAGTAGCGCTGCGTGATGTTCAGGAACATCTGACCTTGTGCAGTAACTGGCGAGCTGGAAAGAAAAAGGGCCGATTTCAAGAAATAACAGTAATTAATAAATCCCCAAACTCCCCTGACCAATGACCATTGCACTTCGTACCCGATCGCGGTCCATCATCGGCGTTGTCCCCCGGAAACCACTGCGACATGTCTTGGTTGATTAGTATCCAAGTTACGAGGGACCTCATTCAGCATTTAGCGAGTGGAAGTGTGACTTTGTAATATTCAACTACTATTTCCCATTTGCGCACGATCGAGAGAATCCCCGGGATCAAGCTTGACACAACAAGAAAGAAAAAAAAAAAAAGAAAGGCACAGGTCACATCACATCATCCAGTCATCTAGGCATCTAGCCAGCTAGTCATACAACCAGCCATGCCCCTCTACGACGTCGAGCACGTCGTCGCCCTGACAGCGGACCAACAAGAACGCCTCGCGAGGGCCTTTACCGACCTGCACTCGACGCGGTTCCGGACGCCCCGGTTCTTCCTCAACGTGCGCTACACGGACTGTTCGGGACAGGTCGTGTTCCGCAACGGGCGGCGCGCCGTGTATAACCGGGTGATACTGCGGACGCGGGCCGGGGAGCAGCAGCAGCGGTCCAAAGAACTCTACGACGAGCACTGCCGGGACGTGATCAAGGCGTGGGAGGACATCGTCGGGAGGCAAGGCGAGTTGGGACTGAGGACGGTGTGGGTGATGGCGGCGCTGACGACGGCTGTCGAGTGCGGGATCGCCAGGCCAAAAGTGAGTGATACAACAACACCACCATCCATATCTTGTAACAATAGTCGAAACCCCCCAACCCCCCTTTCTACCCAGTCTGGGGCAGCTTCTCTTTCTCTGGCTTTTTATCTCTCAAAAACTCACGTCACTCAAATCTCTGTGATCCAGGTCGGCGAGGAAGACGAGTGGCTCAAGGCAAATATGGACGAATTTCGCAGACTGGCAGCAACTGGCGACGAGGACTTTGTGGAATTGGTCCAGGAACTCGACTCCAGAGGTCGATGAATCCTCAATCTAAGGAGATAGAGCAATTGTTAATCCTAGATTCCCCCTTCTTCCCATGAACAAAGACCCGCTTTCATGAACTAAATGTGTCCCTGTCTGGCATGTGTCCATCACCCTCATTCCTTCGCCTCATGCCGTTTCTGCACCTCTCAAGAAGCCCTTCCCCAGATCATCCTCTCTTCAACTCAACATCGGTGACTTAAACCCCCCATTCACAATGAATTGAAAGAAGGCTCGGCCTGCCAAGCGTAGTTGTTTTCGTGTTCTTTGTCCCTCGGTGGGAAAGTAAAAGGGCGGTGAGAGCGAGGGTAAACCAGATAAAGAGAATGTTCTTAGTGGCCCTGCGAGGTGACTCGAATATTGTTGCTCGGAGTTGACGTTACTCTTGCTTTTCTTGTCGTCGCATCATGTCGTCGTACAAACATGAAACATCACAATGACTAAATCTGTCAAAATAAAATAAAAAAACGAAAACGGCAATCCCTAAAGAAAACATCGCATCAATAACTCCTTCCGTACATGACCCCCCCCATCGGCCCCTGATGAGGTTGCGGTGGTCGAGTGGCACTAGGGCTGGCAGATGCCACAGGAGGACGATGAAACATATTCACCAGCTTCCGGCCGACAGTGGGTTCAATCTCGGTGCCATCTCGGGCAATCTTCACCTCACGATTCGCATTCAGTGAGTTTCGGAGACCTCTGGTCCTGTAAAAAGGCAGACGATCCGTCGACATCCACTTGATCTTGAAGGGCTTCCCAAAAGTCTGTGGCGTCGCTGGACTGGTTGATTCATAGCCTTCTCCTGAAACATTGCCGGGGTCATCATCTGTATGTTGCTCTTCTTTCTCTTTCCCCTCTGAGTCTGCTTCCCAGAAGATTGTCCCTCTAGCCGAGTCGTCGATGATTCGTCCCTTGGGTGCGGTCGCCGTAGCCGGTGTCGGTATGGTCAAAGGCAGGTCTGCTGGACTAGGCTCTCGCGTCTCCGGTCGTGGCTGGTATTCGATATTCGCCGCGGCCTCGTCGCCGATCGCCGATTCCATCCGCGCATATCCAAAGTACTCGCCGGACTTGTTTGCTGAGAAGACGAGGTAAACATTCTCTGCGGTCTAAAAACTGTCAATGGCAAAGTCGATACATTCCCATCAGTCTTCACACTTACCTGATACGCATTGTTCAACACGGCCTCATTGTGCGCTTGCGTTGCCCATATTCCGCTGACGACGCTGCGCTCCAAATCCTCAATGGTCAAGCTTTTTACCACGAAGAACCTCTCCTTCACCTTCTCTATGGGTTCTGGCTCTGTTGTAATTGTCCCGTCAACCATCGATGTTTCATTGGGCGCTGTATCGGCCTCGGTTGTCGCTTCGGTAGATGTCGTTGGTTGTTGGCTCGCAGTTTGCGATGATGTTGCTGTTGCAGAACTTCCACGCCGTAACCGGCAAACCAGTCGCACCCCTTGGAACCGCGAGTCGTGGAAGCGAGCCATCGCTGCTGCGCAGCTAGCCTCGGTCTTATAGTTGACAAAGGCACAGTTGCTCTTCGAGATCAAGAAGACGCTCTCGATTTCTTCAGTCGCATCCCTTGCGAAGTGATCTTTGAGGTCAATTATATGTGTCGCGGGGGGTAAGTTGCCAACCCAGAGGGCATGACCAGATTGCCTTGGTTTCCTTGGAGGGCCTCTGAGCACGGATGTCTGTAGTGACGAATTTGAGCTAGATCTCCTGACTATATGCAGGTCAGATGTGTCAGTCACGCACAGACCCCTCAACGCGGTAAGACTTTCCATACCTTGAGAATTTGATTGTGGATAAACCCCTGCTGCCTGAGATTGTGCAAGACTGTTGTCAAGCCGGAGTTGTGGCACTGGATAGGCGGTTGGCAGCCGGGAGCCATAGGGTGAAATGTAGCCCGCGGTCCCATGTGGTTGTGAAAACTGTGAATGCGGATGTTGTTGACCAGCCGCTCCAGGATTGTGCATCATTGGCTGCTGTACCATAAACGCTTGATTTAGGTACGATTGAGAGCCGCCTGGGCCTCCTGGGTTGCCAACAAATTGCGGATAAGCCGCTCCTTGCTGCTGCTGCCGCGACGGCGTTCCTTGCACATACTGCGACGGGTACTGTTGAGCATATGGGGGGTTGATATGAGCGGCAGTCTGACCTGCAAATTGCGGCCCTTGGTGATATTGATACATGACGGATGGATTATTGGAAGCGGAGGGTTGGTAAGGTTGGGTATATGGCGACTGTTGATACTGGCGCATCTGGTACTCTGGCAGTGCCGCCGCGACACTCGACATATCGAGTCCTGCCGTGCTTGCATAGTTCCCAATGGCAAACTGCTGTCGAGGATATGGTTCGAACTCCATATTGGCGGGTTGTCCCGAAGGGGGATTCGGAACGGGTAGAGACGTTTGTGGAGGCCGCTCTGCAAAAGTCAGTCCTGTCGACCACAACACTGGGGGAAAAGTGACCTCTTGATAGATGCTCGTCGCTGTCACGCAATCTGGGATTTTGTCGAAGGGGAGGCTCGTCGCCCATACCGAAACCCTCAAATATAACGGGAAGTGTATAGTAGTGCTGTACCCAGAAGACAGCCATCGGTCAGTCCATATTGCCCCAAACGGTGAGACACAAACGAATTAAGCGCCAAAAGATGGTACCTCAAATAGGTATACCTAAGCTAGAAGTGAAGTCGATCTTGTTCGAACCGAGCAGGAGGCTGAGCACGGATCAGGAGAGATCCGAATGATCTCGTTGGTTGTTAAGAGGAATTCTGTTGAGGGCTCCTTTATCTTGTTCGTATGTCCAAGAAAGGAAATGAAACAGCCAGCTCGGCGCCAAATTTGGAAATGAGCGTGCTTGACAAGGGTCCTCGAGGGTGTTTCAGAGGGCTAGACAGAGAAGCAGTCAGAACTATTGGTCTGAGTAATGGTGCGCAAAAGATGAGCTCTGGTGAGAGAAGAAGACTCATGTCCAACCGTGTCTCATATCTGTCCTGAGCGGCATGGATGTTAATGACTAGGGGGGCCATAGCGACGCACATTCTACTCAAGCCTTTGGCACATAGCAAGTAAAATTCGACAACGGCTTCAGGGTCCACTTCAAGCTGGTGGCTGATGGAAGAGTCCACTGTATGATTGGGGGTAGCGGGAATAGAGCCCTGGTCGAAGGCGTAGATGATCAGGAGTGAGGAAGACTCCAACGGTATCGCGATATCCGAGACTGAGAGGATGCCGAGGATCGATAGTTCTTTTTCACCAGGAGAATATTCCAGGGAGCTTTTACCCGGGAGCGAAACGAACAGACCGCAGAGTCCGTGGTTTGTCAACGGTGGATGGAACGGTCAAAACAAAGAGCGTGTATTGGCTCGGATCATATATGCGATACTGTGTACTAGTAAAGGGACAATTGTGGATATAGAACAAGACGGCGGTAATGCGCGACCACCAATGCTGGTACAGAGTAATCGATCTGGACCCAAGGGAGCAACTTACCGTCAGACCACAAGTGGCTGAAGAAGGCTCTTGCCCTGAGCTATCGCTCGGAAGTCGTTGCCCTAGCGGGGGTTCGCAGACAGAACAGCACAATGGGAGGCCTCCAACCTGTGAGATCCGCAGGGCTGCTAGAGCTGGTACGGAGTTCTTCGTACGTTTGTTTTTGCATGGCATGTGGATCAGTGGGGGACGTGGTCTGGCTGCGTGGAATTTTCTCTCATCTGTCCATTTCGAAGCTAGTGCTGCCATAACCTTGGGCGATCCAGAAGGAATTTTTGTTCATCTGGTTCGTATACCTCGACGATGGATCATGGTATTGGCAGGCAGGCAGGCAAGGAGGAGCTCGAAAGAGAAGACTTGAAAAATACTAGTGAGTACCAAGGGAGTCCGCAAAAGGGATCCGCTGAGCCACGAAGCCCGAGTTAGAAAGTGTGGCAACGTTCGACAGGGGTAGTGAAGTCGCAAGATGTAGGCCTCATGGACTGTAATTCGCTAGATAGGTGAATCGCCTGTCCGTCGCTTATTGCAATAGGCACAGACCGCGGGCAGGGTCCCACCTAATAGTGTGAAGCCTGTTTGCAGTAGTGATTGCGTGCCCATCAGGACGGGGGGATGCCAGACGGAAAGGCGGCGGTCCTGCATGTTTGGGACGACTAGGGTATTCCGGTCAAGGGTCAGTGTCGGGTACCGTCAGCAGCTACATTTGTGCGGTGCAGAGTTCAGCTGACAATTGGGTGGTGCTGGGTTCTTTCAAGTTGTGGCAGGTTGGGGCCTAAGTGGGCGCAAAGTAGATCCTGAATTGAGCTCTTTGGGAAGTTCTGGACCGTCCAAGGATAGGCAAGCCACACTCCGAACGTTGTGAGTTTCTGCTCCACTGTTCGGCTTCTGCGGCGATCTGGATTCCTTGCAAGTGGACAACTGTCGAGAACTGCCACAGTCTGATTGTCACTCAGAATCACACCAAATGGTACGAAACGTCATTGAAAAACGATTTTGGTTATCCAGAATGTACCACAGCAAAGCTTATCTTACGTTTTGTTGTATTCACCGCAAAAACCAAACGTGACAAATGCTGCCTCGGTGTAGATCAGACTTGGAACTGTTTTGGCGTTCACGCGATCGGCTACGAAGTGGGAGTGCCAATACGGTCGGAGGAGCCCCCGCAGTGGACGGGAAAATCTTTTCGCGTCGCTGTGTGTTTAGATGACAGAGGGTGTTGTATTGGAGACCGCCGTTAGGCCCGGCGCAGGGATATTCCATGACCTCTGCACAGATGAGAACACTCTTTTTTCCAAATAACTGCTGCCCGTTTGTCCCCAACCCAAAAGTATGACGGTAGAATGGCATCATTGGCAGACGATCGCTATGCACGACGAGCCTTGCTATTGTTAGAACGACGCAGGAACGGTCAAAAAAAATGATCATCACCTTGTACAGACTGTTCCGTGTCAATCAGCAATTTGCGTCTGGCCCAAGTTCGTGGCATGCTGTCCGAATGGTCCTTTGGGTCGAAGGTTGGGTGGCAACAACAATGTTTCTCCAGTTGATGTCGATCATGTGGCGGAAACGGCACCACAGAACGAACTTGTCTTGGGTCATAGAGAGAAGATCCGAAGGATGTGTTCCAGATGAGTGGCTGGACGTTTGCCTGTGGCTGAGCAGCTTGGGTGTCAAGGGTGTCAGGGTGTCTCCAGGATTCCGGAGCAGGGTCCTGCTCGACCCGATGAAAAAGAAAATATGGAGAATGAAAAGATGCGATTGTTGTGCATTTCCCATCTGTTGGAGTTGCCACAGAAAGTCTAGCGATCTTCGGAATGGAAAATCTATCCAGCGAACCCGGGGCTTGCGTCATAGGCTTGGCACCACTAGTGTCCTTGTTCCAACCTCATTTCTTCATCCACCTGATCATCAGTGCCTATCACTTCCACTTCCTATATTCGAAGATGCTGATCGCTAAAGGAATGGAAAGTCCTTCGCAGCTAGGCTCCCATGAATGTCTCTGTTGTCTGAAAACATTCTCCCTGTCTGTAACGGTCTTGTACACCAAATTAGCCCATCAGCAGCACCTGGAAGGTTTCGCCGGTACTCAATACCGTCTGTTCAGTTCCTCGTCCTTATGCCATAATTAGAGCGCCAGAGTCCCGTATCGTCTATCGACAGGCCAAGAGGCGACTGAGACACTTTCCCCCCTGCCCTCTTCTGACTCCCTGGCAGCTTTCCGACTGGCCTCACTGATTCGAGCTATTTACCATTGTCCCCGTCATCCCCATCCGCAAAGCCTGTCCCAGATCTAACCAGTTGAGCCCATTCTTCCAAAGCCCCATGCATTTGCCACTGGCCGTTTCGCTTCCCTGACCTCTCCACCATGCTGTGGCTCAGGCGATGCTGCCCTCCCACATGTCTCTAGCTAGCGTTGGGCGCGGTTCGCGCTAAGCAGACTTCCGCGCCCTGTACACTCAATTTCGGCATCGTGCCTATACGAAGAAATCTTCGAATCCTTCCCTCATGAGACGAGATGCTAATTCAGGATACGATCAACATAACCAAAGGTCGGCGTCTCCGACCATGTCTTTCAGCAGTTGTGTAAAGGGAAGTGATCGTCTCTCGGCCTTCAGGATTGCTCACTTCGTACAGGTACTTTTGTCCTTTAGGAACTTTCGGCAACTGTGGCGGGAACAAAGAAGGGCAATGGAACTGCGCAAGAAGGCTTTGCTGCGAAGAAGAAAAATCACACCACTCGGCGGAGCGAAGCAGAACGACCCGGATCGGCAGTGTCTGCCATGTGTGGTCGATAAGAATGCGTTTCAGGTTCCTGAACCGTACCTTTGGCTGGCGAGACTTGTTGTGGCAAGGAACCTGCAGCCAATGATGTTGTAAGACTGTGAGAAGCCTGTCTTTTCGGCTAACCCAATCATCATACAGAATGGTCTATTTCTGAAAATTTGGCGACATCCACTGTCGACTATTGAAACAGTTCACATACTACACATCACAGTGGCACTGAGGGTTGTGGATAGTGGGACTGTCGTCGCAAATGGACAACGTCTGCATGAATTCAAACCGGCTGAGTGTCAACGGCTTCAACGGCCGGGTTTGTCCGGCAATGAGCACGGGCCCAATCAGAGCGTCACTGCAAGAATCTGAGAAGGGCCTTCTTCCTCCACTGTTCCACTGATTGGTTGCCTGAGGCTGCTGTTCCTCAGAGGTATCGGGGTCGATCGTGAGTTCTGACTTTCTATTCGCTCGAGAATGTATCTGGGCTTCTCACTCCGTCCAAATATGTCCCATCTCCTCGGCCTGTCAAGTCACTACAGCACACCAGTATTTCGGAAGGAAGGTTTTTAAAGACCTTTGACTCTGCATTCACGACGGTGGAGTGTTCAGTTCGCTAAATTATCGCAGGATCCTAGGTCTCCATGGCGCACCAATGGCATCCGCGAATGCCTACTCGATATGCCCCTGAAGGAAGACGAGTATTTGCTTGTTTCTGGGTAGAAATCCCTTTTCGTCCACCGCGATTCCACAGCTTTTGTGTCTTCCTGCGTGACGAAAATTTGTTTGATATGCTCGCGTTCTTCAATCCCTTCGCTCGAAGGTTTGATTGGGCTACAAGGATTCGCTAAGCACGTCACTTACCTACGAGAAACACCCAAGAGACTTCAGAACTCGCTTCCAACAAAACGTGGCCATCCAATGCTTTATTGAACCATCAATCTACTTTCTATAGTTGCCTCACCAACAAGGAGCGCCCCTACAGATATCTCGACTGATTTGAGGTCAAGCTGAAATGAACCGATCCCTGACTGTCTGCATACGTTGCGATCTAGCCGCCACTATTGCCCTACCCGCTCCGATATCTAACGGTCCTTGATCCAAGTCACCAATCACTGATTATCATGCACTCCCTCCAGGCTTGTCTGACCCGCTATGGTGCCACTTGTCTTTCCGAACTCAGGGACACGCACCGCAGCAGCGCTGTGAGGTCGACTCATGAGCTTGTGAGGGTGAGCGGTTTGCCAACACTGCGAAGATTTCCTTGTGGGAAGTTGTGGAGCATTTCTTAGCGCTTTCTCCCCGAGGAACCAAGTTCTCAGGCTATTGAAGGACTCCCGTCTTTCCCAAGCTCGCTTGTCGTCCCTCGTTCTCCAAAGTCCAAAATTGCTGAACCCATTCCCATCACATCCACATTTTCTGTCACCTTCCCTTGTTGAATACACCACCGCAACTCCTTACTCCTGCATCTGGCCTGCCTTGGATACTCTTCCGCGCCCTGGTCTTGTCTTGCCAGACTCTATTCTTATCCCAACTGACTAGACAATCGTCTCGAAACCCCTGAATGGCTTGTATCATGGCCCTCTTGGGGTTCGCTGACGAATCCAGGGGCAAAGGAATTGACACATCCAACGAAACATCTGGCTACACCCATCAGTGTGAAGTTTCAATCTCCCCGGGTCTTGCTGCTTTTCCCCTGGATTTTGACTACATTTTCTCTTCTCCCAAAGACGTAGAGATGCCCCGTTGAGAAGATACGAGCTAACCCCACCCCTTGTTCGCGCAGCTCGTCCTGCTCTATCGCTCGTTCATATCCCCAGAATTCGTTACACATGTTAGTTGTTGGTTTGACGAATCCTCCTCCTCGGAGACCACCCAGAAGAAAAAACAAAGGCACCCGCCAATGGACCACGCATGTCCTCTTCTCTGAGGACTCTCCAGACCGCGTCTCGCTGCGCCTCCATGCAGAGGCAGAGTCTCACCATATTATGGCGGAACTTGAATCGATCGTTGACAAAAAATAGTTTATGCAATGGAAAAACACACAAACACACACATCTCTCACCATTCATTCGATAGGAGGAAGCGAACTGTCACCGCCTCATATCGAATGGAGGGAGATCTGACTGACTCCGGTCAGCCACGAGAGCAACATACCGGGTACAGCAGGGACTTTCCTATTTAGTGAAGATTTAAAGAGCACTACAACCACGACAGTGACGGCGACGGTGACGATCGAGGAAGCGCAGTGTGCATATTCACAATCAGCATCAGGGCATAAAGGCGCAAGCAAGGCAGGCAGAGAGGAACATTTTTCCTTCTTTTCTCTGCGCATGTCAATCACACCATGCACCATGCACCATACCCATGGCGGTATAAAGGATTCAGAGACCGACGACTACTACTACATACAAGAAGAAGTGATGAGAAAACCAGGCAGCTACGACAAGTTTCCCATGGTTCTCCTACTTCTCCAGCTTCTTTTCTTGCCTGAAGAGACAATCATCCACATCAAAAGGGTGACTTGACTATGCGGTGGACTTGATCATACACCCTGGCTCAGGGAGTATAGTGCCACTGACTATTCTCTCGACTCTGGTAAATGCTTGATACGTCAAACCAAGGTACAGCGTGCCTCGGTGTATTCACTAAATAGTACCCAATACTCGTTATTACATTACATCTGCATCATCTTATGCTCCATCCAAAGCCGTTTCTTTATCCAAGTTGTGCTTTTCCCGTCTCCTGGATCGACAAAGTCGGCCACCCAAGGTGCTGCCAACCTGTATCTTTGTCGATTGGCCTCCTGGCCCGGAGGTCGCTGAGTCAAAGATCCAAACCTTCATTCCGCATAGATTTCGTAGCACCGGCAATGATACTTGCCACCACCGTAGGATATGCATTGACCAAACCCATTCGCAACAAACCCCTTTTGTGCCCACATAAACATCCCAGATCATGGCAACATGCATCATATAGTCATATTCAAGAAGAATCACTCCCCAGATATACCAGCTTTGTCTTGGAGCGAGTTCGTGGGGGAGTATCCAGCACCTCAAAAGAATCGCAAAGGATTGGGCCCATGACATCAAGATCCATTCTGGACCTGTAACGGTACTATCGTTCTCCCAGACTCGCCACTTTGCCCGCAAATCTTGCGCCTGCACTACCGCGCTTTTGAAGCTTGTTGGACCCGTCTGACGAAGAAGACAATGGGGAGACCCTGTGAACGATCGGCAACGGCCCTAGGGTGTCTGTGACACCGCCGTAATTGGATGTTGCGCGCGCTGTTCTCTGCTCAACATACAGCTGCGCGGCGGAAGATAGGGGTATGGCTGGAAGTTCGACGGGGATCTCGGCCCCATTCTGCACCAATAGCTCAGCCATTGGGAAGGCTCTGACAGCTCCCGCCGGTGTGCTCGAGTGGGAAGACACTGGACGAGCTGGGTCTGCAGCTGCGAGAGCCAGAAACACCGCATGGGTGTTCCTAGATCGATCGTGCGCGTTCACATTGGCCCGTTGGGCGATAGCCTTGAGGACTCCCTGAAGGTCATGCTTCTTGATTGAGGTCAGTAACGTATCGTCGGCAGACCCATATTGGGACACAGCCTCCACGTAAGCCCGCTCGACATATTTGGCCGTTATGAACTTCAGGCGCTGGTCACGGGTAGCGTTTGGCTCTGGCTTGAGAGCCCGATCAAGCCTTGCCTCCCAAACCATGTTGCTGATTCGATTACCGATCAGCATGAGAAGCTCGACGATATCGTTGGTAAAAGAGTGCACATCCAAGGTCAGGGATCGAATCTTGGAAACATGTGTACCCAGAGATCGATGAATCCCGCCACATTCAATGCACAGGATAATCCCCAGATTCAGAGATACCCACTCGACCTTCGCAGCCGAGCCACAATCAGCACAGAACTGGTTTCCATGGTCGTTGTTTCTGATCAGATCGAGCAGCTTGGACGGGTTCTCTTCGTAGCTGTTGCTGCTGGTCCTTGTGTAGGTGGGTCTAGCACCCACAGTAATACGCCGTGTCACTCCGCCCGCGTCACTTCGGTGCGAATAACCGTGCGGGCCCGATTGTGATGAGCTCTTACCACTGAACATCTGTCCAAATTCACGTCCGACGTGTTCTTTTCGACTTTGCTGAGGGACTTGCCCGCCGGCCTCGACGGCACTCTGCAGCGCGTTGTTGATTGCATTGATCCAGTTATTCATCTCATCCTCAGTTGTGGCTTGGTAAACTCGCTTATACTGAGGCGTGATGACTTCGAAGCAAAACCGACGCTCTGCATCTCGAGCAATGCGGACGGACGCCATGCGAAGGTCAATTGGCTCGCGATGCAGATCCAACTTGTCCTTCCAATTGCTGTATTCAGAGAGTTTCCCTTGATCAAGCACGATCCAGAATCTAGGAATGGTTAGTACTACCTCAAGGACAATTGGCGAAGAGCTTACTTGTGCCAGGCTCCTTTAGGGTCGATATGGGAGTTAGGTTTGCTTAATGCCCATAGCAGTCCTTCTTTACGATACTGGCCCACAGACGATTTGTCGGTCGTGGATATTGAGCTTTCATCAAGATCACGGATACCCTTAAACTTGCTCGGCGTTGGCGCGATGGAGGCTGCGCTCGGCGATGTCGATAGGACAGTGCCCGCAGGTAACGCTGAATTCGTCGTAGGCGATAAGGTTTTGATCGATGCATGGCCAAACTGGGAGCTGGTGCTATCCGCCCGGCTCAGATCAGTATCTGACTGATAGCCCCCATGGCCATTTTGTGCTGCCGCTTGAGCCGACGTCGGGGGAGGATGATGGGAATCGGGATCCACGGAAATTGGCCCATTCTTCTCGAGATTTCTTCTCTTCTCCTCTCTTTCCGTCCTTTGCAAGTTGTATTCTTTGTCAGCATCGGAGACCTCTTTGACGAGAGCATCCAACTGTGGAGTTAGGCTTTCCACCTTCTTCGCAGTGGCGAGGAATGCCTTGGCCTGGCCATTGGCATATTTTGTGAGCTGCGAGAGGAGCTCTTGTTCTTTGCGGCCACCGTGAAGATCTTGCATGAAAGTCGAATAATCGAATCGCTTGAGCTCAAAATTCTTCCTCTTGCTCTGATATTTAGAATCACTCTCTGCACGTTTCTTGTCCTTTAGAGAATCTTGCCTCTGACCAAGATACCGGCCCACGTAGGCGTAATAGTCTCGACTCTCATCGTCAAAGTCCTTTTTCTTTGCCTCGACTTGTTTGATGTCCATATTATACAGCTTTGAAATGGGATCGATGATCTGCTTCTGTAACAGCGTGCTGTTTCCCTTCTCATATTTCAGTATTTGTTGAGCAATGTTCAGAAAATAGTGGTCGAGAGCAGGCTTGAAAGCCGTTGCATTGGACATGGATGCCTCTTGAAGCGCTCGTAAAAACTCGGACATGGCCTGGTTGCACTCCACCTGTGCCTGCTGTGCCGCTTCGGCTTTCTTCAGCACCTTCTTGATCTGGACCTTCATAGTCCCCGTCTTCTGCTCCAAGGCCTTCATGGTGGCTCGGAAAACCGGGCCGTCCTCGACGGTGCTAACGTCTTCCCCCGGCCTTGCGCACTGGACGTCGATAACAGGGAGCGAAGGCGCCGAGGTTGGCGCACTGAGGAGGCTGTCTTTGGGCCGCATCGGTGGCGAAGCTGGAACCTGTGGCTCAGAAGGGCCCTCTGAGTCGCTGACCGCGGACTGGTATGACTGCGACGACGGCATCCTATGCCTCGGAGGCGGGATCGGTATTTCCAGGCCCGGAGAAGCAAGCGGTAATCCAGTTGAAAGGGTCGAGTTTTGGACCCAGAACGAAAAGGACGCGAGGGTATTGAGTCTGTGGGCTCTGGAATCATACTCAAGGAAACTGCAGCAGTTGCGCCAGCCTCCACCCTTGTCCTCTTGAGCCTTGGGGGGTTTCCAGTGCCAAGTCCATTCGTATGTAACCGCATGACTCCCATGCGTCCCAAAATCCCCGATAAACTGGACATTGGAATTCTTGTGTAGATTTGGGTCGGCGTGAAACTCGCGTGTTACGAGGGTATCCAGCTCTTTAGCATTCTGGGCATAGGCGAAAGTCAGCCCGGATATTGTTGCATCTACTGCGGGGGTAGCCGTCGAGGGAGTCGCAGGAAGGGGCCCGGAGTTCTGTCGCGTTATGAATGTGAAGTGGATTTCGAGTTCATCCTCAAGATCGAGCCTAGGAAGAAAAGAAAGGGCGGAGGAATCGGGATCCTTGTTAAGACGTTAGGACATGCGGTCCGTTGGGGGGCTTCGTTACCCACTTGAATATACGAAATGGGTCTGTAGTCCGTAGCATCTGGCTTTCCAAGTAGACGCAATGCTGGATAGGCATTGGGTACGATGCTCAAAAGACCTTTCCGTCGGCCATTGCTGACGACGATTGAGCTGATGGAGACTGGCGGCAGGTTGTTAGCCATAGTGGCGGGGGAAGGCAATGGGACCTACAGCGCGCTTGATCCTTCAAGTATAGCAGGGCGCCATCGTCAAGTCTGCTGCTGATGTTGCCCATCGCTGACTGCCTGCTATTCAGGCTCGAGAATTAGGATGCGCCAGGATGGGCGGTGGACTATTCGGAGGGGGTGTGAGCGTTGTGTCGGAGGAGAAGTCGCGGGGACGAGACAAAGCTGCTGTCGATACAGAAAAGGAAGACAGAAAGATTGATGCTAAGACTGCAATACTTGGAAGCGTGTTGAGGTATGTACAGATCAAGGTGAGAGAGTGACTTGAGTAATTAAATGATTGAGTACGAGGTAGCGGATCTGATTTGTCGAGGGGGGAAAGGCCGTACTCGTAGACGTAGACGACATGGGCTGCGCTGCGCTGCGCCTTCGATGTGAGACGATTCAATCAAGCGAAGGAAGGCGGATGCGGCGCCACCAGCGGCAGAACATCCAAAAGGTCACCCTTGGTTCCCCTCGCCAAGAGGAGTGTAATTTGACTCCACGGCCGAGCCTTGTTTGGGACGAGGGTGACGCCGCTCTACTCGGTACACCTGCCCAGCCGCAGCATGCGCCCCGCTAGGTGCGCGACCATCATGGCTCTGTCCAGTTACTGCAACGGTGACAACACTGATAATTTCAACCTCGCCATCAATCAACTACCCCTACGATCAGCATCCGGCGACCTCCCCAAACACCCAGGTCCCTATCCCTCCTATCGTCGCCCATGCGTGTATCCTCAATCATCTCAACGGAGATCAAGAACCAAGCTTCTCCAGAGACTGTACACTGATTGTGTGTAGAGGGAGACATGGTGGCCTTCGAGAGAAATGCTTCGGTAGAAGTCATACCGGTCTTTTGGGAGCTTGGTCATCTCGTGTATCAGTGTATGTCTGAGAGAAGCCATGGTACATCTCAGTGGCTTCTTGCACATATCTCTGTTTTCCCATCCTCGATCTTGAATAGGGGGATTTGAGTCAAACCAGAGGACAAACGTGTCAAGTCTTCGAAAACTCAAACTAACACGAGGCTGAATCCCCTTGGCCTGACTCGTTTTTGCTTCAGGGACGGAATGTGAGGATTTGTCTTCATGAAGCAAGCTTTTAGGGGGTTGCGCAGAAGCGTGAGCCTTGTCGACATCGTGGCCATGGTTGGCCAATGCCACAGACGACATCGAGGCGAACATGTAAAATTTCTTGCCGGTGATGGACACATATGTTGATGCCCGGGTCGACCGTTTTCGCAAGATACGAGGCTCCCACACATTAGATAAACCCCCCATTCTCTTCACCCGTACGTCCTTTTATTATGCTCACTCCCTCGCGCTAATGACTCTGTCTTTCCCCTGCCCTTAACCAATGTTGTCTTCGTCTTCCGCTCGATAAAACAGAGTTTGATCGCGATTTTCACCCATTCTGAACACCTGCACCGCATCGTTGTTGCACATCAACACCAAATCATCGGTGATGTCGAACGGCGGGAGCTCGAACCACTTGTTCCCTCTCGAGAGCGTGAACAAATGGTGAACAAGCAGTTTCCGCTCGTATCCCCGCGGTCTATCATCCAGCTCGAGCCGTCGGAGCACATGCATCGGTGGCTGTTCCTTCAGACGCACCACGCTCTGTCTGTAGATCGGAGGTTCTGATCTCGTGAGGGGATGGAGGTCAATGCATTGTGTGACGAACTTGGGTTCGACTGTGCAGTTGGTGGATATGACCTGAATGTCGACGACGCCTGTATGGATGGCCATGTTGCCGCCCTTGCCTTGAGCATCCTTCACCGCGAGAGCTTTGGCTTCCTCAGGGTTGAGACGTGGTTGATTAATCAAGTACGCGGAACCGTCCACACCTCCAGTCCACCCAACGCCGCCTAAATTGTCAATGGGAGAGTGCCTCTCCGTTAGGATGAGCTGTTCGATCTCCTCCCTCGTGAACGTCCTATCCAACTGCAACACCTCACGACCAGATATGACATGCGTCTGACTGGCATTTCTCGTTCCCCATTTTCCATCAAGGTAGTCGTCGCCATGCAGATCGGGATATATGGCCCAAGAGAGCTCCGAGCCTGGCAGGTCGTCTCCCGATTGGAGGTAGCCCTCGCTCCAGTACCGCTCCTCGGGTGAATTGGGAAATTTCCCATCGATGTACCGAGTGAAGTGAGCCGGGGTTTTCAAGCCAGGGAACCTCTTCCAGGCGGACCCCAGAGCTTGGTCGTCGAAATTGAACGCTGTGAGCTGTCCCGCCATGAACAGCGCGTCAGGCATGCGTTCTCGCCCCGTGACGAGTGAGAGCTGCGACAGAAGATTGAACGGGTATCGTGCGAAGTTTCCCAAGAGCTGATCCTGGTCCACCCAGGCCCAGAACGGATTCTGCGAACTCTGAAACAGGTCCTTCATCATATAGCCAAGAAAGGGGCGCCATTCGTAGTTGCGGTAATCCTCGCGGTTGGACCACTCCGCGGTGACTTCGGCATGCTCGGTTGCATTGCAACCCCAGCCGAACGTTTGGGAGCACATGAAATCGACATGTCGACGAATATATTCGTCGTCGCTCATGCAGACGACTTTGATGTTGTTTCCCCAGGTAATGTTCACCCCGGCCCCGTCAAAGTCCATGCACGATTTGTCGGGAGTCTTTAACCGGTTGATAAGCAAAAGATCCACCGAGTCAGCGTTCTTCTGGACGGTGTAGTAGAAGTGCCGCAGATATGGTGCGAAATAGTCGTCTTCCCACACCCCGACCAGCGTTATCCGACGTTGTCTCGACGGCAAGTCATTCACACCGGGGAACCTCGCAAAGGCACCGCTGAATGGTGAAACTGGAGCTTGATCCGACTGGTTTCTAGAGCCCGAAAACATTGAATCAAAATTCTTCCCCAGTAAGAAAGTTGCCAAAGCGAACATGGACGCCAGGGTCATGTACAATATCTTGCAAGTGAGACGATGCTCCCACACCTCGTTAGTAACTCGACACAGCAGCCCGAAGTAGCGCTTGACGAGGCTTTCCCGCTACAGCGGTAATGAGCACATTGCCGATCTTGATCATGTCGATAGGACGTACCTCTGTATGTACCCATTTTGGCAGGCTGAGTTGTTCATCTGATTCGGGAGAACGGCTGTCACATCCGAGCAGTTCGTGATCTTCGCCGCTGCCGGGGCTCGCACAAGATTCCAAATCGTCGCCGCCCATAGTGACCTCGTCATTGGGAGATGCCGAATATAGTGGTCCAGAAGTTCAACATGCTGAGTTTCCTGAGGGATGGATTATTATGGCTATGACAACTCTGTGTGTGTGTGTGTGACGTCCAACGCTCCTCGTCGGTGAGATGTCGTGAGGTGGAATGTACCTGGAAGGGAAAGCATCGTGATGCGAAGCGACGTTCTAACTCCCCAAACCTCAGCCGCGTTCCAACGCCACCCCCCTTCCTCTGCTTTCCCTTTCGCAAGCCCTCAGGAGTTGGTTCCGGGTAGCGAGGTATATTGTGATCTTGAAGTGGGGGTTCAGAGGACAAGGAGTGGTAGTGGGAGAGATATGGTTTGACCCCTGGTTGATCGTCGCCCAACTAGGCCCCGAATCATCCCCCTCGTAGCCTTGGCCGCGATCCGGTATTTACAAGCCCTCGTCCAGCTTTACAGCTTTGCAGGTTTAGTGCTTGCATTCATACCACTAGTCTCAGACAGCTCAGCCTCCAAACCCTATCTCTCAAATACCGCAATGCTCGTAAGACCTAGAAAGGAAGATTGCGACTTTCCCCTTGCAAGTCATGTCGGATTGTTGCAAAAAGCATGTGACAATTTCGCGTGTCATTTCAATGATTTCTACTTGTGAGACCCGGTTTTCTTGGTGATCGACCTCCAGTGGAGATTTTGACCCACCGACTACTCGGTACAAGTAGGGCTAGTTTTCTCGATAAAGGTTAGGACATTTAGATACCACCCTGCCCATCTGCCTGTCCATTATCGACGAGTACGCGGTAAGACGCGCCTATTGCCTATTCCTCGAGGCTGACACGAGTAGGTGTCTCCATAGGGCATGTTCTCACCTACGACGGTGCTCGCGCCATGGCCTCCTCCATGTCGCTTCGGCTGCGTAACTTGCCAGGGGATCAAAGACAAACGCAAGCATTGTTCTTGGATAAGATGGCCGCAAGGATTCTGTAATATAGAGTCTGGCTACCTCTGGCTGATCTCGATGCACCGTGCCACCGGCTACAAGTCAAAGGACAGCGACATCAACACTGATTACCAGCGGCGACTGACACGATGGATACTCGACATCGTCTCCAGCACCATGACGAACATCCCACAGGTGGTCGATGGTCAGATATCGGTCCTGTTGCAATGGTCAACACCAGGTCCTGAAAGCACCTTTCATCGTTGGGGTTCGGCCTGCTTCAGGTTTGATATTTGAAGAAGATCAATTTCAATTTCGGGGCGCTTCCTGTGCGAGATAAATCTGTCATTATATAATATGGAAATCCCCCTCCCCCCAAAAATACTGGACTGTTTTGAATCTCCAACTTCCACCATATCTAGTCTCCCCATGACATGACTTCGTGTCTCCTACGTACCATGTCGTCAGGCGCATCCGTCCAAGTCAATGGGCCAGATCCGTCTCACCGACTCCAATAGCCCTCCATCTTCCACCGCGGCTTCAGCAACATCTCCTTCAACTGGTGATCGGTCATACTGTTGCGCCACCATTTCTCGTGCACCGCCGCGATGCCGTGTTTGTAGTCGTCGAAGACCGGGTGGTTCATGACCCAGTAGTGTTGAATCTGGGAGTAGGGCATGTTGCCGTCGGGCCGGTGGACGTATTCGAGCAGATTGTTCTCGGGGGCCAGCATGGGAGTCCGGCCGTCGATGGACCCGATTCTGAGATAGTGCGCCAGCATCTCCTCGGACGGGTGGAGCACCATGAATCCCGCGTTGAGGGCCTTGGAGCGCGGCGCCGGCCACGGGTGCTTGTCGCTGCCGATCGGAGACGAGTCGGCGGCCAGGAGATAGCGTTGGGGTTGGGGCCCTTCGTCATCTTTCGTCTGGTTCTCCATGCCGAGGTTGTCCTGGATGTCGGTCTCGGGCTCCTCGAAGATGGCGTCGAGGGGTTTGAAGAGGACAATGTCCAGGTCCATGAGCAGGACCTTTTCGAACTGCGTGAGGCGGAACACGTTCATTTTGTCCATGACGTGCTTCCAGCGGGGCCGGTCCGGCTTGACCGTCTCCAGCTCGATGGAGGGGAACTCGGCGATCCAGGCGCCCTCGCGCTCTAGGCGGCGTCGTTTCGACTGCGAGACCTGCGGCGAGACCAGGACCACGACGGGAATCGAGTTGTTGGTTCGTGTCTCGGGATCATGGAGAAGTTGGTAGATGAGGAGGCGCACGGACGTGAGATAGACGTCATCTTCGGTGTCTTCCTCGCCGGCATCCTCTTTTTCGGTGGGTGCCAGGTATACGACGTATGCATACTTGGACTCTGGCCGCTGTAGAGTGCCTCCGGGAACCACGGGTCCTTTGGTCGATGTTGCGAAAGGCGACGAGACAAAAGAGCTCTTGATGACTTCGTGGTACGCCTGGGATGGTGATGTCGGGCTAAAGAAGAGGATGAAGACGATGAAGAGAAGAGCCCCCGCAATCACCACTTCTCGCGAGCACGGTGTGAACCGACGTGAGCCCATGGTCGTGTCAATCGACTTCCTGGCACCTAACAATGAAAGAAGGATATCGCAATAGACAGTGTCGTGTGAGGGCGAGTCAAGTCAGCGGAATGGATTATCCTCGAAGACATGTTGCGTGCACGGGGTAGAAGGGGATGTCCCATCACAATCACCCCTTATGCCCAAGGATCCACGCGTGAATGGGGATGCAGTATATGCTACGAGTACATCTGTCCTGGGCAGTGGAGACGAGCGCTAAATAAGCGAGTCTTCTTGCCTCGATAACACTAGTTGATTACAATCGCTCCCAAGAATGCTGTCAGACGAAAAGTTCAGTATACGGTATCGATGGTGCCGATGGGTCAAGTGCGAGCCCACAAGCGACGATCCCCCCAGTTTAGCAAGTTGAGATGGGGAACGGTAGCCATAATTCAATTTTAACCCATCCCAAGCCTCAGTGGCAACATTAGCCAATGGTTCAGACCTTGAGAAACAAGGTGAAGCAAGGATCCCATTATCCATGCAAGCAGACAAACTCCCCCTGTCGAATCAGTTGGATGATCAAGAACGATCTCGTTCATTGGTGTCTCGCACTTGACAGCTACGGCCTCGACGTCAAACTCGAAGAGACGCCTCTGAAATTTAGTTCAGTCACCCCTGTAGGCTCTTCGGTCCAGCCCTGGTCACTGGATAGATTGGATGCGTGAGGCCGTCTTACGGTACGGCGGCAGGCCAAGATGTGTCGGTAACTGTTGAGGTCGATAGGTCAGTTACATATTGTGTGGGCGTGGGAGGATCTCTAGGGCTCGGAGACGTAGGCTCAGAGAACGGACTTTGGAAAGCCCAGTAGGTCGGTGTACTTGGCCACCGTAACCGTTGTGATCTGACAGAGTTGAGACTGGACAAACTGGTGGGTCTGGATAGGGAGCGAGTGTCTGCGGATGCCCCGGCTCTACCACTGGAGTTAGTAGCATAGAGGCAATCCAAGATAATCCAATGGTAACGCCTGCCTGGGAAAACGTGATGTCTCGACAAGGGAAAGGGGGCTTCTTTGGACCCTGGAGGAGGATGGAATTGTCATTGCATGGCAACATTGTCCAGGTGAATGCAAAGCCACCCAATCTGACGCAGATGGATGATCAATCCTGCGGAATGGCTGCCGTGGCGGTTCGGACGTGTCAATGGGAAACAGAATTTCGATTGTCGCGATGAGTTGAACCCATGGCAATGTGAGGCAGGGAAAAGGGGGAAGCACCTGGGCGAACTTTGACGAATTCAAACTCCCGTCAAGGAAACCTTACAGAATGCCGACCACACAACAGAAAGCAGGCAGAAATGCTAGAAAGGGTCGGGTGAGGTTAACAAACCGATCAAGAGTCTTAAAATGAGGATAGTTGATTCGGATCAAAGCACCCGAAGTGAAAGCCAATGCTTGATCCTGAGTGATCTTTCCGAAACCTTATCTGGACACTTGCCATTACGCTACAATACAAGTGCAAGACGGTGCCAACCTTTGCCAAGTTTGTGCAACGGTAAGTTCGTTTGACTTTCTTTTCTAGGAATAGTGACTATTTCCCGGTACTATAATGGGTCGAGAAGGGCCAAGTTTCACGACAACGATGCAGAGCTATTAAAAGGAAGGAAAAAAAGGCCGAGGAACGAGATAATGGAGTGTGCGAGGTACAAGGACGAATGTACTTGTAGAAAAGAGCCTCGCCGGAAACTAGCCATGGGCCATGTCGAATAGAATGAATACAGAATGTCTGGAGAGCTTGGTTCTTGTACTATCGATCGCCAGTGGAAAGACGTAATTGTTGGATGGAGGTGCATACATGATGAATGTGAGAGGTAGTCAAAGCACCTTAATAGATTGAAATACTCGCTACATGTAAGGCATGGTGTTTAGCGTCGTTGTTCCTGGGGTAAATGTTCCTGTAAACGTATCCAGGAACCGGACTACCAGGCTAGTCAAGGTTCAAGGTCAGGTAGTGAGGTCTCTTGCTTGACTGATAGAATAACTAGACATCAAAGAGATCGATACTGAGGTTAGCTATATAAAATAGGTGGTATCGAGGTGACAGTAGTGGGTGGTGATAGTAGATACCGCTAGTAGGTGGCGATAGTAGGTAGTGATACGAGATGACAATACGAGGTGGCGACAGGAGTAAAGTAACATCTCCAAGTTCTACCACCAGCTAGCTAGATTTGGTGGTGACAGATCCTACTGAGTAATTACTATGCGAACTTTACGGCTGTACGAACTGGCGCTTGCACTTGGGCTTGCCCTTGCGCCCCCCCATCATTCCCTTAACCTTGTAGCAAACTCAAGGTAAGCCCCAATTCCATATCGCGTTGCCCCTGCGGGACAGCCTTTCGTAGTGATCGAATAAGGTATCTCCTGTTTCATACATGGCCATGGTGACCTTTGACGCTCTTTTGCTTCCTCTGGCTCTCCCAGCGGCCATCTCAGATTGCCCGTCACCTCCACGATGGCATTGTATCCTGGAGACGAACTGTCAACCCGTCACATAATGCGCCAGAAGATGTGTTCGCGGCTTGTGATATCGCTGGCCGGCCTGCTCATATTCATTTTCCCTGTCATCATCTTCTCACGCCGTTCAGTCGTCCCCAGCAGCCTTTTGAACATTGGGCCCTTGGGCCAGGGTGTCCTTGACGACGTGAGAAATTCAACTCTAGGGGTGGGTGCGCGATGCTTTGGTTTCCATTTCCCACAGCGGTGACATACCAAGCTGATGTACTTGGGTTCAGTTCGAAAAAATTCTCGTCATCTCGCTACCAGAGCGATCCGACAAGCGCGATGTATGGGCTCTGGCTGCAGCGCAGTGTGATCTGTCTATTTCTTGGGTTGATGGCGTGAAAGGGGAGGATATCCCGATCAAAGCCATTCCGGCGGTCAGTGACTTGAACAGACATCGCTTCTACTTCGGTACTGATCCTTTGGGCCACAGGGATGGAACATGCGCGAGTCCAACTCTACACTCGGTTGTTATCGGGGCCATCTGAATGCATTCCAAAGGTAAATTGCGAACAGTCAACATCATGAACAACAACCCCCTTAGTAAAGTTTCTTCCACTAATGTTGTCAATGAAGGATTATATCAGAGGGACTGTCCAGCGCCCTGATTTTTGAGGACGACGCAGAGTGGGACATCAACATCAAATCGCAACTGGTGGAATTTGCTCGGGGACTTCACTACCTCCAGGGGGTGGAGAAGCCTGAAGCCTTGCACTCACCCTACGGCGACGACTGGGACGTCCTCTGGATCGGGTACTGCGGCGCCAAAAGCCGTTCTGGCGACCATAGTTATTGGATCACGCACAACGACCCAACTGTGGTGCCAGAGTCACTTCGAACCGAGACTCGGAAGGAAGGCAACCGCTACCTGGACGACTCTGCAGAACCGCTCCAGGGAACCTTCACGCGGGTGGTCACCGAGCCGTACAACGTCCGCGGCCTCTTCGCCTACGCAGTCAGCCAGCGAGGAGCACGTCGGTTCCTCTACAACTATTCAGTGCGGGCCAAGGCCCGGACCGCCGACGTGGCCGTGAGCGAGTTCTGCAGCGATGGCGTGTCCGGCGCGCGGTGTTTCGCTCCGTTCCCCCAGTTCGTCGACAACTACCTGGCCGCAGGGGACACGGCCAAGGACTCGGACCGCCGCCCGTTCCATTCTGAGTTCCGCAAGGAGGGGACGAGCAACAACATCGTGTTCCCCGCCAAGACGAACTTGGAAACGTACATCAACAACAGCAGATTATACCAGAGCCGTTGGCCGGACCAGACACTGACGGAGTCGATCAATCCCGACACATATATCTTTCCTCGCGGACACGGAGTGTACTTGTCGAAAGAGCACTTCAAGACTCCACAGAACTATTAGCGACACCTCTCCAAGTCGTGTCTGAACGTGTCGGCAAAGGACAGGGCGGAGTGCGATCCTGTCTGTTTCTTTGCCTCCAGCACGGCCATTTCTCCTGTCACGATCATGATCTCTTTTGCGGCCATGATTGGACAAGTTAAATTCGTCAGGCTTAGCAGTATTTTGGCGTACCGGATTTAAATCGCAGTGATAGATTCTGCTAGGTACATAATGCTGAAGATTGAGAAAATCTCACCATCTAATCTCTCTACCTCCTGACCTCGCGACCGCATATTTTGTACGGCTGACCTTTCTGCTGTGGCCGCCCAAGTCTAGTGTAGGAGTTGAGGTTATTGTTAAAGAGAGAAGAGCCAAGCTCTGGATGAATTATAGAGATGTTAAGTAGGAAGAGAGTATCCAGGCGCGGTTGGGAGTTTGATTAAGATCGTCTTTTGTCGCCAAGAGAGAGCGTTTGGAGCTTGATCTCAGGGTGCTTGTTGGTGCTTGTAGATGTTTACCGCTTTGGGATATCGTCGACGCCGCCTTACGCCCGCCGAGCCTCACACGACACGTACAAGGGGCTCGTATGGCCTCGTGGTCACCCCAGGCACTCTAACTACGGAGTAGATCAATGTCAGTTGACCCAAAGATACCGAGAACTGTGTACTCGCGCTCAGTATCGAGTACGACTCAGCCATCTGCAACGAAGCCCGCCATGACGAATGGCGTCCTCAATCCTTCGTCTCGACTATTATTTTGGCCCTATCTTAAAATTTGATGGATTTGAAAGTCCCATCATATGGGCAGAAGATCTGAAGGATACAAGTCTGTAAATGCCGACTGCGAGCATACCCGCTTCTCTGGACACCAATTCTGATGTGTGTAGAGGCTGCATGTTTGGAGACCATTTGATTTTCTGGACCTTCCGGCTGATACTGTTTGAAACGACGACGCCGCGGACTTGTCGAGGCTTTCATACTTTTAACCTCCAGCATCTATTCTTTATCGATCGATATCTTTGCGTGAGATGGTCTCCTTCAAATGTGCTTTTACCACGTAGGACCGAGCTTGGCTGGCAGACAGCCGTCCAGTTCATCTGCGCCCGGGTGACCCAACATAGTCCAGACGATGCTCATCAAGGCTCGTCGAGTAAAGTCATCCGTGGGTAGTTTGAATTCCTGGGAGGGACAAAGCGGATGTTTTCCGTACATCACCGAGACTGTTAGATATTTTATGCTCGTAGAAGGAGTCGACCCGTCGATGCCTAGTAATAATATGACCACTGTCTCGATGGACCACTTGCTAAGAAGTCAGCCATTGCTTTATTTCAGCTGGGAAAGGAATGAGTAAGAGGCGGCCGTGATCAATAATTCAATTGGCTAGATTTCACAGCATTGCTTGGCCTTGCCAAGCCAAAATTTGCGCAAGGCTTCCCCAGAATCTATGAAGCGGGCAAACATAATTTAGCAGGTCCTGTGTAGCGCAGGGCAAAGCTTGAGTTGCGGAATTGCAGAGCTTCGAGCAGAATGGTGGGAGGTAAAGGCTCCTGATTTCGTATTTCTTTCATTTTCATACAACTCTGGCGCACTCGGCAACGACAATGGCTGCCAAATCTTCAAAAGACTCTCTGAACGCGGGCAATCCTAACCAGACGTGGGCATATCTCCCCTCTCCCACTTGCGTTCAAGTTTACTGATGATTCTCGCATAGACTCTTTCTCAAGAATCTTCCCGAGAAGATCAACAAGAATGAGCTGAAACGCGCCCTGTACATGCTCTTCACCACGTACGGTCCCGTCCTCGACGTAGTCACAAATCGCATTGGATCGAAAGGGCAGAGCATGCGCGGACAGGCCCACGTCGTCTTCCGTGACATTCAGACAAGTACACAAGCCATGCGGGCTCTACAAGGATTTGATTTCTTCGGCAGGGAAATGGTATGGATACTCCCAAAAGTTGAGATCTGAATACGCAAGTTAAACTCTGGATGCAGGTTATCGTCTACGGGAAAGGCCAATCGCATATCGTCCCGAAACTTCGAGGCACCTTTGAACCTCCTACAACTGCTGCAGGCGCTGCCTCCGAGAGCACCGCTTTACAGAATTCTATCTTCAATGCTCCACCGTCTGGAATTTCGACGAAGCCTGCCGAGACCGGGGCCAAACCCACTGGAACAACTCCCGATGGCGCGCCACACGGCACGAAACGACCAAGAGAAGAGGAAGAGGAAGAAGAGAGCGAGGTTGAAATGGAAGAAGACGAGGATGATGCTCCAATGGAGGAAGATGAGGATGATTAAAACCCGCATAGAAAGAGAGTCGCACATCTCGCTGAATCGAACAATACCAAGCCCTCCTGCCGTCGTGGTGCCCAAGCGCCGTCGAAGACCTTCATCTGGAGCAGAGGAAGATCATATCAGACACCTGCTTACGATTCAGGCCATGTCTGCTCAGCGGGCACTCAAATGGAAGACAGGCGAAAGGTCAGGGGGAGCGTGCTTCCGCCCTATGTACCCATTAGCCTACTCGGAATGTGCAGGCCCACAGCAGACCCAATCAATCCCAGCCACAGTACAAGATATTCCTCCGGAGTGGGGGAGTTGGGTTCGAGAGCTGAAAGGGCACCTTGTGTGTTGCATGGATGTAAGAAGAAGGCCGGCCGATCTGAGACAGGGTGGTGCTGAGAAGGGAGTCAGCGCCTGAAAGGACATTGCCGAAGACCTGGCCTACCGCCATACTGATGCCTCCCATAACGCCAAACTCGTGCACCGAAGCGAGTGAATGTTCCGGCACCAACCACTCATAAACTTGCTCCAGGCTTAACGACTTGTCGTCTTTGCCATATCGGCATACAAACCAAAGCACCGGCACAGAATAGGTTGGAGACAAAGTAATGGAGAAATCAGCAATGAGAAGCTCGACGCTTTCGACGCTCGGCACGACCTGCGACATGTCAGCACATATATGGTAGATATGGAATACAGTTGAGGCCTCCTACACTATCTCTAACGATGCAGTCTTCTATGCCAGTCTCAATCAGCTCATCCGTGTGCGCGTCATTGTCATCACTGGGAACTCCTCTTTTGCCATTTTTGCAGGCCCTCCTCCGTCTCTCTTTAATCAACAGTTCCTCACCAGTCCACCTTACGCTCAACCAATTCGTATCGCTGATCTTGTCTGAGCTCCTCTGTTCCAGTGCACTACATGCGTGGGAAAACTCCTGTTCGGTGATTGCTGGAAACGCGCGTACTGACTCCCGCATCTCTTGGAGGGAAAGACCAAAGAGTCATGGTTGATTAGAGCCAATTATCGTGATAGCTGAGGAAATCTTCAGGCTCCTGGGAAATCGAAAGTTACGAGGAAGACCCTCCTACAGCCTCAACGAGAAAGATTAACGCCAAGGCCCGAGCATGATTGAGTGCGGGGAAAACACATGCCATTGTTTTCCCCTCATCGTTTTTACATCATGCACATGCGCAATTTTCCACTGAGCCTCAAAAAGTCGAAGCAAACTACATATCTAGCATTGTTACACCACGCCTGTCACATTGGGCGGGCAGTTTTCGACATGACCGGCCACCATCCTTTGCGGGAGGCACCACGAGACGTACGCTCCCTTCCTTTTCATTCTTATTCCTGAGAATCCCCCCAACTCTCCAGCAAATGGGGGGCCAATGGAGGCCAAGTGGCCCGCGCCTGGGCCAACATCGAATCCAACCTTCATTTTTGCCCGTATTTCGACTCGCATGTTTATAACTGTTTTTGTCTAGCTCTCCGAAATCGCCGAACAAGAAGAACGCCTCGTCCTTCCGCACTTTACCGCGGACGATGCCCTCGACATCGGGCTATCGATCCGCAACCGCCTGCGTGCGCTCTCCCACCTCGCCGCGGTGGTGTCGATCTCGCTCGCGAATTCCTCCAACCTGTTATTCCACGCCGTGTCGCGGCCGGGGGTCCAGCCGGACAACGACATCTGGGTGTCGCGCAAGAGGAAGACGGTGTTGAGGTGGGGCGTGAGCACGTGGTTCATGCACAACAAGTTCAAGGGGGACGAAGAGGCCTTTGCCCGTAAGTACATGCTCGGCGGGGAGGCGGGGGGCACCTTTGCCATCCACGGCGGCGGCGTGCCCGTGCGGGTCAAGGGCGTCGAGGGCGTCGTCGGCGTCGTCGTCGTGAGCGGCCTGAAGCAGGACCAGGACCACATGGTGGTGATTGAGGCGTTGGAGGAATTTATCAAACAGTGCGGCAAGGAGGCCGAGAGGGGGGGCCAAGGAGGAGAGGGAGCGAGGTGACTTGAACGCTCGCCCATCATATAACCGGCCAGCCAGTGGTTGAATGTCCAGCATGGACAACAAGAGCAAAAAAAGGTGAATTAGACGGGCTTGGAGAGCATTTCATTCACATTTCTCAATGGCATTTACCTATAATGATTATAATAGATATACATTTCCCAATTGCATCGGAGCAGGCGACAAGTCGAGAGGTGACCTTGTACCTTTGTGCCTTTGTGCCTCCGCACAGCATCAACGACCCTTTGAAAATCAAGCTGGACTCGGGGCAGGGATGGTTGCCAATGTCATAGACGGACACAGACACGAAAACTGAACTCGGCTGCATTTGTGCGACGGGGGAGAGTCCTAGTATCATGGATGGATGACTTCTATCTCTTCCTCGGGGATCCTCCTGACGAATGTCAATGTCCCCCGTCTTGCAGAGGTGGAGGTAGAGGTAGATGTTGAGGCTGCGGCCACAAAATGCCATCCATATACAGGCCAGGCCAGGTACGCCCTCGCCTCTGTCCAGAACTTACTCTACTCGCACGACAAGTAAACCGCCATGAAGACGCAATCTTGCTGAGCCCCGGAGGTCCAAGCGTTGGATGTTTCGATGGTTTGCTTATTCATATTCATATTCTCAATCTACAGTACTTGCACCTACATACGTGCATGCGGCGGGTGTATACCAGATCTTCACCCGACTAGAGGGAACACATATCGCACTGCGCACTTACCTTAGCTCTCGTCGCTGCCAGTAGAGGCGTGGTTACCGTGTGCGCCACCTCCCTATTGCACAACGTGTATTCGTCATGGCTTGGAACGCCTTCCCACCTTTTTTTGGCCCATGGCCCAGTTTCTCTACTGGTGGGGTTGCTCCTCGGTCACTCCCAACCTCGACTACCATGTTGTCGGCAGGAAGGGATCTTGCCAGCAAGACCTGGCAACCCAGGGTTACCACTAGGGTCGTTTGAGAGACCATTGTTGGGTGTGTAAAGCCACGCTCATGCTGATGATGGGCCGTCGGTCGAGGCAAAGGCGACGGAGGAACGCGCAAGAAAGTCATCCGGCATTTCCTTCCGTAACAATGTCACACTGAAAACCCAAGTGAAATTGTGCCCCGAACTCAGTCACTGTGTTCCACAGGCATCGGTGTCCATCCACTTTGGGTGATCCTGGCAGACAGTCCTGGCCTCAGGACATTTCCCGAGTGTATGTTTGGGAGTAGAGGGGCCGTTGGCGGCTCATGGAATCAGATGACCACCGGCCATGTTTTCTCGACGGCCTTTGTGAGGCTGGCGTGGTGCCTCTACCCGCAGTATGAGGCCCTTTGGTACGCTAAGGTCCTCCGAGGTGGTTTCAGCTGCCGAGAGAGCGCAGAAGAGGCGAGGAGATAGCGGCTCGACGAGCATGTTAGGTCAGTGGAAGTTGGCAGGCTGCGGAGAGGATGGGTACACAGCATAAACGAACTCCCAGAGACATGTTCTGATCACATGGTCCGTAGTCTGCGTGAAAATGCCAAAGGCTGGAACAACAGAGTCTCGAAGCACGACCCAGTCACCACTTGGGCAGACATGCGTGCACAAGGGTGAGTCACAGCCTGTACGACTTGGATGAGGTGGATGCTTTTCGAGCTCGCATCCTGGACAAAGCCCTTTGCGGAGATATTGAGTTGCTTAGGACTCGGATGCTGGTATGCTGGTAAGCTGATAATTCAAAAACGTTCGAGGCCGAAGCCGACCCTTGGTGGGGACTTCTATTTACATTTTGCCCGAAACGCGTACGGCTTCCAGCTCGGAGTCGAGTAGGACTCGGATGTGCTGGCTCTTGTGCTTGTACGCGCCGGGAAAGCGGGGTCAAAGGGTTCAGGTTGCGGCATGGCGAAGGATGTCGAAGTGAGAGCAAAACAGCCCAAGAGGGGATCTAGTGTGCATAGTAGTGTCGTGTGAAGTCTGGGTAACAGGATGTTTTCCGAAGTTGTGGCCCTGGAGGGTCGCGAGCGAAGTGGTATCCCAGAACAAGTAACAGAGTTGAAGAAATCAAGCTGATATCTTGAAGCCATGGCCATGGCAGACACGGTCTGCATATTTCCGGCCCCTAGTGCGCGAACAGCTTCGGGCAGCATATAGCAGATATTAGCCAATAAAAAGAGACCTGACAACTGCATTGCCAGCATTGTATCGCCATTCAATCCTAGGCGAGGAGCATTCACGGGCAAGAATTGGTGGAATGATGCCAGGGTAACTAGCTGAAGACGCAACAACAGTTCGCAGATGGTTGCAGTCTTGGAGGTTATTAGGCTATCCTCGGCAATTGTCTTTGTCCTGCGCAGAATCCTTTTGGGTTACACAGCATCGATGGCGTTGAAGGACGTTGTGTTTGATGGAAAGGAGGTTCTTTGCAAATTTGCTCAAAACGAACCCACGTGCTGCTGCACCTTTGACGGGAATGACTTTGAATGAACAGCTGTGGTTTGTGCCTCGCATGGAAAACACCCCAACGGGTTGGTAAACTTTTCTACCAGGTACCTGTGCTTGTACCATATGCAAGCTCCAAAATGGCGTTGGGTTTTGGCGCTATCAGCATTTTGGGTGAACTGAAAGAGAAGGAGAGAGGGGCAGAGACCAAGAGAGACACAAGAGGTCCTGTGTCACCACCCAGCTTCGGTGGGATGAAGAGGGGCCGCACAGTGGTGGCAAGCAAAGAAATGCCGCAGTCCTCGCCTATCCGTAGGTAGAATCTTGGTTCCAGCAATCTAGAGAGATGGACGGATGGATGGATGGATTGAGTAATGACCGGGTAACGATGGGAATTTGAAAAGAAGTGACACACTGGCTGGTGTCGGACATGTGCAAGAGATGTTTTTCCTTGGTAGAAGTGCCTTTCCCCTCCTTTTCATGTGAGGTTGGGTAATTAGTACAGTAGTAGAGTGCGGGATACTATATTGGGACTAGTCTTCACACTAGCATTGATATTAGAGAGGGAAAGCATGATCTGAAACATTACTTACTACAAGTAGGGTAAATATCTGGGAATGAGGCACTTCCGCATATCACCCCTCACATATCGGGTAGTCGCGACTCTCCATGGTGACTTGAGATCGGGGGGTCTGGACCATGTTGATCTGTACGGAGCACTATCCGTGACAACTAGGCACTTCTTTGTCCTTCTCCTGTCGATCATATCGATCGAAGTATTAGCTACGGATCGGGGTACTAATTCCACTGGCGTGCACTGGCAAACTGGGTACCTACGTGAGATCATCACTCCCACAGTAGCGTTAAATGGCACCAGATGGCACCACAAACGGAGTACTGGTACCTGTGGGTACCTACTTACCTTAGGTACTGCTTAGAGGGGCCGTTACAAGTACAAGCACATACCAGCACTCGGTAACTAGTACTGTACAAGTAAGTATTGTACCTAAATGGTTCCGGGAAGCCACGGCCGGATGTCTACTTCCGGCCTGGAAAACTGAGTTTTGGTGACGTTCTGTGGTTTTGTGTCATCGTCATCTCCATCATCACCTCTACCCATTACGGCACTGTAGGTAACAAATCTTGTATAGGTGTGACCTTGCCTAAATCCCGAGAGGGTGGTTCTATCAACATGGAATTACCATGGCCCAGTCAATGCAGGGTAAGCAGGCCAGCCAGGCCCTCGAGAAGTTTCGCAGCTTCCCGCCAGGCCTTCCCCACCACCATTGCCGGAAGGTACTCGCATGTCAGCAATGACAACCAAGCATTGCAAATCTGAAGCAACCACGCAACTTTCCGGTGCTATGTTATGCAATGCAATGCACTGCGTCTATGCATGGATTTTTGGTTCATCAAAGGAAAAGGCCCTGAAAGAGGCGAGATGCCCTCATTACTGATGTTAGGGACAGGTAAGGCAAAGTTCAAGGAATGGCAAAGAGGGGCTCTCTCCCCCCTTCCCGTCTCCATTTCTCGCTACGAACTAACACATGTCAAGAAATCTAGAAGGGTAACACAGAAGTGGCAAATAACAACAAAGAATGAAACGAAAGAGAGGCCCTGGCATCTCGCGGTAGACTCCATCTTTGCCTTTCCCCAAGCTCCCGAATCCCCATGCCCTGTCGTCCCAAGAAAAGGGGGGCCCAACAGAACGCGCAAACAATAAGTGGCTGATCCAGATCGAACCACGTCTCAACGTGCGATATGTCAGCCACTCAGGAGAGCCGTCAGACCACACTTGCAGGGCTTGCAGCACGCTCGCTTTTCCCCTGGTCGTACAATAAACAAATAATAATGGAGAAGGGTGTAGGAGAAAGAAGAGTCGAGAACACAAAGGAGAAATGGAGAAGGGGAAAAAGACGCGTAAAAACCCAATGCCCATGCGCATGCAACCATCCACACACCTTGGCCACTGGGTCCAGCTCTTGTCGGCTCTGCCCTGTCCCTTGCCTTCCCTCTCACCCTCATAGTGCTTCTAGAGCCTTCGCAATCCGCTCCGGTCCTATTCCGTGTCCTCCCATCTTGGTATTGGCATCCGCCAGTGGTCTTCGCCCCACTGGCACCGGCGCATCCCAGCTCCTACCTCCTTCGGGGGAATCGTCCTCTGAGGCTTCGCTGGGCGGCGTCGAGCTCTCCGAATCCGTCAAGATCTGGTACTCAGTCACGGTGCTTTCGAAGTCGGGCAGCTCTGCGTCTTTAGCTTGCTGCACCCAGAGCTTCTCGGCCCTTTGCAGCTGGTCGAACCATTCCGACACGGTCATCTCTTTGCCACGGCAAGTGAGGACCAGGTCTCCGTACTGCGACAACCCGGCTCGCGACGCCTTATGCTTCCAATCTGGGTGCGCGTCTTCCACCAGGTAGCGCCGTTCGGCGGATACCGCGTTCATGTAGTTGAAGAATGCACTTTCGGAATCTAGAACAGATCCATCCCGTGTCAGCCTGAAACTCCAAGGCGTCCCTTTGGTGCTGTTGACAGATCTGACAGGTGGACATGGAGGAGGGGAACAAGAGCTTCGCGGTCAGGCAGTAGGCATGGAAAACTTACACGATCCCGGCATGCCCGGCAGAGGAAGCAGTCGGTCAAAGCGCTCGTCCAGAAGTTCTTGTAATCTGAGGTACGAGGCATAGACAATGGAAGTAGATTCTTGTAAAGTCCAGAGAGCATCTTGGACGGCCTCGGGCAGTTGCATCAACATCGAGACTGGCAGTGCCGCCACATGGGAGACATCGCTGGGGTTGTGTGAATGGGGAGGCTCAAGAAACAGCATGTCGGCAATAATTGAAGTGGGCGTCATGGTGACCGTGAGTGAGGAGTCAAGAATGGCTGTGCCAAAGATCCAAAAGCCTTGTAAGGTTGGGTAGAGTTGAGGGACTCGAGAGCCAGAGAGCCAGAGAGTGAGACAGTGAGACAGTGAGAGAGGAAGTTGGACGTCGAAGGGGGGAGGAGTAAACTTGAAGAGCATCCAGGTCAGTATATATGCATCACGGCTTCGCAGCACGTTTTAGACGCCGGTGGAGCGAGTACTTGAACAGTATAGTCAGATCAGGCCACGGATATTTTTATATGCGCCATGCATTCAACCCATATAGAGCCATGACAGACTGGGTAGTGGTCCAAGAACTGGCTGTTGTGATTGGACCGGAAGCTTGCATGGCGAGGTGGGAAACTCCATATCGTCAAAAACGCCCGAGAAGCCAACTGAATGTGCTCAAAAGAATCATTCTCCTAGCCTACATTGGCTGGAGACAAGGACTCGACTAATGTGACGTATGTCAGTGATACAACAAAGAATCATGTTTCCTTTCTTTCTCAGAGCCTGATCTTGGCCATGGACGGGTGTTGGAGCGCGCATCAATCACCTCGTGACCTTGTTCCTCAGACATCTCCGATCCAGATGGAGTACGTTGAAAGAGTGCCACCACATTAATTCCATCCACACCTGGGTAGCTGATCTGCAAGAGCACCGCGTGGGCCTTGGAGAAATCCGTCTGAAGAAAAAGCACAATGTGACGCCGATTCTATTCAACTTTTCCTGCGGATAAAGAGAGGAGTGAAAATCGCAAGGTCGCATTGAGTGGGGTTGACGCTGTGTCCATCCGTCATGGTCATATCTTCCACAAAACCGCCAAAAACCACCAGGGTGAGTCCTCGACGCTGTCTGAAAAGATAATGCGTCGATGGGGAGAACGCTTTGCAACGTGCCTTTGAACGTCGATTTCACGATTTACTGGATTCTGCTCGATAGATCAGCGATCACACAGCAAGCGATTGCAACCAACCAACAACACATACCGTTGGATGAGGTGCACCCCGGAAGCAGTCTCGATGACGCCGCTCAGTTCACCGGGTTGCAGGGCGAATGCTGCATCCTCAAACTCCTTCTGCATCTGTCCTTTACCGAAGAAACCCAGGTCGCCACGCTTCCGAGCACTGCTGCAGTCCGACTCGGAGACAGCGAGGTCGCCCAGGGTCTTCTCGCCGGAGCGGATCTGCTCTTCGTAACCCTTCAACATTTGGATCGCCTCTTCCTTTGACCGGGTGATATTCGTCTCTCTCCAACTCGAGGGACGCCGGCTATCCTTGTGCTTGACCAGAAGATGGGCTGCACGGATCTTGCCTTCACTGGCAGCCCCATCAATGCGGGCATTGGCGGATGAGCTGTGGTGTTGCGCCATGTAGATCTTGAGTTTGTCCGTGTCGGCATTCTCGGGCGGTTCCCATCTTGATTCGTGCGTCTTCTGATTGAAGTAGTACGGCAGATTCTTGGAGTTGGAGTGGCGGACCTCCCAGTCAGGGGGCAGTCCAGTATCGGTCTCCGTCTGTTCGAAAGAGTATCAGTAGATATTCATTTTCGCCGGTGCAGAGTTTGGCGTGAGTGCAACTCGCGTACCATGGCTTTCTAAAGCGACCCGGCTGATGCAGCACCGTTCTTAGGAGAAGAATTTTGTCACGGTGTGATCCTGTAGATGAAAGTACTGAAGGGAAGATGGTTTCTTGTTGAGATGCCCCGGTTGGTGTTGAGCGCCTGCTATTCAAAGCGCGACCGAGGTGGGGCAGCGGGTTCGTCGTTCGTCAGCAGGTCAATAATGTCAACGAAGTGCTGAGCCGGTGAGGGAGGATAACATAGGGCTGGAAGTGGCTAATGGACAGGAACAAGAGCCTGACTGGTTAGTCTCACGCGGTCTGGACGGTCATCGGTTCACTGTTGAGCCCGTACATGCGTGGGTTGTGGAGGTGAGAGTGTAAGAAAGGTCAGAGGTCATTAGACCAGCATTTAGGAGATATTCAGGTACTAGGATCCCGTACCTAAGTTAACAAGGAACCCACCAGACACAGTCATTTGGGATGGCCACACACAGTGGATCTAAGTAGGCTTTGTTTGGGGGAAGACGCTCTAACTTTTGGCTAGGTAGACAAGGTAGGCTAGGTAACTGTACTCGGTACAAGTACCTCTTACGGAGCACCGTGACTGCGAGGGAAATTGCGGGGAGCAAGAATTCGTGCCCTTTCGCATTCACCACTTCTTCGACAACATCGCCAGCACCATCTTGCTATCTGAACTCGTCGAGTCGCTTTGACATCGTGTTAATACGATAGCAGTAATTTATTATACGCTCCAGCATCTACGCCCTTCTATTCGGTTTGTCCGCACAATTACTCAGCAAGATCATCCCCGACCTGAAGAGCACCTGGTTATCCGACAGTCACCAAAGTCAGCACCCACCAGCGTGCATTCACCCTGAAGAGTCGCTTTCAGAAAGGCGTCCTCAGACTGCTCTATCCCCCTTGTGTACATCTCCAATTTCACGTATTCAACATGTCTGGTGCCGCCTCTCCATCTCCGAGCGAGGGTGAGAGCAAGCGTGGCGAGGTTTCCTACAGATTTTGTCAAGAATGGTAAGCATCCAAAGTTACCTCATGTTATCTTTCTAACCTGAGTACTCCAGTTCGAACCTTCTGTACCCAAAGGAAGACCGTGCAACATCAACCCTCCTCTATATTTGCAAAGCATGCCACGCCACTTCGCAGCACGACTCTGCCTGTACCTACCGCCAACAACTTGGTGCCAATGTTCAAGAGACTGCCGGAACAACCGCTGATGTTGCACACGATCCAACGGTGGGTTCTGCTATCTCTGAGCTGCCACCTCTCTGCACCCTTTGTGGGGACCCGTTGAGATGCAACACATGTGGCGCCATCTAGCAGGCGAGGCTCTGGGGAGTTCAGAAGACTTTGAAATCAGGTCTCTTGAGTTCTCCTCTTCTCCCCGAGTCTAGTCTGAGGTTCTGAGACACTTGACTGACGGCTTGTTTTACATTTTGTACAGCTTCCTCGCGCACCCAAAAAATGCCCAAAATGCCGGGAGACGGAAGCAGTTTATTTTCAGTCGCAGCAGCGTGCCGCAGATACGGGAATGGTGAGTCCTTGTCTCGTGACCCTCAGCCTGAGCATTCTAACTGGAACCCAGAAACTGTACTATGTTTGCACCTCCTGCAATCATGTCTATACTGTCGTTTGAGCGAGGTTTTTATGGCAGGCATTGGTATATCATGGTTGTGATACCCATACACTAGAGGCGTTTCCAAACAACGACTTGAGACGAATTTTATGAGAGCTGAAAGGATAGGACGAGACCCAAAAAAAATTCGGGGTTTATCAGGTTGGCCAGGAGCGCAATTCGCGCACAAGAGCGCATAACACGCATCGAGTATGTTGGTCTAGAATTTTTTATTCCGTCAACTGTTTGTACAAGAATTCTTATCAGACCCAGCAATTGGCAATCCGTCTTCCACCTTGCGCAAGCATACAGTAGTGCTCAGTAGTTGGAATCATACGTGCATCGGCGCCAGCGACAAGATCTTTGACCACTTTTTATCCCGTAGTTCTGCCCCCACGATACTTGATAACCTCGTTCCAATCGGGTCCCCGTTCTTGTTGATGAGGACACAGGCATTGTCGTCGAAGCGTATCAGACTCCCATCTTTCCTGCGCTCCTCCTTCCTCGCTCTCACAACCACTGCGTGTCGGATGTCACCCCTTCGTACTTTGTTCGCAATACTCAAACTCGATCCGCCGGGGGTTTCTGCGCCGAAAGACTTTTGTTTCTGAACAACGACGATAATCCTGTCACCTGAGGGCGGAGAGTAATCAGCGAAATGGAAACTCGGTGATTCGGAGGCTCTTCACTGTACCTATTCTCGCAGCCTGCTTCTTTTTCCTCATGACAGCGACACACTCGACAATGGCAGCTCCGGAGTTGTCGATGCAATTAAGCATCGTCTAGCATGAATCATCATCAGCATGAGACACAGGCATCGTGGCCAGCTTCTGGAAATACCCACCTTCAATTGTATCATCGTGGCAGCATAATGCGCACTATTGTTAAAGAGGACACAGGATGGCAAGTGTAGTTTGCAACTCGCAAAGCGAGGAATGAGTCTAGCTGCAGATAAATTATGAAGTGGATAGAGATTCAATTGGGTCCTCAGGTGGGTGCCAGGTGAAGATGTGCATGGGTGGCCGATGGGCGCATGGTGTTCCGTGGCCGATCGAGACCAAGACACGGCACGCCAACCAAACAGAGAGGTCGCTTACCCTTATTTCGTTAAGCTCGTCAACCCTCCGTGGTCGCTCCAGCCGCCGCCGCCGACGTTCCACCCCCTCTCTAAGGCCTCGAAAAGTCACCCTTCCATCGCCCTGGACTTGCCTTCCGTCTTTCATAAAGTGAAGCAAGCTGAAAGTCTCTCTCTCTATTTCTCCAGCTTTAGGAGACAAATCATGCACGATTAAGGTGCCTAATTTATTGGACCATTATGTCACTACGTGTACACATTCTCTATACCATTGTTCCGCTCATTTTCGCCTCACTCAGGCTGGCCTGATTCCAGACCGCGTTCCAGTGGTCAATTGTTGATTCAGCCCCTTCCACTCCTTCCAAACCGCCCTCAGCTGAAAAACATACCAATCCCTGTTATCTTGCTCCCTCCACCTTTCATATTGTTGCTTGTTAATGACATATACCACGTCTCTGTTGTTGAGTGCCCTCTGTACACGCGATAATGGCTCGGGGAAAGGGCGCGGCAGAACCCGAAAAGAGCCAGCGGCTTTCCCTTGCTGAGCTGGCCGCTCATGACGATGTGTGCTCAGATGTCATGATAGATAATGTCCGTTACACTATATGTCATGAGGAGACTGTCGCGCTGACACGGAGCAGGCTTATTACAAGGCAAGAATCCGAAAGAATCGCACTAAACACATCCCAATCCGCGGTATCAAGGAAGACGAAGTCCCTCAGATTCTACTACACAAGGTCATTGTCGACAAAGATGTGGACGCGGCAGAGAAGGCCCTTCTTGCGCTCCCTGGATTGAAGAGGTATAGAAAGAGTTTGCGCAGCAAAACCGAACAGGAACATTTTTTGCGTCACCTGAGAAAATACATAGAGATGTACCAGACTGATTGCGCTTGGGAAGTCTCTACAACCAATCGGTACACTATTACCACTTACGAGGCTGCGGTCACAGCAAGGAGACGGATTCGGCAGGGAGATACCATCAAATATCTCACCGGCACACTGGTCCCTTTGACCACTGAAGAATCGGCCGACTTGGACCTGACGAATCGCAATTTCAGCATAGTCGTTTCTAGTCGCAAGAAAAACTCATCCATCTTTTTGGGTCCTGCTCGCTTCGCCAATCATGATTGCGACGCAAACGGACGCCTTGTGACGCGTGGAGAAAACGGGATGGAAGTGGTTGCCATGAAAAATATTGAGGTCGGCGACGAAATTACCGTCTCATATGGCGATGACTACTTTGGGCCGGGCAACATTGACTGTCTGTGCCATACCTGTGAACAACTCGAGCGAAATGGCTGGACATCCAAGGCTGGCATTCTGGACACTCCCAGTCGCACCTCCACTCCGGTCCATGAACCTCAACCAGTGGTCCAGTCTCGTGGCTTAAAGCGGAAAAGAGACTCGAACCCTTCACAATCTTCTTCCGTACCACCTCCGTCGAAGCATGCTAAAGGTGTGCAGTCCCCATCTAAGTTGCAGCATTCTTGGACCCCTTCAGACAGTTCAGATGCAGAAACGCCCTTGCTTCCAGTTGAGCGACTCTCCGAACCGATCGAGGATCTGCGGACCGTTGCTTCTGAGACAGGCGCAGCACTCTCGCCACCTCGGAGTCCATTGCAACCCGAAACGCACGGGTCCGGAGAGTTCTTGACTCAAGTGGGTATGAAATCATCTGCTCCGGTAAATGGTGTGGACCATGGTTTCGAGCAGCAGGAGCAGTCGTCCGGCTTGTCGCAAACATACACAAATTCTAGTGCAAGCAGGAAGAATGCCAACCTTCTAGGCAAGATATGCTCACGTGCTCCATTATCCCCGGCACCGACTTCTCCTTCAAGCCATGGTTCCGCAACTGAGGCGGGCCAGTCACGCATACCGATCCTCCAACCTCATAATCCCGATACTGTTGTCACGGTAAAGGTTGAAACTGTCCAGACAACGAAGGTGGAGGTGGATGAGGAGGAGGATTATTATGATGACGAGGATACAGTCGTCATGATTGAGTCTAAGCCAGAATCTGCGCAAACCAGTGGAAGCCTCCGGCAACCGCAGGAGCGGCCTCAAGAAGCGAGCACGATCACCGAGAATGACTCTTCTATTATTCCTCACACCGTTTCGGTTCTAGCAACAACGACAGTCAGTAAAGCGGTGCGCCCTGTTGAATCACCCGTTGCCGCAGCCACGGAAACCAGTGTGCTACCATCCATTGAGCCCGTGACTGTTTCAACAACCGTCAGCACTTTGACCGTCCATCCGGTGACTGGCACCATCCGCATTGCGGGCGATTACATCCTCACTAGGAAATTACTTGCCCAGCCTCATGATCGTTGGGTACAGTGCCACAACGACAAATGTCTTGGGTTCTTCATCCAACCTAATGGATACCAGACGAGACGAGAGTGCCCGCGATGCGAGCGTCACAGTATGCTCTATGGATTTCCTTGGCCGAAGACTGATCCGGATCCTCGAAAGTTGCTTGAGCGCAAGTCTCAGGGAAATGGCCGCGGCAAGAAGAACAATGCGCCGGCCACCGAGTACAGTGCATACAGGCGCAAAGGGAGATGTGGAAAAGGGACGTGGGTGGAAGGTGGAGGAGACCCGGAGGAACGGGTCATGGACCATCGCACCATCCACCGCTTCGTGTTGCCCGAAGAAGAGAGAGAGCTGACCCGAAAGGGCTTACTAAAAGAAGCCGAAATCGCTCGCGCAGCGGGAGACCACGCCTTGGCTATTTTAGAGGCGAGGATGCGCGCAGGCTCCAGCTCTCGCGCCCTGAACCAGGGAACAGCAACGGAAAGTGCTACGAGAGATGTTAGCGAAAGCGGGAGTGCTACCCCTGATGAGCTGAGGAGGAGAAGTAACAGGTTCGTCACGCGGCCTGTAGGCGTCTACACGGACAAATTCTAGGGGAAGATGTGGGGACATTTGCCCGGGTACAGTGGATGCAAAAGGTGATCACTTACGCTGGTGACATTGTGGATTCCTGCCAGAAAGACCGCAGAATACATCAGATCAAAAGCACCAAGTTGTGCTGGAGGGCTGTGGCTATTTTTTGTCGTGGCCAGGCAGGGTTGGTCTGTACCCAGACAGCAGAGAGGAGGATTTGTACATAATGTCGCTGTGCCAGAATTCGCTGGGGATCTTGGCTGTCCGTTCCTTGAGGAGTGTTATGAGCAATCCACACGCCACCGCACGCAGTCAATGAATCTGTCAAGTCGACATGGCTTGCCTGCACAGCGCACAGAAGGGAAATCCACGTGGAAAATCATGGCGTATAGTGCTTCAAGACACGATGTACGGAACATTTCTATGCAGGACAATAACATGAAGAGCCGACAATTATCCCAGGCTGATAACGAAGCCTTGTCAAGCGCATTACGAAAATGGTGCCTGGATCTTTGGACCTTACCTTTGCGCACAGAAGGTTAATATCTCAAGGATGATGGTAAACCTGCAACCAAATCGTTGATGGAATTCTTGGGCAGGTATCCATTGGTGGTGCCCATATAGTGAACAATCCACAAGGCAGAATGGAAAATGGACCAAGTCTTCCGCTGCTGGTAGTTCTTGAAAAGGACAGGCATAAAGCATTGCCAATAAGGACTCCCTCAAACACGAGATTGCCCCCACAATGTTTAGATTCTTCAATGTAGGGAGTGACTATCTAACAGTACCTGTACGATGAAAATAGATCGGTCCTGCTAGCGAAAAAAGACTCCCCTCGGGAATGATTCATTTGGGCACCGTATGATGATGAAGAAGCCATGGAGACAAAGCAGTTCATGATAAGGATTGAGTGCCGTGCGTTGCTGCTGTTGAATGCAGTACAAAGGTGATCCGAAGATCCATGGATTTATGTCACTGAGATCCTGCGACGATGGAAACGAGGCCAGCAAGACTTGCGTATCTCTGCATTTTCTAACATTGAAACACGAGAAGACGAATCAAGGTTGTTAGAGAGGCGGAGAAAAATTATATCGCATCTCGGAAGACTTGCTCTTCTAAGCTCTGGCTCGTTTGTCGATCCTCATTTGCTCCCCCGAACTTTTTCCAACCAGGGCGAAATTTGGTCAATAGAGCTCTCACCGAACAGCATATTTGGTCAGTGGGAGGAGTCTAGAAAATGGCTCCCCGATCAAGAGGTGCAAAGCGCGTCGCAGATGCCTTCGGTACGCCCATTCTACTCCAACATTGATGATGGCAGAGCTGACACCTCCCTATAGCATCTCCTTCGCTCCACCATGTCTGTTCTTCTTGTCTCCAGACTCTGTCCAGACGCCATTACGCTTCTGCGGCCACTGCCCAAGCAAACCTTGGATCTCAGTCATCTCCGTCTATCACTCAGCTGTCCCCATCAGGGCCTGAGGCGTCCTTGTCACCACAACCGGTCTACACAATCAAAGCCGGGATCGTCCTTTCCCGCCCGCCCCTAATCACACCAGACCCTCATCCCTTCGAAACAGCATTTCATCTTTATCAACGCCGTCTCAATGAGCGCCTCGTCTTGCCCTTCACGCAGTACTTCTACTACCGCCGTAACACCCCTGCATTTGAACAGTGGCGCAAACACCGCCGCGAGCGAGGCGGTGCTGCAACGCGCGACATCGGAAAGTACAACGCGTACAGCCCTGAGGCGTGGAACGATGAAGTGCTTGTGGGGGACGAGACCGGGAAACCGGAGAAGATACTAGAGCATCTCATCACTGAGGAGGGCAGAGCTGAAGAATTTACTGGACAAGGGGATCCCAAGTTCGCGGGTTTGAGGCGGGTTACAGAGGCGGATGAGAGCAACGACCAGAGGAGCCTCGAGAGAAGGTTACAGAGGACGTTGTATCTGTTGGTTAAGTTGAAGAACAAGGGTGGACAAGCAAAAGGCCAGGAGGTGGGCGACGACAGTGAAAGATGGCTATGGAGGTTTCCCTCTGGGCCGGTCATCGGGTTTGAAGGGCTGAAAGAGGTAAGAGAGCACAAATTTTCCCCTTCCCGGCCATTCCTTGGAGCTGTGTTCCATCATCCTGGAGCTCATCGAGCGCATGTGTGATCAAAGAGCGCTGACCGAGAATCTATGAGAACTGCAGGCCGCCCAACGCATCCTCTTCAGCTCGCTAGGCCCAAACATGAACACCTTCTTCGTCGGCAACCACCCTGTTGGCCACTACGTGGCCAGCTTCTCTTCACCACGCCCGCGTCCATCCTCTCCCCCTTTATATATCCCTGGATCCTCGCCTGCACCAGATGCTGAAACCATGGAGCATCTCTCATCATCTACACAAGCTAGTGCAACTACACAAGTTGAGAAGGCCAACGATCTTACCCCGTTAAAGCAAGATCTCGCCGCAACACAGGCTCTGGTCGATGGCGAAAAGACGTTCTTCATGAAAGCCCGGATAATGGCTGGTCAAGCCGACGTCTCATTCCCCTCCCATACCAATCTCAGTGGGAAAGAGGCAAAGGCTATGGCTGATACGAAAGCTTCAGGTGTCGACAAGGGCGACGTCAGGGATAAGAAGGGTGCTATTGTGGATATGGGGTTGGACGAAATCGAAGATTTCAAATGGTTGAGTAAAGACGAGGTGGAGGAGCATGTCCATCCAGACTACTGGGTCAAGGTGAAGAATATGTTGGTGACGCAGTGAGGCACACCAGTCCTCTTTCATATCCTCGGTACGCCACCAGGAAGGAGCGGGCACTACAGAAGCAGGTGGAGAACGAAGGCAGGATTCGGGAGTGAGGGAAAAGCCCTCGGCGCTTTTCGAAGGCCTTGTCTATCTGAGGTGCTGTGGAACAAAGAGGACACAGGCATCTTGTTCTGTTGCAAAGAAGTAAGTATCCTATGCACACTTGGAAAGGAGCAAAAAAGGAACCGATGACTACCAAAGGTGGATCTAAGTTCCCCATGTCCGGACCATGAGCCTGAGATGACTGAGGACAAACGGCGAAAGAGCAGACAGACGCCTTGACAGTGTCCATGTAGTATTTACGATACAAGTGTATATCGCAAAGGAAGGGGGTGACCTGTACAATATACATGGGCGAAAAAAAGGTGAAAACCAAGTGCCAGGACGATAGCATGTCTCAACATCCTTGTTCGATTATTATTCAACGACACCAAGTCGGTTCTATGCACCGACCGGGTAATAAATCAAATAGTCCTGGGCCCAGACCAAGTACGAAAGGAGGCGGACGAACAAAAGATCGCAATTTGATGGAAATGAGTTTCATGATCCATGATCGTGATCGTGATCATGATTTTGTGTATCTATCCAAAGCCCATCTCATCTCATCTCATCTATTATTTGTGGTTAAGGTATCCTAGTCTCGAGGCTTCTCTGTCCAATTTTGTTCCCTCCTTCGATAGAGAAGAAAACCCCAATATGGAACGCCGAACCTGGAAAGTATCTATCGACTCTTGCGTAGATAGATAGATAGGTAGATAGATGGCCTAGGAATCACATATATCACCAATTCCACTCTTGCGCGGTGCGTAGTGCGTCATGGTGTGGTGTGGTGTGGTGCGATGCGAGAACGACGACGACATGTGGTCAAAATCGCACAAGGACATCCACGACCACGCCCCGGTGATCGCTCATCCATACCTTGTCGTCGAAGCGATTCGGCAGCACCCCGTACGTCTGGACCATTTCCCTGATTTGCCCGTAAGAGTGTGCCTCTCCTGGTCGCGGTGCCACGCTCTCGTCCCGGTGGTGGTGGTGGTGGTGGTCTTCCCCCTGCCGGCCGCCCTGGGTGGGTATGCCCAGGTGCACAAAGTCGATTCGCTCCCTGCCCCCGGCGGCGGGATCGGCAGGGAATCCAGTAAATGTGCGCTCGTTGCCGTACGCGTAGATCTTGCCGTCGTCGTTGTTTTGGGGTTTGTCGTCGTCGGATGACCCGACGAGGCGACGGGTGTCCACGAACCCGGACCCGGGCTGGTTGAGGACCTCGTAGGCGTCGCCGTCCGGGTGGCTGTTCAGGTCGCCCGAGAGGAAGGTGAAGGTCGGGTTGAACCTGGAGCGGAGCCGGGAGGCGACCCGGAGGATCAGTTTGGCGGACTCCCGACGGGAGACTGTGCCTTCGTTGTCCAGGTGGGTGTTCATGGCCAGGATGAGCTGGTTGCCCTGTCTCCCCGGGCTACTAGATGAGGTGGTCGCAGCTGTTAAAGATCCGAGGTCGTTGTTGCTGTTGTTGTTGTTGTTGCCGACGAGGACCGATTCCAACACGGCGCACGTCAGAATCCGAATGCTGTCGGCGTCCCAACCTTTCTTGCCTACCTCGCCCGTCTCGTTCAACCAGACGGTTTCAAAGTGAATGCATTTCCACGCGGACTTGCGGAAGAAGATGGGACTGTACTCCCCCTTGGTTTTGCCGTTGTTGCGGCCCACCCCGACGTAGGTCCAGTCGTTGTCGTCACTGGAGCCTTGCGGTGCCGTCGAGGTGTTGAACGTGCGACTGTGCAGGTCCAAGAGTTGCCTGTGCAGGACCTCCTGCATGCAAACCAGCGTTGACTGGGGCGCAAAGTGCGGCCGCGTGTGGTACTTGAAGTGGCTCGAAAGGTAAGGGAAGCGGTCTGGCCACAGCTTTTCGCTCTTGTTGGGGGTGTCGGTCGCGAAGCGGACGTTGTGAGTCAAGATCCTGATGGGGAGGAGGGTAGGAGACGAGTCTTCCGGCATCGCTGCTTTCCCTGCAACGACTCCCGGTGGAGATGAAGCGTCACCCATGTCGAAGTATGTATACTATGCAAATTTGGCCGGCGAAGTGATGGGGTAGACACAAAAGGCCACAGGGGTGAAGATATGATTGCTTGAGATTTCCCTCTTCTTTGGGATCTTATCCCTGTTCGATGAGAGCACGAGGACTATTCGTACTGAGGGACGAGAACTACTTTTTGCAGTCAAGGTGTAGGAATCTGCCGAGAAAGGAAGGGCGCTGAAGAGGTAAATATAGTTTGCGGGATGGAGTGACAGGTCCTTACTATTGTGTTAAGCCGTGGCGCGTATCACAACACAACAAGGAAATTAGCTTTGATTCTGACATGGCCTCTGGTGAGGCTGTGACAGCTGGGGCCAGAGCAAAAAGGAGGACCTTCAATAACAAACACAACTGAACCGTTGGAAACACAGTACAACCAGCGTTTCAAATGACGTCATTTGTAGAATTATATGCCCCAAGCATAGATGGCATGTTGAGGAGATCTATGGTCAACGAGTGAAGAGTGAAGCCACATGAAGACCTCTAAGCATAGTAAGTGGTTGCTAGGAGAGGCGAAGACCGCATAGTGATGCATGAGATCTCTCACGGTCTAACTAGTCCTTCTCTATTCATGTTTGACATGCACCACATGCTATGCCCTGAAGAGGGTGCCAGCTCACCCAGCTGACCCTCACGCCATTTGGTCTCCAGCTTATAGGGAGCTCTCGCTTGTGGACAGCTTAGTGCTCGTGGATGTCATGAGTGCCATGATAGGTGCCAGATGTAGATCTGGTTTCTGTAGGGCATCGTCTCGTGGAGCCACGTGGGAATCTTCACTGGAAAGCAGCTCATCAATCCCAGCCTTGTCCCAGAGATTTCGGGTGAGACCAGGACTCTATTTCTTTCTTTCAACACCCTAGGTCGTCGCTGTAATCAGTGCATGGTCAAGCACGTTTGACCAGTCGACCATTCCGAATATATCATGTCGTGTTACATGAGGCAGCACGCTCGTCCCACTACTTATCTGCCAGGGAACCTGACGACTGGAAATCGACTTCAGCGGAAACAATGCTGCATAACTTGTCACGATAGCATTTTTCATCAAAGGCATGTTTATCGTGACTTCGGCCCTGTGCACCGACGCCGTTCCAGCGATATTCACTGCTGTGTCGAATTAGGGACGTGACTCGCAGTAGTGTTCGTGTTAGAGGCGTCAGAACGCTTTCATGCTTCGAGAAAACTCCGTTCGCCTTCTTCCTACACACATTAGGAATTGCTTTAGCCGTTGCGTAGAACTGAACTGGCTCTGAAGTAGCATCTCATGCGGTGAGATCGAGAACATGGCAAGTCATAAGAGGCGAGGAAGGATTTGGCGAGATGTCGGCTAGACTTGTTCAGTCGCTGTTGACAGACGCTAAACCTGATTTAGCTATTAGCGCCCTGACGCGAAACTGCGCCTTGAGGCCGACAAAGTCCAGAAGTCCACAATGATTCCATCGCAACAAGACCCTAAAACATCCTCTTGAGCGCATCAACCCAAGCTTCACCGCATCAGGTATGTACTGCCTTACTCTCCTCGGCCGTTCCCATGTCTCCATCGTGGTTTCGACAATGACTTGAAAACCCGGTGGCTGGCTTCAAATCACCTGTCCAACTTTGCATCACTTTTCCCATCCCGATCTCATCGGATTCCCTCCCAAACGCTAATACTATCATCAGGAACGCGTCTAACGCCTGTGGCTCCCCAGTCTGTATCTTTATTGTTCCCCCGTGAGATGTCGACATGAGTGATACCCCAGACGGTGGACATGCGGTAGCCGCGCCTGGGGAACCCTCCGACCCGGCGACCACCAACGAAGAATCGATTGCGCAAGGCAAGGAGAGGGCAAAAGAAATCCTCGCCGCATCCGGTATCGATGTCGCGAAGAAGGACTCTTCGACCGAGGTCAATGGTCATGATGGCAGCCCAAACGCCAACCGAAAACGCAAGCGCGAAACACCAATAGACCGTCTCCAAGCAGCCGTATATGTCGACCACGAGTACCACTACAAGGCCCTCTTAGCAGAGCAGCTGGCACATCCATTGCTGTCACAGGAGAAAAAGCAAGAGCTTGCGTTATATCAGAGCCTGCGACAACGACGAGATCATGACCCGGGCTCTATTTTTGGGTATGGATATATGGGATATGGCAATCCCAGGACAGATGAGAAAAATCTGCGCGATCCCATAATCTATCCGCGCCAAAGAAGGCCCGGCAAGAAAAAGACCTTGCCGCCCCGGGTCTCGCGAAAAGAACTCGCCATCCAGGCAGAACAGAACGAAGAACTGGTGCCCATACGGCTTGACATCGACTGGGGCAAAATCAAGTTACGGGATACCTTCACCTGGAATCTCCACGACCGAACGACCTCCATCGATTATTTCGCTGAGAAACTGGTTGAAGATTTCGGTCTCGAAGTCCAGAACTGCCGGCCCCTCGTTCAAGCAGTCGCAACTCATATGCGCGAACAGATCATTGACTATTGTCCTCAGATATATGCAGACGATGAGCCATGGGAACCGTCCCTGCCATATTTTGCCTACAAAAATGACGAAATGCGCATTCTGGTCAAGCTCAACATCACCATCGGTCAAAACACCCTGATTGACCAGTTCGAATGGGAGATCAACAATCCATTCAACTCTCCTGAAGAATTTGCACGTCAAATGACGAGTGATTTGTCGCTAGCCGGGGAGTTTACCACTGCGATTGCACACTCGATCCGCGAGCAGAGCCAGCTGTTTTCTAAATCCCTACATATTACGGGACACCCATTCGATGGCCGGCTGATCGAGGATCCGGATTTGAGGGAAAACCTCTTGCAATCGCCTTTGCCCACGACCTTCAGGCCTTATCAGGCCGCCAAGGACTACGCACCGTACCTGTACGAACTCAACGAGGCAGACTTGGAGCGGACCGAGCTCTCCATATCGCGTGAACAGCGGAGGCAGAAACGATCGACGAATCGTCGTGGTGGTCCAGCTTTGCCGGATCTCAAAGATCGTCAACGCACAATTCGCTCGCTTGTTGTATCGTCTGTCATTCCTGGCGCGGCTCTCAGCATGGAGGAGAGTCGAATATTCAGAATCACCAAGGCCAGCCGGAAGTCAGCGCGCGGTCAGCGAGATGGGTTTGAAGATTCCGACGAATCAGATAGTGAAGATTCAGCGCCTGATTCACCAGCCATCCCGACTCACTTGTTACAACCAGGCACTGCCCGTACCAGAGGTATTAGGAATGCCGCATTGAGTGCCACTGCGGGCATCAGATCGAACTTGAGCGGCTTTGCGTCGGTGAGATCCGCGACTCCAGAATCGGTTGCACCAACACACCATGATGGCCGAGCTTCTGCTAGAAAGAGAGACTACAAGGAAGAGAGCGACGAGGAATCTGCTTCTGGAAAATTGATTGTGATATTGAAGATCGGGAAAGCTAAGCTTCGAGAATGGATGCGTTCCCAACGAGCTAGGGACAGGGCAGCTCATGTCTCCAACACGTCGAATCAAGGCAGCCCGCGACCTGGCAGCCATTCCAGATCTGTATCCGCAGCTCCTTTGAACCTCGCAGGCATGCCGCCTCCACCATCGCCCGTTCCAGCGGCCGCAGATATCCCAGGTGCTGTTGATGCTACACCGAGTCCGATCAATCCACCCGTATGTTCCCCTTCCCCCATTGAGAAGTTGGATCCATACTTACATTTTCTCCCCCTAGCCCCCACCGCCGGATTGGCTTGTCCGGGATTTGGAACGATTGCGGAAGACATATCCAAATGACCGCTTCGAGGCTCTCATGAAGCACACAGCGATTGATCCAAAGACTCAAAAGCTTGTTGCGCCGAACGAGTCGAATCGCTCTTTTCCGCACAAATACGTTCCACGTATTAGATGTTCTGACTGTCTTGTATGCTCCCTCCCCATCAGATGCAACCTCTCGTCTGTCGAATATTCTAGATTTCATTCGACATCCCAGCATGGACACAAACTGACAATAATTCACAGGGCAAAGTATACCTACCTGGCGAAGGGCTGAGCGCTGCGAACTTTGAGTCTCATCTCAAGAACCGCGCTCACAGGTCGAACGTGGATGAGCGACTGGCAAAGGAACCGTGATCCACTCGAACTTCAGTATTTGCCTCGACCGAGACTTGAGCTCGACCGACCCTGACGCCTGACATGTAAATCGATGCACACCTGGACGCTTCCAACTTTCCTCCTTCTCAAGGCTGAGGTCACGTGGAGCACGCGAATCTGTGTTGGTATACAACCTGTTGATTGCATGCTTCACCAGACCCCGGGAGCTTCGTGCTGGGAAAAAGATACATGGAAAGGAAGGCGACGGACACAGCAGGAGGTTGCCATGTTGATAAATTTTGAGGAGGGGACCGCCAAAAGCACCCACATTTTGGCAGGGAATTGCTGGCACATCCTCTTGCGGCAATGCCTGAAGCTTACGAGACACGGAGAGGTCATTGTTGGAACCAAGCACATTGGGCCAGCGAAGCTGTACAGGGATGGAGACGCTGATGGAAGCAAGTCCTTGGACATGGATTGAAAGATACCCCTTGAATACTTCTATCCTGCCCACTGTTTGACAAGAGGCATGCGTGCTGTAGATCCAGAGAAGTCTTGGACATTTGTCTCTCAATAGCCTATTTTATTGCCAGATCTGCTTGAAATGTTGAAAAAGACTCTGACGCTGTCTGTTGCTGTGCGTGAATTCAGGGCGTTTCTCTGGTCGTGTGATCTTGGAAGACTTGGTCCAAATCAATATTGCTGCCTCGCTAGCTTTGCATCCCCGCATTCACACAATGGAAATTCAAATGCCCCCCACTAAACCAACTACTGCGTTAAATATCAGTCGAAAAGCGTCGAGTTGCTGGCGACTTCATCTGTGAAATTGCACGCCTCTTTTTTTTTGGACACCACTGCTTTGCTCAAAATGGCTGACGCAGCGGTAGCAGAGGGCATCAACAACCCAGACAACCTCACCAAGCAAGTCCTGTACCTTGAAATGGTTGGGATTCATGACTGACATTGACCGTCAGGTACAAGACCGCCGCGACAATCAGCCACAAAGTCCTCGAGGAAGTCTCCAAATGGCTGGTTGAAGGAGCAAAGATTGTCGACCTGTGCATCAAAGGTGACGAACTTCTCGAAGCAGAACTCAGCAAAGGTAAGGAAGGGCTTTCCACTCCCCCCGCCAGGCCACAGTTGAAATACCTCTTTCAAACGTGACCGTGTGCGGACAAAGACATGGTCAAGACATCCTGCTCTAACATACAAGGGCTGCAGTTTACAAAGGAAAGTCCATCAACAAAGGAATTGCGACTCCTTGCACAATATCTCCTAGCGCACATGTCACCCCATTCACCCCTCTGGTCTCAGACGCCGATGATGCCGCCTTGACCATCAAGGCCGGTGAGCTGGTCAAGATTCAGCTTGGTGCACAGATCGACGGATATGGTGCGATTGTTGGGGATACCGTCGTGGTACCACAAGAGAAGGGGAAAAAAGCAGAGATCACTGGCAGAGAGGCCGACCTGCTTCTCGCCACATACTACGCCAATGAACTCCTGCTGCGACTCATGGTACCACCCGGACTTCTGGCAAGCGGCACAGAGGAAGAAAAGAAGAAGGCTGCCGCTGAAAAACCACCCACACAAACCAAGATCATCTCGCTGATTGACAAGGTTGCCAAAGCCTACGATGTCCATGTCGTGCAGCACACCACGTCTTGGCTGTTTGAGAAGAATGAAATCGAAGGCAAGAAGAGGATCATCCTGTCTCCTGCGGATGGTGCCAAGGGGGAAGGCTCTGCAGACGTCGGCGAGGTGTGGGGGGTCGAAATGGGCATGAGTCTGGGATCCGGCAAGGTCAAAGAGTTGGACAAACGGTCGACCCTGCTGAGGCGGACCACTACGACGTACGGTCTGAAGCGCCCGAGTTCACGACAAGTTCTCTCAGAAATCGTCAAGAAGTTCGGTACCTTCCCTTTCAGCTTGCGGCAATTGGATGACGAGCGAGCTGGCAAGGTCGGCGTGGTTGAGTGCATCAGGTCCGGGGTTCTGCGTGAATACAAACCTGCCGCAGAGGCGGATGGTTCTCCAGTGTCGAGACTGTTCACCACCATTGGTAAGTTGAACCGTACCGTGTTTGATTTAATGCTTTATGCTAACTACCTGTGTTTTTTTGCTACAGCTATCACCAAGAATGGTCTTACACGCCTAGCGGCTCCGCCCCCGCTGGACTTGGAAGCCGTCAAGTCCGACAAGAAGATTGAGGATGAAGAAGTTCTATCAATTCTCGAGCGACCACTCAACAAGTCCACTGGCTCCAAGAGCAAGAACAAGAAAAAGAAGAAGAAGCCAGCCAAGAAGGCTGCAGCAGCGGCTACCACCGAGGAAGAGAGTGACGACGATGAGGACGACAGCGATGACGAATGAACAGCTTCTCCCTTGCCAAAGGCCACCAAATGCTGGCAAGTGGTTAACCAGGCATAAGGCTTATTTGGCAACTAAGCCAACGCGCTCTTGGTGACAGTCACTTTTGACATGCCACAAGATGCACGGGGAGCTGGTTGAATATCTGACGCGACCGACGCTCACAACCGAGAAGAAGCGTGTTTCAGGACGGTGAGAGGATCTCAGGAAGGAGAGCACATGTATCGTGCTCGTCACCGGCGCCCCGATGGTCGCAATCAGTGGCCATGAGTTTGAAAGGGAAAATGAGCACCAAACGATGACCATCCGCAGAACGATCAATAAAGAAACTGTTGCAACCCGTGGATTCTGTGTAATTCGTAATTCTGCCTAGGCTTTGCCGTGACTGGGCTTCTTCCAACTAGGCGGTAGAGGAAGAGGGGCAAAAGCCAGGGGAGGCTGCCCGATACATGTCGCCACGTCATGATGAAGACAGTGACTGTTGCCTAAGATCAGGTTGAGAAGTGATATATGGATGAGTTGTCAGCTTCAAACAAACCCATGAGGTTCGTGGCTGGCTGGCTGGCTGGCTGCGAGCGTGTTTCCTGCAAGAGCTTTTGGGATAGATGGGGCGCGCGCGGACGTTCAGGTCAATAACAAACAGGGATAACAGGGATAGGGAGCTCTCAGCCTTGGGGCCCTTCAAGCAGCTTAGGGGGGCAAAAGGGAACACAAGCACCACAAGGGAGCAAAAGGGACGCCGAGGAGTCGCCGCTGCGGAGGCCGGCGGGCAACTGGGCAGGAGCAGCAACTCTGTGCCAGGCTAGTGGCCGTGTGGCCTAAGGCTAAGTGCCCCTTGCCCGATTCTTTTGTCACCACTGGATTCTGGCATTTCCTCGTTTGCGGAACCACAACACCATGCGCCATTAATAACTTCTTCGTCCTCGCACCTCGTCACAGCCTGCGCCCTCTGCCCGCTGAGCCGCATCCAAGGCTACAGTGAGTCCTCGACTTGCCCCTTCTGACACGTCCCTGAACTAATTGTCAAGCAGTCGGCGCGTGCGGCGCGGAGAAAAGAAGGCAAGGATGGCCACCAGATCGTTGCGGCACAGGTCGAGCCGCTACTCGAGTCCCGCAACATTTGGGGACAAAGAGGCCGCACCAAAGCCCGCTGAGGATGTCTCGACGAGAAATGGTCAACAGACGAGTCTGGACAAATGGATTGAGCCGGCTGTGCGACCTGCGGTCCCCAGCTTTGAAGATACAAAAGGTCTCGAGAGGGTGGGCGTGCTGGAGAATATGCAGCCTCTAGGGACCGCGCCGTCACACCGATTGCTACAAAAGCTCAAACTGAATTATGTCCGCCCTTCGCCACGACCAGCTCCAGCACAGGTGGAAGAAGTTGTCACCCCCGTGGCAGAGCCTGAAAAGGTGGACTCGGCGTCACCGATGGAGGAGGACGTGGTGGTGATCGCAGCACCAACAATTGAAACCGAGCAGCCTGAGATATTACCCGATAACCCATCAATTCCTCACGATACAATTGTCATTTCAAGTCCTCCACGTGGCCGTCCTTCTAGGAGAGATGTTGCAGATATGCACCAAGCAACAACCGTGTCGCCGTCTCCTGGCACATTATCATTTACACCCACCACCCATGTCTCTCCCAAACCGCTATCTATCCAGCAGCAACTCCGACAAGACCGACTTCGCACTCATGTCGACCGTGCTGTACGCGAAGCACATCAGAAGAACACGCCAGATCTGGTGCGTGGGCTCCAGAGAATCCGGGACGATGCTCAGATGAATCCTGACTTGTGGAATGTGTTGGAGGCTTTGATCAACAAATCTCCCAGCTCCGAGCAGTTTAAAGTTTTCAAGCGCTATATCAAGTCGGGCGTCAAGCAGCACAGGAGAGAAAGTCAGATGTCAGCGAGCCCATATCAACCTTCTCCCCAAATATTCAATGACCTCGCTTCCCCTGAACACCGAGAACGCTCACCGAAGTCCAACCACTTGGATGCCAGTGGCCCCGTGTATTCTGAAGAGCGACCTCGCAGAATCAATCTTTACTTCAACCTCCCGCGCGCCTTAGCTACCTATGGCCCTGAAGACACGCCACTGTCGCCGTCTACGATTTCGCGCTCCGCGGACATCGCTGAGCCACTTGGAAAGTCCATCCACCACACCTCTACTTCGTCACCGCACAAGCGGAAAAGATCAGGAAGCGTGTCTACCATCTCGTCGCTATCGTCAGCTCCCTCGATACCTGATGAAATCCCACCACCATGGGAGCCACAGGGTGACGAGTCGGCAGGGGATGGGCGATCACGATCAGCTGGACAGCGCCAAGCCGCAAGCCGGGCGGCAGCCGGCAACAGACTCCGTTCAGCTGCCAGTGCCTCGACTCTCCCTTCTCAAGCTGGCCCGAAACAGTCCTATCCCGAACTCGCAACTTCGTCCAAAGCGAACTCCAACAAAAAGTTCAAGAAGACGCGAGAAGACACCGACTTTGACATTGATGAACTTTCCAGGCGGAAGCGGCTTTATCTGGATGACAGCTTTCATGATTACAACACCATTCCTCGACCCGAAAGCCACGAACGAGACCCAGTCCATAGCCATCCAGAGCGACCTGCATCGACTGACAATCCGCCTCCCCCGGTTATTCATCCAAACCGCCTGGTTGTCCCCATCGCCACACTGACATCCCCAGTGAGCGCGCAGGCTCTGCCTGACAACACCTTGACCAACGGAGGCGGTCGCAAGAGAAGATACGATGAGGTGGACATTGATGATTTCGAGGACTCGACGCCCGACTCGTCCTCTCCTGGTCCGTTGCTTGTGCCACCACCACCACCGGGTGTGGCAAACGCCCACCCACGAGGTGCAACCCCAAGATCGACCAGGCTTCACCCGGCACAGAAAACACGCAAATCTGCGCGGGTCATGGTTTCGTACGTATTGCCCTCTTTTTGCTTCCCTTTGGTCCTGATGCTTCGCCCTGAGGGAGAGAATTGGGGGCGGAGGCCATTGTTGAGATAATCTGGATGGTACTGGCTCGCATGTCAGGCTCCCACCGACATGTTTGGAAAGGCCACCACCTGCAAACCCATCCCATCACCAGTTGGATCTGTGTTCTAGGGGATATATTGGCTGACTCTTCACCCATAGGCCCAACAAGCCCAAGAATGGCGGAATCACAGCAGGAATTGCACGTGCGGGGCCCGGGCGCGATGCTGGGATCGGCAATTTGAATGGAGCGGATTCAGGCGCAGAGGTAGGAAACAAGCCCCGGGCAGCCCAACCCAATTTTCTTCCTTTTTCCCACCTATTTTCCACCTATTTTCCCACCCCCCGGCCACACCAGGCTCTGATCCTAGCCACGATTGGCTCCAGTCCATCATCCCCCCTTACCACCTTTTGTTTCCCCCTTCTTATCCCAGTCTCATCAATCTTTTGGGGTCTTTCTTTTTCCTTGAGACCGAAGTCCTATCCACTTTCTGTTTGCCTGCCTCCCCTTGGTTTCACTGAAGGCTTTCTCCGCCTGCCATAGTGATTGATGTTGCACCCATCAATTGCTGACTTGATTTTTCAGGATAACGACGAGTTTTGCGCATCGTGTGGTGGCGAAGGGAAGCTTCTTTGCTGCGATGGTTGTACGAATTCCTTCCATCATGCCTGCTTGGAGCCCCCCCTGAATCCGGATGAAGAGGTGGAGGGTGAATGGTTCTGTCCGCGATGTGTGGCTCGGCGGACCAAACAGGTCCCTCACCCATCTGGTCTTTTTGGCCTCGTTCTTCGCCGTGTTGACGACATCATCCCGAAAGCCTACTCGCTTCCTTCCGACATTCGCGACTACTTTGAGGGAGTTCGAACAGGCGATGAGGGCGAATATGAGGAAGTCGGCCCTCCCCGCACCCAAAACAATACGGCCAAGATGAATCGGGCCGGCTTCATCGAAGAACCCAATTACAAGGAGACGCGCGATAGCAAGGGCCACATCATCAGATGCTATCACTGTAATTTGACTGCCAACGGCCGCGACATCATTCCTTGTGACTTCTGCCCGGCGAGATGGCATCTGGATTGTATTGATCCGCCTCTAGCCGTCCCACCGCGACGCCGCCCTGGAGACAAACCGGGTGCATCATGGCGATGTCCTCTCCACGTCGAACACGACCTGGTGGCCGCCGGCAGGCAGAGTGAGAAAGCTCCAGGAGAACTTGGCCGCGTTCCTCGATTACGCAAGCCGAAGAATGCAGTGCCACTTGATGTCAGTGTGAGCCGAGGTTTCCGAAACAACGGAATCATCGAAGTCGATCTCATGAAAGACGAACCCGAGTTGGACAAAACCAAGGAAGTCCAAATGCACGGCAAAATTTACCGAATTCCTGAGATGGGTATCAGACTGGATTTCATTGATCGGGTTAAGAAGAGCTGGTATGAAGACCAAGCCTTCCCCAGATTGATGGACGCACCCAAGAGGATACGAAACCGCAAGTATCGTCCTGATGGCGCCGTTCTTCACCATCCACCTTCACAGACCATCGTCAAGATTCGAGAACCCGACTTCTTTACCGGCGCGAATGCTCTGGCCATCACCGAGACAGCCAAAGCAAATGTTGCCTTGCGGAGACGATCAATCCGAGAACAGCAAACCGTTTTAAACCTGGCTCAAATGTCCCAGAGGGGCATCGACGGCTACTCTGGGGATGCGTTGGCAGAATTGACAAATCAATTGATCAGCGAAGCCCCGTCTGACGTGGTGGATGCTGTCGAAAAGACTGAGCTTGATCAACTCCTTGAGCTACAGGAGCTTATCAACCGAAGACTTGCCTTTTTGGGCCGCGCTACAAACACTTCACGCTCACGCTCACGCTCACGCTCGACATCGGTCGATGCCGGGTCTTTGGATGGGGGCTATGCTGACGACGAGATGCCTCCTGCTACCCAAGATCCCAGAAATGATACGACCATGCGCTGGCTCACGTTGAACAAACCACCAACATCGTCACCGCCGTCCACCGATGATGGGCTACCTGTCAATCCAGCATTGCGCGTAGCTGCTGTGGGAGACGTCTCCGGTTCTAAGATGGCGAATGGCGACACGTCCGATGAGCGCGCGGTGGAATCCAAACAAGAAGAAGAAGAAGATGGAGCCCGCCCAGCTCTACTTGATGAAGGCGCGATCCGCCGACGAGACAAGGAAGAAGCCAATCTGAGGTGGCTCGATGCGTTCTTTCCGGCGAGTACTGAGACTTCTGCAAAGTATGGTCCTACGAATAAGCCAACACAGGGTTATGGAAACAGGAACAGCGTTGCTAGGCGGGACCTGTCGCCTTGAATTTACTGCAAATCTAGCTAGCGACCAAGGTCTAGAAGACTAGGTGCCAGTCGACCTTTTTATATGCCTTCTGAGGACGCCGCTATTGAACGCGAGCACCCACTCCAACCCGAGATCTGAGCCCTTGAGGTTGTGTGCAAGGGACGGAGAGCCTATCCCAAAGATGATCAGATGTGAGACTGGAGAAAGGAAAGGAACCCCCCCTTAATGCCAGCAATCCGGACACATGGGAATTCGTCGGGACTAGGAATTGGAATATGGAAAACCTGTTTCGGAGTCAAAGTTTTTGGAGCATTTTTTTCTGAGCTGCTTTGAGTCGGTCCACAGATCCCAATTGTAAGAACTCGAGCCAAAAGGCAGAAGAAGAAGAAGAAGAAGAAGAAGAAGAAGAAGCAGAAGACGAAGTCGGAGAAGACGACAAAGAAGAAACAGAAGAAGACCTTGTGATACGTTAACACCCCTACTTTTGCTGTGAACGTGAGAATACGTTCGTGCGAGGCTTTGAGGGTGGAAGGGTGGAAGGGTGAAATGGGAAATGGGTTTCTCTATTTCGATCTAGTATTTCCCTTTCCCTTTCCCTTTCCCTTTCCCGGTCCTGGTTCCTGTTCCCTGTCCCTGTCCCTGTTCATGTTCATGTATAAAGGCGTAAATGGAATTGGATGGGGCCAGTTACTATTTACCACAATGGCTGATATGTACTACGAGGTACAGAACAGCGGGAATCAACCAGAACCAGAAGGGATATGATATGTATGCACGTAGAAGACGGAAGGTTCTTTTTCTCTTCTCCTCTTTCCTCCCCTGCTTCGATGTGTGTGTGTGTGTGTGTGTGTGTGTGTGTGTGTGTGTGAGAGGAAGAACGTACCTATATACATATATACGTACGTACTTACTGCCGATACCTAGGCACATAGGAAACCGTGCGTGGTCCTCGGCATAGGCTGAGCTACGTACAATCCGTCGATAGTGGAAAAAAAGAAACATCTAACAAATGGTCGAGATAACTCCCCCTATCTTCCCTATCTTCCCTGTCCTGCCTGCTGCTGCTTATCTTGACTGGGAGAATGGACAGTGAGCAGAAAGAGTTCGAATATCTACAACACAATGGCCAAGGACACAACATCAGAGCACAAAGTATGGAACAAGAAACAAAGAAATACCTTGAAGCAGGAAGGCTCTGTGGATCAAACAAGGACGGCGAGTTTCGAAGAAAAAGGGACAATTCATTGGCATTTGTCTGTCAGCTCCAATGGTTCTCACGAGAATCAACCAGCCTTGGATTGGAATGCGCACATGGCTGCCATTCCTGAGATTCAACGTGCACAGTTGGTCCTCGAGTAAGAGAAAGAAACGCCGCTCGACGCCCCCAAGCTTGCGATCCCCTGAAAAAAAAAAACAACCTGCAATTCATTTGTCATGGAAGTTGCCCGTAAAGTTGCCCAGCCTCCTGCATGTACTCCTGCACGATTTCCCAGTCGCCTTTGGATCTAACGCCGCTGAATGGCTGATGAGAACCACATGTCCAACGTAGTCGGGAATAGAAGGTCGGAAAACTGTGTCTTGTGAGCTCGGCTTTGTCTTCAGCATCAAGATGGCCGCCTGAGTTTGAATATGGCACAAACTGTCTTGTGCGTCGCCGGGATGAGTTTGACAAGGTGCCATCCGAGCTCTAGCCATGTCCAAAATGCGTCCAATGTCCCTCGCGATGGAGAAAAAGTCGTAGACGTATCAGCAAGACCTGACAAGGAAAATGGAAGAAATGGTGCTAGTGTCCAAAATCTGATTAGCGTGAGAGAAACTTCGATTGTGATACAGCAAACGTATCACGAACCTCGGAACGAAAAAAGGAATCCCCTTGCTCCATTGTTCGAAGCCCTGGCCCCGCCATCTCACAAAATCGTGCACTTCTTGCTGCTCTTTTTCGGTGGGGGTTCTAGCGCTGCCACGATCGCCTCGTCAAATACGTCCTTAAGCTTATACTGAGTCAGGGCGCTGCATTCGACATATTTGACAGCTCCGAGCTCCTTGGCCATTCTTTCTCCGTCTTCCTTGCGGACAGGCTGCATTTTTTGTTTTGCAAGCTTTTCTCGGACAGATGGATCATCCCGGAGATCGGTTTGGGTGCCAACAATGAGACAAGGAACTCCAGGACAGTGATGGTGAACCTCCGGGAACCATTTTTCTCTCACGTTTTCAAATGACGCTGGTGACGTGACAGAAAAACAAACAAGGAAGACGTCGGTCTGGGGATATGACAATGGTCGAAGACGGTCGTAATCCTCTTGTCCGGCCGTATCGAAAAGTCCCAACGTGTATGGCTCATCGCCGATCCTAGACACCCCCTTGGTCAGCTCACGTGCTCGGGCAGAGACGGGTTTGGGTCAACGACGGCCAGCACCATCAGATCGACAAGCTTGGGACAGATATCAATTTGGGGGATAAGATGTCACCAAGAATTTCGTGAAAGAACAAAACGTAAGCCACGTGAACGCGTAAAAATGGGGGTCGCGTTCTGAGAACAAAGCCAGAGAGTACTCACATCACCGTCACGGCATAGTTGTCGAAGACTGTAGGGACATATTCCGAGGGGAATTTGTTTGTGGTGTATGAGATCAACAAGCATGTCTTGCCAACTGCACCGTCGCCGACAACCACACACCTGGTGTCGGAATATCAGTGGAACTGTCTCACTCAGCCGTGACCGGTAGACTCACTTAATCGTGGCAACAACCATTCCGTTCTCGTCTATTTCAAAGATGTCGTCCTCCAGTCGACGTATGCGGCTTGGATTCAAGGGTCTGAGAGGGCGCACTCTTAGTCTCTGTGTCGCAAGCACAATCTTCTTGAGACGAGATAACATTTTTGTTCAACTTACCAAAGAAAAAAGGGAACGGACGAGTAACGATTGTGTGAGAGAAGATTGAAACAGGCGGTGTTTGTAAGGGAGGCTCGAAACTGTCACTTCACTTTTCTGCCCGTGCTGTGAGGGCGGTAAAGGAGTTCCAACGGGGAAGGACTGTCACCAGAATGGTACGTGAAGTCGAGCGTTTTAGGAAGATCAATACTGTCGTTTCCCATCAGCTTTATGTTACTCCATCTCTTTTTCTCACAGCCAGAATGCTCACAAGGTAGGAAGCGAAGGGCGGGTTCCAAGGTAGGCGCGAGTAGAGGGCAGGGCGGTCAACGGCCCTGGCGATCAGGATCGAAGAGGAAATTGACCAGCAAGAGAAGCGTTGGGTTATGTTCAAGAAACAGAAGATCCTGAAGGAAGTCTAGTCTTCAGTAAGAGAGCAGTGGCATTTACCGGAAATGACAAGTTGCGGGAGGAGTCGTGCGAGGATGGAATGGATAAAAGGGACAGGGTTGGAAAGAGACGTGATGGACGAGGTCGACGTGGAATAGGAATGGGTGATGGAGTCGCAGATATGGAGAGGGAGGACGCAGCTTGCCACGATAGACAGGGAGGGAAATAAAGGGTATGGGGGTCGCGGCCTAGCTTTAGGCACACTAGGCTTGTTGCTTGGGCTGAGCCTTTGGGGGGAGCTTTTAGGTAGAGCAGCTTGTCTTTAGGTGCAGCTCCGTCTCACCAGGCTCCAAGCCCGCCCGCAGTCCGCTTGGTAGGAAGGTCTTGACTCTTCAGCGGGCTGCCCCGAGCCTGACAGCTCTGGTTAGGCAGCTCTGCGCAGCTTTGGGGGCTCAAAATGCGTTGAACTAGGCTGAACCGAGTAGCAGGGTGGTTCCCTCTCCCTCTAAGGTCACTCACTTACTTTGGTAACTCTCATCAAACTCAAGATTGCACTTCTGACTTGCAGCGGGAAACAAAGAGAGTGCTCGCCTATCTTCTCTCATCCTTGACAACACTCAAGCCTTTGTGCGATGCTCGATCTGGCATGGCTCCAAACGCGAAACTTTTGCGCGAAAAATAAACCCTCGGGATCTAGCAATGGGTATAACTTGTATGGACGGACCAGGAGTTTCAGCTGCGGTGGTCAATAGTCATTTTGAGCACGCAATTCATTGGGCTTTCGAGGCACAAAGAATCAAGTCAACAAGCTGTGCTGTGCATATCATTCCCCCACGAGTACACCCCCATTTTAACGGTTCCTACTGGTGGCCTTGTCCGACGCAGTTTCGCGAGTCATCTCCTCAAGCTCCTGCAGCTCCTCCCCATGTCCGCCCAAGAGCGCGTCGAATATGAGCTGTGTCTACGCGATCGAGTAGAAACCGAGTCTGATGTCCGAGTCGTCAAGATCTGCTCCCACAAGGAAGGCTTTGATTGAGCCTTGTTCAGCTATCACATCTGCTATGAACTTATGCGAGCTATACCACTGCAGAAGCACCTGTGATATAGCCCTGACCTACCACGTCATATGTCCATCCCGACAACATGACTTGAAGCCGCCGCAATGTCCAAATATCGTCTTTTGAGATGTCCGACTTTCGTCACAAGTTCACGAGGATGCAGTCAAAGGACGCATCGAAATGCACATTTTGGTTCACGCCATAATCCCACACTATTAGAACGGAGGTATCGCAATAAATCACCTGTAAAACCCTCATTCAAAACACATGTGCAATTCCACTTTCTCCCAAGACCGGTACAGCCAAACCACTCGACAAATTAGTTATTCATTTATTTTGCCCCTATTTCCTCCTCAGCCCAGCCGGAGAGACCTCCACGGCTATCGCTCGTCAGTCCTAGTCCATTAAACCCACTGGTCCCGAAGCCAGTGCCAAAAACCGATCCAAATCCACCAAAGCTGCCCTGTGGAGCATGCCCACCAAAGCCACGTGATGACGACGAGCCTGGTTGCGTAGACTGCTGGCCACCAAAGAGCTCTTGCGAAAAGGCTGGGAGCGATACAGCTCGGGAGTGGGCACTCCTGCTTGCTCCTAGTCCAGTGTTCGTAGGGGCCAGAAGCCCGCCGACGGTGGTGGACGCGCCATTGCTCAGAGAGTTCGAATTGAATCCACCGCTGATGCTGCTCTGTCGAGGAATATGCGACGAGCTTGGAATCTCCAATCCATTATGTCCGTTCGGCATATCACCGTACAGTGCTGCCTGTTGATTCGCCAAAGCATGGTTCTGCTGCTGCTGTAGCTGGGCAAATGTCAGGGAGTCGTCCCGCAAATCCTGTTCAGCTTGAGCTTGCTGTTGTGACACATGTGATAGATACATTGTCAAGGGGTTGTTGTTGCCTGCATTCAGGATCGCCGACGGTGTTGGCGCAGGCAGGCTTGTCTGACGCGCAGCGATTTGAGACTGTGGCCCGACTGAAGCCTTAGGCCCGGTTGGAATCGTCGACCTCGTGGGACTAGAGCCTGACTGTGACACAGCATGGTCAAATCCATTCATTGCAGCTGGAGAACCTGCACTGTCAATCGAGTTTTGGAGCCGTGACTGGCTGCCATTGGCATTGTTCAGGTTCTGGCGAGGGGGATTGCCGCACCGGTCTTTGCCGAAGTTGATCTTGAACCGCTTGTACTCTTCTCGCTGTCGTACAGCCTCAATGGCTTTGATGGCGTTGGCAATGTTGGTAAAGTTTACAAAAGCACAGCTTTTCTCCCGCAGAGTATTGACCAACTCGATTTCACCGTACTCGGAAAAGTCCTGTCGTAGTCGTTCTTCGCTCCAGCTCTCATCGAGATTTCCAATATACACATTTCTCGAGGCTCCTCCGCTGACGGCCAAAGCAATGGCAGGTGGGAGAGCTCCCGAGTGCTTTCCCCACCCAATCTTCAGCCGCCTGTTGTGGATCATTAGTCCTTGAAGGTTGCTCAGCGCATAGAAAGACGCAGCAGAGGTAGGATCGATGAATGTGACGAAGCAAATATGCTTATCGGGAATATATCGAATATGATGGAGCAACCCTCCACGCACGACATTGCAAATCTCCTCGATAGTAGTCTCAGGGTGGATATTTCCAAGGTAGACAGTTCGATTTCCCAAGTTATTGACACCACCTGCAGTAGTTGCAACGGCGGCTGCTGCCACCGACTGTTGTGCTAGGGCATTGGATATCAAATCACGGTCGGCTCCGTTGAGCACGTGGGCGTAACCAGGAGCAATACCTAGGTACTGCGCTGCATTCTGTTGCTGCGTCTTGGAAACATAGGCACACCGATCCTTGCCATAGTAAACCCGTCGGGGAGGACCCCATTTGGGATCCTGTGGCAGCTGAGCCACGGCCTTGACGGCATTACTGATGGAGAGGAAGTGGACGAAGCCGATCGCCTTCTCGCGGACCATCTTGACTGTATCAATGGGTCCAAACTTGCCCAGGTCTTCTCGAATCTCTTGTTCAGTGATGTCCTCGGGCAGGTTGCCTAGGTAGACGTTTCTCGAGGCACCCGACTGCTGTACAGCGAGAGCGACCGAGGTCGGCACCTGGGATGGCTTCCCCCAGCCGATCTTAATATCGTGACCCTTGATTGACAACTTTTTGAGGATAGCATCTGAGTGGAAATGGGTGGCAGAACTGCTATCCAGGAACGAAATAAACGCGCAGTTTTTCTCAGGTAGCAGTCTCACAGACTCGATCTGACCGCTTCGGACATGGCTCAGGATTTCCTCAGCAGACGTGTCCGCGGGAATGTTTCCCAAGTAGACTGTACGACTTGTGCCAGTCATCCATGAGTTGCCCATGCCTACCATAGGTTGGTAGTGCCCAAATGCTGCACCGCCCAAGCCACTGAATCCAGTCGGTGACTGTGCCGTATAGCTGTCGGGCGACATAACCGTCTGATATGCTTGTGGGGAGAGAGGATTGGCATTGGGTTGAGTGGGACTTGTGAGCTGCGCCTGAGCATGTTGGTTCTGTTGATACTGCTGAGTCTGCGTATGAAGAGCATTGGTTCCCGGACCAAAGCGATTGAAGGTGGGAAACTGCGGAGAAGCGAAGGCACCAGGAGAACCTGGCTGGAAAGGGCTGCCGAGCAAAAGCTGAGAAGGCAACAGGGGCGTGAAATTCATATCAAAGGCGGTACCTGGCGTCTGTTCGGTGACATTATAACTATGTTGATCTTTGGAAGCAGTAGCTATCGAAGGAACGGCAGGCTTTCTCTGGTTGCGATCGGCGAATGGAGGGTAGCCCGTGTGGTTCGAGTTGTACGCGCCATGGCTGAAGCCTGTACTATCAGTCCCAAATTTTGAAGCAGCAAAGCGACTGCCAAATCCCCCAAACACGTCCTGACTCTGCATTGCAGCAAGCATATGGGATTATTGATGGATCGTGTCCCCGGGACCAGGTCCAAGGACAATTGGTGTTTTGTCTTTCTTGTTTGTAGGAAGGGGACGCAGCAAGAGAGCGAAACAAGCACAAATCTGGCGGTCAAAGCACAGTTTCGAGCTTTGCAAGAGGAACGACTGGCTGCAGGTGATGTCCGAAGATGCGGAGAGGACGACGTAAGTCTGTACAAAAACGAAGGAGTCGGTTGAATATGGACTGGTGCGAATGGAGTCTATAAGGAAAATATTGAAAACAATATCTGCTCAGAGGAACGGAACGAGCGAATGAAGGGAACAAAATGATGGGATTAGAAGAGAAGACGGGTCAGAGACGAGGATGCAAAGAGGGAACGAAAGAACAGAGAGAGAGGGCTAAAAAAATCAAGGGAGGAGCAACGGTGAACCAGCAGAAGAATGAGGGAAACAGCTCAGAAACGGAAGCAATCAATTAACCGGGGTCTAGAGTCTAGGAAAGTGCCAAATTGAAATGGGTGGCTAGGGAAGGGGATCAGAAATAAGGGGGAAAGTACCGGAGAAGGGGGACCAGGCACGCGGGAGTGGACTCTAAACCGGACGATTTACAAGACAAACTATGGCCAAGTGCCCAGCCCATTGCGTTCGCAGGGGATGTCAGCAGCATTCCGTTATGACCAGTGCATACCCCCTCTTCATGGTCCTGACACATAATTGCAAGCTTGTAGATTCTTCCTGAACCAGCGTAAAGCTCTGACTTGGGCCTGTTCAGGCTGCCAGTGGGCATGGTTTGGATGAATCTGATACAGGAGAAGACTGATTTAAGGTTCACAACGTGTGGCTGCAAGATGATGGGACGGGGATGATCAATCTGCATGCTGATGCAGGTAAGGCGGCACTATGGACAGTTTGGTTAGACGATAGATTGCTTTTATGGAGAAGTTGGGAAGGGGTTAGGGATCCTTGAGAATTATAGCCAATTGAAGCCTGGCTCTGGGATGACAATCAGGTCCGCCATGTCGGCGCCGAATCCAACACGAAAAAATAGGAATTGAAGCTTCCCCAAGACAAAAGGCAAGCTCTCCTGAGTCCAGACAACGTCGTCGGTCTGATGGCGATCATTGCGGAGTTGCTGTCCACCGCGTCGGAAGTGTCAGTCTGAGAGCGAAACATGGCTCGGGGCAGGTCACAGTAGTAACGAGTTCACCCCTGCAGGGCAATGTGGCGCTGAGCTTTGATTGCCCCTTCGAAACACGGAGCTTGGATTGGTGGTCGGCTCTGCTCGCGCTTAGCAGAGAGACGGAGGGCGGTCCCGCGTGTTCTGGCGCATGCTAATGATGCCAAGAGGGATTCTTGGCTTGATAGTTGACATGTTGAGAGCTTCAAAGCCGCAGCCACAACGACACCAATGTCTGGGGTGGCACAGGAGATTGGGGTGAGGCTCATGGGAGCCAGAAACGAGAGCGCAGAGACGAGAAGTGAAACTGCGGATTCCGGATCCATTTTAGCGTATAATTCTCACCGCCAAGCGCGCTAGCCGCCACTTTCCGAAACCTTAAATTCTACTCTATCCGATAAGCCACCAAGCCAACCCTCCACCCACACAACCACACTACCGTGCCACCGTTGACTCACGCTGTCAGGTTGGCTTATATTTTCAGATTTTTGGTCACAATTCGTTGTTGACCCTTCCACAACACATCAATATGGACACTTTCTACGTCGACGAGGACGTCGGTCGCGATGATGACTCTGCCACTGGCTCAGAAGCCGCTCCGTACAAAACTCTTCTCTTCGCAATGATCCAGCACCCAAAGGCAACATATAAAACTAGGAAGTCAGAAACCACACCCGCAGATGCCAATGCTGACCCAGCCTCGCGGTTGGAATGGAAGCCGGCATCGAAATCTGCGCTGAAGAAAGCGACCAATCTCTATGAACAACATCAACGGAAACAGGCAAAGCAAGCTGACTTGGCCATCCGGGAACAGCAAGAAGTCGAGAGGAGGAAGCAAGTGCTCGAGGAAGCAAAGAAAGTGGTCATTGCAGAGGATGAAAGCTTGCCGGCGCCCGTCAAGATCAAGCTCAACACCGTCGATCCCGCCATAATCAAGCTAGGCACCGCAGACTCCAAAGGCACCCGTGTCCGGGTTGTGGGTCGAGTTCACCATTTGCGGTCCCAGAAGGACATTATCTTCGTCACACTGAAAGATGGCAAGGGTTTGATGCAATGCGTATTCTCGGGCAATTTGATCAAGACCTATGCCGCCATGACTCTGACCCTCGAGACTTCGCTCGAAATCCGCGGTGAGCTCAAATCTCTTCCACCGGGGGCGCACGCTCCTCTCGATCGGGAACTCCATGCCGACTATTTTACCGTGATTGGAGCAGCGGTCGGTGACAAAGAGGCCATCACCAACAAGGTGCAAGAGGATGGTGATGCCCAGAAGCTGCTCGATAACCGCCATCTCACGCTGCGTGGAGACGTCTCCTCCAGCGTCATGAAAGTTCGAGCAGCCGTGGAGATGGCCTTTGTGAAGGCGTATGAGGAGGTGCAATTCACGAAAGTGTCCCCTCCAGCAATGGTTCAAACGCAGGTCGAGGGTGGCGCAACTCTCTTCGAGTTCAACTACTACGGTGAAAAGGCTTACCTGACTCAATCCTCCCAACTGTACCTGGAGACCTGTCTGCCTGGCTTGGGTGACGTATATTGCATTGAAAAGTCCTTCCGCGCCGAAAAATCCCTTACCCGCCGCCATCTGAGTGAGTACACACACGTTGAGGCCGAACTCGACTTCATCTCCTTCGACGACCTGCTCAACCACATTGAGCACATGGTGTGCAGGGTCATTGAAATCGCCCTCGCGGATCCCCTCATTGCAAAATATGTCTATGACCTCAACCCCGACTTCAAAGCTCCATCCCGCCCCTTTCGGCGCATGAAGTACTCCGATGCCATTGCTTGGTTGGTAGAACATGAGATCCCCAACGAAGAAGGCAAGCCCCACGATTTCGGAGACGACATCGCCGAAGCCGCCGAACGCAGAATGACCGATATCCTCAACGTCCCCATCTTCCTCACCCACTTCCCCACCGAGATCAAAGCCTTTTACATGCAAAAGGACCCCTCGGACCCTCGTGTGACCGAGAGCGTCGACGTCCTCATGCCCGGCGTCGGCGAGATCGTCGGCGGGAGCATGAGAATCTGGGACTACGAGGAGTTGATCGCCGCCTACAAGCGCGAGGGCATCGACCCCGAACCCTACTACTGGTACACGGATCAGAGGCGCTACGGCACCAGCCCCCACGGCGGTTACGGTTTGGGCTTGGAACGCTTTTTGGCCTGGATGTGCGGTCGTTGGACTGTTAGGGAGTGTTGCCTCTACCCGAGGTTTGCCTATCGTTGCAAGCCATAGAGATATAACTGAGCTTAGAGTGGGATTCCCCAGAATGATGACGAGGTACGACCCAGAAGGTCTCCGAGGTGGTGACCGCGGGAGTGGTCCGGAATACGCAGCGATGATGGATTATGGGGTGATAGAACAACTACCGCTGGACATCTTGCCAAAGATACCTTAGATAGACCCAAAGCACACAAGCAGTTTCTTGCTTACATTCGTTTGGTATTTTCCTGGCTCCATAAAATGCCCAATCATCCAAGTCCAGCTAAAGACCATGAGCTCACCATTGTCCCACTTAGTCTTACAAGTACTTCTTAGGCATTGTACTCTTTCGCCATTTGTACCATACAAACACCCCGATGCAACATGTCTGGAACGCCATAAAACTATACAGGATGAATCCGATCCTGGGCGTGTGCGCAATGACATATTCCCTGACTCTCTGTGGCACCTGTTCCGTCACGCCCACATGGGTCTCCGCAATCTGCTCACTCAGTTTGGCAAATTGCGTGCGGTGATCGCCGGTCTTCAACTCCTTCTCCAGAGAGGAGACGACCCTGTCGAGATTGGCCACCCGGTTATCAAGACTCGCAATAGATTGGGAATTGGGCATGCGGGCCAGGATTTCGGCGTGTCGGGACTCTAGGGTGGCAGAGACGCGTTGAACTTCACCAAAGAGATTTTGGATGGATTTGGAGATGAGATTGAGGCGGTTGTGGAGGTCTGCGAATTGGGTTTCCGTTGTGGTGTAGTAGGACGCCGGGTGATCCTCCATTTGCATCATCCCTTGTCCTTGATTTTGGTTCTGTGAGAAGGCTTGTTGATTTGATTCTTGCGTGGCTGGCGGTGCAGTGAGAGAAGACAGAGTGAATCCAAACACTTCGAAGGAGTCGGGAGGATCTGCTGATGCCGCGGTCATCCCAAAGCCATAATCCAGCGGTAGTGCAACTTTCGCCGTGGTGAAGCACACTCTATCGTCGACACGGATTTCGAGGCCTTCTGCACGAGTGTGTTTCACATTGATATGAGATGGCCGCCCCAGATTGCGGTAGACGTAGTCGCAGTGCCCAAATGCAAGGCTGTCCACGTTCGCATGGTTTCTGTAATCGACCGACCCATCACTGAGAAACCCTCGAATCTTTTGTACCCCTCCTACTGTGTCGACGACTATTGCAAGCCCTTCCCACTTCCCCACTGTGTATATGCTCGACGTGCTCACTGTCTTATCGCCATTGGCCACGTACCACAGTTGCAAATTCCCACTGCCTCTGTCTGCAGCGCTTGCCCTGAATTTGAGGTCCACAGCCCAATCCTGTAATGAGTTTTTCTGTTCACTCCATAGTGCTCCCCGCTTGTGACCGCCGTACGGAGGTGTCAGAATGACTTTGTCCGACAGCAGTTGAGGCACATGTCCTTCCCCAAGCATCGACCAACCAGGAATGGCAAAGGAATTCGGCGAGATTGTCTGTTTATGTCCGAAAGACATTTCGTCGATGACATTTTGAGCAAGTGATGAAGTTACCCAGAGAAGGGAGAACAGTGAGGAGGAAAGACCGATCTTCATGGTGGATGTTATACAATACTATCCAGAGTCAGTTTGCGCATACAGCCGATCAAGGACAGATATTTGCACACAGAAAGTTATGTGGACGAGGCAGTGCCCACCTCAAGAGTAAGGTCTTTTATTGTTTGACATCCAAGATTTAAATATTGATACAGTAGCAAAGGTGACGCAAACGACAATAACACAGTAGCGGATTTCGCGCGCAAGGTCAAGAGTGACTGGAGATGGCTCAATGAGATGTCGCACGTTTAAATTCTGAAACACAACATGATGCTTGAATCCTTCAAATGCGTCCATGAAAGGAAGATAGGAAAGGAAATCAGAGAAGTGGCTTGTGGCTCAAGCGGGAGATGTCATGTCACGGCCACGCATGGCATCTGGCAGCATGGCGGATGCACCCTTTTTCGCACCTGGTGTTCATAAGCTCACATCCGATGCGCCCTGATGCACCGTAGAAGAAAGTGCAGCTTCTACGGCGATGCATAGGCATACTTTATGAAGCTCTCCTCACCTCGCTACTTGTTAGACATCTGTAGATTAGGGCCACAGAATAATCTCTTCTTTTAGTCCCAACCCAAGTCCAGGTGCTGCTCCTCATGGCATCTGCTGCTTCGGCTACCTTGAGCCGAATCCGTGACAATACACCCATAATCCCAGTAAGCATTACCCGTCTGTCCAAGGCCAATATAACACGGCTAATGGTCGTCAAGGAGTCGAGGCCAAACGCCAAAAAGGCCAGCAATGATCAATGGCCGTCGTTATTCCAGACAGCGGTAGTGGCCACCGCTCTAAAGATTCTACTGTTTCCGGCCTATAGGTCAACAGACTTCGAAGTTCATCGGAATTGGCTAGCCATCACTCATTCATTACCTGTGAAAAAATGGTACTTCGAGGTTAGGAGACCCAGCATCGCCTATCAGGAGCTTCCGGTTCTCTAACTCTACACCAGGCCACATCAGAGTGGACATTGGACTATCCGCCGGCATTTGCGCTGTTTGAATGGCTTCTTTCCCAACCTGCTGCCCTAATCGATGCTGGAATGGTGCAAGTTCAAAACCTGAACTATGATTCCTGGGCCACCATATACTTCCAGCGAAGCTCCGTCATCATTACAGAGCTGCTGCTTGTCTACGCTCTGCAAAAGTATGGTTAATGCCTCAAATATGAGTGAGCACTACTGATTTGAAAAGGTACATGGAGACCTCGCCCGCCGCTACACGTCGCCAAAGCCATGCCGTGGGCCTTTCAATCCTGCTCTCCCCAGGATTCTTGATCATCGACCACATCCATTTCCAGTACAATGGTTTTCTCTACGGCATCTTGATCCTGTCCGTCGTCTTTGCACGCAAAGAGTCTACGTTGCTATTAAGCGGTGTTCTGTTCGCCTTGCTTTTATGCTTCAAGCATATCTACCTTTACCTGGCACCCGCATTTTTTGTCTACCTCCTCCGGGTTTATTGCCTGAACCCGAAGAACATGTTTCAGCCCCGATTTGCAAACACCTTCAAATTAGGCGCAAGCGTTGTCGGCATTTTTGGGACTGCGTTCGGACCATTTGCGGCCTGGGGTCAGCTCGACCAACTCAGATCTCGATTGTTTCCATTTGCACGAGGTCTCTGTCACGCATATTGGGCACCCAACGCCTGGGCCATCTACTCGTTTATCGATCGGGTGCTGATCCTTGGTGCTCCCTATCTTGGTCTAAGTGTTAACCAGGATGCTGTAAACAGCGTCACTCGAGGCTTGGTGGGAGACACTTCGTTCGCCGTCCTTCCAGATATCACGGCTCGACAGTGTTTCGGGCTTACATTGGCCTTTCAGACCATCGCGTTGACCAAGCTGTGGTGTTCACCCAGCTGGGATTCTTTTGTTGGCGCTCTCACCCTCTGCGGGTACGCGTCCTTCTTGTTTGGCTGGCATGTCCATGAAAAGGCCATTTTACTGGTCATCGTTCCTTTCAGCCTATTAGCCGTGAAAGACCGGTCATACCTGGCGAGCTTCCGACCTTTGGCAGTGTCGGGACATGTGTCGCTATTCCCACTTCTCTTCACCGCTGCAGAGTTTCCGATTAAGGTGGCATATACGATAGCTTGGCTCATGATATTCCTCTATGCTTTTGGGCAGTTGGCGCCAGCTCCTACCCGGAGGCGAGTTTTCTTGCTGGATCGATTTGCTCTGCTTTACATTGCCATATCGGTGCCTTTGATGGCATACTGTTCGTTGCTGCATCGGGTGGTCTTTGGGGAGAGATATGAATTTCTACCACTGATGTTCATTAGCACGTACTCGGCAATTGGGGTGCTAGGCTCGTGGCTTGGGTTCATGGTATGCTATTTGTCTTGAAGAGGCTGTTCTGCAGCTTCCCATAGGGAATCTCCGATAGGAATGCTGGTATGTACGTACATACAACAACGTGTCCACCCAAAGCTTGAAACGACAGGATTACTCCCTCGCGGGATGTATATGGTGCAGGGTCTTGGACGCCCTCAAGAGCTCTGGCCTGCTGAGTATGGGTTGTAAACGTCGGGCAGATTCAGTGCTCCCATGCGATCGTGGAGGGAGCCCTCCAAGCATCATTGCCACTGTTAGTGGCAGAAGCCGCAGGTATGGCATGGGGTTAGGAGGCCCACAAGGCTGATAATGGGCCATAAGAGGTTGAATGTTGTCCGCAGAAGATAGTGAACGGTCTCACTGGCCTCGCGTCGACAGTCGGAGTCGAACGAGTACAATTATGTCCATGACAGGAGCAGAGTGAGACGGTTGATGAGTGGCCATGGCTAGTCGAGGAGTCAAGTGGACAATGATTGGCTGCGACGAGGAGGCCGCTCGGCACTCTTTCCGCCGATCCCTGGTCGCTAATCCACGCAAGGACCCAAAAAGGTGGTGGCATGGCTGTGCATGGCACTGTTTGTGCTGCCTACTTGGGCACTCAGGGTACTAAACCTGTCTACCTAGGTACTCTATTATCTCTTATTTCCCTCCTAGGCACCTTATCCGGGTATTAACTACCTATGGATGGTATTCAAGAAGCTCGGTTTGGGAGGCTCCACCATCCACAGGGCAAGCCACGCATTCCCGCCCGCCATCCACTGTAGAACTGCCACTTGCCCCAATTCACCAAGTCCACCACTCAGCACTCTCTGTTCCCTCTGCACACACTAGTCAGTCCGCCTTCCTGGGCATTTCGCATTGTCTTTTCTCTCCCTCCACTTCTCCTCGTCATGTTGACCTCTTTGTTCCTGTTCCTTCTCCTGCACCCAACCCCAAACAACTGCCTTGCAAACTCCCATCATAACACCACGCAATCCCCGTCGCCTCTGGGTATTCTCTCTCCATGAACGCGTTTGTCTCGCCGAATGTATGTATATATTCCCCTTCGCATGAGGTTTCCACAACCGCGGATCGCGTTCGATACACCTTGGGTCCTCAACACGTCCAACAAGCTCACCAACTCCATTACTTTAGGTCGCGCTCATCCTAAAATAACCTCCAAGTCGCCATCTCCTCCCCCTCCTACCTCCCCGCCGACCGCGTTGCACCAGGTCGGCCTTTACTCCGCCTGCTCAGGATGGTCTTATTCAAGAGAAAACCCGTGCGCTACCTACCCCATCCCCACATCGACGACCAGGAATCCGATGTTTGGGTCATCGCCGAGTCCAATGAAGTATTCACCTCGTACGATGCATATCTCGAGCGCATGGACTTTTTCAAGTCCAAGAGATTCACCTGCGAAGTATCAGGACGCTCCGGTCTGACATTCTTCGACGCGCTGCGGAGCGAACAGGCTGGGTCACGCGAGATTGATGAGGCGTTTCCGCAAGCACTGCGAGAACCTGTCCTACGCAGAGTCCAATTCTCCACCACGTCTCGTATCGATAATTTGGTCGAGGAGGTTTACAACGACTTCAAGAATGACTTCTATCCGGGCGAACTGGTAACCGTTATACTGGACGACGCATCCCGATTAAATGGGCGAGTGCGGGACAAGGCCAAGTTTGCAGAGGTGAGGGCAGCAGACGGTTCCGTGGCAAGAGAGGCTTTCTCCAGATATTTTGTGCGGCTCATTGATCGCCCAGACGAGGAGGCCCTGGTCGACGATAATCATATCGTTAGAGACCGCAAGGTCTTCACGAAACACATGCTCCGTTCTTTCATCAAGAATACTGTGACCAGAGAAGGTTGGAATGGTGCTCCGTGGATCGTGAAACCGGAAATTGCTGAGCGATTTCGCATTGACACCAACGTTCCACCTCATCTTCAATACGGCCATAAAATTGCCGCGAAGAAAGCGGAGAAGAAGCAGAACGCTGAGCAAGGAGAGGGTATGTTCGGAATCTGGCAAACTCATAAGCTACCCGAGCTGAAGCCTGCTCCTAAAGGACGCAAGAACCAACACACGTCTCAACACCAGCTACAGCGGATCGAAGTGCAGATCCCTCCTCCCTACCACGAGAACTATCCGCCCCAACCGATACCTGACCCAGGATTGTTGCCACGGTCTTGGGACCATATGCATCCGCCCCCTCCACCTCCACCTTTCGATCCATATTACCACGGATATCCTCAATATATGCCACCGAACGGTCACTACTACCCTCCGCCGCCGCCTGAGGAGCAGTTGCCTCCCAAGCAAATCATTCAGCCGCCTCCGCCTCCTCCGCCTATCAAATACCCCATAGATGATTTGGATGTTGAACCTGTCCGCGACGGGACGCATAGGCCGACGCTGAAGTTTATCAGCAAAGAGCAATGTGTCGATCGGAAGTCTACGTCTCACGTCATCCCCGGTCTCAAGTCTGAAAATGTCGGCCTCTTACTGGAGACGTGGAATACATTGAATGTGTATTGCCAAGTTCTCAAATTGGACTCGTTCACCTTCGACGACTTCGTGGAAGCGATGATGTTCACCTCGCATGAGGTTGACTGCGAATTGTTTGTCGAAATACATTGCGCAGTTCTGAAACAACTTGTGAATTCCGAGAATGATGATGATGGAGCCATTCAAATATCACTACCAGATCTTCCCGACCCAGATGAGGATGAAGAGGAGGAAGAGGAAGAGGAAAGCAAGCCACCAACACCAACGCCAGAACCGGAATATCCTGCGAAACGAACACGAAGTAGTCTCCACAAAGTTCAATTCGCAGAGCCAGAACCAGAGCCAGAAGAACCCGAACCTGTGGTACCTCATCGCGCCGCCGAGATGTTTGGAGAATATGGCTGGATCGACAGGCTTCGGAAGCGTGACCTCAGACATGGTGGCTGGGAATTGGTCATGGTTGGGTTGCTGCATCAGCTTTCCGGCAGGCCCAGACTCACGGACGTTTGTAACAGAATTCTTTCTCATCTTGCTCCTCTAGATGCTGAGCCGACCATGGAAACAGCCAGGATTCAGTACTCGACCATGGACATCAACCTGCGCGCGGAGGCACTGCAGATCATCTGCCAGTTATTCCTCGAAACAAAGACTGTCAAGAATTTCCTGGAAGAGATGAGCAACACAATGACCCATTACCGCAAAATCAAGATTGAGCATCAGCGAGCTCGGAAAGAGGCATTGGCGAAGCTTAAAGAGCTTCAGATTGAACGGAGACTGCTGGCGCCGGAACCCGAGAAATCTCCTACTCCGATGCCTGAGCTCGAAGATACTACCGAGGCGGAAAAAGGTGAAGACGGCGACATTTCGATTCCCGATTCAGAAGATGAGGAGCCTGTCATGACAAGATCTTTGCGGCGAGGCAATGACCGAGCGGCTGAGCGGAAACGGAAACGCGAAGAAGAGCAAGAGCGCAAGGAGAAGGCAGCAGAGGCGAAGCAGAACAAGGGAAGCAAAGAGTATCAGAAAGTTCTCAAGCAGATCGAAAAGGAGCGCGATCGCATTGAACAAGCAGAAGAGCAGATTCTCGTCGTCGACGGGGACTTGCGTGAAGCCGACTGCCCTCGGACACGGGTTCTCGGGAAAGATCGCTTCTGTAACCGGTATTGGTGGTTCGAAAGGAATGCAATGCCGCACGGAGGGTTACCCGATAGCTCGACGGCGGGAGCGGAATACGCCAATGGCCGGGTCTGGGTGCAAGGCCCCGACGATATGGAGCGGGAGGGTTTCATTGATGTTAGCGAGCTGGATAAGCAGGCTTACTACCGACGATTCCAGATGACTCCAGCCGAACGGAAGAAAATGGAAGAAGGTACCACGAACCTTGTCTCGGCGAGGCAATGGGGATTCTATGACACGGCGGAAGAACTTGACATGCTTATCGGATGGCTCGACTCTCGCGGAATTCGAGAATTGAAGCTGAAAAAGGAACTGAACTTGCAACGTGATGCCATCATCAAACATATGGAGAAGCGAGCTGCGTATTTGATGCCGCGAGAGAAATCTGAAGAGCCACCAACGCGGATGTCTACGAGGACCAAGACGCACATCAGCGATAAGGCACACCGATGTCTGAAATGGAAGAACTCTACCGCTCTAGCGGAATTGGGGCATCGCCATATCGACCCCGTGCCCAAACCGAGAGGGAGAGGCAAGAAGAACATCGCTTACGAGGAGCCGCAAACAAGGTCAAGTGCGGCGGCTCCACCAGCTCCGCTGAATCGTCAGGGTAAACCGGTAACGAGGCAGGGGACAAGATACAACTTTTGAAAGCATCTGCTCTATGTCTGCGACCATATGCATAACGGCAAAGGAAACATCGAGGTGTTGCGGTGGATTAGAAACGAATGGGAAAGAGCATTGCATTGACTTTGATTCATTTCTCCAAGAGGCTAGTTGGACGGCATTTGTCTTTCGGGGCGTGGACAATTTCTTCAAATTTTCCGAGCGGGACATTTTCATGAGCTCGTCGGGACTGGGTTCGACAGGATTGGGCGGTTTACATCCCTGAGCGTTCTCCTGGAAGGCTTGATGAGAAATGAGTGCATGAAAACGGGCGCTGGACAGATTTTTCCTCTCCGACTCAAATTTATCAGCCAACACCGGACCGAAGAGAAAACGGGGCATTGTTTCGGAAAAGCTATGAGGATTGACGTTGCATTTATAGATTTGCGCTTAGACATGAGCTGTGAAAACAGCGAACCTGTATTACCGACGCCACAGCTAGAGCCCCGTGGGTGCTATCTGTGCCTTGAGGAGACGAAAAATGAGTAAACACATTTTTGAGACTGGATGATCGTTCCTCTCCATTTCATGCTGTCACTTGAGAAACTGTATGTAGGGTACCACTGATACGCTCAATGACTGCAGTGCCTCACAACTCATCTCTCAGAACCTCTTGGGCCTTGGCCGCAAAACCGTGCTTGGCGGCGATCTTCCTGCCGGGTTTCTCAATGACCACGTCCTCGCCGCGGTCCTTGAGTCCGCGCTTGACCATGCTCGTGAGGATCTCGTACGCGACCTGCGCGCCGGCCAGCGCGGTGGCTTCGCCGTGGCCCGCCTCGTACGCGGGGCTCACCTCGACGACGTCGGCGCCGACGAGGTTCAGGCCCTCAACGCCGCGGAGGATCTGGATGAGTTCGCGCGTGGTCCAGCCGCCGGGCTCCGGCGTGCCGGTGCCAGGGGCCAGACCGGGGTCGATGACGTCAATGTCCACGGAGAGGTAGACAGGCATGGAGGTGCCCATCCGGTCCATGATCAGGTCGATGATGCCCTTGACGCCGACGGCGTCGATGTCGTCGGACTCGATGCGCAGGAACCCCTGGCACTCGTCGTCGGCGTAGTCGTGGAAGTCGTCGCCCAGGAGCCGCGTCCGCAGGCCCGCGTGCACCGACGACCCGTTGTTGATGAGCCCTTCCTGTGACGCGATCCAGAACATGGTCCCGTGCGTGAAGTCGGCCTGCGTGGGCGTCTCGGCCCACGCGCTCGGGTACGCACCGGGGTGCCAGGTGTCGAGGTGCGCGTCGAAATGCAACACCGCGATGGGCTGCTTGTAGATCTTCTCCAGCGCGCGCAGGGCCGGGAGGGCGATCGAGTGGTCTCCACCCAGGGTGATCAGCTTCGGGTGCTCGTGGCTCTCCGGGTTCTTGTAGCTCAGCGGTCGGCGAGACAGCAGCTCCAGGTACGCCGAGGTCATCTGGTGTAGCGCCAATGCGTTGTCAAAAGGCGTGATGGGGATGTCTCCACAGTCGAGGACCAGAGGCCAGGACGTGTACGGATTGATGTGTGCGCGGTGGTTGAAGCCTCGGAAGGAAGTCTGGCGAGCAGAGGCGGCACGGATGGCACGAGGGCCGAAGCGGGCGCCTGACAGAGAGAGAAGAATGAGAAACGATGCGCTTGTTTTGCGAACCAGACAGACATGTTCTTTCTGTCTTCTTCTTCTTCTTCTTCTTCTTCTTCTTCTTCTCCTTTTGGGTCCAAGGAAATTGTCCTGGCTTTGGGGAAACTAGCTTACCGGGTCGATAACTCACTGCTGTGTCATACGGGGCGCCAATGATGCCGATATCGAACGGCTCGTACGGGGTGGTCAGGCATTTTACATGCCTGAGATGAGCGAATGTTGATATTCCCGAGAATCCCCACTGTAACGAGAGTGTCAATAGACATGATATATAAGCTCAAGTATTGGCCCTTCTGGTTCCGGCTCGAGTGTATAATCCTACCACCAGGAACGCAGAACCTGTGGTGGAAGGCTTGGAAACACAGTACTGAGGCACCTTACATCAAAGTCCCATTTCGCTTTCAATTCATCCAGCGGACTACCGGACTCAGGCGGGATCTCGAGTTCCGGATTGTCGTAGAAGGAGGAATGAACAAAGGGAAGGAGAGGGAGCAATATCGACAAGGACCACGACGGCAGCAGCATCGTTGAGGAACGGCCAGTTGGTAACGTAGGTCTTCCGCCCAATGCTGTTTGTATAGATACCAAGAGGGAGAGAGCAGAGTAAAAAAAAACTTACATTCAAAAGAGTAACATTCTCATATATCCATTATCTAACAGGATATCATCATGGCCCGCCCATGAAAAAAAGACTCCATCGAGTTGGGATGATGGATTAGGGCGTCAAGGGCGTCGAATGAAACTCGGCGCCACCAAAAATCCAAAAAGAACCAGAGTGACGCCGCTTTTGAGCGGAGATTCCCGCTGTCTGTTTCGCGTTGCTGTGATTGGTCCGGGTCGACCCCCTGTCTTGCTCCCTCGCCGACGGCCCCGGAGACGAGACATATACAGCTACAGGACGAAGAATAGAAGAGAAATGTCAAGGAGATGCGGAGAGTTGTCGTGACTGGGCTGGGAGCCGTGACGCCCCTGGGTGTTGGTATGTTTTGATGATTGCTGCCAACGACCACCGCTCTCGAGGTTGACGACGATTTGTGTTTTTTGCAGGTGTCAATCGAACATGGTCCCGGATTCTACAGGGACATTGCGGCATCGTCTCAACACGCCATCTCGGAGAGGAGTTCAAGGCACTTCCAAGTCAAGTCGCCGGTCTGGTACCTGTTCCCAGATCTGACTCGAAGGTGGAAGAAGGGGTTTGGAGAGCTCAGGATCATGTCACGCCAACGGTACGGTCTTCAGGCTGGCTCCCCCCCCCCCTCTCTTAAAAGGTGATAATCCAAGGAAATACTGAGGCTGAACGCTGGGATAGGAACTCCGCCAGACTGCCAAATTTGCACAGTACGCTCTAGCGGCGTCTGCCGAAGCATTACAAGATGCTGGCTTCAAAGACGGCAAAGGTCTCGATCAGGAGATGACGGTACGTGAATGAACATCGCCCAATGTCAATGACTTACACGCGCCACGTTGCCCAAAAATCGCGTATATGCAAGAGTTGTCCTGGAAATTGATCCCCAAATCTTGTTTCCAGGGCGTCTGTCTCGGCTCCGGAATCGGCAATCTAGAAGACCTATACAACACCTCAGTGGCGTACAACCAGGAGAAGAACTACCGCAAGATCCACCCGCTGTTCGTCCCCCGGCTGTTGATCAATCTCGGAGCTGGACACATCTCCATGCGCTACGGTCTCAGAGGTCCGAACCACGCAGCCACCACCGCCTGCACCACGGGCGCCCACAGCCTCGGAGACGCGTCGCGCTTCATCAAATCTGGAGAAGCCGATGTCATGATCGCCGGGGGTGCTGAATCGTGTATCCATCCGCTCGCCATAGGTGGATTTGCGCGGTCCAGAAGCTTGGTGACCAAGTTCAACGATGAACCGTCGCAGAGCTCAAGGCCTTTCGACGCGGATAGGGCTGGCTTTGTGATCAGTGAGGGCGCGGCTTGCATTGTGCTCGAGGTAAGACCGATTCATCCCCATCGTGCGAGACGCTCGCAGTACACACGAGGAACGTTCTGACACGCCAGTCAAGGAAATGGAGCATGCCAAATCCCGCGGCGCCAGAATCTACGCCGAACTCGTCGGCTACGGCAACTCCGCGGACGCTCACCATCTCACAGCGCCGCTGGAAAATGGTGCCGGAGCTCTCCTAGCCATGAAAAAGGCCCTCAGACAGGCCCAAATTCCCCCTTCCAAAGTGGACTACATCAATGCTCACGCCACTTCCACACCATTGGGCGATGAGGCTGAGAACCAGGCAATGAAGACACTTATGTTGGGAGAGCATGGCAGGAAATCTGCCAACGAGATCAACGTGAGCAGTACCAAGGGCGCAATTGGGCACCTTCTAGGCGCTGCAGGAGCAGTTGAAACTTTGTTCACTGTTCTGGCCATATATGAGGTACGTATTTTTCAGCCTGACACCTCCCAGTAGGTGTGACTATAGGAATGGTGATAATAACGATAGGATGGCTAGAACACACTGCCCCCGACTATCAACCTCGTCTCCAAAGGCGACGAGTTCGACTGCAACTATGTTGTGAACGCGGCGCAACAGGCAGAAGTTAACATCGCCCTGACCAATAGCTTTGGCTTTGGAGGAACAAATGCAAGTCTCTGCTTCCAAAAATATAAGTGAGACTCAAACTTTTGAGGACTTTTGGTCTGCTGCTGCAACCACAATATTCGTCCGACGACGTTCGTAGCTCAAATCAGTGCGCTATCCGCCACGAATGATCCCCTTAAGCCACATCTATCGAAGTCTTTCGAAGAGGCGCCTTCAGCCCAGGTTGAGGCAAACCAATACCTGCTGTTACAGGCGAAGCTGATATTGCACCGGGAAACGTTTCGTGGATGGCAGACTGGGGTATAGCACTTTTGGCGCTGTCAGGGGGAACACTGAACAAGCCGCCGGATCTGTTGCCGCTCATGGCATTTGATAGCATTTCCTTCATCCGCACCAGCTGGTATTTCCGCCGGGTCGGGAAAAGTGGTTTGGTGACGAGGGGTTGGGGTCGAGCAAAGCTTCTAGCGATGGCTGTCATCACTGAGTCTCTCTCCTCATCCGAATCGACCGGACCAGTCAGACTAGGGTCGAGATCCTCCTCAAGGAGCGCAGGGGCGTTTGCATCGAGCGCAGCTTTTTGCTGGCGCGCTTGATTCTTTTTCTGGTATGCAGCGAGCAACATGTCGTAAGGTAGACTTCTTCCGGGAACAGCCCGCTTTGCTCCCATGGAGTGGCTCTTGCATGTTAAACTCCTTGCGCACTGTCCACCATTTGGCAGAATCACGCCGCATTGTTTCTCCACGTCAACCGGACCTTTGGGTTTCACCACCTTCGGTTTCTGTTCCTCCTTTCTCTTCTTCTTTCTTGGCTCTTTGTCGTCTTCGGCGTCGGCCTTCCGTTTCTTGGTCTTCTTGGGGGCATCATCATCACCGTTGGCACCGTCTTTTCTGGAAGCGCCTTTAACATCGTCGTCGTCGTCATCATCGTCGTCTGCTCTCTCGGCCCGTTCCTTCGCCCGCGCCGCAGCCTCGCGTGCTTCCTTTTTCTTGCGCGCTTTGTCTTGTTTGGACTTCAAACACAAGGATATGTGCCACTTGGCAGTGCGCTTTAGAACCATCTTCTTGCAATGTTTGCAGATCACGGTATCGAGGTTTTCGAGGCGGCCATTGGGGAAATTTGCCATCGTCTCGTCATCAAACTTGGGTACTTCTGGCGAAGGCGCCTCTGCGTTGTTCTTGACGCCTGCAACTGTCAGGAGGGGCCAACACCAGGGATGCATCTCACTCACCATTTACTTGGGCTGATTTCTTGGCTTGAAGAGGGAACTTCTTTAATTTGACCTTGGGCACTTTTTTACTGCCTTTGCTGAACTTGTAGCCGGACGCGCTGATAAGGCTGTCTGTGTTGGATCCAACAGATGAGGCTATCAGCAAGTTTCAGTCCCACCCTGACTGCGCCAGGGTTTTGATGTGTACGAACCTCGTGCATCATTTGCCGCCATGTTGGAGACTTTCACCAACGAATGTCGCAACGCCGACGGTCAGAGGGAGGGTTGGATGAATCTGCTCGAGTACAAGCAATGGCGGCGGCCGACAGTTCTCGAGTCTCGGAGTGTTGTTATCTTCGGTCACCTCTTTCGCAGGCCACGGCAAGTCAAGGAGAAATGCGGAGGACCTAAACGATGGGGGAAACTGCGGGCGATACATCGATACTAGGCCTATCCTGGTTAGATATCTATCAGAATTTAAGGTTATGTGATGGAAACGCCAAACGAGTGCTTAGTAATACTCGATGCACAAGACATTCACGCACTCTGCCCTACAATGCTCGTACAAAGTACAGCGGACCATCTAGGCTTCGGGCGACGAAGCCAGAATCTCTCTTCGACTCCCTTCAGTTTGGGCTTGAAGAATTGACTTGGTTCACTCAAGTTTTTGCGCAAGGAAACAAATCTCCCCATCTCACCGGCAGCCTCTCTCTCTCCGTCCTGATCTGCGCATACACCTCTCAGCCATGGATAACGGAGGGCCCGAACCCCCGCACCCCGAGATCAACTCTCTCATGCAGCGCATCGGCGGGCAATGGGCAGGCCATGCGCTGCAGAAATCCTTCCAACACGAAGTCGCCTACCTCCTCGGGCGCGGGAGAAACACGTCATTCCCCGGCGCCCAACCCGTCTCCTTCTCGTCGGAACACATACAGGAACTCAAGAGTCAAGACTACTACGTATGCGAAAAGACCGACGGCCTGCGCTACCTCCTGTACCTCACGCAAGATGGCGACAGGGACATCCACTACTTTATCGACCGACGAAACGACTACTGGTACGTGCCGAACCTGCACTTTCCGCACCACGAAGACAAGACCTTTCGGCGATTTCACACCGGCACAATACTGGACGGGGAGTTGGTCGAGGACAAGTACCCAGATCGAGAGCCTGTCATCAAGTTCCTCGTCTTCGACTGCCTGGTCTTGGACAGTGTGGTGTTTATGCAGCGGCCGCTCGACAAACGCCTCGCCTACTTCCAGACGCACGTCCTCCAGCCGTACAATGCCATGTTCAAACAGCACCCCGAATACACGAGGCCGTTCGTGCTCGAGGACAAACACAACGAGTTCAGCTACGCTCTGGAGAAGATGTTCAAGGAAGTGATTCCCAAGGTGAAACAGACGCACGGCAACGACGGCTTGATCTTCACTTGTCGGGACGCACCCTACAAGATGGGCACCGATCCACATATCCTCAAATGGAAACCACCGTCTGAGAACACGGTCGACTTCCTCCTCCGGATCGAGTGGGCGAGAATGGAGCCCGACCCGGACGATCCAGACCAATCCCCGCAGATCGACTTTTACTCGTTCCCCGAGAAATTCTCCCTCTTCATCCACGTGGGCAGCAACGAGTACTCGTACATCGAGGACATGTACGTCGAGCCCCAGGAGTGGGAGGAGTGGAAGAACCTGAACCACCCGCTCCAAGACATCATTGTCGAATGCTACCAGGACGAGCTGCAACGGTGGCGGTTCCATCGGTTCCGACACGACAAGGAGAACGCCAACCACATCAAAGTGTTCAAGAGCGTGATTCGGTCGATCCAGAGCCACGTGACCGAGCAGGACCTGTTGAACCACGCCCCGGAGATCAGGACGGCCTGGAAACTTCGAGCCGAGGAGGAGAAGGAAAAGCGGAAGCGACTCGCCGCCGTTAAACAGGAGGGGTGATGTTTTTACAAGTATTTTTTTCCATTTCAAAAGAGCAAGCGTGCGTGGCGTTGGATTTTATATGTTGTGCGGAGAGAGGGATTTGGGAAGGAAGGAAAGGGGTCCAACCCAGGGAGTTCACGAGGGTACTGGCTGGCTGGCTGGGTGGATGGTTATGTATCAATCAGGCAATTTCCTGTTTTTCCACCTGCAAATGTGTGTGTGTGTGTGTGTGTGTGTGTGTGTACGATTCTCTCGGGTTTATTATGTGAAGCGAAGCGGGCGAGGGGGTGACCAGCTAGCTGAATACCGTAGGTAGGCGACCCAGCTACCAAGAACGGATGCTGGCTGTTGGCTGTTGGCTGTTGCGCAGAGTTTGCCCAGTTTCCACTGCTCACTCGCTCCAAGAGTATGGGTACGGGCATGGATATGGGCAATATATGCGGTTTGGTGTGCAGCAACCCAACGAAAGTCAATGGGAGCGAGCAGTCAATCAAGACCTCTGAGAGTTTCACTCTTTTGTTGTACTATATCGACTTCCGCGTCTCCTTCCTCCTCTCCTTTCCCTTCTTCTTTTCCGTATTTATTGCCCCTTTCTGTCGTTGCTGTGAAGGTCGCAGTGAAAATCGCCATGAAACCTGTGCCACTCGAGGCTGCTGAACAGGGTTTCAAGGCCAGTTCTTCGCGACTCGTTGGGTAAGTAATACGTATGTACGTACGTGACGCGAGTAGGATTGAAATGTCTACCTATCTGGGTATCTACTGGATACCTACATGTACTAGGTGCGGAGCAAATCTATTGTTGGTTTGATGTGTAAGGGGTATATATTGCACTTTTACATGGCGTGCACTCGGTACATGTAGGTATCCAGTAGATACCCGGATAGGCAGATCGTTAGATTGTGTCCGTGGTGATGTCTCCTGCTTCGTACCTACAGTAGTACTTGGTACTTGGTACTTAGTACGCGACATCGCCCGCATATGCTCTCTGTCGTCTAGGGGAGCTGGTGGCAGCACCGTTGACGCCTGCGCCAGCGCCACCAGAGCCAGCGCCCGCGTCCGCCATCGGCGTATCATCCGCCTGGGCGACTTTGTCGCGTTGTGTCCGCTCGCCGCCGAGAAAGCGGAAAGGCGTGCTCGTCCAGTCCGTCGCTGTCGTCACATCTACCGCGCCTGTGCTAGACCCGGCGCTTCTGGCGCTTTGATCTTGAGGGGAATACTCGTCTGGCCGGGCGAGTGAGGATCCCGGTTTCCACGCCATAGAGTGCTGCGGGATTGGATTCGATGCGGTAGCTTGTGAGGCCGGCGCTGGTGCAGGTGCAGGTGCAGGGGCACCCTCAGTCATGGCCAGGATGTCCGGGTTCGGCAGAGACATCCATTGGTCGAGGAATGCCCAGTCGACGTCGAGGTTCGGTGGCATCGAGCTGTTGGCCGCCATGTCCTCGGCAGGGAGGTCAGAAGAGGACGAGGTTGTCCCCGTCACCGCACTCGTAGCGGCTGTCGCGGGGCCTGGGTTCGGTGTTGGTGGAAAATACGTGGGACTGAATGGAAGAAAACTCATAAACGGGTTCGGGCCGAGACCTGGGTTCTGGATGCCCGGCATGAGACGCAGGTGGGGGTTCAGCGTAGCGCTGCCGTCGGTGATGCTGGAGTTATTGAATGCTGGGGTAAAGTAGTTACCGCCACTACCGTCACCATCGCTACCACGTCCTTCCCCAACGCCAGGCTGGCCCTGCTGAATATGAGACGATGTCGACGAGGACGGATAGTTCGAGAATCCGCCGCCGTTCTGTTGATCTGATAGTGTCGGCTGAACCATAGAGATGTCGTACTGCATCGGAAACATGACAGAACCCGCAAATCGCCCTGGTTGCACGGCCGTCTGAGGTGGTAATGTTGAAGATTCTTGTGTTTGTCCTTCCGAGTGGGTGATCGACACCGACGTGTTGCTCCTGGGATCCCTCGATTTGCCACCAAATGAGCCTGACCATGTCGATTGTGCAACCGTCACTGGACTTGCAATCTCACTCAGAACCACCTTCAGAATGTCTGCCACTCTCTTCGCCTCATTGCTCGTGGGACTCAGTTCCTCACAGATTCCAAACGCGGCCTTCAACAGCTGGAACTGCTCGACCACTTTGTCGTCCTCGGAATTCTCGAGGTTCCTTCCGGGATTCGCTTTCCTCCACATACTCACCGCCAAACACAAGACCATTGCGGCCAGATAGAAATCATTCATGGTGAACGAACTCAACATCCAACGATCCTGATGAAGTTGGCCCCCGGGCTTCAACTCCTTGTGCAGATCGAGCATATGTCGTGTGATCGCCGTGGCGGCATCTGTGCATATTTTGGTGGAAGTTGGATGGCTGCCTTGCGTCATGTACTTCCTGTGTAGCACGAGGAGCGATTTTTGGTAGAGGAACTCGCAATTGGTGCGCACCATGATGAGGTAGCTGGGATCGGCAAAGGATTGTGACATGGGACGAATATGTAGAATCTGGGGTACAGTGGCGTATACGGCGCGGGCTTCGCGGTCGAGATCCATGACCTCCTCCTCTGAGTAGTCGCGAAACGAGAGCGCGTGCGCGCAGACCTTGCCGAATGTGGTCATCAGACGAGTTTTGACAATGAAATACAGTACTTGCGTTGCTTCTTCCTCCGACCGGGACGGTGGCAAGACCAGAGTATGCTCATCAAAGTCACTGTCCATCAGGTTTGATGGAGGTAACGTATCCCAGCTATTCGGCGGGATCTGGTTGGGCAAGCCCAGTTGAAAAGAAACCATGAGGTCGAATTGCAGACACATTGCCCAGACGCGCCGCCGAAGTTCACCCTCAAACACAGAGAGATGAGGGAATTGGGATGGATCGCGATGGTAGCCGCTTCGGTACGCGAGCCGCACAAGGATGGGGAATATGATGCTGACTTCGCGCGACGGATCCAGCGTGGCCATGTATTTGCATTGCGCATACAGGGCCAGAGCTTCGACCACATAGCGTTTGGGGCGAATAAAGCCGCCGAGGCGGAGACATTGGCCGGCAGCGTTGAGAAAACTCATCCGTGGACTCAGTTGATCTTCTGGAGTGGACGGCTCCGAGCCCACGGCTTCGGACAAGGTAGCAGACATACAACAGATGGAGAATAGTATGGAAACCCAGAGGGGAGGCATCTCTAGCGGCGTGCGCCAAAATTGTTCGTACTGTCTTCGGAATTGGCCCGTGTGGATGAAGGGAATGACCAGATACCGGCTGTTGAAGTAGGTGGACAGACGACGGTCGACTTGTAGTCGTGGAGGGAGGGCCTGCGACAGGATCTGAGAGAGCGAAATATGGCTTGTCGAACCAAACAGGCCTTCTATTTCTTGTGGTTCGACGTCTTCGCCCTCATCAAGCTCAGTCGTCGATGGGCGGCCTCCTTGGCCATTGCTGCTATTCGAAAGCGCAGACTTGAGTTCTTGTATACTTTCCAGGATTGCAGACCAGTGCGTCGAACCGACGTAGCGCGATTCCGAGGTGCCGTACTGAAGGTGTCCTTCCTTTGCCATGCTGGCATTTGAGGCATCGTTATCATGTCCCGAACCAGGGCTCGCAGCGGCTTCCGATCCATGCGAAGACTGCGCACTCGTCGTGTTTCCCACCATTTGCATGACGAGTTGCTCCAAATGCCGGAGCCTATCCTGCGCTTGTCCTCGCCGGTTTGTCGCATGAGCCAGGTTCGTGCCATTGGTGGTGCCTGTGTCGGATGCTCTAGGCAAAGGGATATTGCCGTAAACGCAGCTTGACTCGTCGCCTCGTTTGACGCAGGTCTCGCATGGATGACCTTTGTCGCATTTTAATTTCTTGATCCGGCAGTTGAAGCAGGAAATGGGCTGTCGATTTCGCTTGCTGATTTTGTGTCCTCCCGGGTGCTGGCTGTCCAGATTTGCGCGGAACTTTGTCGTGAGGGCGGAGAATTCTGCCATTGGATAGGGCCTGCTTCGTCCTAGTTCAGATCTCAACTAGAATGTGGGGATGGGCTGGCAGTCATGGGCATGGGATGGGATGCAGGATGAACAGGCACGCAGGATTCGATGATTGAGATCGTCTGTTAGAGTGGCGCGATGTTCCCGAATTGAAACTTTGCTTAGTGCGGGTCGCTTATTGGGACGGATATCGCAGGTTCAACAGCCAGGACAGGAAGTTGGTGTTGATTCGAGATTGACATTGGTGTCAGGAGATGAAGAGTGAACATGACTGTAGATTGCGCAGTGGTGACAGACGAAGAAGACGACGAAGGCAGAGAAATGATGATATCAACTCCCGCAGCTCGCATTTCCAGTCTCAATCAAACTCCCCCCAGCTCACAATCTAACGAGAAATTTGAATTATCACTACCACATACCATTTCCTATTGGTATGCTTATTGCAAAGAGTTGACATGGTACATACGTGACATTGAGAACCAGCTATCCTGATGTGAGTCACCCCTCCCTGCTTCTTTGCATCACCGCAGTCTCGCTCTCATCAAAGCTCCCTCGTACACCCAGGCTTAATCTTCTGATACAAGGCTGTCAGTTCTTGCCAGATCCTTTTCGCTGCTTCATCTCCCTTGGCACTCTTGACAAAGTTGCTATAGTTCTTGACCCGACACTCACTCAAATACTGTCCATGGGTCTCCCTTCCCGCTGTAGCTCCATGAACCAGCGTTCGCGCGCCGTGCTCGCTAGATCGCCCAAGGATCCCGATCAGGACTTTAGTGGGCGCAGGCGTGTAGTTCTGGAAAAAGTTGGTCTTGCAAAGCCCGGGCGCAACATTGTTGACGACCACCAACGGTTTATTGGCTGGGTCTTTCTTCGCCGCTTCTGTCAACCGCGCCGCCAGATATTTGACAAGCAGCATCACCATGAGTTTGCTAAGGTAATATCGCCCTTTCATATCGGCCTTCTTAGGATCCGACACTGTGTTGAGAATCTGTCCCTCAGCAGGAGTCGTTATCTCCTTGTCGTTGGCCGCGAAATGCACTGCCGATCCAACAATGGCAAGGTTCGGGGTGATGTTGTACTTTTTCGCCGAGTCGCGCAGGATAGGAATGAGCAGTGAAGCCAGGAGGAATGTCGAAATAACATTCACGGTAATAGTCATCTCGTATCCTTCCACCAGTGTAAACTCCGTACGTTGAATGCCGGCATTGAGAATCGCGGCATCGAGCCTGGGGAGATCTTTGCATCGCTCTGAAAAGGCGACCACACTCGGAAAGGAGCACAGGTCGAGTTCGAAGACGATAATTGTTGGCTGCGGACGTCCCCGGTTTTCGCTGGAGATTGACTGTAGAATAGTCTCCTTCGTCTGGTCCCCTTTCGCGAGGGTGCGACACGCAAGGACGATGGTGCTGCAATTCAACTGCACCAACAATCTGGCAGCATCAAAACCCAATCCAGAATTGGCTCCTGTCACCAAGATGGTTCGACCAGTCAAGTCAACTTGTGGAAGTGGTGGAGTTGAAAGCTGACCGCGGATAAATTGACCGGCGCCTGACATGATGTTAGGTTAGAGCCTGTCCTGTACGTGCTGGTAATTGTGGTCGACGAGTACTGAATCAGCGTGAAATGACCTTGAACGAGCGGCCAGCAGTCAAATATCTCCCGAAGACTGTTGGGATGTCCACGTCTTATACGTTGCCTGTTTCCCGAGACGACGAGTCCCTTTCAGCCACGGCGCCCTGTGCAGCAGTTTATGCATGGTGTACAATCTCCGACAGATGCTGGACTTTCGTTTCTCCCTTTCCAGGATACTTAGTACATTGGGGTCCAGTAAGAGGCCTCAAAGCTGAGATTGAGGATAGGTCTCTGTCGTTGCTGGCATGTGGTTTGGCAGGCCCCCAACTATTCTGGAAACCAGTTAACTCCGAGTTGTGGAGCACCTCATGGGCAAACTTCCGTCCGTCTGCCAATACCAAGGCCCCAAAGATGCCCGAGGGGTTCATCATCAGCAGGCAGACATGATTCCAACTCCTAAGTCAAGGGGCGCAGCAATCTCGCAGGCTCTCCCAGTCTGTTCTTATTTGCGCTGAAAACGAGCAATTGCTGCGGACCCGGACCAAGGCGGACGGTTGTCGATTAGCCATACGGCATCTTCATTAGACTTCAGTAATGCCTGCCGTACTCTTTCCGTGTGTATGAGAGGGCCAAGAAGCATGAAGACCTTGTCCACATTGTCTTCAGAGATCCGAACATGCTCAAGAATGGTAATTAACAACGACACAAGTGCTTCCAGGATCTGAGCGTCTGACGACCTCATGCCGCCGTATGGGGCTAGAGAAGTCTGATCGAATGACGAAATAGCCTCGTGGGTTTTCTGAATCGACCTGGTTAGAGAAGTGGGCAATTCTAGTTCTTTCATCTCCGGCATCGTAATCGCCTTCTGCCGCTTTTTTATCCCGACGACACTCGAATATGTTTTCTCGAAGAGGATCTCAAGCTCGTCAAAGACGTCTTCAATTCGGCTGGACATGAAATTCCCTGCTGCACGGCAGATTTCGGCTAATGTGAGGGCGGCGTCCTTGACGATATATGGCGCATTCGCCGCGCCTGGATCGCTCCCAGCAAGTAGTCTTGAAATCACTGCCGGCCAGATGGAGTTCACCAAGGGCAAAAAGGTATTCTCATGCCCTGCAAGGAGTGGACATATCTCCTGCAGCATGTGCAACAAAGTAGAGCGCACCTTCGGCGAAGGAGAGGACAAATGTGGAACCGTGGACTGTGCAATATGGAGTAGAAGCTGGTGGGACTTGGATATCTCGGTCTCCTTCTGGTCTGCGGTCTGCTGGTACGGTTGATCATCCTCTACCTCTTCATTCTCGTCGGATAGGCTTCTTTGCTCCTCGCCTCGCACACCATCTTCAGCAGTGGTCCACGGTCGGTGAGGGGCACCAATAATGTCCTCCTTTTCCTCTTCAGATTGACGATGTCTGTTTTTCCTGTTTTGTAAGTCGCCGAGGATATCTTGTAAACAGGATACGTGGTTTGAGACATTTCGTTTGCTGTCAGGTGCTGCTGCGGACTGTATTGCAATAATGGCAGGCTTCTTGGAACTCTCTGTCACTACCATTGTAAGAACGTCAAACAACCGTTCGACGAGATTCGAATATCCATGGAAAGTATCCAAGGCGCTAAAAATGCTTCCGATGAGGTCGTCAAGATGCGGGAGAAGCTTTCCACCACAGAGACGAATCATCATTCCGATCACTTGTAGACTAGTGGGAGAAACATCAAAGGCATTGAGCCGCAGCGCAACAGCGTTGATTAGATAATCCACGTTCTCGATCAGCATCTGAGAGGCTGATTCATATTCACATGCTGTGGCCAACAGGTTCAGGGCCGTCATTGCATGCTGCTGGAGCAATGCATTCTTGGAACCGAGCAGAGTCAGTAATGGAAATAATGTCTCCACTAACTCAGGTCTGTACGATTGACGGAGCTGAGAAGCCTGCAGTGTTAAACTTTCGAGAGACAGTGCCACCAGCCGCCAGTCTGTGTCTGCTTCACCTTCGAGGTCAGGATATTCCGTCAGAAATGGCAGAGTGTTTGAATAAAGATCGGTTATGAGAAAGGGACGGGAAAGTGAGAAGTCAGGGGGGGAAACACTGTCGTCCACGAGCTCCATCATGTCGAATGCATTGCCGCTGTCAGATCTCAGGAACTGGAGGGCGAGCCATGCTGCCGATAATTTCCTGTCAACATCAGGATCATGCACATGATCAACAAGGCTGCGTGTAATGTTCTGGCTGAAGGCCTGCGACCTAAGTGTGGCAATCAGGTTTGTGAGCTCTTGCGTAGACGATTGCTGGCTCTGATGATTCAGGATAACCGGCATAAACTCATGTTCTGATCGTCTAGACTGCCGAATAAGCTCGCCCGGAGAGATCTGGGGCGCTTCGTTGACCAGTTTTGCCTTATTTGAACTCGATTTAACTCCTGCTGCAACAGTATCGATTAACATTGAAGCAAATTTCCACATTTCTTCGTCTGTGGCACTTGAACTCTCCGTCAACGCGATGAACGACGTCGTCACCTGCTTCAGCAACTGCTGCTTGGGTCTGTCGTCATTACCTTGCATCACCCGGGGGAGTGCTTGAGACCAGTCATAAAATTTCGCGGTCAGAATTTCGGCTATCTCTGGCCTCGACGTTATCAAGTATTTGAGAGCAGATCTTGCCTTTGATCCATCAGGGGATCGGCAAAGGACTGCAAGCGTCTCCACCATCAGAGGCACAGATTGAGCGAGAGTCTGCGAACAGTCATCGATAACTGTCAGGCAAAGCTTAAGAAGAGCTTCAGCAACATCAGGACTGTCATGAGTCCTCAATTTGACTACCTGGATCAGAGCCAGGTCGATTTGAGATGCTGTCGCATTGAACCAGGATTTGTCCAGGATGACCTCATCATCAGCATCTCGTGCTGCGGGAGACTTGGTCTGAATCGCCGAAGTAGTTTTGTCCGGACCGTTACCATCAGTGAGGACGTTTCTCAAAACTTCAGTCATCAGGTCCAAGTAGCCAACAAGAACCTTTCTCGTTCGACGGGCCTGAGTACTAGGTCGAAGAACTTTGACCAATGTAGACACAGTACGTGGAAGCAGACTGGCTAATAATGCTCGACTCTTGATGGCACGCTGAAGCTCAAGAAGTACAAGGGTTGCGCTGATCTGGACGGCCTCGGATGAGGCATCTACTAGTGCTTCAAGTAGTTGGTAGACCAATTGGTCTACAATGTTCCTGCTGCCGACACCTTCCAGGATCGTCGATTTTTGTAAAGTTGTCTGACGGACGAGGACAGCCATGCATTCGAATGACGCAACTTTCAGCTCATCTGTAGGAGGCTGCTCCGGTCGGTTAGGTCCTTGGGAAACCAGCAAGCCCAAGAGGATGAGCAGCTGCTTGGCCATCTCGGGAAGAAGCTTGTCTCCCCATCCTTTCGACACCAGAATTTGCACACATCTGACAGCCAGCTCGAGTCCTCGGGATGATATCCGCGGGGATTGATTGAAAACATGAGTCAGTGGAAAGAAGGCGTATTCGGCCAACTTCTCATCAAGCAGATTCTCATCCCCAAGTGAGCAGAGAACCCGGTGCACCTGTTCCAGTGCCAGCAAGACTACCTTCGCAGATGTCTGATTAGCCTTGAGTTTGAGAGCGACAGAGCTCAGCTCGACACAAGGTGGACGCAGCTGGGTGACACGTTAGTTGTGGAAATTTCCTGCCGAAAGTTATGCAGCAACGTACCCGCTGGAAAGCCTGCTGCCGCGAGGATTCCATCATGGAATGACTGTAAGTAGCCCTCAAGACATTCTATCCGCAGATGACTGCATGTTTTCGACGACATTGTCTAGACCATGATGCCAGGAACAACTGTGACAGACAAATGCACAGCCACGGCGGCCTGGCAGCACGTGTGGCGAAGCTTGGCGTCTTGGCATATTTTTCAGTTCCCCTGGGCACCAAGCCTCGTCTCGCTCCTGGTGTGTAAACACTCGATTTAGGCATAACAAGCAAGTAGACGTGCATCTGCGCGAGAGAAGATCTCAGAGGGCGATATCTGCCTTTCACGGTCCGGGAGCCTGTTGACGAGAGGAATACCCATGAAGATGATTCCCTTGTACTCCGAGCAGCAACGTGGCTCGAAAGACATCAGGAATATTTGACATTAACACCTGCATTCGTCGCACCTTGGTTGTTGCTATCTTCAGCTAGTCTATCCAGGCAGTGGACCAAGTCCTCTACACCAAAATGCAGGAGGCACAGGCTCAACGAGACCCACGAGGTCTGCCTGCTCAAGATGCCGTGTGGTGCATGCCAACGCAATCTTCGTCGTCGTGACCATGATCAGCTTACAGCTCTGCGACATGCAAATAGGGTGATGCAGCCGCGTCTAATCCATACCTGATTCCACATAGGACTGACCAGGACACCGACTTAAACACACAAAGCTCCGAGGGTCGGCTTCAGTGTCGTGGCGTTCTGTACGGGCACACCGATAATTAGTCGAAGCAGTATCCGGCTCGACGCTGACTTGCAAACCATGTGTCACGTGATAGGCCACGTAGCCTCTTTTACTCCCGGCATTTCCTCGTCACGATTGCTTACTCTTCTGCCGCAGCAACCTACGCTGGAGGGACATCGAATTGAAGAGGTAGATCCGGATCGACTATCCCCCCTCCCGAGTTCCACGCTCGCCGTTCAACTTCTGCTTCGCCGAGACATGTACGCAGGTCGTTGGAGGAAATGTAAATCGACGTGTGAAGGACGGATTCGGGGATCAATGACTTGGGGGCGAAATCTGCGACAGGAAACGCCATCCACCAGCCCGGAGAAGGTCCACCATCGGCATTTCGGAACGTCTGTGGTCGAAAAGTCAATAGACGCGGATAAACAGAAGTCTGCAGGGACGTACCAGGTTGGCTACCTCCGTCTCCACCGACAGCATTGGTAGTGAATCGTCAGTACTTGCAGTTATTTGTGGTTTCCAAATACTGAGAGTCGCCTTCTTGGAAGTACCATGGTTGACACTTAGAAACACGACCCGACAAGTATTTCCACCACCTTCAATGATGTATTGTCTTGCAAGCTCTTCCATCTCCTCACTGTTCTGGGAGGATGCTACCTCGAAGACCACACCTGGGTAGCGTGCCGCTTTGTGCTTGATCTGTGCGTCTGTGTCGTGACAGCAACCTTTACGGACCATGTTATAAGGGGCCCGGCCACGAGTTCTGATAGAGGGGGATCCACGCGTTCACGTGCTTATATTGTGTTGTTGTGTTGCCGAACACGAACAAATCTGTGACACTGAGATGTATTAAAATCGGCACACAGTCACTTCTAGATCCAGAGTCACGTAAACAAAGGGCAATTCAATAATAATTAACGCGTCAGCGCGTCCATCGTGTGCCGTGCGGGGTGCCGTGCGGGGAAGCAAAAAGACGTGAAATGGACTACGGCGCAGTACTGCGTGTATTGCATGTTTTACTTGGTGCATGGCATGGGTGTAGTGGTGTGCATCTCAATGATGCCGTTCCCTTATCAGCCTTCACTCATGTTACAGGATATACCTCGTACAGCCGTATAGCAAGATGAAGAAGCGAAGGAACTCTGTTTCCGGTGCACACCTTCGACTATACTTCGACAGAGTCCTTCCAGAAACTTCATGCGAGACAGAAATCTTGAAAGGGCTCATGCTCCTCGAAGCTGCAGATTCCTACTCTGCTCTCTCAGCCTGACAGATTGTCTCTCCACTCCTTGAAAGATGGAGTGCGATGTTATGGTGCAATAGTACTGCTCTGACTTGCGACAAAAGACAACTTCATACTAGGGACGGTCGTGAAAGATTTTTGGTTACCTTAGACACCTACTCGGTACACATCCCTGCACTTAACAAGCACGGCGTCAGCAGCCTAGCGAGCAGCTCCACCACATTTCTCGGACAACCGACGCCTCAGCACAGACCACTCGAAGGATTTTGTGGAGGCGATGTATAAGTAAGTCCGAAGCCGATTAAAATACCGACTTCGTGGCTGATAATTGTACTCGGTAGGCGCAGTCTGCCTTTTCCTCCAGCACTATGAATTTCACGAATCGAGAAGTGGCTGGGAGAGATCAGTGAAACTAAGTTTGATCACCTACATCGGTGCCAATCACAATCCTCATGTGGACACAGGACAGACTGGAGAAGGCGTGTACCGAGTACAAGACCCAAAGCGTTTGAACGGTGATGCAGCAGAGAGTCAATCTCCGCCTTGAAACAAACAGATCTACTGGCAAGAGCTCACAAGGCAAAGAGACCGGGCAGAAACATGAGAAAGGTGATGGATTCAATGGCGAAATGGTAATGTTTTCTTGGTGCCGGAACTGGGAAGCCCCAACACGCTACTACTAGCGAGCACTGTAGCTACGGACAACCCTGCTCGAATAATGGCCAAGAGACAACTTCCTTGGGCGTAAGCTTGGTGCTTCGGAGCAAGATTGGGTGACAGGAACCATGATTTGGCAGCGTAAGGTTGACTGGCCCAACGCTGGTCTCACCGGTCTGCAGCAGGCCGGGCCTGATCTATTCTCCTTGCCATGCAAACACCGTAGTCCAGTCCGTGGTGGTCACGGTTGACGCGTCTCCTCTTTACCGTGCCAATTGTAATGGAGGTGGCTGGATGGAGAAAAGACCCCATTGCGATATTCATTATAGCTCATGTTTGTGGCAAGCACCGAACCTGATAATTCCGACTATGATGTGATGGCAAGTTTCTTGGACTGGACTGGGCGCAGGGAGCCACTTTGCAAGTAGCAGTAATACTACCAGTCGTCGTACTCGTACAAAGAGGAACCACATCTACGACTAACAAGTGTAAGTACACAAGGCACAGTACTACGAGTGAATTCGTGTCGTCACTGTGGGGATAGCGACGCTTACTAGGTGGCTCCTCGTAGGCTCAATTTCCATTCCTCGGGGTGCCTGCAGCGGCTGCTTCTCGGTGACACCCCAGACTTCTCGACTTCTTACACATTCACCAGGAACAGTGTCACGGGAAGGTTTACGTCTGTTGGACACGCTGGGACAAGGCTGGATTCGCACACCATGTTTGTTGAGATGGTGTACCCTAGCATCCTAGGAAAGCTAGAAATCAACAATTAATCGGTACGCCCTAACGGAAGTCCATGACCTGACCGCTTTGCCCAAATGCCCGACGCAGGATTTGTTCGGTGGCGATGGCGGACGGGAATCACCGAGGCCATTGTCGATTGGGTGCTGACTCCAAGATCTCTGAAGCCCGATGTTCAGCTCGAATCGAACCGGACTAGAGTGTGTTCGGCATAGGGTTGGTGATCGCCCACACGTAATAATGGCCCAGTTTCAGAGCTTCAGGTCACGTCGAGGGGCTTAGCGGCCATTAGGGGGGGACACTTGGGGCATGGGGGAATTAGCGAGGTACCCGGAGGATCCTCCCCGAGGGGCCCGCTGTGGCTGAACGGGTGGCGGTCACAGATAATCGGTTGGTCCAAAATCGAGTTTGCCGGTGTCACAAAGTGGCTGCCGTCACCTACGGGTCACCAAGGCACGCCTAGGTAGAGTTCAGCCTGTGCAACCCTCAGCGATCTAGCCTGTGACGGACTGGCACGACAAGCTGCCATCGACATCCCTGCAATTACTGCAATTACTGCCAGCTTCACAGCAGGAACAAAGTGCAAACCCAATCAATCACCAACCTCCTCTCCATCAAACCCTCCAGTGGTCCCAATGGTCCCAATACCCCTTGTCGTCCTGAAAGTCTAACAAGGAATTGCGGAAAACTTGGTTCCTGATTCTGGGCGTCAAGAGCTATGAGTACAGCTTGTTCGTTCATCATTGCCTACACCCCCTACCCCCTGGTACTCCTTAGAAGATAGTCAAGGTGTCAGGGTGCCTACGAGTAATACTCCGCTAGGTCCTGCATCTTGCTGCATGCTGTAGTACTCCTAGAGGCGCATCCATCCTCAGAGCTTGTGCCTTTTTCTCGCTTCGTCACTGGCAACAGCGTCTCCACTTTCCGTCACTTCTCCAGCTTGACCTTTACTTGACCTTCACTTCCCAAGTCAAAAAGCTTCCCACTTCCACCTTCCAGCAACTGTCTGACCCCTTTGACACATCCCATAAAACCGCGTGCGTCAACTCATTTCGCGCTTCGACGCCTACTTTCTTCCTCTTTGCCACCATCTCTCGACTTGGTCCTCTCCTTCTTTCCTGCCTTAACCCACGACCTCTCGACGTCGTCGTCACATACGGTGCATCATCTTACTGATCACACCCTTTACGTCGCGTAACTCTCAACTTCATTCACGGGCCTTGATTCCCTCATCCTCAACCATGAAGACACTCATCATCGCTGCTGCTCTTGTTGGCGCAAGTTTCGCGCAAACACTGGCTGACTTGCCACAATGCGGTGTGAGTATCTCGTACCCCAAACTGTCTTGATCAGAAATTTTGGCTGACCTGTCTTCCAGCAAGCGTGTTTCAATAACATGATCGCGCAAGCTGCTACCCTCGGTTGCCCTGACGTTAATGGATCGCCTGATGTCGTCTGCCTGTGCAAGAACTCTGACTTCAGTTATGGCCTCCACGACTGCTCCGCTGAATCATGCCCCGTCGGCACCGATATCTCGTCAGTTCTTACCTATGGTCAAAACTACTGCAGCAATGGTGAGTAAATATGGACAGCGGGACAAAGAGGGACAATTGTACTGATGACTGTTAGCTGCTGCTTCCGCATCCAGTGCTGGCAGCTCGGTTGGTGCTCTCTCTGGTACCTCTGCCTTGACCGTGGGTGGTGCGACGGCCACTGGCGCTAGTGATGCCACTGCTACTGGCACTGGTGGAGGAAGTGCTTCTGGCTCTGGTGCTTCGGGTTCTGGCTCTGGCGAATCCACCCCAATTTCTACCGAGACGCTCTTTTCGACCATCACTTCCGATGGCAGCACCATCACCACCGCTGTTGGCACATCCACCATCTTTGGTGCTGCTGGCGGATCAGGTGGCAGTGGCGCCTCTTCAACTCCTGTTTCGACCGAGACTCTGTTTTCAACTGGCACCGACAGTGCAGGCAGCACCTTCACCACCGCCGTAGGCACATCCACCATCTTTAGCGCCGTTGGAGCCGGGGTAAGTAACATCGGTTTGCAAAAAGTCTTCAAGGTCAGAATCACTGACGGGTTCCAGTCTGCATCATCGGGCGCTTCTGGCGCGAGCGCATCGGCCTCGTCCCTCTCGGCGTCTCTGTCCTCCCAAGCTTCATCGGCATCCTCTGCTGCCTCGAGCGCAGCATCCTCCGCTGAAGCTTCTGCATCGTCTGTTGCCAGCTCTGCGTCTTCACGTCTGTCCAGCGCTACGGGTTCTGCCGCGTCCGGTGCATCATCGGCTGCTTCCTCGGCGGCATCTGACGCGACTGGTGCGGCCATGCCCGTGGCAACAGTGGCTGTCAACGGTCTGGCTGGCATTGCAGGTCTGGCTGCCATCATGATGCTGTGAATGAAAAAATAACTTGATCCACATTTGGGTCGGGTAGGAGGGTTGATAAAAAATTTCCGATTTGTTTCCACATCACTGTTGATACCCACATTCGAATGGCGCGACTTGTATCCCACTGCACCAGGCAGGGAAAAAGAACAATCGGCGGGCAGAATCTCAGCGCGATTGACTTGTTCATGGTCACCGCAGCGTGCCTATTGATGCGTAACGGATTTTACGGACAAACCAACGGTACCTTTTAGCACAAGCATGGAGCTTTCAGTGTAATAGGCCCGATGGAACGGGCTGATAGCTAATACATTATGTATTGAACTCGAGACAGAAATGCTTTTCAAGAGAGCGAGTGCAAAGTAATTTGTAGTCGTGTGCAGGAGCCAACTTCGCTTCCAAAGCCGAAGCATCCGGGCTCCTTTGTACCAGATGTGGCATGGATCATGGGTGTCAGGGGTGTCCAAGATAGCAAAGCAAAATTGCCATTGGCACGCTTAACTTGGGACAAGAATCTCCACTTGTGCGATAACATACGAGCATTCTCGTAAACTAGTCAGTCTTTTATCCTATCGCCCTAATATTGAGACGACCTTGCCCAATTTGCCAATAGAGTTCATATGGCATGTATCTCGGTATGTACCTCATACACAAACAATTACAGACCTCAAGTGTCTACCTAGATACGTAGATATGTAGGTAAGTCCGCGGTACAAGTCTTGTGACAAGTAGACCTAGGGAGGAGGGGGGTATGTATACTCGATAACGTCCGAGTGTAGAGTGTAGATATGCTGCAAATTCCATTTTCCTAGTAGCCACAATAACATTCCCAGCGTTGGTCACTGATCGATCTATATATCCAAGTACAGACATACATACGTCGGGTTCGAGGCTTGAGGTTTGGCCTACTCGTTAGGGTTGGTGTCTGTGCGAGATTAAAGTATTCTATAGTATGTGGACGGAGAGGGAGGGAGACAGACACGGAGAGATCAACTTCAAGATGGGGCCAGGCACTTGAATCCCACAAGGCTACACATGTGCTCATACTCTCATGTCCACGCTCTGAAAAGAACTGATCCGTCACGAGATGAATGATATGGTAACTCCTTTGGCATTTTATATCGGTGGCAGAGAGGGTATCATTATTACACGTTGCGTCAAACTCAAGGACGATCGAGAAGAGCAGTACATCGAGTGGTACTAGCGGCGCAACTCACTTACTCGCTCACTCCCAATCCTCTTCGTCACTCTCCTCCTCGACCTTGCTGGTGGGCGACCGGCCGATGTCGTCTTTCGGACTTCCCGGTGCCCGGCTGTTCGCTCCACTGACGAGATCATAGCTGGCGTCGCTGTCGGCCACGGACTTCTCGTCGTGAGATCGGCGGCCTTCGGGCTTGAGCGAGCTCGGGTCCGCCGACGCGGGTGTCTGGTGTATCGTGGTGGAGGAGTCGTTGGTGTTCTGGGCAACGAGGACTTTGGGCACGGCTTCGTTTCGTAGTTGGGGAGTCGAGACAGCTGCTGGTTCCTCATCACTGTCCTCGTCCCAGCCGACCTCTTCTGTTTCGTGTGCAGATGCTATGATTCATGCAGTTAGCAGAGTTTCTTCACTGGCGATCTTTGTTGTCAACACCCCGGCCCTTACCTTTGAGAAGTTCCTTTCTCTTTTCTTCTTGCGTCTCCACTACGTGCCTCAGGAAATAGTACCTCGTCCAGAAATCCTTATACTCGACCTTCTCCGGCACAAGCTGCTCCATGGTGCTTCTCAGCTCCCTGTACTTGTCAAGGTCTTCTGCAATGCGGGCGGTCATCTTGTCGATATCGAACCCTTCTCTAAAGTCGTCCCACTGATTGCCCGCTCCACTGGGATCTTGGGTGAAGCTCGTCACCGTAGTGTGGATGACATGTAGCTGCGCGTCGAATCTGCTTGTGTGGATGACTCTTTTGCCCGAGGTAGGGTCTCTGCTTTCGAAAAGCACCTCACTAGCCTGGCGATTGCCAGTGGCAGCGTCGTCGTCGTCAGGAGCAGTTACCGACACGGCATCTCGCAGAAAGTTTCGGATATTTGTGCCGAACCTCAAGAGTGCCTCGTCGGCAGCGTCCTCTGCTCGCTGCACGTCTCTCAGCCTCTTCGCGGCCTCGGTTCTGAATCGCTCAAGAAAGGTCTCCGTCTCTTGAATTGTCTTGTTCTGCTCACTTTCTTTGCCGGCGCTGGATGATTCTGCGTCCGCGTCTGCGTCCCGGCTCGAATCCTTCTCTCCCTCCTTCTGTTCTGCACCGAACCCCAATCCCTTGACGCCCTTCACGCGCAAGGCTTCCATGTCGACTGCCATTTCAGCTGCCTCCTTCTTCGCCTCCTCGTATAGACTCTCCCCTTGTTTTCTGACATTGCCCCAGAAACCACCCAGTTTGACGCCCCATTGTGAGTTGGAAAACGCCTTGAAGGTCTCCTGAAACTCTGACTGCAGACTCTGTCTCGGGGAAGTGGTCTTTGGCGTCGAGGTATCATTGGTGTCTGAGGTGGTCGTTGCAGGTGTCGGAGTAGTGGCGCGGTCTCCCGCGATGTAAGCTTGTTCGGCAATATGATCGTATGCAAGATCCATAGTTGTTGGAGGGAAGTGTGGTCAATGCGAGGTTGTGGAGAGGGGTAAGAAGACGAGCGGACCGACGAGGTTCGCCTTTGTTGCTGTAGAATGACTGTACGAGGGGGTACGTAGCGACCGTATGTCTAGAAAGAGGGCGAACTTCAGCTGCTGTGTCAGGGGTGGTGACTGACGAGACACGAGTACTTTGACATGCGCGCGCAGGGAGGTTGGAGTGATGATCAAGGGGGGAATTCGTCGATGACGGTCACCGATCCAGGGACCACGTCAAGCACGTGCGGTGTAATGGTCTCATTAATTTAATTCAACCGTCTGACAAGAAATGGTCGAGTACAGCCTCAGCGAGCCTGCGCCATCCTCTGAGGAATTCCACCCAGTCAGACAAGGCCCAGGAGTATATTCAGGTGCATATATATACCTCGTACTACTTCTTCGCTCACAAGATGCCCCTTTGTCTCGCGTCTCTAACAATCCTCTCACATACTTGACCTGCAAATCTCTGAGACAGGTGCAGACGGCGAGGTCGTTAGAGACATTTCTCAATCGAGAAAAAGGTGACGACTGGCTTGAACAGATCGAGTACATTGTATGCCTTATTCAATTCCCTTGTCGTCTCCTTATGTACCTTGTTCTCCATTATTGGTTCTTCTGGGATACATGGACCAACTCACGGCAGGGAAAGGCAATGATAACATCACATCGTATCACATCCCCTTATACCTCCAAGTCCACTGTCGTCCTCATCGCACGCCTAGTCACCTCGTGTCATGACATTCGTAGTATTCTTTCGGTCTAATACTCAAAGTCGTCATCCACTCCAGTCTTGCCCGACTGTTCCTTCTGCACCACCTCCTGTTTCCTGTACATCTCTGCTACGTCCGCGCTTGTTGTCGCCTCCTCCGGCTTCTTGTCGTCTCTTCGCTGGATGAACCGGGGAAATCTGAGGCTTATCCCATTTTTGCCGCCCATCTCCTCGATTGCGGCCCGGTATCTAGGACTCAACGTAAGATCCGCAGTCTTCACTTCCCAGACATGCCGCGGCTCGAACCAAACATCTGGCTGGTCATTTTTGACGGTCGAATGAGAGTAGAAGGGTTTAGGGCGCTCGATCACTATTTCGGAGAGCTCCTTGGCGAGCTCCTCGAGCAGGGACTCAGAGAAACCGGTGCCAATGTTGCAGACCGTTTCGAAATTTTGGGTCTCTGGATTGTATGCTGCAAGAAGGAAAGCACCATACCAGGATGTGCGCTTACCTTTGCCGTGGTAAGCCCCTAGAACCACAAGATCCAAAGAGTCGCCTGTGGTAGAGAGATAGTCCTTCTTCACTTTGAGCCAGTTCCTCGAGCGTTTCGAAGGCTCGTAGGCCGATTCTTCCGTGTCGAGCATCTTCACCATCAAGCCTTCGCAAGATGCTTTGACAGCATCATCGAGTAGATGCTGAATCTCTTCAATATCCTTGGCATCGCCATATTGGGCAAATTGGAATTCGCCGTCTACTGGCACGAAGGCGTCGTGCAGTAAGTCTCGTCTCTCACGGAATGTTTTCTGCACAAGCGCTTCACCGTTATAAAAGAGCATATCGAAGGCAAAGACACAGACTTTGACCGTGACTTCAGATGTCTTGACGTCTTTGCGCTTCCGGGTCATAAGTTGCTGGAACGGTAGGATTTTCCTGTTCTGAGGGTCCCAGGCGACGGTTTCACAGTCCAGCACAAAACTCTTCGTTGTGGGCTTGATCCACGTATTGAGTTTCTCCAGGATGTCGGGGTACTTTTTGGACAGATCCTCAGAGTTCCTCGAGAACACGGCTGCCAGACCTTTGAATGCCTTTGGATCTTTGGTCAGTGTATTCTGCGCCGCTGGGTATTCGGACATGGCTTCCGGGGCAATGTAGTGGATCTGAGAACGCTCCCCATCGTATTTGTATTCGCATGTGAAGGTTTTGCCCTCGAAGCGGTCAAGCACCTCAGTGATTGCCTTGGTCGGTTTGGCAAGCATAGGTTTCAGGGGCACCCCTGGCTGCAACTTACACGTCTCGTGTAAGTGGAAAATACCATGTTCCAGCATTGCTGGAATGATGACTTCGTACGAGGGCAGCTGGCTGTAAACCATTTTCAGGGCAGCTTCTCCCTGCGCCAATTGATCCGTAGTGGGAACCTTGCCCTCCTTCGTCGCCTCGTGAGTAACAACGGCCTGTGCCAATGCAATGATGACTGTTTTCTCCGCAAGGCCCAATCTCAATTTTCCTTCCAGGAAACGAACCAAGAATTTGGCCTCGGAAGGACCTCCTTTGTCCTTTGTGATATCGACGGTTTTACTCGTGGATGAGACATCTGCAGATGCCATGAGTTTATTGATGGCTCGAACTTTCTGATCTTGTGAACCTTGCCCTTCCATCTTGGCAATATCAAGTAATCCCTGATGGACGCCACGGACAGTCAGCGGTTTTGGCTTGAACATCTGGCTCTGCTTAGATTTGCTCTTGGCTGCAACCAGACCGAGGTCACCAATCTTTTGGTGATCCGCCTTGATGACCGATAACGAGCGGCCAGAACTCTCTCCGATGGCTTTCATGATCAGCGATTCCCCTATTCCAAGTTCGATGCCAGCGTAGTCGGCGGCGAGCTTGTTCAGCATAAGTTGAATCGTAGGCAGGAGATCTTGGGGGGTCAAGCGGAGTACTTGCTGAAGAAAGGCTGAACAGTAGGCCGTGATTTGGAGACGTTTGGTAGTGAGTTCGATCAAAGAAAAGGTTGTACACAGTGCCGCGTATGGTACGGGCTCACCGGCCTTCCAGTCAGGATAAGGATCTTTCCCTGTTGATTTGATGGTGGCTTGAATTTTGGCCACTTGCTTTTTGTCAACCCTGGGGTTCTCATCTTCACTTGCAGAGACATCATCTTCAGCTTCTGATACACTGCTAGCACGATCTGACGGTTCTGGTTCCTCTTGTTGTGGCTCGACCGCTTTCGAAGACGTCTTTTCGGTGTCGGGGTCGGAATCGGTTCTTGAGACACCATTTGTCTTTGGGGATGCCTTGGGCTTATCTTTGGACGCAGAAGTTCGCCTCCGTCTCTTGACCACAGGCTCATCATCAGACTCGTCCTCTTCTGTGGACTCTAGCTTGTGCTTTCTGCTCGGGGAAGTGTTGCTTTCTTCCTTGTTATTCTCGACGTCGTCCGCCTGTCCTTTTTCCGGATCTAGAGTCACATCATTCTCTCCTTTGGGTGGATCGTTCTCCTTTTTACCATTGGGAATTGACTTTTGGTTGAACGAGAGAGTAGACTGGGTTTTTGATTTGTTGCCGTTCTGTTTGCTCCCGAGGAATTTGCTGCAGAGGTTAGTGCCGGCTTATCATTACAGGGAAAATGAGTGCGGGCTCACCCAAGGGTCGACTGCCTCCCTTGTGTCATGTTGAGTTTTGGCCGTAGGTCGAGAGATCTGGAGTTGAATGTAACAGCACGAAACTTGTGATTGACCAGGAGAAGCGGAGGATAGGACCGGGACAGAAATCTGAGGTGGAATGAAGATTGAGGAGACAGTGGGTTCCTGACAATCGCCTGAGGTCCGAGGACGCAACCTAATGGCGTCAATTTCATCCAGGTGAAGTTTGTAGCTGCAGCAGTCACCTGCGTAGTCGAGATCTCAGTATAGCGAGAAGAAACAAGCGCGTCGTTGACGCGTGGGGTAATTAAGGCGATTAATTAATTCGCGTCTGTGACAATTTTAAATGACGTCGTGCGTGTGCGATGCGCAGGCAGTTGGGGCGGAGTGGCGGATGCCTGCTGTGCCTGTTGAGCCACGTGGGTGCCTATGTACGAGGTAGACACCTGGGCAAAGGCAGAAATAGGCACAAGCATCTAGGGCTCGCCAGCTACAATGTGGCATGCAGTTCATCCATTCAAAATAGATCAGAAAAGATACTTACTTACCAGGTCCGATCCCTTTCCTCTCACTATCTAATATCAGAATTGCACAGCATCCAGATCGCTGATCAATTTACAGTATAGCAGATACTGGCGTGGCTAACGCAGTTCAACACCAACTCATGGCTGTACCACTCCATATCGACATACCACCCCATGTCAGCCTGAACAGGAACCGTCTTACTGCCTCGCTCGACCTTTCGATCTTTTCTGCCCGCCAGCCTCGGCCATGTCAGCGTCCTCGGGGACTTTCCTCTGCGTTAGAGTCACTCGTATCTTTGTCGTTATGTTCTTCCCTCTGCCGTTCTCCTTCAGACTGGCCTCGATTCGAATCCTCATCATCATATTCAGTACTATCGTAGTCGTACTCCTCTCCTCTGTCGGTAAATAGGTGACTCGGATGAACAATCTCCTTCGACCGATAGCACTTGAAGCACAGGAAAAACCCTCCACACAGATCACACCGGTAATATACTCCGACCACAAGCTACGGCGTTGTCTCCTTTGTCAGCAAACATCTTTGGTCGTGCATTGAACTTGGGTAAATAGGGGGCAATGGACTTGAGGCCATCACTTACGATTAAACATGAGTCGCAGTAGTAATTTTCCCTACAAGGTTTGGCTCTTCTCGCATGCCGTGACGAACTATCCCAAGTTCGATTCAATGCGGCGGCACGCAACTCCAGGAAATCGATGATACTGGAAGGCAGGTTGTAGTGGTTCGCGAGCTTCAGTGCTGTCCACTTCCGGTCAAGGCCCAGACCTTCCGCGAAGAGATCTGCCCCGTGGTGGAGCAGTTCTTCGAGGATCTCTTGTCTGTTATCAGACTGGGCATCCCAGAAAGTGCATTTTCGCATGGCCCAGAGGAGCGGTGTCCATTGATCTCTGTCCCTGGAGTTGACAACATCCAGACATCTCTCTCTGGCCTTGTCTAGGACATACCGAACTAGATCGAGACGGCCGCTGACAACCGCCAGATGGAGAGCGCCCCTTCCCATCTTGTCAGGTTCGAAAAGCTGCGCGCCATGTTCAGGTCGGCACAGCAGCTCCACCCGGTCGATCGATCGGTAGAGAGCATAGTGGATAGCCTGGCGGCCGACCCTGTCAACGCTGTTGACCTTTGCGCCCCTTTCCAACAGCAGCCTTATCACTTCCATGGTGCCGCTGAGGACCGCCACGCTCAGGGGCCCTCCCCACCAGTTGCTTGTCAGATTGGCGTCGGCCTTGTCCTCGGCGTCGTCAAGCAGGTACTTGATGATGCTATCTTTTTCGGGGCCCGGGTCGCGCAGCAGCGCCGCTTGAAGTGGCGTGCCGTTAACACCCGGGTGGACGATGTTGGTGTCTGCGCCATGCTTGCACAAGAGCTTGACCATGTCCAAGGACGCCATCCGGCAGGCACGTATGAGCGGCCCGCCATGTGGACCACCAGTGATGTTGATCCTTGCGCCTTTGAGGATCAGGTACCGAGCGATCTCCAAGTTATCTTGCCATGCCGCACTGCAAAGAGCCGTGTAGCCGTCATTGCTGGCACTTTCTAGATCGGCTCCTCTGTTGACAAACGCTTTGACAATGGACTCATCGTCTTCACGGCGGGTGATGAGAACGGCTCGATTCAAGACCGAGTAACCGTACACGTCCTTGGCCTTCTCCAGATCCAGGTTGAACTCTAGCAACATTTTCACAATGTCTTTTGCACCCCCATTGACGGCATTCATAAGTTCCTCGCAGCCCTGCGAGGGAAGATTCCGAGGATCTGCCCCCGCGCTCAAGAGGCGGCCGACGCATCGAGTGTTCAGTTTGGAGACGGCCGCGCTCAAAGCCTCCTGTATGGCATCGGGGTTGATTCTTTGTCTGTGCTCGAGTAGTGCCTCGAGAACCTCTTCTTTATCCCACTTTGCTGCATAATAGAGACAGGTCCATCCATTCTTTGTCTTAGCATTGATGTCTGCTCCCTTCTGGATCAACAAACGTGTGGTAGTTGCATCGTCGTAGGCAGCATGGATCGGCCGCCAGTCACCATCATCGTCTAGCACCTCTAGGTCTGCTCCCGCCTCGATCAGAATGCGAGCAACGCCAGAGCATCGAGCATATACCGCGCGAAATAACGGAGTGGCACCATTCCAATCTCGCTTGTCGAGCGGCGCTCCCTCGCGGACAAGCAGGCGCAAGGTTTCTTCTCGTTGTTGCGCCACCGCGACATGAATAGCGTCCTCAAGCATCTGGGCATGCTCTTCCGGAGAGCAGTGTTCACGGCTAGCGGTGAGGATCGCGCCGATGGCTTGTAAGTCCCAGTCCAATACGATGCCACACTCGAGCAATTGGTCATAGGCACCCCCTGCAAGTGCCCCGTCGGCTTTTAACATGTCACCATATGCCAGTGAGAACCCAGACTCAATTGCGCTCTTCAAAGCGTCGAGGAAACTGTCCTCCTCCGGATTGACAAGGTCCCCGATATGGCTCCAGAGAACTTTCCAGCACTTGTGGCGTTTCATGGTGATTACTGCAGTCACCCAATCCACCACAGCTTCCTCCTCGAACTCTGCCTGTTTTAAAGCCGTCAAGACCTGGTCCAGGATACGATGATGTCCGAATTTGATCGCAAGAGCTGCACAAGCTTCAAACACGTCTGCCACGTCAGCCACGTCGGAACGAAACGCAGCGGCCTTGATCAATAGGTCAACAATTTCAGCATGCCCGAATTTACAGGCAAGTTCCAGAGCCGTCTCCTTGTGTTCAGTCTTGAAGAAGATGTCATCATAGGTGACAAGGAGTTTTGCTGCCTCGAGATTGCCTCTGGAACAGGCGTGCTGCAGAGCAGTCAGTCCAGCAACCGTCGCATTCTGTTGGTTTTTCTCGATTGCCAGAGGTAGAATCTCTTTCACAACAGCGATCTCTCTAAGCGATGATGCTCGACATAGGAGGAGAGTTGGGTCTTGAACGTTCTCCCGGTTTCGAAGACCAAGGCTGATCAATTCCGTCGCTGCTTTTCGATTGCCTGACTGGATGGCGGCAAGCATCACGTTATCCCAAGAATCAGGAAGAGAGTCGAGCTTCTCGGTGACTCCAAGAGCAGTCCCCAGCTCACCGTTTCCCGCTGCCGCTTCAACTGATTGGATGAGCCTGTGGTAAAGCAGACCATCAGATGTTTTTGACCAACATTGTAGTTGTCCATTGGTCACCTGGAACAACGCTTCTAAAAGACCATTGGCAGCGAGAACGGCAAGAGGGTTGTCTTCCGTAATGCTGCCCCGGTTAAAAGGGTTTTGGAGCTCCCAGTGCATCTTGGCCCAGTCCGCTAAAGGACCGTTGTTCCAGAAGTCGAGAAACTGATTGGTGCAGTACGATCTTCCAGCCTCAGACAGCCGAGCGTGGCGAGGCCACCATCGCACCGCGTAGTGCAAAAAGCTGTGTCGCTGTTCGACCGCAATAGCCGCCCTGCCTCTAGGCCACTCATCTGTAACGGAATCACCACCTCGAATGCTGATGATGTGTTTGAGGCAGAAGTCTGCTGTCTCCTGGTGAGCCTTCCATGTGGGAGTTGTGAGCGGAGAATCGTCGGCCAACAGATATCGACGAAGGTCTCTATGGGCAAATTGGACCTCATATCCATTGACCCGTACTAGACCACCCAAGGTGGACTGTAACCTTGAATGTAAGCTGAGGGCCGGTGTCTCGAGTAGCTCGAAGTTCTCGGCCTGTTCCCCGTTGCGTCGGGCCAGATCATTCAGCTCAAGAACGCTCAATGGACGAAGCGAGTAGAGCAATAGGTTCAACATGTCATGTAAGAACCGGTCTGTGGCCAGAGGTAGAGAGGACAGAATGGCTTTGAACACAACCGCGGGGGTGACATTGCTCGATCGAAGCTCTCGTAGGGCCGGAGTATTGAGACACGTATCAGATTGCTGGTTTCTGTACCAGTTAATCACCATTGATCGCAAATCATTGTCTCCCCTGCATGCTTGGAGGAGATGCGAAAGCACGGTATGAGCCATTTCTGTCATTGAACTAGTCTGTGCCAGTCTCAAGAAGTCAATGTCGAGATGTCCAGCCAGGTCCCTCTGATCTGGTCGATGCATGATTTCGGTCTTCTCCACATTGTTCGGGGCAGTTTCGTTGGCAGTTTGCTCTGGGACTTTGGTACAATCTTGATGCTCGGGCTGCCGAGTCGCTTTAACCTCGACGCCAACCTCTGGCCAGAGTGCTGTTTGTTCTGGCTGTGCCACTTTGAGAGTGGTGATGATGACCTTGATTCTGGCCTCGCATTCTTCGGCCAGGTTGTTGAGTTTACTCAGGAACCAGTCGCACGACGTAATATTGTCTTGTAGGTTCCCCAGCACCAATACAACGCCTTGATCTCTTGTGCCAAGGTCAAGGAGGCTCTCCATGAAGACCACAAGCAGGTCTTCTCGATTCAACCATGCAAATTTGTCCAGAAACCCAACCAGCCTTCTCCCGATGGTGGCTTGCTCACCTTGGCCGTTGTGACATCGGGAAAGCATCTGAGCCAAGAACAGATACAGCATGGACTCGATGGAGTTGCGCCGTGTGTCGGACGGTATGAATTCGAAGTAGAGACAACTCGCACCTTGGCGACCTGACGCTTTGCTGTCGCCCAAGAAGTGGAATGAGGATTCTGCTGCTTCAGTGGCAGCCTCGACAGAGGCGAGACAAATCAGGAGGAGTTGTAGTCCACCAGTTTCCTTCCACTCCTGGAAATTCTTGTCAGTGGTAATCCATTCGTACTGTCTGAGATCTTTAGATGACGCATTCAGCGAATATTGTGGAGGAGTTTGGGACGCCAGAGATAGAATGTAGCCTTGGTCATCACCTGTCAACCATTGTCTATCAGCATGTCCCCGAGACCCATGGCACATGACGTTTGCACGAACCGCAAGGCCATAAACTCCGTTTCAACAGATCATGGAAGCCGGTATTCTCACAGGCAAGTACCAGATTTTGGTGGGACATTTCGATCCCGAGGCTTAGGCGTGCTTCAAATGGGAGTTCCATTGTGGCAACGGATTCGTCGAAGATCTTTTCCTCCCAATTAGTTTCCGATATTCACTTTGAAGGAGACATGCGATAGATGGTGGCGACTTACTCTTAAAGATGGTTCGCCATAGCATGAGAAGACGCTAATCACTCCGGCCCAAATCGATAGTCTCGACTCAGCGAAAGCAAAGTTGACATCTCGGATCCAATCTGGCATTCCATAGGTAACTGCCCAAGAATCTGACTCACTGATGGATCCGAAAATCTGAAGATTCAGGAGCTTGACCAAGTCTTTCCTCAGCTCATAAGGTCCATTGCTTCGATGCGGACAGCCCAAGAATACCTACTTCCAATCATCAGCAATTGTTAGCATGGCGACTGTCCGTGCCTCAAGTTCGTCTCACTATAGCTTTAGTATGCAGAAAGACATTGGTATATTTCCCAAAGCTTTGTCCGGCTAGAGCGAGCGCCTGGAGAGGGGTTTAGACAGGTTAGGGTCTCGGATGATTGAGCGGAAAGGCAGTTGTACTCACTTCCTTGACTAGAATGCCTCCGACATCATGAGCGATGAAGACGAGACTGCAATTCTGTATCCTTAGCATTAGGGAGAGCTGATCTCATCGTCACATGGCGGCAAGCAGACATACCTCTCCGATAATCGTCCTTCGTTCAACCAGGGCGTCAAGAAGACGTAGCGCTTGACGCCTAACGCCCTTTCTGGTAAATATACCACCAAAGTCATTTGCAACGGCGTAGTTGAATCTCGAAACTCGCTTTCTCACAGAGGAATTGAATGTCCCGGAGGGCAGATAAGAATCAAGGTTGTCAAGACCAGAGCCCCAATATTCCGAATGATTTTTTCCCAGGCCCGGAACAAACACCACACTTGGGAAGATTAGCGTATGAGCAACTCGAATAGAGCTTGCGTACATACTCGACCGAAACTTCACCCTCAACTGGCTCTAGAACCTTCAGGACTGAACAGTAGTGTTCCATTGAAATGGTTCAGTAACAGCCCAACATTTCCTCCATGAGCCTCAAACATTGACAGACACGCAGGCCACTTCCGTGAAGGCTAATGGCCTAGCAATGATCTAGCTTGCCTTGCCAGAGCATGTGGATTGACACGTTTTGAGCGGGGGAATGAATGGCCTTCATACTAGCCAGGCAAAGGGTTCCCGTTCCCCGATCTGGCAAGTTGCATATGGGGGCCAGAAGCCACAATGCACTATGTGTCAACTCGACGTGGATGGCTGGGTTTATTGGAGAATAAAGCATGGATCTTGAGGTACCGAGTATGCAAGCCGCTGACACGCCTGGTTCGAGAAGTGATAATGAACAGAATACCGAGTGCTAGTCAAATTAGCTGCGTTGATGGTGGCTGGACTCGAGATATTCTTGGTTCGTTCTCGCCCCCACGACTATTCGTCCTCATGTTAGCTCTATCACCTACTCGTCTGTGTTCTCTGGCGACTGCTTCTCCTTAACACCATCGCTCACAATGGTTGTCACAGTAACATCAGACAGATTTGCCAGCTTTAACTTCACGGGATTCCCTAGGTCCTCAGTGTCATACACCTGTAGCTTGTTCGTCGGCGCCCTCTGTGGATCGAAGGTGACAGGGTCGTCCTTGGGACTGGATTTCATAAAAGATAAGGCTGAGGCCAGCCAATTCGGATAGACCTTCACAGTGAAGTGGGCCTGGAATTTTGTCCAGTCCTCGCGCCCCAGCAGAACGGCAGCCCGCATGCTCGTCGGTACTCCAGTCCTGGTGCTTTTGTTCTCGCGCAGAATCCACGATACGCTGTTTGGTTTGCCATAGTTGCGACCCTCGAGAAGGATGAAGCCCTGTAAAGTTGTAGCATCAGAAACGTCTCTTTCCACTCTCTTTTCGCGCTTGAGCTCAGCCCCAACTTCTACCCCCGTGACATTTGCACCAAGTTTACCCCCCACTGATGTGTTGACCGTCTCGCACTGCGTCGTCGGATGGACGCTGAAGAAGCCCTCGGGATGCATCCTCGCAACCCACGGTTTACAGTCCTCATCATTCTTGGGCGAGAAGGTGACTTGGATGTCGACTTTCTTGATGCGGTGATTTTGCTCGAGTGGCTCGAATCGAAACTTGAGGACAACAAGGGTGGCGAGATCCTCACAGCTGTCATCGGCCGAATAGCGCCCGTGAACAACGTCCGTGCAGAAACAATCGACGTAGAATATCCCTTTTCGCTGAATAACGTTCGAGCGTTGGTCTGGATCGTTGGGATCGTCTTCGGTGCGGAAATATCCCTCGGAATCTCCACCTTCGCTCAGCCTGATGGAGAATGAAGGTGGACACGCCTCAGAGTCAGGGTCGTTAGCTGTATTTCCGACGCTGGGAGAGGAATCCATGCCTGTTTAGAACGCAGAGGGTTTCATGCAGAGGAGGGTGTCTCAGTTGCTGGTGGCAGGACGGCACGGTCTGAAATACCTTTGGCCTCTTTCGCCCACACAGTGGACGGCAGAAGGCGCAGTGCATGCGTCTCCTCCCATGGTAGTGCGCAAGTAACTTGTTTGGTATCACACCCACGCACCCTGGCACCCCATGACACCCCAACCAGCCCAAGACTATCAGTAAGCTTGCATTGGAATGGAGATAATGTGTACAGTCTCTCCCAAAGATGGCTAGCATTGCCACATGTTTTCAAGCTCTAGGCTTCTCCCCATACCAAGCGCTGTTACAGCCTACGACAAACAAATACGCACTCGAAATACTGCGAACGCTCAGCCGCTCGTACGAGGTACAATCCATGACAATACCGGGCAAGTCTTGAATGAAGATCCGATTGATAAAGAGCCGCAAGAGTCACGGGGCGTAGGTATCAAACCTCACAGCAAAACGTGATCAATCAATTTGTTCATGCTCTGTTGAGACAACCAGGCTCTTCCAAGAGTCTGACAGCTTCACCCTCTAATGTACCTACTCAGTGACAGCTGTTGTTTCGAAATATATCTTACAAGCTACCCATGATGCAGGAAACCTCCCGCCCAAGTCGTGTGGCTCAGACAACCCAAGACCACGATAGAAATCCACCCAGACTTGCAACCAGCAATGTGACACAGTGTGAATCGTACAGTATGAACGAAGAAGGAAATATGGACTCCATAGAGACTCCAAGACAAACGATGAAGATAAAGCACCTTCAGAGAACCCCAACAGGTCAGATGGCCGCTTCTGGTAGACACGATACTCTAGGTGTGGCAGGCGGAGAGGAGGAAGATACACAGATGTCGCTGTGGGATATCTGGAACACCCAACCTGAGGATGATATCAGGCAAATACTGCAAGAGCTCAAGACTAAAATCCTCCGAAGGGAGATCCAAGTCGACACCGAAGAGCAACTGCGGGCATTCTTGGACAGCGACGACGTGGAATACGTTGGAATCCTCACCGATCCTGAACAGGAAAACTTTCTGCACATGCTGGCTTCTGACGCCCAGAATAGATGCCTCGTCAAATTCCTAGCCGACGAACGGAGTCAACTCATGTTCGGCACGGATCGATCCATGTACTACCCACTCCATGTCGCCATCAAAGAGAAGAATACAGACTTCATCACAGCCGTGCTTGCTAGCAAGTTCAGCGAGACAGATGGCATGAAGAAGGTGCTTTCACACAAAGGCGGGTCTAATCCAGGGAACTGCATTCACATCGGCATCCAAGTTGGGCTCGATCCGGCACTTATGATCAAACTGATTGAGAAGTCGGACGGCGCTACGCTGGCAGAGCAGGATGGCGCCGGCTTGACGCCACTCCACTGCGCTGTAGACTACAAAAATTGCAGGAAAGGTCAATTCGAGGTGGTGCAAGCGCTCTTGAAGTATGGCGATGCGGCTCTCGACAAGGAAGGTAGCATTCACGGGTCGTTGTCACCTTATCAATACCACGAAGAAACAAAGAAGATCGAGAAGAAAAAGCTCGAGGAGGCGGAATGGACAAAAAGACAGAATGATGGCAGAGGTAGCCAGCAGTCGCGAATGGGAAATGACAACCGTGGTGTGCGTGACCCTTCTCATTTTCAAGATGCTGGTCAGGTCGATCTCCGGAATACTGTCGAGGACGACAAGGATGACGCCAAAGAGCGAAAGAATATGGTCGATCTTGGCTCACGAGGATACGGCGCACGCAGACAGTCGCATGCCATTCGAGCTGATTTAGTCGAGCCCCGGGTCAACTCACCGACAGTTGGTGTACGTATTCCGACAGGGGGAAACTCGTTGACGCCGCCTCCACCAACCGACCGTGTCTCGTTCCAGCCAAATACTACCGCAGCAAATCTAGGTAGGCCAAGAAAGGCCGTGCGCGCATCACGTCCAGGTGCCGCAAGAAGATCAGTCGGATCCCAGAGACTCCAGCAACCTGAAGCCCCTCCTGATGACGAGACCGCGGATGAGATTTCAAAGGAACTGAAGTTACACTACCTTCGAAGCATTTTCAAAGGCTCGGCTTATGCTGGATCCCAGGAATTTGCTGACAGCCACAGGCCAGAGCCTCGAAGTCACGACAGGGCTGTCAGGTTTCTGTACGGAGACAACAAAGAAAGTAAGGAGCTCTTTACTAACATTCGATGGTGCAGGTGTTCGTGCTAATGAGGACCAATGTTCAGACCGTCACATATGCTTTAACTTTCTCGACGGCCCTTCGAAGATGACTGCCAACAAATTCAGGGCGACGTATGGCGGGTTCAAATTCGATCATGTTCTGCAGTATGTTGGGTTTCGTCGCCTAGAATTTATGTCGCCCGAGGTGGCTCCCAGAGGGAGTGGGCTAATGTCCAAATCGGCTGCTTCCTCTGGGAAAGGAAGAAGAGATATGGAGGTCCCGTTTAACTGGCTTCATGACAAAGGTGTCACCAACATCATAAAGGTCATTGTTGACGACTTGGAGCCTCCTTCCCACAAGGACGAGTCAATCCAGAATGCTTTGAAAAAGTTTGACATTGAGATTCTTGACTGGAGAAAGATTGACCTATGTCCGCACACAATCTGTACATCCTGTCCCAATCTCCGGGAAATTCACCTCTGGTGGAGTGGAAACAATGGGATATTGAGAGCGTGGAGTGAACCAGAAGGATTGGCGAGACTGGAACGACTGGAAACCATACAGATACACCAAACACAGGTAAGCTCTTCCAAAGATCCACCTCATGAAGAAGATGTTGAGCTTGGCATTTTGCAGGAATTAGAGTCCGAGTCCTGGACAGACACGAATATCGCCACGTTTCGCAAAAGACTGAGGGACTTGAGAAGTGCGCAAAACAGTCCTCGGAAAGCCAGCGACAAACTGCCACAGATTCGTGTTCCGGACCCAATCAAAGCCATCGATGGACCTGCCCAACGACCGACCGGGTTACACCCCAAAACGGACCCTAAAGTTCAACGTGAAACACATAAGTGGTTACACATAATGGACACGTTTGCCGATGGGGTATACAGGATCAAGCCAGATCGCGACGTAGATTTCTTCAATTCTCTACCGCCAGAACTCAAGGCAGACGTAAGAGTCGCATTGATTGACGACGGTGTGCAGTTTGGCCATGAAAGTCTGCAGGAGAAGATACAAGACGGGTGGAGTTTCGACGACGGCTATGATGGCGTTGATCTCCCCGGAGCGAGACGGCCATTTCACGAATCCAGCACCGGACATGGCACTCTCATGGCTAACATGATCTGCCGCATCTGCCCGAATGCTAAGATATTCGTTTGCCGATTGAACGTATATCCTGGAGACGGTACCAAGTCCCTTTTTTCTGCGAAGAGTGCGGCCGATGTTAGTTCCCCAGACAGCATCGCCCCCAAAACTTCCGAAAGTTATTAGCTGACACCGAATATAGGCCGCTGAATATTGCGCAACTCGAGGATTTGACATCATTTCAATGTCCTGGACAATCAAGAAATCCATATATACACCAGAAACCGCGAACGACTGGAAGGACCTTGAACGGCTAGAAAAAGCTTTGGACGAGGCGTGCAAGAATGGTGCTCTTCTGTTTTGCTCCGCGCCGGACGAAGGTGGCATATCGGATGAGAAGTTCCGTACTTATTATCCTGTAGGATGTGACTCGTTATCCAGTCGCATCTTCAAAATCGGAGCGGCTACCTCTGCCAACAAGGAAGCGGACCGCACGGGCAAGTCCTCGCAACTTGACTTCATCCTTCCCGGACATGAGGTCAGAGAGAGGGGAAGCGATGCAATCAAGGTTGACGACAGCCTCAAGAGCGGATCATCGGTAGCAACGGCGTTGGCGGCAGGCCTAGCAGCGCTCGTCATTCACTGTGTTCGCCTCGGCGCCATCGAAACCATCCGCGCACGAACCACTAGACGCAATAGCGAAGCGAGAAAGGTCGAAGGTGACGCCTCGAGCGAAGACGGCGCCAAGTCCGAGGAGAACACAAACGAGGACCTGATGACGGCGTTGGAGGCGGTACCGATCAAATCCGAAGACTTTGCTGATATCAAAAAGTTTGAGCACATGATGCGCGTCTTCGCGAGCATTCCACGACAGAGGAAGACGGGGGAGACTTGGAAATACCTGGAGGTGGACAACACTTTCGAAGGGCCGGGAAAGACACTGGTCAACAAAGAAGTGAACGAGAGCCAGAAAATACTGGCTGTGACCAAGCTTGCCATGAACTTTGTGAGCTCCGGCTTGTCGAAGTTGTGAGGCACAGTTTGTCCGGTCGGGTTCATTTCACGATGTCTTTCTCATACAAAACTGTATCCATGGTTGTTTATAAAGGCAAGGAATCCGAAGATGCTTTACAGTCGACGAGGAAGCCCTCTTGGTGTTCAGTTTCCAGCCTCGGCACTCCTAATCAACGATATCAGGACCAGAAATGCCAAGCCCGCCGGCGCCTTAGCTCCCAGGCTCCTCCGCACGTGAACCTCCGCTGGCCACGCGTTTGGCGCTTTAGCGTGTTTATTTCGCCAAGCCGGAAACACTCGAAGTCCTTTAAATCGACTTCTTCCCCCGCCCCAAGTGCCCGCCCCAGACTTTCCGACCACCTTCAACCCCTCCCCCACCTCTTCTCGTCTCAACAGGTGTCAAGCTAGTTTGCTCTTCTTCACCAACTCTCTTCACCCAGACCTGTTTGCTGTTTCTCTCCTCCTCTTTCGTCCTTGCCCTATTTCCCCTATATACCCCTCCCTTGCTACCCCTCTGCCCTTCCGTGTCGGAGTCCAGTTGTCAGAGCACACTTCCCGAGGCATCGATTTGACTTGACGTGACGGATCCCCCCATACATAAGACACAAAATTCTTCGAGAGATTCGCAGCTATCCAACGCATCGAACCCTCCGGCTGGGGCCCTTGCCGAAGCTGGGCAGTGGTTGGGATTGGTTGATTGTCGTTTCGGTCTCGACCTCACCCATGGTGGTTTGGAGTCGATGTCCTGCGGAAGAGAAAACACCTAATACCACACCGGGCAAGAAGAAGGATACAACTGCATCTCTCCACGATTTGTGAAGAAAAAGGAGTAAGGCTTTTCTCCACATGGAGCCGCTCAGCGCACATGGATTTTTTGCCTCGTGATGTCCTGCCTTATTCGGTGGGTGAAGGCGATCTTCCGTGGCTGGCGGGTGGTGTGGCTAGCTGAGTACCCCAGAAAGGCTCGGGCCAGTCTGGCAATGCCAGACTGTGCCTGCGGTCTTATTACAAAGAACCGTTGTGAGCTTCACAAGGCCCGCCGCCATGTGGAGGTTGCTTGCCTCTCCGTAAGTATCCCCTGGACATGCAAATAGTCGTTGGCCAGGCTGGCAGATGTGGTTGTGCCGTCTTTCGCTCTCAAGCGAGGTCGGGAATCGCATTCATCAGGTGTTGTCCTTTGCACATGATGGGCCTGTGAGCCAAGAGAGGTACGCTGGCTGTTACATGCAGGCCGGCCGATGAGGCGGACGAAGGGGATTACCTGGACCCCTTACTGCACTCGTTAGCTGGCCTGCTGGTGACGGCTTGACGGCGGTTGATGTGATCCTTTTGGCTCGCAGGTGATTGCCCAGCAAGCGTGTCTAGTGCCGCAGGTCTTGCCACACCCTTCCACGACGGATTATTATTATAATGCGGATCTACGAACCAAAGGCGCCTGGAGTATTGACCCCTCTGGCCACCGTTTACTGGCCTGTCAAGGAATCTCCAGGAACCGTGGAATACCAAGGAAACCTCTTACTCGGCGCCTGTCCGTCCGAAAACGGATTTTTTTTTTTTTTTTGGAACCACGAGGACGTGAAAAACCCACTGGATCCACTCATGAGATGGAGATACAGCAAGGAGCACAATTGCATGATTTACATTTTTCCTGCGCACGGCACCTCTTCTGGACGACTTCAGATTTCCACTTATCTGAGATTTTCGGTTATCGCAAAATCCGAGACAATCAGGCGTTTTTTTTTTTTGGCTGGAAGATGTTCGGCCGATGAGGACGAATACTGGTCCAATACAGATGGCAACGAAATTCTATTTTTTGGAAAGGACTGAAAGAGGCGAAGAACCTTCCGTCGATCGCAGTCTTGAAAGATAATTTGGAAACTCGACCCACAAGTCTTGACGAGGGCCGGTGAAAATTTTCCCTATTGTCGAGCTGAGGGCACAGAAAGCAGTCCAGAGTGGAATATATCTCTGGACTACCTGTCTTCTGCTACAGGTTGTAGAGGCAGTGAACGCATTCAGGCGCCATGAGCCTGATCAGCCATATGCTTGGTCATTCCCCAAAACACGTGAGAGCGATCCGCTCTACTTGCAACCTGGAGCAACCCTACGACGTGATCACGTAGAGGGTAAGAAAAAGCTCGAGTGATCAGCAACGACCAAAAAGGGTGAAGGTCGATAATTCGAGATGAAAGCTTGTCGATGTGCGATCTCCTCACTTGGAATTCTGATTACGACCATAAATAAACCCCACAAAGAACCTGGGACATAAACAACAATTCAGCCATGCGCAGACCTCGTCATTGCGTTTTACCACGCTGATCATCGAGCACGGCCAACTTTCAAGACCCTACAAACCGCAAAAAAACTGGTCCACCTCTCAGAGCGGGCATTCTCGAACGAGCATGGTCCAAATCCCGTTGGATCTGAGGCATATCTTTGAAGAGGGCACAGAGGGAACGAATTCCTCTACAAGGACCGGTTCGATCCGGTCCGATCACGAAGCTACCAAACCATTTCTTCCGAGGCATACACCCCCTCATCAATCAGTGGTCACCGTTTCTGTGTGGTGCAATCTTTTCAAGTGAGATATCATTGGAGGCTATGAAATGGACTGGACACAGCAGCGAGGGAATAAGAATATGCAACACGACATGATTCTTGCGAATAGATCTCCAACACCTATCTTATATCCTGACGGAGATTTCCAATACATGGATGGTTCAACTTCATGCGTGTGTGTGTGTGACTGTGCGAGTCCCATGTTGAGTTATACGTACGGACAGAAGACAAAAACAAGCCGACGGGCCACGGAAACCAGCACGCAGCACCCAACACCGAGCACTCCAAAGACGCAACCCCGAATAGACAGACAGATCCGTGCCCCGACTCATGGACTTTTGCTTGCAACAACCCCATCTTCATGACGCTACGTTGCATCGAGCATCTACCTACCTACTTACCTTTCATACCCACCTTTGCTACACCTCTCTCCCCTACCTTCGACACCATGCGTGCGGAAAAGCGTTGCGCCGCGCTTTACACCGGTCCCGTCCCGTTACGGACAGGACTGTGTGAAAAGCCGAGGCCTCATTTTACTCTAATATTTCCACACCGCGGTGTCGGAAGGAGGGAGGGAGCGAGAAAGGGGAGGTGGGTAGAAGGGAGTTAGTTGGTTAGTTGGGCGTGGGTTATCAACAAAGGGAAAGCAGTGATATCAAAATCCAATCTCGCGATGAAATGAAAAGGGGCAGCAGGAAAGGCAGCCGCACATGTTTTGTTCCTCGGTGGTTCTTTGCATCGCTGCGTCGCGTGTTCAAATTTCAGTGTGCCGTGTACTGGTGTACTGTGTGCTGTGTTTCCAATGTTCAAACTCGGATCAAGACAGCCAGCCAGCCAGCGGGGTCAGGCCGATTCCTGGTCCCTTGACCTGGTTTACCCTTTTTCATCGTGGGGGTCAAACAAAAAGTTTGCACCATTTCTTGCTTGAGGCAAGACCATGGGGAAGAAGATGGTCACACACACACACTGACTGCAATTCCCGCGCCGCATGTCGTTGTCATGTTTCTCTTTGCGGTTGGGAGTGTACAGAGAAAAGAGAACTACGAGGAACACGTTCTAAAGAGGCAGAAGGCTGGAGATGCAGCAAAGAGAGTGCCACACAAATTCTAGTGCTCCAGACAATTCTATTGTGAGGACGTTTGCTGCAAATTGACCGACTCACAGAATTTGGACGGTCCCCTTTTCTCATCTCTTCTTCCGTCATGTCATGCATAAATACCAATACCCACACCCTGATACTGCCATACAACTCTGTCTATTCCTTTGACCATCGGTCCAAACCGTCTCTTCTGCACCAAGAACGTCCCTCTATGCAAAAGCTCCATGTTGCATATTCCTGCCACTTCGGTTCCTTACGAGAGCAAAGGTCTTCTGCATGCACTGTCTCTTCCACCAATCCTTGACTCGGCTGAGCACTTTCCGCTTCTTGTACGCAAAATCAGACATTGGAACCGTATCTCCCAAATCTGGATGTGGAAACTCGAACGAATGCTGTGTTTTTATATGGCACGACTGGCTGAGTCTCAGTGTACCGGTTTCCTGTTGGGTAGAGCTATGTCGTGTTCCCAGCAGTCCTGTGGACTTTGTGAATCCACTGCGAAGGCTGTGCAAGTCAAATCTCTTTCTGATGGTAGAAGGCTGTTTCTGCGCCATTGCAGCCGAGCTGTCGTCAGAGAAGAAGCTTTGGACTTCTCGGAGAGGCGGCCTATACAGCGCCTGAGGTTGGTCCGGGAACCGAAGGCTGAGATTCAGTTCTGAAGAAGTGAGCGGCGGCCCTAATTCAGGAGGTGCTAGCTGGGGCACCGATCCCAAGCGGGGAATCTGAGAACTGTACCGTGTACTGTTTAAAGGCTCGATGACGCTAGTATTGCTTCGGTGCGAATGGACAGTCCTGATTGATGCCTTTCGAACAATTTCAATGCCTTTCTTGACAGGGTCCGGCATCGCCGCCAGCATACTGGTCCATCTCCGAGGCATAGGCGTCGGCACAAGAATACTACCTGCAGAGACCGTCGTTGGAGGCAGTACTGCCACTGAATCTGCACTCAATTCGGCGTAGCCAGCGACTGGCGAGGTCTCGCTCATATTTTCGGGCGAATCATCAGTTACCCATTCTTCATCTCGCCCAACGACCTCCAGCAACTGTCCCGTTTGTTCGAGGACTCCCAATTGCCCAAGACTCTGGGACTTTCTTCGGCTCTTCATCAGAATTCGTGCTCGCCGTCTTTGATGCGATGCTTGTCTTGCGAGCGTGTCACTTTTTGACCTACGATGAGTATGTAGCGCTCCTTTAGTCGGCAATTCGCCAGTTACCTCTGGGCCGAGACTTAGCTCCGACAATCTCCTGACCTTGTATTTCGTTTGTGGCGGATCCGAGTCAATGTCGGCCAGGTCTCCAGAAGTCAGCGAAAATTTTGCGTTGGATCGGGTAGACTTGGTCGACTCTGAGGTCAAGAGTCCGCTGGTTGACTGGAGTGTCTGCCACCCAGATGAATGATCCCGAAATCCGGAGCTCACAGAAGACAAAATGAATCTGGAATTGACCTGATCTTCTAGAATGGCTCCAGGAGAAAGTCTGGCATCCATACTGGCAAACAGACGGCGGGGTATCAGTCGACGCCTTTCCGAACTGGCGAGGCTGGAGTGTCGAATAGTTGAGCTCGAGGTCGTCGGTCTCAAGTTACATGAAGACAAAAACCGCGGCATACTGGGCGTTGCTCGGATAGTGCTCTCCGCGCTACTATTCACTGCCGCCGAATGCTCAGGGGGACTGTGTGTTTGGAGATGTGGTGCATCTTCGCAGTCGGTCCCGTCGTCATTCAGTCCTAGACATTCAATATGTCTATCGAGAAGGGACTCGATGGTGGACCTTTCATGCATCGTAATTTGACTGCCGTCTGTATTAGTGTTGGGGAGTTCTTGCTCAGGAGCCATTTTCTCCCACTGGCTCTGCTCCTCAACAGCGCCTAACTTTAACCCGTCTTGCAATTGTGGTGACAGAACTCTTTCAAGCAATTGTAAGTCCGGATGCTCCTCGACAGCATCCAGCCGAGAGAAGGTCTGAACAAAATGAGCCGGTTTTCCCTGGTCAGGCACATAACTATCAGAAATTTCGAGAATGCGACTGAATCGCTTCCTACTCTGCGACGACATTGGCCGCTCGGGCATTGGCGACAAGATCTCAGGGTGATCCTTTGAACGAATGTCGCCAGATGTCTTTGGTCGTTCCTTTAATCCAGACGAGTAAGAACCGAAGGAAAGTGGTCTAAAATTGAACGAAGGTAATTCCCACTGAGAGTGAGCCCGTTGAACGCCACGGAATGCTGGTTGGTGATTTTCATCACAATGCGGATCTCCATATTCCATCAACCCAGATATGGAAGGCTTGTGGTCAAATACAGGCGAATGGACTCGGGCAGCAAGAGTTGTAAGGTCACGCGGGCTTCGACTTGTGTTTGGAAAGAATGCACTCGAGTGACTTGAGCCACACGTTCGACGTGAGGTGGTCGACGTCTGAGAATTGTCCTTTTCGTCTTTCGATCGTCGATCGAGGTAGTCCTGCTCAGAAGGAGGAGGTCTCTCTATCACCTAGTGGTTACTCCGTTAGCACACAAACGACAACAGAAATGTCTTGAACAACGTTCAAAACTTTTTGAACTCCTAACCTTTTTATTTGCAGAAAGAGACCTCATCGGTGGTACAGTGGTGGCCCCAAGGCTTGATTTCCGGGGTGGAATCATGCCAGCGAAGCTATATTTGGATTGTTTTGACTGCTCGCTCACTCGGCGGTTATGTGCGGTCGGCAGCTCCAATGGATGAAAGGCTGAGCCCGGGACTGTGCCGAAAGGTGATTGAGCTTGACGTCGTTCTGGTGCAGGGAGGTTGTCTAAGATTGTCTGGTCCATATTGAAGGGCAAATTGGCGGCAGCAGGGTCGTCGGGAGGAGAGAAACAATCCTCCTCGAGAAATGATTCAGAGTAGTCGTAGTAGTGAGGTGTCGTAGACTCAGTTGGAGACTTCGGTAGACCTCGAGACGAGGCAGCGCTGTGATTCCAGACTGGCCGGAAACTCTGGAGAGAATTGGACATGGGAGTAGTGGTCCTGTGATGCGAAGGACCAGCAAACTCATTGAGAGAGGAGATTGCTGGCGACGGCAAACGAACGAAGGAAGAGGTGGAGTTATTCATGTCGGCAGGATATACAGGTGGACCAGGACGCAAACGATGCGCAGAGATGGGGGAGGATGCAACCGTTCCGACACTTCCCACTCTTGGATAGCCATGTCTTGCACCATGCCTGTAGGGATATGCCTCACTGAGGGCAGGTGAGGAAGCTCGATAACCGGTCCGGCGTCTGTGGCCAGAAGTGATCATGGGGGAACTCGAATGCAGGCTGTGGAAGTCACGGTGACTGCGGAGAGTGATCAGGGACCTGTGCGAGTGAAGTGGACGAGCAGGGACGCCGGGACCAGTGAGGTGTTGTTGGGATCTATGCCGTGGACCACCTCTCTTGGAGCGGAACTCTGAGTGAAGAGATGTCTGGGCAGAATGAATAGTCTCTCTTCCTGATAAGGCCGAAGATGATGGGACCTGCCGAGGCCCATGGTGGCGGTGAGACTGTCGTCGTGGTGGTTGTTGGTACTCGAGGTGAGGGTTAAACGAGGTATCGAAGGAACCAGCACGGCGTTTAGATGACTGCAAGCGGGAACTGGAACGAGGTATACGTGAAGGCCGAACAGCGAATTGGCCACAGTCCCCCAATTCAGTCGTGTTTCTCAGCATGCTTTGCACGGCACTGGAGCGGAGTGAAGCCATGGACGTCGTTGGCGGCAGGTCATCCTGTGCGGCGCCATTGTGGGAGACATCTTTCTGGATGTTGGGACTGATCTCTTCAAGTGGCATCGCGAGCCAACGTTTCGCATATCGGTACAAGTTATAGGCGCTATATGCTGGAAGAGGATAGATGAGGCCAGATGGTGATGTGAGTAGGAGTGAGTCGGAGTAGACAGAGAAGTGAAGAGGGGCGTTCAGGACATTGAGGAGCTTGTTATGCTGAGAAGAGTGGCATGACGGACTTCATCCAGAAGATGAGACTTGGTTGATGATGAGAAGGTGAAGAGAAGGTGAAGATGAAGGTTCCCAGGGGAGCATGTGCCTTGGGAAGGTGCGCCTGTAACCTGCAAAGTGAAACTGCGTTGAGACCTGGGAAGGGACGCGTTCGACAACATGGCAGGCACATGGCAGCAGATGGAAGAGCCTCGTCGCGCCATATTATACTGCCCTAGTAGGAGTGTTCAGCTCATTGCTTTCATCATTGACTCAAACACTCCGTAACTTGTTCCTTCAGGTAGGCATCATGCTAATCTTTCCTGCTCCACCACTACCACCTCCTCCACCGCGGTTACGGGTGGAAAAGGCTTCTTTGCTGTTCTTATACACAAATTCCTGCAGACCTGAATTGCTGGTGCTGGACCGTGCACTGACACTACTCTTGACCTTTCTTGTAGTACCACCGCTGCCTCTCTTCCCCTTCGTCACCGCTGTCCTTGCCCTTGAGCTTCCGCTACCACGCTGCTGAGGACCACGTGAGGCACGGCGATTCCAGGGGACGGCCTTAAGATGAGAGTTGCGCTTTTTAGACGCAGCCTTTTGGGGTCGGGCCTCGAATGCCGTCGCTTGGGAAACTGCAATCTGTTAGTAGCTGGAATCAGCTAGCTGACAGCGCTCAACTTACGTTTCTCGTTGAAGTGGCTCACATCGTCAGCCACACTGAAGTAGTGACTACTCTCGCTTTCATCGAGATCTTCATCACTTTCCGTCACCCGATCCGCATCCTCATCGTCGCTGATCTCCACGATTGATGGGTCAAAAGGTCCATCTACATCTTCCCCTCTGGCCTCTTTCATCGCCCTGTAGTCATTATATGCACTTCTGGCCAGCCGCAACAGGACAGGCCCAAACATCTGGAACGTTTCTGGGTTCATTTTGCACATATTTCGAAGCGCGGCCTCATCTTGCGGAAACTGAGTGGCGATCTCTCGCAGTACAAGATCGGATATTGAGGTCTGCCGCAAACCTTTCGTGATGTGAATCCGCTTGATTTCCTTCTTCGCATTATCAACAAAGTCATTCAGGATATGTTGGTGAACTTCGTCAAGCCCTCCCGTCCTGTCATCTGTAGTAATTGGAGGTCCGACTTTTTTATTCCTCTTGGACCGGGTTCCGCCAACAGCGGGAACAGGGTCAAAAAAGAAGTCGGCATCTTCTTCGACTTCGTCGACAAAATCTTCGTCGGTATCCTCATCAAACTGTGGGCGAGGAGGGATCTTGCGAGACCTAGGCTGCAACGGCGAAGAAACGTTCGTGGACACAGGATAGTCGTCAGCAGCGGCTTTGACTCCTGTCCCTTGTGTTTTCTTCTTGGCCTTCGAGCCGCCGGCTTTGGTTTTCGTTTTATCTCTCGGCGAGACCAAGACTTGCATACTCAATTTTCCTCGACCGGTCTCGAATTCGGAGGCTCGGGGTCCTGGCTTCACATATTGCGTAGCGAAGCCTGCAGTATTGACCTTGTTATATTCCACCAAAGCATCTTCACTAATGAGCCGGTAGAATAATCTCTCGACGTCCCCTCTTACCAAATCTGCCCCGAGCCCGTATTCGCGAAGGTTGTTGTGGTGGAGGTCGGCGATCTTCTTGTTTTTACCGCCTCGATAGACATCGACACAGTGTAACAGGGTAACCTGCTCTCGAGACACTTGCTGGACGATGCGGATTGCATTTCTAGCATGCTCTGAAAAATCTTGCGTTTCGAAGGAGCTGGTTGAGTTACAATTGTCACAGGTATTGTTGCAGTCTTCTCGCTTGAAGTGTTCGTTGAAATATCCGAGCACTTGCTGTCTGCGGCAATCGCTGCGATTCTCGCAGAACTGGACGACGTTTCGCAACAGGTGCTTTTGCCTCTCCTTTTGCTGCCAATCGCCATCGCCTTTCTCAATCATCCGCTTTATGGAGGTCGTGTCTCCGTAGCCATAGAAGAGATAGCACCCAGCTCTGCCACCATCTCGCCCAGCTCGACCTGTCTCCTGGTAGTAACCTTCGAGACTCTTGGGAATGGTGTGGTGGATGACAAATCGGACATCTGCCTTATCGATACCCATGCCGAATGCAATCGTAGCGACGATGACTTTGTAGACGCCAGCTTGCCACTCTTTCTGGATATGAATCCGCTCTGGAGCTTCCAGTCCAGCATGGTAGTGGCGAGCTTGAATACCATAGTCGTCCTGGAGTTGCTTCGCAACATCTTCACAAGCTTTGCGTGATAGGCAATAGATGATTCCTGCTTGGCCCTTATAAGACTCCTGGATGAGAGAGGCAATACTTGCAAGAACGGCTTGCTTGCTGCCTTTGGGTCTCACCTCATACGTCAGATTGGGTCTGTTGAAGCTCTGCGTAAAAACCTCAGCGCCGTCCATACCGAGATTATGCATACAGTCCACTTTCACGTTTTCGGTTGCAGTGGCGGTCAGGGCCATCACTGGCACATCCATGAAACGCCGACGAACTTCACCCACTGCCTTGTAGTCGGGGCGAAAATCATGTCCCCATTGGCTGACGCAGTGTGCCTCGTCAATCACAATGCGTGCAAGGCGTCTCCTCCTGTTCAAATCCAGAAAGACCTTGAAGAACGTCTCGCTTTTGTTGAGCATCTCGGGCGTGACATAAAGAAGCTGAACAAACTTTTCTGGCTCGTTAGATCGTAGCGCTTCGAGGATATAGTTTCTATGTTCTTGCGAGGTTTGGCCGTTGACCAGTACAGCCTGAATGTGCAATTTCTGCAAATGATCCACTTGATCCTGCATCAAGCTGAGCAATGGAGAGACGACGATGGTCACACCTGCAGTCCGCCCGCTTTGCACCACGGCTGGCAACTGATAGCAAAGAGACTTGCCTCCGCCAGTAGGCATCAGCACAAAGGCATCCTTGCCACTCAAAGTCGCGTTAATGGCTTCCAGTTGATTGTGACGAAACTCGTGGAGATGAAATTTCTTCCTCAGAGTTGAGTGCACTTCTTTCGACCATGGATGCTGCATCAGAGCTGCTGGTGGAGGGCGAGATGTGGATGATGCGGATGCAGGTTTTTGGGGCGATACCCTGCGAATGTTGTCACTCACTTCACGCAGGGCAGACCGTCCACTTCGGACAGGGGACGGAGCTACTATTGGCGGTAGATTTTGTTCATACTGTTCTGCTGCCTTGTACATTTCTTCGTCATCCAAACCATCCTCGAAGTCTTCATCATCGAATGAGAGGTCACGAGCTGGACTACCCATTGTTCTTGAAAAGTCGCCTGCGCCGGCCTTCGCACCCACACTGGCAAGCACACGACTCGGGCCAGGAATATTGAAGGCATGAGGTGTGGGAGAGGTAAGCCTAGCATCAACCGACACTTGAGCCCTCTTGTGAGATTCACGATAGGGAGAAGGGCTTCGGTTGGACGACTTGATAGCCATGTCAACTGCATCGTATCTGTACAAGGATGGAGTTTGACGAATTGATTGCGTCGAGAGATGAGAGAGACCTTGCGGAGTCTCACTCTTCAAATTCTTCGACGTTGATTGAGGCGGCTTTTGAGTTGAGGCAACCAGGACCCTCTGATCCGAGACCTTTGGGCCTGGAGACAACAAACGGTTCCGGTCTGATGTTGGATGGTCTCTCATTCTGCTGGAGGTCGACACTCCCACCTGTTCCAGAAGGTTGAATATTGCGAGCTCGCGGGCGTCGATTTCGCGTTTCGCCCTGAAAATCTTATTGCATAGCGAAGTCAAGACATCCTCGGGATCATCAGGCTCAATAATATGACCCGCTTTACGAAGTTCTTCTCGCTGGTCAAGCATTTGTTCCCGTTGATTTCGGAGTTTGAACAGAGTGGCAGATTCTTCCTGAAGTCGCGTTGCTGCATTGATCTTGTTTGCTATCGCCTTTTGGCGATCTTTCAGGTGGCTAGAAGCAGCGCCCCGTTCGCACATCTCCTCCAGGATTTGTCTGCCGACAACTTCCTTCGAGTCCTCCAGCCGCTGCACGAGACTTTGTAGCTGGTCTTTCCCGTTCATAACGAAGCTATCAATCAATGTTTTCTGCTCCAATGTCAAGTCGCCAGTAATGGTTGGTGTTGGAGTGCTGTTATTCAATCCAAATTCCACATTCGACGTCGTCTGCGGCGTCGATTTAGGTCTCATTCGGACGGCATCCACCGGTCCGGGCGATGCATGGACCGAGTGTTGTTGAGATCGAACTGGAGAGCGGGAAGCTGTCTCTAAGCCTTGTTCTTTTGCCGTAACCCCGAGTAAGCCTGGACCAGACACATCCCTGGAGAAAGCATCGCCAGAAGAATCTGGTTCAAACTTTTGAGCAGGAGTTACATCTTCGTCGTCGTCCGAATCAGGAATGACATTTAGCGATCGATGCATTCGAGCTTTGAGAGGACGTATTGAAGGTTGTGCCTGTTGGGCGTTTGCTGTTGTATTCCTTTGGTAACCTTGACCTCCGTCAATTGCTTTGGTCCCACGATTCAATAAGGTGTCTGAATCGGGATCCGTGCTTCCGCTTCGAGTGCTTGTTTGAGTCAGGCTGATTTCTCCCTTAAAACGTTTCCCGTTGACGCTGGTTTGGCTTCCGCGGATCGGAGAGGTTGTCGTCGTTGTGCGGTGCTGGAGTATCTTCGTTGACGTTCGACTTGACTGCGGAGAGAGCAGATCCGACTCGTATTCATCGCTTTTCCTCTTCTTCCCTTTTTTCTTTGGCGATGGCTCTACGCGAGAAGCCGACCTTTCGTTCCATAGCTGAGTTGGGGGCCCGAATTCGCCAAAGGAAGAAGTCGTGACGTCGCCGGTCAAATCAATTTCATCGATGTCGAGGATGTCAATGGAATCGTCGAATTTTATGTCATCAAAGCTCGTCACTGGCGTACGCGGCTTCGAAATCTGCCGGGATATGGAAGGCGTCTCATACTTCTTCGAACGACCGGATTGCAGCTTGTTGTCTTCTGAGGGTCGAGATGGAGTTGGGGTCGGAAGTGGGTTGGGCTCGCGTTGCAATTGAGTATGCAGTTTTGGTCGTGGAGGGATCTGTGGTGCCAGCTGCAGTCTTGCCATGTCCTCGTCCGTGTCTGCTGCCTCCGACTCATCGTACAATATGCTGGCAGTATCAGCAATAACAGATATATGCTCTAACGATCCAAAAGAGGGTGGGTGCTGCAAGAGCCATGAGAGGGAGCTGCTGAGATTATTCTTGGTCATAGGTCCGTCTCATCTTGCTCTATCTCAGAACAGTTCTGCAGATACAGTGGTCTACTAAAGGGTGGACTTTGGAGTAGTTGTGTTCGCCTGCGCCAGTCGAGTTTGGAGGATGCCAAAGTCCCCGCCAAAGACGCGTTGAGACTGCTGGGTGCAGTGGGCGCGGTACGCGGCATCAGTGGTGGGACTAATATGCCAAGAGACACCAAGACACGTGATTCAAATTTGCATACGAGGGCGGCACACATGGCTTCGTTTCCTCTTCTCAACCACTACGAGGTACAACTGTCAGTCACCCAAAGGTACTCGGTACACAAGAGTGCCAACGTCCTCGACGAACACGTCGCTCCCAGTAAACTTGGAAGAGTCAGTTCTGCCTTTCATTCCAGGACCACCTTTCCTTGGGTGTGAGAGTGCCTCTTAAACTGATCACTTCCTTGCATGCGCCACCATGGCCAAGGGTAAGAAACCTAAGTCGGCAGACCAAAAGGCCCGCACGGCAGCGAAGCAAATGAAGAAGGCCGCGAAAGGCGAGAAAAAGAAAAGCGCCAAAGCAGCGGCTTTGAACGCCGATTCGGACGGTGACGACGATGGTGATATTGATGCTATGCTAGCTGCTTACGCTGAAGAGCAGGCCAAGTACCTCAAGGTCACAGAGCAGCCTTGTGACCCTCCTGGCCCGAGGTCGTCCAGCACAATAGTCGCCTCGCCCTCCAACAGGAACGAGCTGTTCGTTTTTGGTGGCGAGTACCATGATGGGAGCACTGCCTCCTTCTACAATGACCTATTCGTATACCTCATCGATAAAGGTGAGTGGCACCAGATAGTCTCAGGAAACAGCCCCTTGCCCCGGAGCGGGCATGCCGCCTGTCGAGGCGGTAACACCGGTGGCATTTACGTCTCTGGGGGTGAATTTTCCTCCCCGAAGCAGAACCAATTTTATCATTACCACGACTTTTGGCATTTGGACACTGAAACAAGAGAGTGGACCAAGCTCGAACCACGGGGAAAAGGCAAAAGCCCACCTGCTAGAAGCGGCCACCGGATGACATATTTCAAGAACTATATTGTGCTCTTCGGTGGTTTTCAAGACACGTCACAGCAAACAAAGTATCTGAATGACACATGGATTTATGACTGCAAGGAGAATACGTGGCATGAGATGAAACTACAACCTGCATCCCAAAGACCCGACCCTCGTTCCTCGTTCAGTTTACTGCCCCACGAATCTGGCGCTGTTTTGTATGGAGGCTACTCTCGTGTGAAGACAACCACAGGTGCTGGAGCTGGCGGGAAGCAAGCTGGCAAAGGGAGCAGCGGTTCAGCCCCAGTGCGCAATATCCTCAAACCTCTTGTGCACCAAGATACATGGTTCCTCCGCATCACGCCGCCAGCTTCAGATGCCCCTAGCGGTACCCCTCCAGCACTCCGCTGGGAACGTCGGAAACGGCCGGCCAACGCACCAAACCCACCTCGGGCAGGTGTGACCATGTCATTCCATAAAGGGCGCGGGATCTTGTTCGGAGGCGTGCACGATGTCGAAGACAGCGAAGAAGGCATTGACAGCGAGTTTTTCAACGAGCTGTTTATCTGGAATATAGATCGAAATCGATTTTTCCCACTGTCCCTGAGAAGGCCCAAGACTGGTGGTCCCAAAAAGCAACTCCAGAATGCAGCGCGAGGAGGTCGGGATCGGGGCAAAGCGGACGAGGAAGAACTCCTGCGCAACCTCGCGGCTCTCGAGACCAAGGGCACAATATCCGCCGCCGAGGGTATCGAGCTTGATATAAAGGACGAGGAAGAGCTTGAACCTGAGCCTCCGAAACGTGTCTATCCCGTGCGGTTCGAGATGCCCCATCCTCGCTTCAACGCGCAGCTTACCGTACAGGACGACACGCTGTACATCTTTGGAGGCACCTTGGAGAAGAAAGATGTCGAAATCACGTTCTCTGACCTCTACGCCATTGACCTGGGCAAGCTCGACGGTGTGAAAGAACTGCATTACGTCGAACCGACCAATTGGAACGTGACTATCCAAGAAGATAGCGACGAGGAGATGGATGATGATGATGACGACGACGAGGATGATGATGATGACCTCGAAGGCGGAGACGATGCGATGGAAGACATGGACACAGACGAAGACCTCGAAAGTAGAACGGACACCATGTCCATCGACACGCGGCCCTCCATCTCCACAGCTCAAACGACACCCATGTTACGGCCGACCGAACTCGAGACCGAACCCGAGACCCTGGCGTCGCAGGACCCCCGCCCCTTCCCACGTCCGTTCGAGTCCCGCCGAGACTTCTACACCCGCACTTCAGAAGACTGGCAGCGCTTGCTCATCGAGAAACAGTCGTACGGGGGCAGAGCTGAGATGGCCGCGTTGGCGGCCGAGCAGACGATCAAGGAGTTGAGGAAGAAGGCATTCGAACAGGCTGAGGAGAGGTGGTGGGATTGTCGTGAGGAGGTGGCGAGATTGGAGGACGAGCAGGAAGAGGCGGGCATTGGCGAGATTGTCAGCATGGAAGGTCGGAGTGCTGATGCGGGCGCGGGCAGGAGACGTTAAGAACACGAGGACCACAAGATATTTACGCGAGCCAGCAGGGGGAAAGACCCATTGATAGGAACCAATTGACGGTGGGAAACAAAACCAGTATCTATTCCACTTTTCCTTTCCCTTGCAATCGATCCTTCACTCGTACAATCATTCCCTGTACCGCGCCCCTTGCCCGTTTCACAAGGCCCGGTATTTTGCCCTGTCCAACCTCGTCAGCGCCAACGAATCTCCTGACCAACAAGTTGTAAATGCTCCCAAATGCCAATGCCATAACCGTACTCGTCAATATGATCACATTATATGGCATGGAAAAATCAGGCGTTGGCAATGGCAATAACAAGCTTGTCGTTCTAATATACACATCCCTGGCATTTCCCGTGACTGGGTCGATGAGTTCTGGTGAAAGAATTCGAATTACCGCAGGAGGAATGTTAAATCCACGATTTGCATCGGGGGGGTATTCTGTATACCGAAGAATGGACTTTTCAAAGGCATAAGTTAGAGAGACGGTGGTGAGGGGTGGCACGTTGAGCAGGAGTTCAAGTTGTGTGCCGCGGTGTCGGTCGATCGCAGGCTGGTAATACATGTCCATAATGATTTTTTCTTCGTCAGGTCGGGAAGAGTCGAAAGGGGTTGTGGATGAATGCGTAATCCGTGCCTTAAGAGTGTGCATGTAGGGGCGCATGAACCAGGGTAGACTCTCAAAGTAGACGAATTGGACGGGCTCAGTCGAGGACGGGTTTGTGATGATAGTACGCATGCCTCCGTGAGCAGCACCATGGCCAGTCATGGTTCTTTCTGCTCGGAGAAGTTCATGGCCCAGGTCGTGCTTCCTGGTGGTAGATTGTTGTTGAGGTAATTCAAGATCAAATTCTTCGAATGGCATTATCGCATAACACCTTGATTCGGTAGGGCCAGGCTCAGATTTGACCTCAAACCCACTGTGACTAACCAATACCATTCGATCATGCGGGACATTCAGGCACAAGGGTTTCGGATCAGGGCCTTCGTCGTCTGCCAGGGGACACGTCCCTGCCATCGTCCTTCCAAAGACATCCTTGAGAGACCATGACAGTTCATCCACCATGTCGCGAGGATAGCAAGTATCGTGTGAATGGTAAGACTTAGACTCGTCGCAAACAAGCTGTTCAGGAGGGATTGGTCTCGGGATCGGATTATCTCGTGGTCGTTTGGATCGTTCAATATCGAGGACAATATCAATAGTTTGGCTGATTTCAATCTGGCATTCGGCAACCCCAGAAGAACATTTTGGCCGCACATCTATGGCCATGCTCTGCCATGAAGCGTCGAAAACCTTGTGTCCATCCAGAAGGCTTGAAATCCCAGCCTTGCCCTTGCACGGCAGGAGTTTCAGGAAGGGCGTCAGATTTTCTGTGCACACCACTTCTCCAGGAAGGACTCCATGCAAAAGGTGAAGATTTTGGCTGCTGTTCTGAAATGTCCCAGAAGGCTGGAAGGACAAGACAGGTTTGGTGGTCCTTGTTGAATCAATGAAATTCAACGAGGCACAGAACAGGCCCGAGAGCGATTGGGTCAAGGTTGTCCACTTTGCAAATGCATCTTCCTCAGAATCCGCATCGATCCATGCCCATAACTCCACCCCAGTTCCCCCTTCTTTGGTGCCATCCCAGGGACGCGCACCCCAAAGCTCCGGGTCCCAGCGCCCGGTGGTGAACCTTAGATGTAGTTCTTGTGTGTCGGCATGCCTGAGCGCCTGGCCCAGAGAGCGGGGGAAGTATCTGAAGTTCTGGGATTCATAATCGAGGGCACTTTCGTTGCTGCGGAAGTCAAATGAAGCGAGGAGAGAACCGAGGGGTAAAGGAGTGAGAGTCAATCGCTCAGAGTAATCCGAGGCTGCGACGCTCAAAACCAGGAGCGCGACATTGAGGAGAAGAAATAGAAGCCGGGACATGCCGGCATCGTTATCAGCAATTTCTCATTCCGTTTGTGCTGAGATACACTGACAATAGTAGGGTCAAGTGCACAAAAAGGACACCGAGTCGCAGAGTAAAGTTGGACGGTACAAATTCTGCCGCAGTTCAGCCGATTCCTCCACCACTTCTTTCTCTCCATTTGCGGACTTGGGTCTGCCCATCGCAATGCTTCTCACAAAACAGACACCATAGAATTTGGACTATATTCGATCGGACATTTCACCAGACACACACCGGAAAACCTACAGAGCCCATTAAGGTGTCAAACAATCACGCGCCATGGCGGCCGAGCAGCGCAAGCTGCTTGAGCAGCTGATGGGGGACCAGTTCATGGGAATGGGCTCTTCCTCCTCCAAATCGGCGAACCTCACCCTCACTTCGCCCAATGTTTGCCGTTCATACCTGGTCGGAACGTGCCCCCACGACCTCTTCACAAACACAAAGCAAGATCTCGGTCCTTGCCCGAAAGCTCATCCGGAGAACCTGAAGATGGAATACGACGCCCTCTCGCAGGCAGAGAAACAGAAATACGGATTCGACTACGACTACATGAGAGATATGCAGAAATACATTGATGATTGCAATAGAAGGATTGACCAAGCGCAACGGCGGTTAGAGAAGACGCCCGATGAGATACGGCAGACGAACAACCTCCTCAAACTTATATCTGATCTGACTAAGACAATAAACACAGGTCTCCTCGAAGTCAGTTGTCTTGCGGAAATGGGGTCTGTTAGTCTGGCGTGCAGCGAATTCCACAAAGTCCGAACCGCAAAACTAGCCAAAGAACAAGCCGAGCGGGATTTGAAGTCGTTATCAGACACATCAGGTCCTTCAGGGCACCAAAAACTACAAGTGTGCGACGTCTGTGGCGCATATTTGTCCAGACTAGATAATGACAGACGATTGGCCGACCATTTCTACGGGAAAATGCACCTGGGATATGCGCAGATGAGGCGGACGCATGAGACGCTACAGAAAGAATTGAAGGGACGAGGCCCACCACCAGCCAGGCCGCAGGAAGAGAACACGAGTGGGAGCCCCACTGGACCGAGAGGTTACGACGATGGAGGATATGGCGATGGTGGCGGATGGGGTAGAGGTGGTGGAGGATATGGTCGAGGAGGCGGCGGTGGCTACGGTAGGGGCGGCGGAGGATACCGCGGACGAGGAAGGGGTCGGTGGTAGAATCGCCGGTCCTCTCCATCTCCATTGCCTCCTCCGACGAGCGAGGACGTGCCTCCAGGATTTGTGGTCATGAAACATGATTGCGACGCATAGCGGGTGGGAAAATCGGGGTTGGGATTGGGGGATCAACAAAAATCATGGCGTCGTCGGACTGGGGAAGCACTTGTTACTACTACACTCGGCGTGGCGTTTGTCTCTTTCTGTCTCCTGTTACATTATCAGCCTTGTTCTCGCGATGGGAGAAGAAGGAGAGGCGGTACAAGGATGTGGGAGACGAAGGAAGGGCCAAGGAGGAGGAAACCCAAAAAAAGCGACGTGATACCCTGAAATGCATGCATTTTTTCCTCCGTAAACCCTCAACCCTCTATTCGCGCCCTGCTGTCCAGAAACCATCAGGTCAATCCGAAGAGCGCGAATCGATAAGCGTGCACAGAACCGCGTATTGTGTATATGATATTCGTGAGGTATATATCTAGCGTAACATTCGCCAACTATACAATGGGCGTCAAGTCAAGTCAGTGGTGAACAGCGAACAGCACCCACAACGCACCAGGAGACGAGCCATCTCAAAATGCGGGACAGATACTCCGGGTCAACCGCTTCGATTCATGCTGACGCTTGCCGCTCCTTGTCCTCCTGTCAATGTCACTGGTTACTGTTGTCCCTACCAGAAGTTCCTGGGCTTGCCCCGATTCTCTGCGCTGAGTTCGCTGGACTCGACCTGTTCGGCCCAGGATCCTCCTCCGCCGTCACCGCTCCCGCCACCTTCTCCTCCTCCTCCCAGATCGCCAGAGGTCCAGGCTGGGCCTGTTTTCGTCCCTGTACCCGTACCCGTACCCGTACCTGTACCCGAAGCTGGTGCTGATGCGCCTGTTGATTCTCCGGTGGTAGGGTTAGAGCCAGGGAGGGAGGGAAAGTCCGTTTCAGCAGACCAGCCTGGCGGTTGGTTATTGTCGCTGTTGTCGCCGTTGCCGCCGTTATAGCCACCATACCCTCCTCTTCCTTTGGAATTGCCTCGACCTCTTGCTCGACCGCCGCCTCTACCGCCGGCTCGTCCCCTCCCTCGTCCCCGTCCCCGGTCTTCATGCCACTCGTACATCTTCAAGTCATCCTCCTCACCGGGGCCTGATGGTGGTGGCGGTGGCGGTCCAGAGGAGTATCCGCCTCTCCTCCCCCCTCTCCCGTTGATCTGCTGCTCGTCCTTGTCCCGATCCCACTCCCTCCCCAGCTGGCCCGCCATCTTCCTCTGCCGGTTCTTCTCCCTCTCCCCTTCCATCACTCTCCGGTCCTTGGCGTCCCTCACCCGCCTCTCCTTGGCCTGTCGTTCCCTCGCCTCAAAGTTGGCGGCGTCCTCCTGCGCCCGCGCGTGCGCTGCCGCGAGGGACTGCGACCGTTCCTTCGCCGCGGCGAGTTTGGCCGTCAGTTCTTCGTCGGAGAGTTTTGGGGGGCGTATCCCGCCCGTGGAGAGGCGGTCGCCGCGCACCGCGGGGATGCGAGGTGCAGTGGTGTTTGACGGGCCGCTGGGTATGCCGGCGGTGTTCCCAGCGGCGGCGGCGGTCGATTCTGACGCTGGGTCTTCAGCCGGCGGCTGCTGAGCCGCCGGTTCAGAGGGTGTAGTGTTTGTTTCTGGGGTTTGTCGACCCCGTCTCCCCTGGGACCGTGTAGACTTTGTATCTTTTCCCGCCGGTGGTGGTGGTGCCGGTGCAGCTGCCCACTTGGAGTCCTCCAACCCGACAGCAGGTTTCCTACTTGCGCTTTCTCCCCGTGCAACAGGGCCATGGCCACCTCTCCCCCTCTGCTTGGGCTTGAACCCCGGGAATGACGGTTCAGTCGGCGTTGGTGGCTTCACCGCCGTTGCAGGTTCGACCGCCGGCGGTGGAGTAGATTCAGCAGCGACAGGCGGAGGGACGGCGGGAGGACTGGTCACGGCCGTAGAGGGCTCAAGCGAGATCTGCTCAAGTTGAGCGGCGACCTTCTCCGGGGAGGGCGGTTCGTCAAAGGGAATGATTTCGTCGTCAAACAGATCGTCGTCCCCGCGGGATTGGGCAAAGTGGTCCATGGCCGTGAATGAGGATAAGACAACAACGCAGTAAAACAGAGGCCCAACGGTAAACGATCCCTATAGTGAATGGGTATACTCTATAACAATGATGTGCAACAAAATCCAAAAAGAGGCAGACCCTCCCTCCAAGAGAACAAAATTTGTGGTGTTTCTGGTAAGGAATGGACCGGGGAAATAAAGGTCGGACTATGATGATCTGCACAACGCTGCTCCGCATTTTCCAACTGAATCTTGGGGAAAATCGCCGAGCGTGCACTGTAGAGCTTCAGGGTCGAACACATTCAGGGGTTGACTTTACAAGACGAAGCAGTGCCTTTTGGCAGTCATGATTTCCCCCCTTCTATCAGTCTAACACCGAAGATCCCATGTTCACTTTTACAAAAGCTCGTTGGAGCCCCCCTGTATAAACCACACATTTCTTTACTCTGGGTTGTCCTCCGCAGTGATCAGAATGGTGGCAACCAGAACGGATATCCTCCATTCTTGACCCGAAAGACACTCATCAAAAAGCTATACATCCCGAAAAGGATCGCGGCCCAGATGATGACCGCCGCTTGCTGGGTCTTGGGGTCCTTTATCCGCGGCACTCGCAAAGCTAGATTGATCGTTGCAAAGGCGAGGAGTGCATCTGGTAGTTGACAAGAATTAGCAAGAACATCCTCATAGACAGATTGTATTTTACTGGTTGTGGTCGGCCGGAAGACTTACACATTGCAGCCACAATTTGTGTCTCCATCCCATACTGGTTCTGAAACCCGCCAGCGAAGTAACTGATTCCTCCACGTCCGTTTCCAGCAACATAGGGAACCCTGCGAATATGATTGAACATATGGCCACTAGTAAAGAGCAAGATCATAATCAAGCTGATACCCGCCCACAAGTTGCGGTTCTGAATGATTGGCATCAGGTAGGGATAAGCGACAGTAATGAATGTGAACAGGCCCAAGGTAATGGTCAGGAACGCGCCAATTCTTGCATAGTTGATGGGTCGGACGATGGGAGGATAATTGCCAGGAGGGAGATGGCGTTGGAGCCAGCCATAGACACCTTCAGCCGATTGAGGACCGAGGAAATCGAGTCGGAGGGGTGGACCTTCAGGTTTGGCATGCTCGCCGACGGTAGGGGGGAAGAAGAGGAGGACAGGAGCGGTTTGAAGTTGGAGCTGTACGGGCAGTCTGTCAGCAAAGAGCTCGTCACCGTCCCAGAACTAATGCCACCAACAAACCTTCATGAAGACGTTTCTGCCCTGATCGAAGTCAATGGTGCTCAGAAGCAACCTCTTGTCCCCATTACGATCGCCCTTCTGCCAGCTTTTCCCCAGGATACTCCATTCCGGATCGAACTCTCGACAGATCCCGCAAGCATATTTGGCATCTCGAGCAGTCAGCAGGACAGCCAGAGAGTAGTCCCGCGGCGAGGCTGTCAATTCATAGTAGCTTTTCTCGTCGAGTTCGAAAGGTGCGGAGGAGGCCTGTTTGGCAAAGTAGGTGTCGAATTTGTTCGTCGTGGCAACCTTTTTAGCGGAGACCCCGGCCGTCAGGGTGAGCGCTGTGAGCGCCAGCAGTCTAAACAGACGCATGTCTTTGGCCTGAGCAAGATGATGGAGTTTGGATGTGGGAGGGGACTTGGAGAACTACAGCCCGCAAGACAGGGTGTTCAATTGAATTCTTCGGCAAAGTTGCATGTTTTACAGATGGCGCTCAATTGCATCCTCGCTACAACCACTTGATCCACAGGAGTGACAGGACACCCAGTTGTGTCTACGGACGAAAATACGGAGGTTCATCTAGGTCGTATTGAAAGGTCTGGTTATCACATTCCAAGGTGCATAAAATGCTCTCAATCTTGCATATTTACACTCTTGGGCAGATCTAGTTCACTGTTTCCGACACTCCCGCCGACAGTGACTCCGCTTGTAGCTTCATAGTGTCTTGGAACCAGAATCCTTGTGTTTGAGAGACCGAGGAATCGAAGAGAAAGCCACTTAGAATGTCGACCGTGTCTTCCCAGGTGAGGAGTCCCATATCGTGAGCCTGACGCGCAAACTGTTCGTGGAACCAACCATCAAATAGCTCGCTGCTCAAAGCAGGCTGCTGACGGCGTTGTTCATAGATGGCGCCGACGTAGAAAGCCCAGAGTCTCGCATTCTTCCATTTATGCCATGCGGGGCTGTCTCTGGGACGCTCGCTCTTGACAAGCAGAGGTCGCAGGGTTTCGAGCACATTCCCCGCCCAAATATTCTTACCGCAGACATCGTTTTGAAAAGTAAGAGCCCGTGACCACTTGACAGCACTGATGGAAATGTATTGCTGGGCGTAATCGTAGTCGAGTTCTGGTCCCGAATCCGTCTCGGCGAGCTGCTTGAATCGGCAATAGCGGCTGACCAGCGTTCCCAGAGCAATGCCCCAGCTATACTGGCCCCAGCCGAGAAGCATTGTGGCAACATTGGCAGGTAGCCCATCGGACCACCTACGGCGCCATCGTGCACAAATCTCGCGACACAGCCTGATGCAAGCCGTCATCTCATCTGAGTCGATCGTCGGGTCAAAGGGGTAGAAATCCAACGGCGCAGGGGGGAGGATTGGCTCGACGGCTCGCAGAAACGGTGCGAAGGCCTTTGGCAGCCACTCGTAAACGTCAAAAGCAGGAGGGGTCAAGAGCTGCGTGGACATGTTCAGGTCTGCGTAGAGAAAGAAAAACAAAAGCTCGATCATCGTCAATCCTATCTCGTCGAGCTTGTCGAAAAGACCTCGACCCTGCTGGAAGTGCTGGTCAACGAACTTGCTGAGCATTTTACCGTGCATTTGCGCTGCTTCGACATTTTCTGCCGCGATCTCAGCGGTCCAGATCATGAAAATGTGCCACCAGATCCAGGGATCGACTTTGGATATGCCGACCAGTTTCTGCCGCAATGCAGCCGTGCTCTTAGCACGGCAGACCAAAGACCTTTGTATCAGGGACCGGCCTTGACTAGTGTCGGCTCCTGTGCACATTGCAACAAGTGCAGCATTGCTGCCGATGAAAGCCAGAGCGGTTCCCGTGTCCAGTAACCCTGTGGAGCAGACTTGCCAGTCAACTTTGGCACGAGCGTCTGCGAGGTTGTCCTTTGATTTGACATCGAGCCGCCATGATGCAGGAATAAGGATATCCCGGTAGAAGGTCACAAGCCTGTTCTCTTCCACGGTGATGGGGACTGCGGACGCGCTGAACGGATCAGAATTGCCTTTGTTGAGGACGGTGACTGGTGACAGGGTCTGGAGCCGTCGTTTCTCTTGTAGGAGCATGAGACGCCTGTTCTCGTTATTTGGGTCTGTGCCCTGCTCGGCCCTTGGCACATTATCGACGGCAGCGTTGTCCTTGGACGGACCAGGTGGGTGCTATACCAACATTAGACATTCTGAAAACAGGCAGGCTTCATCCTTACCACTGATGGTGGTGGCTGTGGTTGCGGTTGCGGCTGCTGCTTAAGCCTTCCTGGAATCTTCGCAGAGGCACGTAAGGCTTTGGTTTTTTCCTGTCGCTCCCAGCTGCGGTAGTTGTTCTGAATGTGTGAGAATACCCGGTGCCGATGCGGCAATGTCTTCATATTTTGAGCATCGTAATTGACCCACAAGACGGCTGGAGCCTCCATTGCGCTGAGACTAGAACAGTCCGTACTGGACTCGAGGGAAGCAGAAGATAGTCTATGCGTGTCAAAGGGAGAGCGAGGGTCGAATAGAATAGACCCCGCTTCGTTGAAGATGGGCATCCGGTTGGACTTTTAAGACTTCTCCCAAGAATCCCAGGGCGTCCGCACCCATCGTCGCACGGGTAGCTACCTTTGTCACGCCGCGGCATTTCGGCTGGCACCGAGCGATTGTGTATAGCAGAAGGATCAGAGTAAATCCTCATGGGCGAATGGTGTTTGCCGTTGCGGGATGGGTGTTGGCATTGGCGCAGAAAGAGTGATAACTTCTGATACATTTGACTGGCTGCCCCTTTGCACCCTTTGGGCACTTTGCGCAGGCTGCTGTTTTTTAACGGCTTCGCTTAACTGGCGCAGTGGAGAATGGCTGACTCAAAACTGACCGGACTGGCACCTGCCGCCTCACGTGGAGTGAGACTTCTTGGCCTTTCTACTTGTACGGGCCGAACAAAGTGTATTTGGCATATGGTCTCCCAAGGACAAGCCATGGCCCAGATACCGGTAAAGTCAATTCCAAAGACATCTCTTTCCGTCTAAATCCAACAGGCTCACAAAAGTCATACTGATTTGACCTGACATAGGCCTGCTCACTTGACGCACGGATTCTACCATTACACGAATCCTCCAGATCGCCGATCCTCACAAGTGAAACCTCCACCTCGGATCTTCATCTCCGAGCCAGGGCCCATCGACCGGAGCATTCTCTGCTGTTCTAGCCTCTCTTCGCTCATTCTGCCTCTTCAAAACCAGCCAGAGGGTCGTAGTCACGATCAAATTAGCCACCATGTACGCCAACGCGAACGAGTGACCCAGAAAATACCTGGGTGCTGTTTCTGTGCGATAGAGCTGGGTACCGAGGACAGCTCCCAGATTCCCCAGCGAGATCTGCAGTGCATTGGCAACAGCTCTCTTGGTCTGACCACTGACATTGTTTGCTGGCCAGGCAAGGGTCAACGCCACGGATGGATAGATGCCGGCTGCAGCGAAGATGATTCCCACATATGACACGCCCGGCCTTGGGTCACTCAGAAGTAGAATGTATCCAATGATGGCGAGGGAGGACGACATCAGGATAAATGGTGTCCGGGTGCAATATCTCTCGGAGAGCACCGCAAGGCCAATGGTAAGGACAAATGCGATTGCATAAGGTGGAATAGTCATAAGCTGTGCTTCGGCCGACGAATATCCGAGAGACTTGATGATGGTCGGAAGAAAGAGTGACAGCGTGTAAAGGGGAAGCGAGAGCGTGTGGAACCCGAATGCGTAGAGGTAGCATTTGATATCAGTGAACGCTTTTTTGACGTTGTTCCAGTCCAACTTCTCATCTTGGGTTGCATCACTGTCGACCTTGAGACGGTGCTGGATGTACTCTCGCTCCTCGTTGCTCAAGAACTTTGCTGTATCCGGGTAGTTGTGGATGAAGAAGTATGCAGCTATCGAGACCACAACAGTAAGTAGACCTTCCTGTGGAGCCTTTAGTATGCGTACGATGACTTTGAACAGGATTACTGACCAGAATAAATATCCATCTCCATCCGTTATAGCCACCAACTCCTCTCATGTGAGCAATCCCCCATGCGAGGATACCACCAAAAGCTCCTGCCAGCGAAGCTGCGCTGAAGAATAGAGCCACGCGAAACTGTCGCTCATTGCGCTTGTACCACATTGACAAGTAGAAGACGATGCCTGTCGACATGCAACGTCAGCTCAACGACGCTTAGGACCACAAGAAGGGGATTGCATACCGGGGAATAGTCCAGATTCAGCCACTCCTAGGAAAAATCGAACAACAAAAAAGCCATCACGGGATTGAGTGACACCCATGAGTGTACTCACGACACCCCAAGTGAGCGTCAGTGTGGGCAGCCAAAATTTCGGAGTCCACATCTTCAGAATCAGGTTGCAGGGAACTTCGAAAAGAACATAACCGATGAAGTAAAGCGTCAATCCGGTGAGATATTGGTCTCCTGTCATATTCAAGTCGGTTGCCAGGCCCTCGATACGTGCATTGCCGACATTGCTCCGGTCAAGAAACGAAAGAAGATACAGCGAGGTCAGGGCTGGAAGAAGGGTGAGATCGAGCCTGCGCACAAGAGCTCGCTCATTGATATGACCTTCAAGACTTTCATCGAAACCAGTCGGGGGAACACCTTTCTCTGTTGGGCTGGAACTGTCGAGAGGGGCTTTTTCGATTGAAGCCATTGTCCTATGTCGTTACTACCGGCACTCGCTCTCTCCGAACAACAGGCTGTGATTCAAGAGAAGGTAGAGAGTGCAACAGAAGCGTGGACATGGCTAGGAGATAGCTGCAGGGAACGGAGTGGTTCATATAGATCCTCGATACCGTTGTAGGAAGGTCAGCATTCGAGCGCACAGATCCATGACGCTTCTCCCAACCGTTGTGGGAAGGATTGGCTAAATCGTTGTGGTGCAAACATCATGGCAGATTGCGTGATTCTGACGGCCGGATTTGGAAACAGCGTCTCCAAAATACGATTGTATTGGACGATTGATGCTGAGAATTGTGATGCAAAGGGAGACCGCCGTCCTTGGTGGCATTTCGGTGGAGGCATGTTCGCTCCTTCACTGGCTCCATGTTGAGGAATACAACGAGTCGTGATATAGACCCATATATTCTATACTTGTACAAGAATAGATCAAGGAGGTGAGGTCTCATCTTCAATGATAATGGCGATCCCACGCGTCCCTGTGGCAGGCCTTGATCCCCTTTTCATTGGGCCGGAGTGTCGCCGCTCAACGTCTCCGCAAACCATGTGGCCACAGAAGGCTCTAAGAACTCGTAGAAGACAAAACGGTGGAGGATATGTCGTGCTTGAGGCCACTCATTGAGCTCCAGGATCTCTGCCTGTCGAACAAACATCTTAGTGAACCAGGTCCTTGGTGGCATGATGCCTTTGATCTTTTGATTTACCCGCCACTCAAATCTTGCGCCATAGAAAAAGATCCACAACAGAGCGTCACGATATTGGGTCAGTGTGTCGTCTCTTGCTATATTCATCGCCTTCCTCATTGTGCCCTCGAGATGATTGATGGTGATCATGTGGTGACTAGTACGGTGGTCACAACCGTACACTGTGGCTTCAAAGATCCCTCGTCGCAATATGTGCAATGTCGTTAGGGCCAGTGATGCTTCGATAAGTCGACAAGGTGCTGGGATTCCATCAACCCTACCGGCGATGAGATTGATGTAGGCATTAATCAGGGCCCCGGAATCGTACTGAGAATAGGTTGTGAAGATCGTGTAGACCGCATCCGTGCGGTTAAGGTCTGCAGGGTCATTCAGATTGACAGTGGTCGACCGGACGAGCAAGTACTGTCGAAGCCTGATCGCCGCTTGGCGAGTGGCATCCAGTTGGATGCTATCATGGAGGGCCTTGTACTGAATGGGCAATGGGGGCATGTGCGTCTCAGGTTTTTCCACCCAGAACCGAGCAATCTGTCTCTGAACCCAGTTTTCAAAATCGAAGAAGGTGTTTCGCATTTGAGCTATGGCCAATTCTGTGTCGTTATTCATACAGGTCATGAATAACGTCCGGATATGAAGACTTGACGTCTCGACTCTGTCAACCAGACGCTGAATGATGTTTGCGTGGATCCTTGCCGCAGGGATGTCGTTCTCTTTGCAAGCTGCTCGAAAGAGCGAGACAATCTGCGAGACCAACGATATATCCGGCGGAATATCAAGTGATAGCTTTTCGATCCGATCTTTCAAGATCTTCATGCTCTTCGTCCGCATCTTGATAGCCAGAAAATGTAGATCTCGAGCCGTATCTGGCGAGGAGAATTTTGCCAAAACTGGAATGTAGCTTGAACACCACGACAGCGCTCGTCCTTCATCGGAGAATTCTTCCTTCATTGAATTCCACACTTTCGCTACAGTACGTCGACCGAAAACGTGGAATCCCTCGCCGATTGTCGTGAGCATTGGAGCTCCGCGCGGGGCGTCTCTGAATTTCATGTACGAAGTGATATAGACACCCGGCAGATAGCCATCTCGTATGAACGTTATGAGCTTGTTGATCTCGGGGGTGATCCGTAGCGCCTGAGCGTTGAATGGGTCTGAGTTGCCGCCGGGGAGAATTTCCAGGAGACTTGAGGCGCCGTCTTTGGTAGTGTGGAACGTCGTGGCTTGCAAAATGTTCTCTGCCCTGTAAAGCGCGAAGTCACCATAGCCACGTGTGTCCTCCCGGACCTCTGACAAGTGTTCATGTTTGGCATTTGCGCGGTCATCTGAGCATTGAGGAACATGTCAATCTGGATTCTGCACATCAAGGAACCGGAGATGGCTCGACCTACCTTGATCCTCAGACAGAAAAACTTCCTTCAGTGCCTGCTTCCTTTTCTTGCGCCTTTCGTGAGACCATTTCGCGGCGTGTGATTTTTGGTTTGCAATTTCAAGTTCCTTCTCAACTTGTGTGGCCTTGGAATCAAGCTGCGGTACAAATCTCACAGTCGAAAATGTATAGGTACGCATCCTCTCATATTCATGTCATCACTTGGCAATCTCCAAAAAAGGTATGACAATGAATAGAGACTAAACTCCTGCCCGAGAATGGGCCCATCTTTGCAATATAACCCTCGAGAAGGTCAAAATCCAAGGAGAACGGCTGAGCTAATATCCCTGCAGACGAAGTCAGCTGAGGACCGAATGAATGGCACAAGGCTCGCTAAATGAGCAGCATGTGCTTCAATCCAAGATTCTGTATCGAGGTTGAGTGCATATCACACCTCTCTGCTTTTCACCGGCTCTTTCGAGCGGAACATCGGTTCTCGGCAAATGTCCAGACCATACGGGATCGGGAAATACAATCATTATCAAGCTGATCAATGGACTGAGGAGCCTCGTGGCCGAAGTTAATAAGCAGAAACTCTCTTTGCCTCCCGATAACAATCGGGACGGGGAAAGACATATCTGCTGCTAGAAGGGATCCTCTGCACGTCAAGAAACTCTCAGAATCTTGGACTCAGTTCACAGCTTTGGGTGTGCGCGAGGAAACCGAGTCTACCAACGTGTAAGTTCACAGGCCTGAAAGATTGTTTGGTAGAGCGGAGCAGCCTCATAGGATTGGCCGAGGAATGGCGTCCTCGCGAAATGTTTCCAAACCTGATAGTCTTAGCTGTTTGAGTGAGACAAGACCAAATTTTTCTCTGAGGCCCTGAGGCCTGAGGCCGAGATACCGGAAAGGAGAAAATGGTGCCAGGCGCCATCCCGATTCCAGGCATTGCCATCTGACGGGCTCATTGGGATCGCTTGGTCTTTGCAAAACTGACTCAAGAAGAGTAGTAGACGACGACCTTCTTACCTGAAACAGTAACTCTACTCCACAAGAGGCGCAAGATACGCAGGTGCCAGCTCCAGAAGACCCAGACCGAGAAGTACCAGCATGGCGAGGTCCCGTCAGAACCGGTCACTCGGGTGTCACCAAACACCGAATCAGTCACACAGGTGTGGACCATGACCCCATGATATGTCCACCCCAGAGCCCGATATAAGTCCCACAGCTAGGTGGCACCCAATATCAGTGCAGTGATTGCTGACAAAGAGCATAAAGCGTCCCAATCCCAATGACACCCTTCCGACGGTTTGAGAGGTAAGTCGGGTGTTGGGTATCTGCGGTATTTGCTGTGGGTCCGACAAGAGCATCAAGGTCTTCGCTCGAATTTTGGTGAGTCAGTTAGAAACCCAGACGACGCGCATTGAGGGGCCTCTGTGCCCGAAGGTACCACCTCTTTCAGTTCACTGGGATTCACCAAAAGCAGAGTCTGCAGAGTCGTCGGGGGGTTGCTCAACTTGTGTTGACCGTGCAACGACATGATCCTCTTCCAAAGCAGTGACCAGGTGGGTGGGAGTGTCAGCGTCCTCTGTTTCAGCCAAATCCGGGCAGCTGCAGGTCTAGGGTCGTCTCGCTTGTAGCTTCGTCCGGTGCTTTGGTGTTTCCAGCGACGTCCGAGAAGAGCTGCTTCCGATTCGACATCGATGTGAGTCGTGCCATGCTTTGCTGGCGAGGGTGAGAATTAGTAGCATTTGGGAGAATCGAATTTTGGTCTGCTGTAAATTTTAAGGTAGATGAATGTAAGAGGGATGGAGACGTTTCCAGGATTAGGCGTGCTGGCAAACTGCGATGTATTTCACGTCACGCGACACAGTGACAAGAGGTGGACGAGAGACACGCCGAGAGTTTCTATGTGAACATGGCAGAAGAAGACTGTATCTTCCCTCATTCAGATGATGTCATGTTATTGGGTCTATCGCTGGAAAATAGACTCGAAATACTCGCACCATCAGGATCGTTTGAAGCGTTGCAAGTCTCTGCCTATATTTCCATCATTTGTCCCAACCATTTCTCATATGCACCTTCAATCTCCACGCACCTCTTGCCTCTGATCCACAGACATTTGCCATTGATCTCTACATCTTTTTCTGTAGTTGCAAGGTATGCAATACCCAAAGCCACATCCTCCGGTTCGCTTGCCTCGAATCCTTGGAATGCATCAGGAGGTAGATTGGCCGTTAACCCAGTGCGTGTGAACCAAGGCCCGACCATAGAAATCGATATATTCTTCTGCCTCAGCTCTTCTCTCCGGGACGTGCTGCGCATCAATCCCATGAGAGCGTGCTTCGATGCCACATAAACATCTTGATAGGGGACCGGTATGTATGAGCCAGCAGATCCCGTAATGATGATTCGGCCTCCTTTTCTGTCCCCAAAATGATGCACGGCCAATTTGACCCCATAAAGGACGCCATAGAAGTTGACGTCGAAGACCATTTTTGGTGGTGGTTTGAGAAGTGGTCGGATCTCTTTGACCGCTTGAGTTGCACTGCCAGAAGAATCGTATTCGTCCGCCAGGTAGTTGTTTGCAACTCGCTCCTTGCCCGACGCTGACTCCGTTGTTGCAAGCTCGGGATCGATGCCAGCGTTCAGACACACTATCTCTGGCGGGCCGTATGCGCGAGTTACCCAATCGAATAGGGCGACTTGTTGCTCCCAGGATGACACGTCGCACGTGTAAGAGTCACACCCATGACCAATGCTCGATGCCACTGCCTGCACCTTTTTTGCATCCAGATCAACCACAATAACCTTTGCACCGTGCTGCGCAAATATTCGGGCAGTTGCAAGGCCTATTCCACTCGCTGCTCCGGTCACAAGAGCCACCTTTCCCAGCCGTTCTTTGAGCAAGGTGGGTGTTGGAAGGACCACTTCCGACATGGTTTCTCTAGAAGTCAATTCGCAATAGACACAAACCTGAAAGTGATGGTTTTAGGATAGAAGAGACGTTACGAAATGTCAACGAAAGCTTGAAGCTCAAGATTTGCGTTTTGACAGATAGTCTATAATCAAGTGACTCTTTTTGTGTCAGCGATCTGTTTCCTACCGGTCGTATCCTACTTCCCAAATCAGTACAAAATGGGCGGAAAGGCATGAGAGCGAAGCATTGGCGATTACTTCGCGACATCGCGACCAGAAGTCAGCCGGAGGACGAATGGAACTTAGTGGCAGCTCGGTGTCCTTGTGCCTGTGCATAGTTGGTAGAGGGACGATCAAGCGTGAACCGGGAGCCGAAGAAGGCGGAGGCGAAGTGGCCGAGGCTAGTGTCGACTGAGCTCTTCAGGAAAGTTTGGCGACGCACCCCGTTATTAATCCGTACTAGAGAATGGCACTAGTCCGTTTTCAGGTGGGCTGTAAATAAACCGAAAACACTGCGGGAGGGATTCTCAACATCACCAAACTGTATCATACGCAACTTATTCTTCGCTGAGGGGCTATTGGAAAATGGACTCACAACTAGCATACATGGACACTACAGAGATCGCACAATCCTTCGAAACCACCAAACTCGAACTTGCTTACGAGCACGCTTTGAGAGCGACAGAGCGCATCTACGAAGAAGAGCGAGTGCGCGGACTGCACGTCCAGCTCCTGCTTCTCGAACACGAAAATGACGGGCTCCGGGAACAAGCCGAGAGCGGCGAAGACGAGCAGCATCATCTGCGGGAGACTAACGAGGAGCTTCAAGGACGTCTGGCCGATGTCGAGGCAGACTTCCAACAAGCACAGGTGGACCTCAAAGCGCGCCTACGCGATCTCGAGTACTTAAAAACAGAAGTCAACGTCTTAAATGCAGCGAGCAGCGACGCAAGCAAGCTTCTTGCCGAAAAGCTAGCTTTGTCCAGAGAGCTAAACACCCTCAAGCCCGAACTAGAACACCTCAGATCTCAAAACTCGGCGTACCAAAAACTTCTCTCGGAAAAGCTGGCTCTGCAGCGAGAAGTCAGCTCTCTTCAAGTTGAGCTCGAGACGGAGAAACGAACAGTTCAGAGACTTAAGGCACAGGAAAAGTCCTCCAGTCTTGAAGATTCGGAGTTGATGGCAGAAGTCGAGAGTTTGAGAAAAGAGCTTGCGAAAATACAGCGGGATGCCCAAAAAACGGAAAGGGAGAGCAGGAAGAGAACGAGCGACTGGGAGAACGAGAAGGAGGTTTTGGAAGGAAAGCTGGATGCTTTCCGTAACAAACTGCGGTCTACAAAAGACCAACTCAAGGAAGCCCAAGACGAAATTGAGAAACTACAGGCAGCGCAGATGGCGCAATCTTCCGAGTTGACCAAAGCAAGACTTAAAGGGTCAGGAACCACGACCAATCCTAGGAAGAGAAATGTTGCTAGGTTTGACCCAGACATGACCATAGGCACACCGGGGCATGGCGGTCATGCGGCAAAGAAGCCTCGGATTTCAGTGAATGTCGGCGATAAATCAAACTTTTCCATCACGCCCTTCCTGAACCGCACCCTTAGCATATTGCCGGAAACGCCGGCCGAGCACGAAGCTGAGGGTCCAAAGGACGACAACGGAAGCGCCACTCAGCGCGTGGATGGGTTAGTCGAGGAAGAGGGCAAGTCGGCCGTGGTCCAGCCGCTGAAGAAAAAACAAGCAGTTGCGAAAAGATCGACTGGCCCGGCCTCCAAGCGAAAAGGTGTCCAGCCTCTGAAAGATACGACCAATTCAAAGGCAAATGACACATTGAAAAATCCTCTTCCTGACAAAATCATTGAACAGGACTTGGATATGGAAAGTGACGGAGAAGATACGCATAATAGTGAAAGCCAGAAGACGAACAAGGAGAATACAGAGCAAGGACAGACAACCGACACCCTGGGTCTCGATACAGAACAGCCGCTCAAAAAGAAGAGGACATTGGCCAAGAGAGCCAATATCTTTGACGAAGAAGACAGTGCGCCCGCACCGAAGATCAGGAGCCTAGGAGGCGGGCTCGCCGGTAAAGGGGGCGTGCTGGGTCGCGTCAATCTCAAGGCAAAATCTGTGGGTAAAGCGAAACCACTGGCCGATTTTTCGCCTCTTAAGAAGGACCGAAGGATTGCTAGTGTTGTTCACTGAAGGCGCATGATGGGGTCGCATAGTATGGACAATGACAGGGGGACTTTGCATAGGAAACAGCCCTACACATGTAATGAATGATTTGGCAGATTCTGTGGCCGAAACAGCTCGATAACTCGGAGTATCTAGCAGCAATCGGCATTTCCTATCTGGGGATGAAGCCTGGCGCTGCTTTAGGGATCGATGACATCTGAATTGCGGAGCAAAAATGTCCTTCCCCAAGCTGGTGCTCTACCAAATACCAAACCATTTCCTTGCAACTCAATTCTTTTTTGTGATACAATTGCCTCACTCTCTTGTCGAGTGCTCGACGGCCTCGCTAGAGCGTGCTATGCAATCATGTAATCCATGCATTGTCCTTCGCTCTTCAGCTAGCGCACTCACGGCGTTCAAGTATCCCTCTATCAGTCCTCTTGCCCTTCGCCTGCGTCCGACACCATGTCTCCCCTCGCCAAACTCTATCTCATTGCCTGTTGGTCGTACATCATCTCCTTCCACATCACCTTTACGCTTCTCACCCTCGACTTCCACGAAAGGAGCACGCTTCGCTTCCTCGAGCACGAGGCGCTGGACTGATCGGCAGCGAGGGGACCAGTTTGCTCGCGCCGCAAAGGTCCAAGGGTTGAAGAGTCGGGCGGCTTTCAAGCTGCTGCAGATCAATGAGCGATACAGACTTTTCAAGCCTGGCATGACTGTGGTGGATCTGGGGTTTGCGCCGGGGAGTTGGAGTCAGGTAAGAACACCACACACATGCGAGTGGAGAGGTTGCGGGTCGATGTCTGCAGAGATCCGAGCCAGACGAGTTGGGTCCGAATGCTGACACATGTCTGCCTTTGGCACAGGTCGCCATTGACCTGACAAAGCCTCGAGGCCGAGTGCTAGGTGTTGATCTCCTTCCCGTCCAGCCGCCGAAGGGCGTGTCGACAATCCAAGGCGACTTTTTGTCCCCAGACATTCAAACCGAGATAAAGTCCTTCCTGCGAAACCCCGACCGGGGCCGCCTACGGCAACCACTCACGCTAGGCTCGTCTGCAACTCCAGAAGGCGGGCTAGACCAAGCGGTGCTCGAGGATGAGGCAACTGGCTATCTCGAGCGCGAGAGCCACGAGAAGACGCTTGAGGAAGAAGAGCAAGATCGACAACATCTGGACAAGTCGGTCGACGTGGTGCTGAGCGACATGTGTGAACCCTGGGACCCGCTTGAAGGGCTTTACAAGAAGAGCATCAGTAACCCTTATCGCAGGTTGATGAACACGAGTGGAAATGCCTTTCGCGATCACGCCGGAAGTATGGTACGTGTGTCTGCTTGAAGCTCCTCGAGTGACCTACTCATTCCTATCCCCATCCCCTTTCTTCGGGTCTCCAGACTCTCACGACATTATCACTCTCCGCGAAATTCCAAGGCACACCAACAATTCCACTGACTTCTTTTTTGGGGAGATGAGCAGGATCTCTGCAGAGCCGCCCTGCGATTCAGCTACGACACGCTCAAAGTCGGCGGACATTTCGTGTGCAAGTTCTACCAGGGCGTCGAAGACAAGGCGCTGGAGAAGAGCCTCAAGGCCATGTTCCACAAGGTCCATCGCGAGAAACCTGAGAGCTCGCGGAGTGAATCCCGCGAGGCGTATTTCGTGGGCATCAAGCGGTTGGCAAAGGCTGATCGGGACGCGGTGTTTGCCGAGCCGTGAAGCATAGACTCTCCCACTGGGTAGGGAATGATATCTAGGACTTGTTTGTATCTTCCTGTGAAGGGGTAAAAGAGAGAAAAGATACTGCGGGCAAGACAGGGGAAGGGAGTACAAAAGGTCGAAAAACCAGGAGTGCTGATCGGCACTATATATCTATATAAGCGGTGAGGTGATGGAAGGCTGCTTACCATCTTCCCTCCTACAAAATCTCCGACACGAGGCATGAGTGACCAAGGCTAGGTAGCTAGCCACTGTTGCTTACTCGGCACGGTCGTGTCGCTCAAATCAATTCCCCCTCTTCATCCTCGGCGCCCTCGACGCCTTCTTCGTCGCTGAACTCGATATCCTTGGCCGCTTCCTCAGCCAGCCTCTGCACCTCCTTCAGGCCGCTAAGCTCTTCGACGTAGCCCTTCTCGTTGAGGGCCCTCTGGACAAAGGCCCAGCCGTCGGCGTCGTACGCGTCGAGGATCTTGTCGGAACAGGCGCTACAGTGCGTGTACGCCGTTCCCGTGATGGTCATGCTGGAAAAGGTGGCTAGGAACCCGCGGATCTGGTGCGGGACGATGCCGAGGGGATGGGGGTCGTCGCCCCGGCCGTGGTCGGTGGAGAGCGAGGCTGGCGCGGCGGGCCCGCGTGGATGCTGGACGATGGAGACGAAGAGCTCGACCAGCAGGGCCGAGGCCATGGCTGCGATGCCCGGCCGCGTCACCGTGCACTGCTGGTCTAGCGTCAGGTCTTTCATGGAGTCCGCCGGCGCGACGACGTCGTTGCAGAAATAGCAGCCTAGTTCCCCTTGGCCCTTGTTCTCTTTCTGCGCGGCCTCTCTCTGCGTGCCGGGCAGGGTAGGAACCGCCTGGACACCGTGTCTCATGACCACATATGTGTCGAAGCCCAACGCGGCGTTCATGACGATCTTTCCCTTTGCCTTCCCCATGACGGTTGGCAACCATCGCGACTCTCGTGTATCCATCAACAGGAAGATTGCGTCGTGTTCATCCACTAGCTTCTTTAATGTGTCGTATTCCGCTTTGGTCTTCTCCGGGTCTGTGATCGGGTGTCCTGCCATAGGCACGCTCAATACGTGGCCCGAGGACTGAACGCCGGGGTATACTGTCTTGAGCGCCTCCGCTGCAGCAGTGGCTTTCTGCTTTCCTCCATCGAGACAGTCCTGAAACGTAAACAACGGCTGTCTCACAGGATTCGAAAACGAGACGGTCCCGTTGTCCACGAACGTGATATGTCTGACTCCCCATCCCATCAGATTTCTCGAGACGTATGACCCGAGCGTGCCGGCGCCGAGCAGGAGACATTTGGTCTCCTTGATCTTTTCGAGGTTCAGGTTAGGCGAGATGCGCCATTTCATCAATTTCAGGTTGAGGTCAACGGATGAATCGGCGAGTTTGGTCGGGTCCATGTATTCAGTGAGGTCGGCCACGCGGCCAGTGAGTTTGTTCAGAGCATTTCGTTCCCAGCCTACGACTTTGGGCATGGTCTGTGAATAATCTGGGGGTTGGGCTGCGTTTCCTCCGCTGTTGGTTTTCGACGGCTGTCTGGATATCTCCATGTTAAGGATGACACTCCGCGCGGCGTCCCGTCGCATTTGCGTTTCCCGGTAGCAAAGGATTTGTACTTTGTCGAGTTTCCACCGTTGCCGGACCAGGACTAGGAGGTTTCGTAGCATCCATCCTGGCGCCACGGGACCCGGCTCGGTGTAGTTGGACGGATCGACAAACCCGACAAAACAGTCTTCGGGGTCAGCGCCGTCGAAGAAGCCGGTGTCATAACTCGATAACGAGGCCACTTGCCACGTGTATCCAAGACTTGCAGTTGGGGTAAGAGGTGACTGTGGAGAAGTAGGCCCAAAGTCGTCGTCGCCGGGATTGTTAGAAGTAAGCTCTAGCGGAGCATCCCGTGCCTTTTTGACCAGGAAAAACCCATGCTGTCTCGAGTCCACGCCGTACTTCCAGGTCTGGACATGATCAACCAGATTTGTGCTCTCAATGGAGGTCAACTTCCTGTACGGGATGCCGGTCTCTGAACTTGCGAGGCTTCCACTAGCGGCCACGGGTACCCAGGGCGGATCCATGACGAGAGCGGGAAACGCAAACCAGTAGTTGAATTTGTACTTTTTGAGATCTGCGAAACTGAGGACCAAGAAGGAGGCCAGGAGACTCGGGCACGAGTAGATGGTGCCGTCGTTGATGGCATCCCAGATGGTCTTGCCGGCCTGTTGAATCATTGCCAGCTTATCGATGTTGCGGTACTCTTCAATCGTGTTGACGTTTTTGATCATACCCTCTGCGCGGTAGAAGCCTGCGGGTACATCGTCGCTCGTCAGCGCATTGGCATGGATTTGCATGCGGCAGGAATGCTCCTTGTTGTCCGCGGGACGGATCTCATAGAGGCCCAGCAGTTTGCGGGCCGAGTCGTCGAGCTTGTCATGGTTGATCTTGTGCGACGCTAGGGAGGCGTAGAAAGGTATCTCGATGTCGGAGGCGAAAGGAACGTACTGCATTGTTCCGACCTGTGTGCGAGGCCCCTAATGAAGTCGACGAAGGTTGCTTTGGTTTTCCCCCTTCAGCATACACGAACAGAAACTCGATATGCCGGAGTGATGAGACTGTGCTTGTGTGGGAGAACAAAGCTCTGACCGGCAACAATTCGAATGTAAGGATGATGAAATGTCGGAAACTTGGTCAAGGTCAGCCTGGCTGGGATCATCAGATCATCTAGGCAGGACCATGTGGTGTCGTTGTGGCGGTGGTGGTGGAGCGGAGTGGCTGGGGCAAGCCATGTGTGAAGGAGGTTGCGAGGAGCCATACGAGGTACAAGCTGCAGGCCGGAATTCCTGCCCGGGGGTTGGACATCTGCTGCTGCTTTATGCCGAGGGGTTCTCTTTGGGTTAGACTGAGACCTGGTCATTCGGACGCGTCGCGGGGCAATGACCACTTTACGCGTTCTCAATATAGAAAGACAACCGCATCCTCCAACCGCAATAGCATCAAGAGTCAGCTCCACAAACCTTCCACCAGTTCAGGGGTTGAAAAGAGTTGCCTGGAGATCCCGCCCTGAAGAGAAGTCATCAGCGGCTTAATTATTCAACGCAACCCAGCTACTAGGGGGAAAACAGAGAAATCCATCGAGGGATCAAGTCGAGTCACACAGCCTTGCCCCAAAACTCCCTTCTTCTTACGAGAGCACGACAATGCTTGTCGGCATCTGCGGCGCCATTTGCTCTGGGAAACATACCACGGCCGAGTACCTGGTCCAACACCACGGGTTCCTTCGCCTGCACCTCCCCACGCCACAGCAATTCCAACCATCACAATCGACGTCCGCATCGCACGATCTCTCGCCAGATCACCTCCGGCTCCTGCCCAGCGTCACCGACCAGATCGGCACGCGGGGCCTCTCATTCCCGGACGTTGAGTCTCTCCTAGACTTTGTCACCAGGAGATGGCGCGAACACTGGGTCCTGACGGACATCTACGATGAAACGACGCTGGAGATCCTGCTGAGGCGGCCGTTCTTCATGCTACTGAACGTGGATGCGCCCTTGGGGACGAGGTTTGAGCGGTTCAACGAGCGGTATGTTTGTGATTTCTGATCTATGCTTTCTGTCATTTCCGAGTATCTTTCTGGGTGTTTGCTTTGGATAGCCCAGACTGCTTTCGTTCTGGTTTCGGTGTTCTGTTCATTTTCCAGCAAAAACAGTTGGATAGAGCCCCTGTTTTCGGTTTTTTCCGTTTCGACCTTCTCTTTTTCCTTATTCATCAGAGAACATAAAAACGAATGTGACGGCAGAACGAGGGCGGAACTAATCCTATTCTGTACGTGCCATGTATAACAGGTGTCAAAAACGCCAACTGCCACCAATGTCCCTGGCGGACTTTATCTTCTACAATGACCTCAAGCTGTACGGGTCTCGTGCCCAGCCAGACTTGGTTTCTTTCAGTGATGTCGATTCTCGCGACTCGCACGCCTCAGCATCCACGAGGACGACGTATGATGCGGTTGACGAGAACGACGATCAACCTCCAAACCATTCACCAGCCAAGACAGCGCTTCTCCCTCTGCTGTCACACGCTCACTTGTCTATTCTCAACTCCTTTCCGAGTATCTCGACATAGTAAGTTCTTCCTCCATAATATGGCCGTCCCCCTAGATTCATTGGATCTCCCATTTCCCGCACCTCCATAACCCAAACACCAAAAACCAAATCCCAAGAACTCAAGCGATTGAAAACCAAAACTAAAATTACCCTCTCTCTATCTCTCGGGGAAAACCACAGCCACGCATTCCTCTCCACGCTCGATCTCGCATCGCCCCTCCGTCTCCGCCCGACATGGGACGCGTATTTTATGACGCTGGCCTCGCTGGCCGCGCACCGGAGCAACTGCATGAAACGGCGGGTCGGGTGCGTGCTGGTGCACAACGCCCGGATCATCAGCACGGGGTACAACGGCACGCCTCGGGGGTTAGTGAATTGCAATGAGGGCGGGTGCGCGCGGTGCAACGGGTCCGGTAACGCCGGCGGCGTCGCCCTCAACACGTGCCTGTGCCTGCACGCCGAGGAGAACGCGCTGCTCGAGGCCGGCCGCGAGCGCATCCGCGACGGCGCCGTCCTCTACTGCGACACGTGCCCGTGTCTGACCTGCTCCGTCAAGATCGCCCAGGTCGGCGTCAAGGAGGTCGTCTACTCACAGAGCTACAACATGGATGACGCATCCCGCAAGGTTTTGCGCGACGCCGGCGTCTTGCTCAGGCAGTTCATCCCTAAGAGGAGCGGGCTCGTGGGCTTTGACCTTGACGGGATAAACATGGACGGGTTGTTCGATGAGTCTCTCGGGAGTGAAGGAGGAAAAGGAAAAGAAATGGTCTTCTTGAATGGTAAAAGGTCATGAATGACCCTCTAACAAAAAGCGAAAAGTGTGATTATATTGTACGAGGATCAGTAGAGGTTCAGCGTACACGTATAACAACGTACAGAGGCCTGTCCAGCAGGTCGGTCGTCGTATATGATTTAGACTTGTGGGGAGGCCAAATGCCAGTGCTACATGAATTTTACGTATCAATGGCAGGAGCGATAGTCGTCTGACGAACATTTTATTTACGGGCAGCAGACCAATGAGTCGAGCGTCATGCAAAACAGCATCCTTGCAATGGCTTCGTCGATCCTAGCCAGGTATAAACTCTCACGTGTTCCGACAGACAGTGCCTACCTCTGACATATTTCATTTAGAGTGCAACCCCGAGTACAAAGAAGCTCAAGGGCAGAGATTCGGGGAAGGAGACGTGAAGCATGTTGGTTCATCCTCCTGGCTGGCTTTTGAACCAATCCAGCACCCCACGAATGGTGTCTGTATAGAAGAATTTGAATTCGTACTCCGACCATCCTGGGCACGGATACGTCAAGGCGCACGAGAGGTCGACCATCTTCGATCCTCTAAAGTTCTCGGGCCGAAGATCTTGTGGCAATATTTTCAGTTCCTTGGGGATCACAAAATTCTCGAGAATTTCTGGAACATGAGAAGCATTTGTCGGGATTGGCCCGTATTCTTTGACGATGACCCAACGGCTCAGGTCATGGCTACTCAAGCCAGAAGTAGTAACAATATCGTTAATCATGTTGAATTGGGTATCTGATAACTTCATCCATCCATAACACCGGATAGCCCAATTGCCATTTTGATTGCTTGAGTCCAGTCGAGCAAATGCCTGACTCTCGTACGCGAGCGGCGTGATGTAGATAGCATCTTCATATGAGTAGAAGCGAGGACCGGGTTGCTTCCATTTATAGAACTGCGCAACATGTGAGACAAGTTCTGGTTTGTGATAGTCAACTCATTCTCACCACTTTCAACACATATGGGGTATCCTTTATCGTGGCCAGACACACAACCCCGTGAATTCCGCTACCGAGCAGGCGAGGGTTCTGGATTCTCTCTTGGCTATGGACAAAGCGCCGTAATTTGTCCCCAGTACTTTCATTCTTTTCGGAAGAGAGGAATGCATCTTCCGAGAGATAAGTGCCAATGATATTGTCCCCCATTAATTCAGCATATCTGTCCCTTTTCGCCACCTCCTTGTCCACACGTGTTGGTGTTCTCATTGTGGGCGTCGATCAGTAGTCATTATGGAGACGAATATGCGACGTCAAGCGGAGGAAACCGTTCTGGTAGGGTGCTGCTCGAAAATTTAGGGATGCAGACAGAAGGGACTCGACGGCGGCAATGAGAGGGAATGACGGTTTGGATTTCGCATTGATGAAGAGCGTTGCTCAAGAATGTACGGCTCGGTGACAACGCTGAAGTCAGAATTCCAGAGTTTGTTAGGCGCGGGCATCGCCTGCCAGTGGACGCGTTAAGAAGGAAGGTCGAGCGATTTGTCTCAACAGGATCGGTTACGTTGTTTTATGAGGCTGCCTCTATATAGTCACGCGACGTGACTATACTATCCTTTCTCGCCCCATTCAGCCCATTATAATATATATTATTTCAACAAGGAATATACGCTGGTGGGTATCAAATTATTACCGACTTAACAAGGCCTGAACAAAGATGAGAACCCCTACATTCACCCCAGGACAATCACAACAATCATCCTACTTTCCCGCGGTTTTCTTGTCTTCCAACGAGTTTGAACCGAGCTCGGGGTTGAAGGCGCCAGCCGAAGACGGTGTGGCGGCAGAAGTGGCGCTCGTTGGCTGCGCAGTCTTGGGTGTTGATGCACTTGTTGGTCCGCTGATCACGCCCTGCGTCTGGTTCTCTTCCATCCTAGTGGTGATGGGGGTAATATTGCGGGACTCTGTCGGGCTCGTGGGTAGGCTGTTGGATGAATTGGCGAAACTGGCAATGATTGTGTGCCATTGCTGCGCGTCCGAGTTGGTGAGCGCTTTGAACTGGAAATCTGAAGTAATGGCCATCTTCTGTCCCAATTTACTACCCGAAGAATCTTTCCCTTTGATCGTAAACTTCTGCCCGTCCACAGCCCCGATGATGCAGTCCGGGAGGTACAACGAGTGCTCGGGATTCGGGTCTTTCTGAAAGTTGTCATTGTCTTTGTACTCGTGCAGATAACCGGCTGGAGTGACAGCATAGTAACCACTGCTGTAGCCTTTGAGAGCACCCATCCCACGAGATTTGCGCTCTAGGGTGCCTTCGACGAGCGGCTTGGTAGAACGATGCTTGTCGTTGGGAAACGACACAGCATCCATCGTCCTCGGTGGGGCATTCGGGTTGACCAGGATGTGCTGGTTTCGTTTGGTGAATCCATTCCATTCAAAGTCCAGCGGGATATTGCTTGCGGTGGAGGCAATGTCGCCAAACATGGCCTTTTGTCGGTCTGCCTGGCCGCTCATAAATTGGTTATACTGGTTCAGCGCAGTCTGCACCGTCTGCACGACGTACGTCTCAAACTTGGCAAAGGAGTTCTGGACCGCAATCAGATCTTGTCTGTTGTTGTTCTCTTCTAGCAACTGTTTGTTGAGTCGATACAGAGTTCCTCGCCTGACCACGTAAGGGTCATGTTGTGCAGACACCCTGCCCCCAGAGGAGTCGAAATGCGCAGCCTGTTGGCCCAGCAGCTCAATGTGCTTTTGTGAATGAGAGCGCGCCGACTCAACAGCCTTGGTCCCTTTCCCCGTGCCGTTGGAGATTTCTTTGTGCTTGTTCTTGATCTCGGCGTGCAAACGTTCGAGGATGGGAAGCACTGATCCCGTGAGGTTCTTGGAGGTCTCGGTGTGCAGATTGATTTGCCCCTGGGTGTTGGCCCGCAAGTTCTCAAACAAACCAGCGACGCCGCCCAACGCGGGATCGAAGTGATGGGCCTCACGGAGAGGAGTCGACAGTGTCTTCAAGACTTTCTCTTGTTCTTTGGCCCGACCGGCCTGCTCCTTTGCAACCGCAGAGATGTAGTTCTCGAGATAGCCACACATGTGTTTCCAGGCCTGCAACCGCTCGACCAACAGGCCGGCGGTGCTTGAAGGGTCTCCCTCGGTCACGACGTCATCATCGGAATCATTAGCAGTTCTGGCCCTCGTGGGCAGTGGAGGAGCAGCCATAACGAAGCAATAATCGGGAGGAGGAGTATGGTACTACGATACTGCCATGACAGTTAGAACAACGATGGTTGGGAATAAGTGCACTGGATGCAATGCTAACGCAGAGAAAATAGATGCTTCGGGTTGCAAGTACTGAATGCAGTTCAGGGGTTAAGGGAGGGTTGTTGGCATCTGCGCTTTCAGGGTGCGCCGAGAGCTGAAAGCTTTAGAGCGGAGACCTGAGCAGCTGAAAGCTGGTGAATGGGAGATGGGAGCTGAGGGCTGGTGAGGCGCAGCTTCCGAGCTCAACAGCTATAATGAAATGAGGTGTTTTGAGAAGCGTCAGTGAGAAAAGCACCAGAGTAGTTCCAACAAGCCGATCCGGATCAATTGGGCAGAATGAAGCCGGGTGTGAAGCACATCTGAAGATTCCTTTTTGTTGCAGCAGCTTTTCACCTTCGCTTTCGCTTTCAACCTCCGCTTCACTTTGACTTTTGACTTTTGACTTTCTACCGGGTTTCACGCCATCGACGCGTGGTGACGCCACAACCACCAACGCGACGTCATGGATCAACACTTTGATATACAGATTCACCCCGACGGTTACACAAACAACAAATTACTGCGTGGTGATGGTGTCTGTCAATCTCATGCAAGGATCTTTGTACATACAGGTCTAGACCTGCTTTGACATGGGAAATATATAGAATACAGGTAATAACGAAGCACCCCCATCTCATTACTCCAACCCGCCAACCAAATATACAACTCGCTTGCTCAAATGCCCAAGACATCCAAAACTCACAATGACTGCAAACATCTCCCGACAATCAACCTCCCACAGCCTTGGATAGATCCATTTCGCTGTCAGAGCCTGGTATCAGCGACCCCGGAGACACGCCCTCGGCATTCCATGCGGTTTGGCCCCAGATCTTGCCCGTCTCATCCACGTCCCAAATCCCATAGTTTGGCAGCGTGTTGATAAAGTACGCAAATTCGAGTTCGTCCTCGGGTCGCCAGAACTGACACTTGTCTGTCTTCACGTTGTACTCGTGCCAGCCTGGCTTGATGATGCGGCGGTCCCCGTGGTCCCCCATCTCGGGTATCCAGGACGCCACGTACGTGTCGTCTGCAAAGCCCTTCTCCATCGGTATGTACCGCGACGGATAGTCTTTGTATTTCGGATCGTCGAGGTCGACCCATTCGCCGCAGCACCGGTCGATGGAAGGCGCGCGGCTCCAGCAATTGGGTTCCGTCTGAATCAGATTGTTGAAGACCTTGGGAGGTCTGTCACAGAACAGCCGCCATTTGGCTAGGGCGGCAAGCGCATCCCGGGGACAGCTGTGCGTCGGCACCGGCATGGCGAGGTCGTAGACCTTGACCACACTGTCACACCCTTTCGCCCGACATCCGATGGTCATTTTGGAATATTGCGGAGACGTCCTCGAGGGTTCCTCGTCGTAATTGGTGGGGGTGGAATAAACGTCGCCGTCAGGTAGGTCGTACGCATCCGCCGGCAGGTCGTATGCGTCGGCAGGGAGGTCGTACACGTCTTCAGGATAGCCGTATTCATCGTATACATCTTCAGGATAGCCGTATGCATCGTATGCATCTTCAGGAAGGTCGTACGCATCGGAGGGCGCGCCATACATATCGCCAGGCATGGCACCCGCAGCTTCGGCACCAGCACCAGTTCCCATGGGAATACCGGTGATGACACCCGTCACATCACCCACCACACCGGCAATGTTCTTGGCCCCGTCGTTGTCCGGCTTGAACATGTCGATCGACGGCCCTGCGGCAATGGCCCTCGCCCTGATAGACTTGATGGTATTGACTGGGTGCGCCACCACTGTGATTGTGGCCAAGGCATAGAGACTCACGACGAGGAGTGATCTGATAGTCATGGTGTTCTTGGAAGCGTGTGAGTCTATTCTGTGCTGTGCTGTTTCTATTCTGCTCAAGGTGGATTTCGATGTTCATAGAGGAAAGGAAAAAACTGACGGTAAGTATTGTCTGACATATGATGGACTTGGTGGACGACCATGGTCTCATATATATCCCCAGAGCTGTCCCAGGAAGTCCTCGCGCAGAAGAAGGACGACATTGTAACTTGTGACCGGGGACTTGTGATCAAGGTCCTAATCGTCCTCAAGAGATAGGATCTGGTTAGCCAATAGAATCCAGAAACCCCTCAAAAAATGTGAATACGTGAATATGTGAACATGGGATATAGTTGGTGGTTCCTCGTGCCTGCGCTGAGCGGAGCGGAATAGAGTCTTTGATCTCCACCCGACCCGGTGGGTGGATGGAATATAGTTTGCGCAATGTCGGGGTGACCAATACTGGCCTTGTCCGTTGACAATCACAGTCAAGGTCCGTGTCAGAACAGTGCAAGGCATTAAGTAGGTGATTTGTCCAATAAGGTTTATTACAAAATATGACAGTGTACATGGAAGATATAGCTTATGGCTTAGAATTTGCGGTTGTTGTTGGCTTGGTAGGCCAGAGGACTCCCTAACTGTTGTTCCCCAGTGGGTTGTTCACTTCACTTCACTCCCAAGATCCAAGAGTCAAGAGCCAAGTGACAAGACAGTCCTCTTCATCTTTCAACGAACCACATCCTTCTCTTCCGCGTCGGGCAAACTCTGTTCGTCGCCCAGTTTAGGATCGCGGAGACAGAGGGCAAACCCGATCAGAAGCGTGCAGAGGCAGATACCCGTGATACAGAGCAACCTCTGTGCGTGCTGATATGCGTCGATGATGGCTGTCCGCACCGGTGTGCCGATGGGGTATTCGATTTCAATCGAGAAGGGGTCAGCGTACGTCAAAGCGGCCAAAGTCGAGTTGCCAAGTGGTGCCAATCTCTCTTCGAGCGCCCCTGGCAACACGTTGGTCCAGATTGTGCCCGAGATCGCACCTCCAAAAGCGGACCCGATGTTATAGGTGGCCAGATACAGGCCAGTGATGACGGCAACATGTTCGTGTTTGGTTGCGGCTTGGATCGAGGCCTGGGCTGGGTATGGGAACAAACCTCCGGCAAATCCCAAGAGGACCTGTGCACCAATGACACCCGACTGGCCGGAGGAGTTGGCAGACCCGCGGTAGTGAATCAGAAGCCCAAACGCAACCATGAACAGACAAGTTCCAGCCACGATGAACCACTTCAGGCGTCTGACCTTGTAGACCACCATACCCAGGAGGAAGCCGGCGATGACAGAGGTAAAGCTGTACAAGGAGGTGATACGCGTAGCACCCATGATGCTGAAATCAAAGGCGACGACCAGGACGGTGTAGAGATAGTCGGCTTGCATGTACCAGGCAAAATTCAAGGTGCATGCAATCCCTAGCGCACCCCAGACGCCGCGATCTTTCAGGAGGTGGAAGGGCACAAGTGGTCGAGGTGCTCTGAGTTCCCATACGATAAAAGCCGGGACACAGAGAATTCCAATGACAAGAGGCGCAATGACACGGGCGGTCCCCCATGCAGACGTCGAGCCTCCCGCAATGGTCAAAGGAACAAGAATGAGAGCGAAGACGGCGATCAATAAGATGATCCCGATGACGTCGAGTGTCCAAAAGAGGTCCACCACCAGTCTCCTCGCGCCCAGCATCTGGTAGGGTGTTTTGTATTTTTCCAATACTCCTGCTTTGCGAGCACGCCGACTAACCAAGTAGAGAGAGATCATGAGCGGCAGCGCACACACGGGATAGATGATGCACCACATGCCAATGCCCCATTTCCACGTGGTCGCACCCAGCACCGATTGAGTGATGTTGCCGCTCACCCAGGTGTTGATGACGAATGGCAGTGCGGGAATGTAGCTGAAGAACAATCGTGCTCGCAGGGAGGTGATGTCGGCAATAATCACCTCCACCAACAAGATGACGCAAGTGTAGCCGATCTGATAGAGAACAGAGCCTCCGGCGAAAGCGTCGACGTTGGTCGCACAGGCTTCAATGATAGATCCCAGGACGTAGAAGACCACGCTGACGAAGACGAGCTCCAGACGGCCAAAGACATCGGCAATTTTGGCAGCGGTCGGCTGGGCAGCGGCGGCGATGACGGCACGGAGCGTGTTGATTGTGGCCAGCAGGGAATGATGGCCCATGGATGCTGTGGCAGTGGTCTGGTATGTATACCGAGTAATGCCATCCAGTCCATAGGCGTAGGCAATGAGAAAGACGCCAATGAAGAGGAATACACGATCGGTCCGGGTGAGGACTTCATTGATGGCCTCGATCCTCACCACACCAGGCGACTTCTCTGCCTCCACGATAGAACTGCGTCGACGAGGCTGTTCCACGGCCGAATGGGGCACACTATCTTCGGCAACCTTGGGGCTGGACGGCATGTCCCTAGCCTTGGGGTGAGACTCGTCCGAGAACGACATGATGAAAAAGAAACTGTGATCCTGCTTAGGCTTCTGTCAATGCGTCCACAGTCAAGGAGACCATCCAATACAAAAAACCACAGGAGGGGAAGACGGAACTGCTTGTCTAGTTATAGGTGTACTTGAGACATGAGGCGAGGGCGTCACACGGCGACACCGACTGGAGTTACCTTGGAGTTGAACTTCAAAGTTTTCCACCCCCCCTTGGCAACAATAAGTCGAGCATCATTAGTGATCTCCAGCTAGGTGACACTGGAGACGCAAAAAGTCATATCGGGACATTTTTCGTGCAGGGGACTTGGTCTTTGATCTGTGAGGCAATGGGTGGGGGTTGAAGTCGACGCTATGGCCGCTATGGAAAAGCCATTGGACAAAGTAACATCATCTAATCTGATCATCAGATAAAAATTTTCAAAGCGGGGCGGGAAGAGCGGCATTTTAGGACGGGCTATCAGCTCTAGTCCAGGGTACCAGGGTTGCCAAGAACAGGGCCGAGAGGATGATTTCATTTGGTGTTGTTGGCGAACAGGGGGATACCAGCTTGTCGCTCTCGCGGGGGGTGGGTGATGTGCCTCTTGGAGTAGTTGGCTGGACCTTGGTGACCTTGCCATGCAAAAACCCAGAATCTAATCGGTGATCCAAGGATCTAATCAGATGCCGGATCCTCTTGCCCCCTGGTAAGCAGGCAAGCAGGTCTGACAGTGTCCCACTGTTTGTCAAATCAACTTTGCAGAACTGAGTAGCGAGTAGTGGTGGCTGGGAAGGTCGGCGTGTTGCAAGGACGTACAAGGTAGTTATATCCAGTGCCCAGCAAGTTCCGACTTGTGGTGCGGACCACTTGGCCAACAAAACAAAATAGTGCCTGTGCAGGGTTTGACACATAGCGTAGCATCCCTGTGAGTAGTATCGAGTAATATTGCCTTCCACTCTGCTCCGAAGTCGGCACATCGACCCACTTGGAGAGACCAAGGCGAACTACATGACCTGCCCTAGAAGCTGGGCTCCTCTGATCGCCGTCGCAATGTGCCAAGGGAGGCATTCGCTGTTGGGATCCACGCAGCCTCGAGTAGCGCCCAGAGTCACGAGGCCTCGATACTGCTTGATCAAATCTTCCAACAACTCGTCTGGTGGAGCCTCGCTCGATGCGTCCGATATGCGGGTCGTCGAGGTGACTAGGCTGAACTCAAGCATGTTGTACCCATCCTCTCCCTTGGTACCTCTACGTTTCATGAGATAACCCGTAAGTTGTGATGGTCGAATTTCGATGAGGCTCCTCGTCTGGTTAATTCCGTATGGAAGAATGACGCCCCAGCTTTCCTCAGAGGGATCCACCAATATGAGATCACTCTCGTTATTCGGATCAAACCCAGGGTCGGAAGGTGTAGGAGCATTCATAAAGGAACTTCCACCAGGCGTTGGAGTCGCTGGTACATTTTGTTCGGGAGACGTCATACTGCCCTGCGGTGTTGACGCAGGTGTCCCATAGAGATTCTGTGTCCCCGTCTGTGTACCTTTCCCTTGGGTGGATGGCGGGAAGATCTCTAACTCTGGGTCCAGTTGGACGGACAAAAGTACTAGCAGACATCGTTTCTGTGACGATGGGGAATTTTCGAAGAGCTGATGCCAGTCGAGAAGCTCTGTTTGCTCATAGTATCCGTGCCTTACGACCACTAGTCGCCATGGCCCGCGCATTTTGCTCATGAGGTCTTGCGAAATATCCCACATCTCTCGGAATATGCCATGACGGGACCTGATCTTCCCTGAGTGTCGAATGCGAAGACAATATGACATACTAAGTGCAACACACCCTGTCTCGTCTGTCCACGCCGCAGTAAGCCATCTGTTGTCTTGGCTGACGGAGTATGCGAGATGTAGACACGGCCCATGCTTCTCCAGAGGAGAGCAGTATGTTGGCGTCAGTTGTAAATACACCGAAGTTTCCGTTTTCGACAGCACAACGGCCGAGCTGCAAGCGGCTGGAGACACCGGAGGTTCTGGCGGTGGAATACGGTTGTAAATCTCAATGGCCAGGCGTATGTAGGCTGTTTGGGGAGGGATCACCAATGATTCCGCACTGGCGACAAAGTTTTTGGGAATGACTTGTAAAGCAATGTCGGACACTCCATGGTTGTCCGTTCGCGCCTCTCTGAATGATTCGAAGAGACTGAAGAAGGCAATACAGGCCTCCAGGTATGAATTCACGCTCTGATTTCTGCCAATCATACAGACAAGCACAGTACCCTTCACGTCGGAAGTAGTCGCAAGAGCTTTACCGACGAAATGGCATGTTTGAAGGAGGTTATGCTCACCCGTGTCATTCGAACCCCATGATACCAGTCCAGTATCTGTGACACCAGAGAGTCGACCGATCGTATGCGATCCCAGAGAACAGGAAGTGTAAGTTTCGGCGAGCCGCTGCAGCAGATTGAGACATCCCTCCGCCACATTACTTTGACTCGGATGGAGGCAAAAGACAGTCACGTCCTTTGGTCCATTTTCAGGTTGAAGATTCAACGAATCCCAGAAATTCAGAATAGAGATAGTGGCCGTAAGTGGTCGCTCCATACGACGAACGCGTATCTGGTCCGGCTGGATTCTTACAACCTTGCCCTGAACTCTGCCGTTGTTTTGTTCGGCTTTGAGGCTGGTAAGTTGAAACACATTCGAGGGTGTTGCAGAGGTGTTGATGCCGCTCAAATCAACACTTACATCCATGTGATCACGAGGCGGACGGTGCGTCTCCCTCGAATACTCTTTATGAGGTAGTAGGGTTGTCTGAGACATCTGCTCAACCAAAACGTGAGCGATTTGCAGGAGCGTCTGTGGGGATACTGGAGGAATTTTGCGAGGTTCGAGGTTGTCCAGCTGGAAGTCGGATGGCGCGGGAGGTTCTATCAAGCCAGGCCTTAAAGATCCTAGTATCTGTTGCACGTCCTGATAGAGCGTCAACTTGGCGACCTCGGGCTGGCGACTGGCAGCGTTTGGGGACGGAGGTTGATACTCTGTCCATTGTCTGAATGGCACATGGGCTGTACTTTGCCTGGACACAGGGTCTGCCGAATTGCTGGAACTAGTCATCAAACTGTCACTGTCTGATGAACTTGATGCAGGTCTCCGAAAGACCGGGCTCGGCTTTGGATAGCCCTCCATATTAGAAAGGATCGGCGTTGGATCGAACCAATAATCCCCGCCCGCGCCGTATCTACTGTCATGTGTTGACACGGACAGCAGTGAATATGGACCATCGTACAAACTTGAACGACGTCCACGCTCAGCACCAATTCTGGGTTCTCTGGCTGCCTCGGGCTGCCACAAAGGAGGACCTTGTTTTGACGAAGGTTGTGGTGTCTGCTTATTTTGCACCTGGGGAATGCTGGTCGGCTCTTCCATCTGCTCTTGGGATTGCTGCAACTTGGTATTTGCAGGTAGTTTAGGCGCGATATCAGAGCCCGTGCTATCGCCCTCCACAATAGATGGACCCCGAGAAGCGTCATTTTGACCAGCTATTCGATCGTGGGCTTCGGTGCCTGGCTGGGTCTCGCCACTCACCGCTGTCTCTTCGAGGCGTCCGTGGCTTGCAGAGCGTGCAGAGGTAGGATCTATCCCTGGACCATCGAAGAAATCCCAATTAGGCTCGTCGCCATTAGCTTCTGCGCCGAGATTATCATCCGGGTGTTCCTCGAACAAGTCTTCATCATAGTATGTCTGCAGCCCGCCTGTTGTTGGTTCGTCCTCGAAATCTGGCATGTCCTGGTCCTGCGGAAGAGGCCGTTCAGCAGTACTGCGAGGGAGATTTGCTGGAGTCATAGACATCCCATCAAAGGATGAGAAGCCCGGCGTGGGATGTGTCATTCCAACATCAGGCGGAGTCGGATATATTGTTTGGCCTGCCCCAAAGGCCGGAGGTCCAAACGGATGGAAATGCACTGGATCGTCAAATGCACCCTCATCAGCAAACAGTGGCTCATCGTCCTCATCAACCACCTTTTGCGGGTCGGCTTCAAGCTTTGATGCGTTGCCACCCATACCAAGAATCCAATCCCACACAAATTGCATTGGATCATGGTTCCCTTGAGGTTCCTTTGGCGTGACAGACTCTTCGACGGCAAAGACAAAACAAAGGTCTACGGGCCAAAAGATTGTTTTCCAAGTAACCGAGTCGCACTTAATACTCTCGGGACTTGGATTATCTTGCTGATTTTCGTTGTACGCGTGATCGACCTCCTCTACAGGTACTTCGATCTCAATCCAGTCAGCTTCCACTGCATCGATACTGGTGTTCATATGTTCCTTGAGCCAAGTCGGTAGCACCTCTCTCCAAATCTCTCTTCGCGCATCAGAAAGCGGTGTCTCGTCATTGGCCGCGTTGCCAGACGTGCCAGCAAACCTTTTGTGAGCGAGGATTTTTGATCGCGTTGACCGCGCAATTCGCGCAATGGGTGCGAGGTATATGGCAGTTGCTTCGGACTGTGTGTGATCGTTCCAGTTCGGCGTGGCAGCACAGTCCGGAATACGCAAGAAGGAGAAGGCGCCATCTTTTGCGATTGTCAGTATGATATGACCGCTTGAAACAACCTGTAGATCGATACGATAGAGGAGCCATTTCTTGACCCTGTCGAGTTGACGAACATCAGCAACCGACGGGGACTGCTCGACTAGATATAAATTGGCACCCAATGGCTGAATATCAGTCTCGCCATTGGGGACAAACTTGATGCTGGACACAATCGCAGTAAGAAATAGTCGGTAGAGCCGAGAGTGCTCTGGTTTCAGCAGGTCGGGAAGGCGGGCAGCGGTCTTGTAGGCGATCGTACAAGTATTGCTCCGCAGGACGTAACCAAACTTCAACAGTAGGGTTTTTTGGTCTTTCGGAGCAGTAATGTCCACCTTCTTGTAGAAGGTGAAGAGTTGACGAGCTTCGACATCTAGCGCAGCAAGAATGGATGCTTCTCGAAACTGACGCTCAGTCCTCCGGAGTCGAGCAAGAGTATTCTCTACACTACTGACAACCTGGGACGGGTCCTGCGTGGGCGGAGTTGCCACTGTGCAAACAATATAGGCTATCTCGCCAAAATCGTTCTTGACAGCCATTAGTTTCACTGGGTATGAAACCCGTTGTATTTTCCGCGACTCACAAGAGTGTAGACATTGGTGGAACAGTTACTTGGGAACTCCAATGTGGTATTCATGTCGTCAACCGTTGGGTGGGATAAGGGCTGCTCGTAGGGAACAGCAAGACAATATAAATTGTTCAAGTTTTAGGTGCATTGCACGAGTGTCTTCCAGCATGCGAAATGGTTGGTCGTTCCAAAAACCCTCGAGGCTATGAGGGCGATATTGCCACGGTGCGTCGGCTGACTTGGTAAGATGACCTGAGTCGGAGCCGATAGACTTCAAAGGCTGGATCTCACAGGTTTGCGCAGAATAACGGTCCCTTTTTCGAAGTGAGACAGCAAGATATGGAAGGAGTGGAAGAGACCAGCTCTACTGTAACATGGGTCAAGAGGTTCGTCGTTGAAGGACCAGCACGGGAAGACTTCGATCGCCGAGCACGTGATAGCCCCAAAGTCTTGGCGTGGACTTCGCGTGACCCGCTTCTTGGAGATTTCAAGCCGACCCAAAAAAAAGTTGAAGTGCCACCAGGTATGAAAGTGAAGCCCCAGTTTTGCCATTTAGCAGTCAGTCAACTAACAAGAAGCAGGTTGACATGTCTGCGTTACCTATGGTTTGGGATTGACATGCGAAACTCGCTTCTCCTACGAGCCCAGCATGAGACTAACCAACAGCACCGTTCCAGTCTATACGGTGTCTGGCTCCTCGACCTCTCGCAGCCTCCCGGAAGGGCTTTCGCAACAGCAGAAGCGAAAAAAGGACCCCGAATATGCCAACCGCGTCGAGCTGCTACAAGACTTTGAATTCGAGGAAGCCAGTCAATGCGTACGGGTCAGCGAAGATGGCGAATGGGTCATGAGCACGGGAACATATAAGCCACAAATCCATACTCATTACCTACCCAACCTCGCGCTTTCGTGGGCAAGACATACCAATACCTTGAACAAGACATTCATCTTCCTCTCCTCCGATTATTCCAAATCTGTTCATCTGCAAGAGGACCGCTCCCTGGAGTTTCATACACCTAGTGGATGTCATGATTCGCTACGAATACCGCGGTACGGTCGTGACCTTGCGTATGACCGGAGCAGCACCGAATTGCTGGTTCCAGCCGTTGGGGTGAATGCAAATGGAATGGGAGAGGTGTTCAGGATTAATCTTGAGCTGGGAAGATTCATGAATGAGTTTGAGGTGGACGTTGGAGGTGACGACATGAACTCAATAGGCGGTGGTGCTTTACAAGGAGGCATCAGAGCTGGCAGTGTCAACGTCGCTGCAGTCGCAGAAGGCAGCCACAACCTGTTGGCATTTGGCACGTCACTAGGCACGGTCGAGTATTGGGATACGCGATCTAGAGCTCGTGTGGCTACCCTTGGTGTGCCTGCCGACTTTGAAGGGCGGCCGCAGGTGACAGCTCTCGACTTCCATCGTTCTGGCATCAGCATGGCCGTTGGAACTTCATCTGGACTCATCTACCTCTACGATCTACGATCCTCACTTCCGACTTTGAAGAAGGACCAAGGCTACGGTTACCCAATCCAGTATATACAGTTCTTGACGCAGGGTGTCAAGACCCGAGATTCCATTGGAGAGCCTAAAGTCGCCTCAGCAGACCGACGGATATTGAAGCTCTGGGACGAGCGGGACGGAACACCTTGGACGTCGGTAGAGCCAGCGGTGGACATTAACTGCGTTGCTTGGTGCAAAGATAGTGGGATGTTTCTGACGGCCAACGAAGGTCGACAACAACATGCATTCTTTATTCCACAGCTTGGGCCGGCCCCCAAGTGGTGTTCATTCCTGGACAATGTCGTCGAGGAGATGACCGAGGATCCAAATGATCCGTACGCGTTCTCAAAGTCAAAGATAGGGGAGGTGTACGACAACTACAAATTCCTTACGCCGCCTCAACTCCGCATGCTCAACTTGGATCACCTCGTGGGCAAGACGAATCTCCTCCGACCATACATGCATGGCTTCTTCGTAGCTCAGGGATTGTATGAGGAAGCCAAACTGATTGCAAATCCGACGACCTGGGAAGAGGAGCGAGCGAAGCGGGTTCAAGCGAAGATCGACAAAGAACGCGAGAGCAGAATCCGTGGCAAGAAGAAAATCAGTGTCAAAGTCAACCGGAAGATGGTAGAACGAATACTTGAACGCGAAGAAAAGAATGAACGACGTCGCGCTCAAAGGGTATTGGCACAAGGAGGTGATGAGGCTGCGGCTGCGGAGGCCACCAAGGTTCTCTCTGCTCAAGATGAAGAGAAAGGTCTCCTTGCAGATTCACGTTTCGCCAAACTCTTCCAAGATGAGGATTTCGCAGTGGATGAGACTTCCAGAGAGTTTCAGCAACTCAACGCTAGCACCAAGGTGGCTGCATTGGATCACGACCGAGAAAAGGGTCTGACCGCTGTCGAAGAGGAAGCGATCGACGAAGTTCCTGGGTCGAGTGACGAGGATCAGACAGATGAAGATGATGGGCCCTTTAGATACAAAACAACAGATCGAATATCGACTGCCGATTACAGACGCCACTCGGGCAAGAAACAGAAGAAGAGGGGCGATCAAATTCAGATGCGGGTCACGTCTTCTAAGTCGAATAACGCTGCAAGAACATCACACGATCGCTCATTTGGCTCTCGAGCTGAAAGCTTCCGGCCAGTCGAACGGGCCAAACGAAGAATTGGTTTTGGCGAGGCTGTCGGTGACAAGGTCATATCTTTTGATCCGACCAAGAAGCCAAAACGTACCAACAGTACTAATGGCGGCGTTACAAAAGCATCGAGAGGTCAAGATCGAAGAAGTGCATCAGGGAATACGTTCAGGAAAATGTGATGCCCCTGAGTCTTGAGAGAGGTCAAGAAATGGACTGAGGTAATCGTGTGGTAGGCTTGGTGATCAGGCCCAAGTATCCATGGCATCGATTATTTTGCCAGACTGAGTTACGGCACCAAAGATACCCCCCTCCATTTTGACGGAATCTAATGCGAATTGATGCAGCTTGGGGGTAGCTGCAGCTGTGGCGTCTTCTAGGACGAGGCAGTCAAAGCCGCGGTCATTCGCTTCCCTCATGGTGGTGGAAACACAGACATCTGTCGTTACTCCCGTCAGAATCAAGTTCCTGATGCCACGAAGCCGCAGGATATGCTCAAAATCCGTATGAGCAAATGCCCCTCTCCCAGGTTTATCGATAATGATCTCTTCGGGCAGCGGTCTGAGTTCGGGGATCACGTCGTGACCCTTTTCTCCACGAATCAAGAATCTTCCCAATGGGCCGCTGTCACCAATACCCAGATGTCGAGGATTGTTGCGAGATCGAAATCGTTCGCGACTTGACAAGGTGGAGAGGTCTGGCCTGTGACCTACAGGAGTCTCAGCAAAGCATTCTGATGACCGCGTGATGTCAGCCTCAAACCTTCCCGAGTGAAGAAGACTGGGAATGAGCCTTTTCGTGCGGTAGAAAGAAGGGCTTGAATGGCTGGGATGATGGCACGAGCGTCTGCCACATCGTATCCTTGACAGTCAAAGTACCCGCCCACTTCACAGACTGCAGAGGACGAGTATCAGCGCGCCAGTCCAAGCATCTTGCTAAGCAGTCAGCCTACAGTCCCGCTGCATGTCGATAATAACCAGGGCGGTCGTTTCCGGCGACAGGGAAGCATCGTGTGGATACAGGTAGGGGTCTGCGTGGACCTGGTCCAGGTGAGAGACTTCTTGAACCATTGGAAGTGAGGCGGTGGTATCAGATAACAGGAGCAGTAGAGATTGACAGTCTACAGGAGGATTAAGAATAGAATGAGAAAAACCTTGTGGAGGCATTGAGCGGAAGAGCAATTGCCAAGACACACCTCTTGTGATCACGTGTTTCTGTGCACTTGTACTTCCACGACTACAAGTCTTCTTCCTGGATGTGGATGTGCATGCAGTGCTAGACCCCGTTCGGCGGCATGAAGAAGAAGACCGGAAGGACCCAGAATACGTACCTCGTACAAACAGAGGAACCCGAAGATAAAGTCAATCGGAGAATTTCTGTGCACGAGGTCATGGATAGGCTCCCCTTGGCAGTCGGCTGTTGCCAGTGCAGGGCCCCGTCAGCCCAGTGCGTGTCCAGTGCATCTCCCAACCCCCCGGCCTAGTGCCGCCTAGTGCGCGGTAACCCGTTGTTTGTCGTTAGACGTGCCTGCGTTTATTTGCCTGCCCCTTCTATCAACTCTGATACAACAAAAACGGCGATTCCACTGCCTCCTCGCAGGGAACGTCAGCCCAGCGCAGGCTCACCCCGTGAATACTAACCATAGCAGCAGGCAGCAGCAATAGCGACAATACGCCCCTCAGATATCTGCGCGAACGACAGATATCTCGACGACAACAACCGAACCGACCCAACCTCACCGCCCGACACCCGCGTCGCATCAATCGGAAACCAGCAACAGGCCACCACCAAATATCCAAAAGAGTCACCTCGACAGGTAGAATCGCGCAGCCATCGATAAACGACTCCGTCAACCAACACAACGACACTAAGCGACAATAACCAGGCAGCCGAACGACCCCACCAACAAAGGCCAAGATGCCACATACAGACACGGTCCCTTCGTCACCCCCTGGACCGAGCTCCTCTTTGGAAGAGTCACTGAGATACTACAAAGCACAATACGAATTGCTAGAAGCGGAGCTTGCAGACTTCCAGGCTTCCAGTAAAGACCTGGAAGCGGAACTTGAACGTGATATCGATGCGTCAGAGAAACGTGAGCGCCAACTCAAAGAGAGAGCGGCCAATCTCCAGTATGAGGTTGAGGAATGGAAGACCAAATACAAGCAGTCCAAGACCGAAGCGTCCAATGTTCAAAACACACTGCAAAAGGAGATTAGAGAACTCCGAGAGACCAACCGGGAGCTAAATCTGCGCCTTCGCGATACCGAGGTCGCCAATGACGACTACGAGCGCAAGCAACGAAACACAGAGTCGTCCCTTGAAGATTTGGAACAGAAATATAATCAGACTATCGAACGGAGCGTCATGCTGGAGGAAGAACTCCGCTCCGGGGAACAAGAAAGAGAAGCGCTGCGAATCGAAGCGCAAAGACTGCGCGACGAACTCTCCGACTTGAAGATCGAGACCGACATCACCAAAGAGAAGCTGCAAAAGGCCGTGGACCAACTAGCCCGCCGGGAACAGCACCTCTCATTGCAGCCCATTGCCGTGTCTGCTTCTCCGCGCTCAGAGCTGTCCCCGACGACAACGAATGCTTCTTCGCCTACCTTCGACACCCCTCCACCGAAGGCAGGTTCCTCCTCTGGATTGTCAGACACCCCAACTCCTCCATCCCCTCCAATCTCGGACAAGTCGGGTCAAGTCGCCAAACCTTTGGCAACACCAGGTATCCCCAGAAAACGACCGTCTCTGCCGACGTCTCGCCCATCTACTTCAGGATCCACCGCCCCGAAACCTGCCGGTCATGCTCGTGGCCCTTCAATAGCAGCATTGGCAAGGACAGCACCTTCGTCATCGTTTCGACAGAGCTTGTCGAGGCCCGGAAATGTACCGCAACGGCCGTCAGGGCTCCCTCAATCCGCATCTATCATCCATCTCAGAAATCTCCGCGGCAAAATCGCGACATTGGAAGAAAGGGTACAAACTGCTCGTTCAAAACTTCCGGCTCCTGTACGCACTCCGCCCCGATCTTCACCTCGAAGTGGTTCGGCACTCGGTAATCATAATCATATCCCTGCGTCTGTCACTGTCCGCAGTCGAAAACGGACGGGCGGCAGTACAATCAGCGGGAACGATTCTTTAGTGGAGAAGGTGCAAGAGACGCCGTCAGTTCCCAGAACGAAAGCAAGCCGAACCTCGTTAAATCAGCAACAATCTCCCACAAGAGCCGAATTTTCGATACCCAAACCCAAGACCAGCCGACCGTCACTAAACCAGCGGCCTTCTTCCCCGACCAGGGGCGACATGGCCGCCCCGCCTCTTCGCCCAGCTTCGCGAACGAGTGGGTTCACATCGGCACGGTCGTCTTTCGCGCCGTCACACAGCCGTCCAGGAAGCCGGGCGAGTGTCTCTGGCTTTCCCCGAGCGCCTCTGGGCAGTGGTATAGGGTCCAATTTCGCGCCCAATGCATCCACAGACCGAGTTCGGCCAAAAAGCAGCCTCAGTAATTATGGAAGCGGATACGATGGCACCATGGACGAAGAGAGCGAGAACAGTTTTGTTGGCGGGGACAATGAGAATGGAATTACCCCGACGCCCCGGCGCGCGACCTTTGCTCGAACACGTACTAGTGATGTGGGATCTAACATTCCCAGTCCGACCAAACGGGCCAGCATTGGTGGGACGGCGAAACTGCCCAAGCGACAGAGCATGGGCCTGCATGGGAATTTGACGGGGCCAGGCTTGAATAACGTACAGGAAGGGTACGATGTCAATGAGACTTTTTGAGTATGATTTGGTCCCGGACGGATTGTCCAGGTTTTGGATCGGCCGAGACACCTGCTGACATGCAGTTATGGTGATGATGGTATGAAACTTGAACAGCGTTGGAAACGAGCACAGAGATAGTCTTAGTGCCAGCCATTTGCGTGGCACATCAGATACAATGGGCACTCAAAGCTGATTATGATACCCTCGTTCGTTGCAATGACATTGAGTTGGAAAGTTGGGCATTGCTGAGGATCTGTTTGCGGGAGTCCCAGGTCCTTTGTCGGTGTGATGACCTCGTTCCCAATCCCCAATTCCCGGTTTCCGTCCTTGAACTCACCTCTTTACAGAGTATAGCCGGTCTTCTTGACCGCCCTCGTATATGCCTCGCGCTGCTTGATGCCGTGCAACCACCTCCGCACATTGGGCCAGTCGTGCGCCGCGCCGCCCTGGGCCCCCAGGTCCCGGGCGAAGATGAAGTCGACGCTGAATCCCATCATGATGTCCGCGGCCGAGATGCTGTCGCTATCGTGGTGGGCCACCACGCCTCTGGTATCGCCTTCGTCTCCGCCGCGCCTCACCAGGTACCGTCTCCCGTCTGCCAACTCGGATTCGAGCCAGTTGAGGTCGTTGTGGACGTTGGGGGCGAGACCCTGTTCCATTTCTGCGAGGTATGTGGAGGCAGCCTTGGGGAGGCGCCAGCGTGCGTAGAGGATCTGGGTCGTTCGAGTCATGGAGTCAGTATTGGGGGGATGGGGAGATGTGGACGGGACGACTCTTCATGGAGAATTGAGGTCCAAGAACGAGAGGGGGGGGAAAGAACAAATACATACCGCGAGAGCGTGGAGCATAAATGTCCCCTCGGCGGCGGCGACCCATTCCCTCACTTTTGCCCGGGCTTGTCGCTCTTGCGGGGGCGGGAGGAGACGGCCTTGGAGGTCGTATGTTTCGCAGAGATATCTACCATGACCGAATCACCGGCCAATGTCAGTCATCTGTCGGTCTTCATTTCCACGTGCGGCGGGCCATCCGAGAGGTCAGGCCGGGATTGTGTACCGACCGCACTGGTCCTTTCTCCTTCTTCCTTTCCTACCTCTGGTATGTCTGATACGGCACCGACCACTGACATCCGTTGGGGGCAAAACTCACTCGACAATCGCCGCGCTCTCCTGGACCACCAAATCCCCGTCCCTGATCACGGGGCTCTTGGCCATCCTCGTCGGGATCTGGCTCTTGAACTCGTCGGGCGCGAGGCCGTTGGACGCCCGCGGCGACGACACCAGGTGGTACGGCAGGTTGAGTTCCTCGAGGAGCCAAGCGATGCGGATGGCGCGCGAGGCGCCCAGGAAGAAGAGCGTGATGTCAGGGGTGGGCGTGTGGTCGGACATGGTTATAGGCGAGAAGAGATGGGGGTAAAGGTACCAAGGAAGATAACTAAAGAAAGGGAATGCTGGATGTCGATGTTGACCTCTGGTGGTGGTCACCGAAGGAAAAAGGTTTGTCGAGATGTATACGGTAACGAAGTACTCGGTACGGTATAGAGATGAGTTACCTCTACTGACCTCGTCTTTTCCTCAAACCCGCGATTCGTAGACGTCGATGAAGGCAGCTATACAAGTTGATGATTCAATGATCCAGCCTCACCTCGGAGGGGAAGAAGTATGAGGTAGGTACTGGGGTATACATGCCCCTGCCAGCCTGCCCACCTCGGTTCAATGGAGTCACAGAGTTTCCCCTTCTTTACCATGCCTTTGCCAATGATATTTTCCTCTCCTCCTCAAAATGACGTTGTTCTACGCAATGGCAACTGGAACAAATACTGCGGTGCATAGTTTCCTCCCCAATAGCTTCGTTTTCTTTGTATTATCTGACAAGCTGGACTTTTCCAGCACATGTTGAAGGGTTTGACGTCGCGAGAATGACTCTCTATTCCTCTCTCTGAGAAATGTCTCGACAATCCAGGGATTGAAAGAGTCATGAACGTCTAACATCTGAAAGAAGCATGTTGACGTCCCTGCTCCCTTCACCCGAGTTGGTGGCGACAGCTCGACATTTTGGGCAGGGTAGAACATGGAAGGAGGTGAAAGGCAACTGGCTGATGCAGTCACCACCCGGACAATACCTACCATACACGACTGTCGATATCAGATGTGACCCAGAGCCTAGGCGCAGTTTCTTGAATAACATGGCAGACTTGCAGACTTTACACATGCGTCGCCAGCATACCAGTCTGCACAGACAACGAATTGAGCATAGCTGTGGAATCACACAAAGAGTTTGATGCGCTGCCATGTTGCACACAAGTCGCATCTGGGTGCTGGCAAGTCTCGCCAATTGCCTCAACATGGTTACATACGCCGTGATCTTCGTCTCTGGCGGTTGTATGCAGAGAAAAACATGGTGGCCCGCTCCTCCTCTGGGTTTCCGTCACTCCATCACGCATCTCACCTTGGATCCAGTCCGGGCTGTGTGCTCACAAAAGCATTTGTCCAGTCCATCAGACCCGCCAGAGACTCGGAGAGGATGCTTTGGTGAGGCTCACGCAAGACACACATGTATGTCTCACGGCCCCGTCCACCCCATCTGTATACATGACCAGTCATGACTGTGTCGACGAGTTGGGCAATGGCGGCCGGCTATTATATGTATTATAGCGGACTCCTCCGGAAAAAAGCCTATAGGTACGGGTACGAGTAGGGTATGTACACTCACCATGTTTGTCGAGATGGGACCTCGATCCGACTCCAGTTCTGACATGGCTTCGGACACGTATTCTGGAGGATGAGACAACCAGAGTTGAGTCGTCATGGAGGATGGTCTCGTAAGAGCCGCACCATCTCTCCCCTAGAAGCCGTGTCTCACTCAATTTTTCGTAGGAGGTTGTGTATGTCTGGGTTACTATGTATCCGCCAGCAAGAAAAAAAAAGTCTATCCTCTTTTTCGATTACAAGTATGTACCTACGATACAAGTACATGTCATACAGAGAACGTCTCTTCCACCCACTTCTATCTATCTACTCATACATGCATGACCCGATTCGCTGACACGGTGGTGGTACAGTCCACCCCTCCCTCCCTCCCTTCTCTCCCCAAAACCTGTCTCGACCCTCCCGCTCAACAAAAGGACTTACCGGTTGATCTTTTTCTTACCAAGTAAGTACACAGAAGCGAAATCGGGATGGATGGATAGACGGAGGGACCAACGTCAGCCACGTGCGCATCCGCAGGACCATCAAATCCAGCTCCAGTTCCTGAATTTGACCCCGATCCGAGATCGCACGCACGCACACACCGCACAAAGCGTCGTCGGGCCAAATTTCTTCGGATTTTTTTCTTCGGTCTGTCTTATCTGTCTGTCTGCCCGCTCTTCGGAACCGAATCGTCTCTTTTCCGAGTCTTCGGCCTGGGTAAGGTGGTTGGTGGGGGCCAAAATCTCATCTCGCTCGGCTTCTTGTTTTTCGCTTTTGGCAGAAGAAAAGCTTTACGCTGGAACCGAGATGCGGAAAGAGGTAAGAAAAGAAAAGTAGCCGGCTCTTGGGAGGCTAGAGAGAGTTACTAGCAGGCCAAGGCCAAGGCCAAGCCCAGGGTCATTGGCATGCACACATGTTACTGAGGAGTGGGTGTGCGATCTGATCTGCCCAAGACAACCCACTGTGTCAAGAACATGGAAGAGTCACGACTCGGTCATATGCTTCTTCGTCTTCTACAGAAAACTTTTCCAGGGCGTCTATCCTCACACATACACACAGATCAACACACAGACCTGGATAGCCAAAGCGAGATACCTCAGAGCAGGTACTCTACTTGTGAGTCTATCTGCCGACTAACCCCAAGTACTTCCCTTTCTCTTCGCTTCCGCCCTTTCTCCCTTTACTTTTATTCTTCCTCGTCCTCTCCTCGTCAGTGATCCTCTCTAGTCATAATACTTGGCCTTGACACCCTTGATGATACTCTCCTCCTCAACGCCGACGCGGCTGACGTTCTTGGCCACCCGCGCCTTCACCCACTCGCCGGCGGTCAAGCCCACGGTGGCCGGGTCGAGGGCCTTGTCGTACCCGAGGCGCTCCAGCACGGGGCTGCCCTGGATGGGCACGAGCTCCGTCTTGTCCTCGGGCCGCACAAAGTACAGCACGCCGTGGCGGTCGACGTCGGCCTGGTCCGGCGGCGGCGCCACCACCCGGTGGATGCTCGACTTGAGGAACCCGTTGGTCAGGAATTGCAGCACGTCGGCGATGTTGACCGTGATGCTCTCCGGGTATGGCTTGACGTATTTCCACTCCCCTTCGGGTGTGCGCACCTGTAGGGCCGCCACGGGCTGTCTGTTCCACGGACACGAGAGTTTGTCAGTTGGGTGGTCCATCAGAAGAGAGAGAGAGAGAGAGAGAGAGAGAGAGAGAGAGAGAGAGAGAGAGAGAGCAGTGGTTAGGGATGTCTGATTCCCGTGTTCTCCTACAAAGACAAGAGAGTTGATTTCTTCCTTTGTGCTCGTCGCGACGTACCTGAAAAGTAGGGTCAAACTTCCAAAGTCGGTATGTCCCTTGACCCAGACATTATCCAGCTCCTTGTTGACCTCGGGCGACCGATGGCTGTTTGGAAACATGTCAATATCGGCTCTCAAATTTGATATACAGGGGCAGAGATTCTCAACGTACTGGTACTTCATGTATCGGAAGTGGCAGTCGCTCTTCTCGTCATAGCGGTGGAGGTTCAAAAAGTAGTCCTCGGGCAACTCCAGCACCAGGGCAAAGAGCACGAGCAGCTTGCGCACAATCTGGAAGTGGATGTGTTTGGCAAAGTACTGGATCTCGTCCCAGTGCTCCTGGATGATGGCCGGGTGCTCGCGCTCGTACTGCGCGATGAACTTGGGGATGTTGTAGATCTCGGTGTTGTCCTTGATGCCGTTCTTGATCTCGCGGATCCCCAGGGGCTTGTACCCGTTGTAGCCCCCGTTCTCGAGGTCGGCGCGGTACTTGATCTTTTCGTCGGTGGGGAGGTTGAAGACCTGCTTGCACAGGCTGAATTGGCGGTCCACCTCTTCCTGCGTGAGGCCAAAGTTGACGATGTAGAAGAAACCTATACAAGAACCATTCGGGCATCGGGTCGACCAGTGAGCCTTTCTTTTCCTTTCGCACTGGCAAAGGGGGGGTCATGCAACTAACCTATTCTGTTGACGGCATCAAAGAGCTGCGCAGCCAATTCTTGTTTACCTCCCGGCTGATCAAACTTGCTGAGGTCGAGGGTAACCAAGTCGGCCCAGTCCACTACAAATGTCGCAATTTGTCAGTGACACCATTCGACACAAGGCACAAGCCAAGCCGAGGGACATTGCTTGAGTTGGTGTTTCTTACATTCATGTTTCGTCTCCGGAACCTGGTTCCATTTGGGGAGGGACAAGAATGCCGGGCGGGTGATTGTCTCGGTTGCCATTTTGTAAGAGGGAGCCTGGTGTCTCTTGTCTTGTTGCCTACTCAAATATCTCAAAGGTACTTTGTACTTGGGTACGGAAAAGTGACAAGGGGGTCTCTCGATCAAGCATTCCCAAGTCACAAGCCTCGCAAGATAAACGAAACAGCCTGGATGATGCCATCCAGACCAAATATTGCTCAATGCGGGGTCGGGGGATACTTCGTTCTGATATTGACCTATCGCGATCCATGGTTGGGGACGGTCTCTCCAATTGCTTACATATAACATATAAAGATGCGTGAACACTCCATCTAGGATCAGCCAATAGCCTCGGGTTCGGCGAGGCAGAGATATCGCTGTCTACTCTCTATGGCCAGCAGTCAAAGGAACCAGACGGGCGCCACGAGAAGGCAGAGAAACCTGCCGCCCACGAAAAGAAAAAAAAAATACATAGACGGCACCGACGGCATGAACAGAGTTGTGTAGCCGCATAATGGACGAGTAATGGGATCGCGGGTGTTCCCAAGGCACAGGAATCGTTTTCGCATCTCTCCTGTAGTAGTCAGGAATCTCGGCATGATGGACACGGGCTTTCATTTTGACTTTGAGAGCCGAACAAGATGTCGAGACGTTCCGAGATTGTGCACAAATATTCGCTTCACATCTTCTTTGCGTAGTCCTTTCTCGAACCCAGACATCCCATTCTGCGATAAACCAGGAGTTCCGCGGGCTCAACGTTCGCTCGATTGCGACAGGTGTCACGGTGGAGTGGCTAAGCACTGTAGGCCTTCTAGCTGTCGCCCTTCGAAGATGTTTAGATCACCGTGAGGTATGGAAGGGGAGTGCTTTCGAGTCAGGGGAGAAAGACTTGTTCAGAATGGGAGGAATATGGTTGAGCGCGACGCTCGAAGCTTTTGCTTAGATGGCCAAGCGAGCAAACTCCTGCAGATGGGCTTAGCAATCGCTCCCAAGTAACTCACCTCGGCGTATGTTGATTCACACCGTTCTCCCACGGCACAGATAGCACAAATCTGACCAGAGACCGCAGTTTCGGAAACCTCTCTACCGCCACGGACCAGATCCACAAGTAGTCGAAAGCTTGTCAACAGTAGCACCGCTCTTTGGCAAAGATGCAATAAAGCCGCCAAGGCGGCGTTGATGTCCCCGGATTTGATTTTCTTGACACACGTTCTCTTTTCTCGGCTTCCGAGTCTCCCACAGGAAAGACAAATCTCTGTCTGTCCCCTCACTTCTCTGGTTCTGTTCGAAGATTAAAAAGGGGACAGGAGGTGTGCGTAGAGCTCAGGAGGAGGACAGGACTTTGTGCAACAGTTTACTACTTTGCCGTCTTCGACATTTTGTTGCCTCGAGCACGGGGATATCAAACGCCGATACAGCGGATCGGCAATACGCCGCTTTTGTAGCCTCATTTAATGTCATTGTTCCTGCATCTGTGATTAGTGGCCCTTGTTTGTCACTGCACCTTTGGATAGGCAGCGAAGATCATCCGCTCAGTGATAGTTGGTGAAGACGGTCGGTATACCGAATAGCAAGGATTTGCAGGCAGCTGCCAGGCGGCGTCCAGAAATATTAGGAGTACTTCCTGTTCTGGCGCTGACGCTCCGAGACATCAATCTCATCGACTTCTGTAGAAGTAGAGATGTGCACGCAAGGCGTCCTGCTCCAGGGGAATAGATCCTGAAGGGGAATCGACTAACGCTCCCCGCAGGAGATTAGTCTTCCTACGCCCGAAGGGAATAACGTCGAGAATCAGATGGTCGCCGGCCATCGGCCAAAGTCCCGTGAGAAGTAAAAGGCGCAATAGAATGAAGTCGAAAGTCCGCTGCCACGGGAAGAGAGCGTGGATTCGGTGTAGAGTTTGGTTACACCTGGTGAACGTATGGAGCACTCCGATGTGACTTGTCATTCGTTCATGACTGTATGATCCAACCGGTATACAGGAACAGGGACCGCGGGGAGGGTCTCGACGCACAACTCAGCAATAGTGTTGATCATCCACATGCGAGTAAGAGTAAGCCCGGTGGCAACCGACAATTCTGTACCCGGTAGAGGTGACTCTGCGATCGAGTACCGAGCCCGTCCACCTCTTGGTTGTGTAACCGGAACCAGGCAAAGCCCATCACAGAAAGCAACTAGATGCGTTGTAGGTAGACTTCTGTCCTCTTGTCTTCCCACGGGCTGTGGACGGCCTTGATGTGACTTGGCTCTCTAGCCGATGCACAGTTAAGCTTTTTTGAGCGGGTTTCTAGTTTCTTTGCGGGGATAACACACCGTCAGCTGGAAGAGGTCAGTATTGCCGCAAGGGGATGGGTAGTCTTACTGCTTTGGTAGGACAAAATGACGAAGCAAAAAGCCAGCAAAATGATGATGAGCTCAATTTCTGGCAGAATCCTTACGCATGGGTAATCGTACCCTGGAATAGAGCGTGGGCCAGGTCGCAACTCCTCGTACCCGTAACTCTGTTCGTATAGCCACAGCACGAGGCTGGACTCAGGTCATGACCCGTGGATTTGGGTAGTGACAACGAGGCCGGGGCAAGCCGGGGGGCAGTTGGTTTCGCTGGTCACAAAGAATCGTGGTTAAAAATAGGGCACGTGGAGCCTTCCTGGTGCTGTGACCCAATTACGAAGCGTAAGACGGTCAAGCTTCTGTGCCGAGACGGCTTGAGCAGGTCAAGCCTTTTTTAGCGCAGGCGTTCTTATACTCTGTTATGATTGGTCCAAATCCATATTACCTGTATACGGCGCAGTCCCCAGTCCCCGCAGCGCAGCCGCAGCATCTTTGGCTGGCAAAATTCCCTATTTCGAGCGCATCCTTTGTCATCCTCACCACCCCTCAACATCCAATGACCCTCAGATCTAGGTTCATCAGCACTAATCCTGTCTCGTCTATCGCAATCACCGCCATAGCCCGATCTGTGCAAGCGCTGACCAGCTGGGCAGTCCAGAAAATCTCTCGAGTCGGTTACACCACTCTGTGGCGCATCCTCTGTATTCGTACCTCGTGCTCCTGTGTCCCTGGATCTAGCTGCTAATGCCCAAGCTGACAGACATCACAGGTCCTCGGTAGGTCCTTGTGGTCCTTGTGGTCCTTGCTACTTCCTCACTCTCCCGCGGCCGCCACAGGATGGAGGATGTACTGGGGCTGCTGTATGACGTGGGAATTGAAATTTGCCTGGTGACAGATGAATCCTCCTTTCTTTTGGCCCTCCCCTTTGTGGTATGGTCTGGCTGGATACACCTCGCGAGTTCACAGAACGATCCCAAATGGAGTCAATGTGGGCGGTGAGCACACCAGAGACTGGGGAAACAAGAGCAGCCGAGCGAACAGCGCACCAAATCACTGCATCGCCGCATGGCCGCCGGAGTCAGCAACAGCGCAATCTCCTTCTGGCCCTGGTCTTAGCTCCCAGTCCAAGCTTTGCCTCAACGTTGCTTAACTTGGCCCCCCCAAAATGGCGAATACTATTAGCTCGCCACACGATATGCTCCTCCTGGGTCGAGCTCTACGCACGCCCGTCTATATATTCAGCTGTGGGCTCTCGCTTGAAGTTAGGTCTCACTCATACAACAATCACTTCATTCTTTACTTGACTACATTAACAGCTCAGTTTTCGCTTTCTCAACACATTCTCTCGCTCATTCAAACAACAGACCAACTTTGACAATAATCTTTCTTTTTCCTATCGTTGAACGCACGCTCACTAGCACATCATCACACGATATTCATAATGTATTCCAAACTCGCACCAGTCCTCGGCTCTTTGGCCATTGCCTCGCTCGTTGCAGCAGTCCCCGTTGACGTTGAGAAGCGCGATATCTGGTTTGGCGGCCGTAAGCCCCACCTCGAAAACTACCAAGGTGGCCAGCCTTCAGCCTCAGCCTCAGCCTCTGCCTCGTACAGCGCCGCCAACGGCTACTACACCCCATCAGCAACCAGCGGCAGTGGCTCATGGTCCACTGGTGCTCCGCCGTCGTCGTCTTCGGGCTCCAGCGATGGCAGCAGCAACCCGTTCAGCTTCCCGCTGTCCAACGGCTTCCCCAACATCCAGAACCCCTCGTCCCAGCTCACGGCTATTGAGTCTCAAGCCCACGGTCTCTTGCCCAACGGGCCCCCACCGCCATCGCCCCCTGCCGATGACGATCTCAAATCATTGAGACTGATTGCCTTCAATGAGCTCTTTGAGGTTGCCTTCTTCACTGAACTCCTCTACAACGTGACCCACAATGTCGCCGGGTACCAGTTCCAGGACCAGAACCAGCGACAGACCATCATTGACGCCATCACCGCCGTCCAAGCCCAAGAGGAGCTCCACGCCCTGAACGCCAACGGTGCCCTCGCCCACTTCAACGCCGGCCCCATCCAGCCCTGCAAGTACGAGGTGCCCGTGTCTGACTTCAAGAGCGCCATCAACCTGGCCAAGACCTTCACTGATGTCGTCCTCGGAACCCTCGGTGACGTCCAGACCCATTTCGGCCAGAACGGTGACAACGGCCTCATCCGCGGTGTCGCTGCGGTCATTGGCCAAGAGGGTGAGCAGAACGGTTTCTACCGCAACTTGCTTGGTCTCATCCCCAGCGGTGCTCCCTTCTTGACTGCCTCCACCCGCGAGTTCGCCTTCTCTGCCTTGAACCAAGACTTTGTTGTTGCCGGCTCCTGCCCCAACATCAACACCATTGACCTCCCCATCTTCGGTGCCCTGAACGTCTTGACCCAGAACATCCAACCCCAGGACCAGCAACTCCAATTCTCCTTCACCGCCACTGGTGCCTACTCCCAGTATGCCAGCAACTACCACAGCCTGAGCTTGGTGTACATCAACCAGCAGAACGTGCCCGTTGTCGAGCCCATCACCCAAGCCACGGTCAGCGGCAACACCGTCACCTTCTCCGCAAACTTCCCCTTCACCGAGAACGACATGTTCGGTCTGACCATCGCCGCCGTTGTCGAGGGATCCGGTCCCTTTGCCACCGTCACTGATGTCGCCGCCGCCACCAAGTTCGGCCCCGGCTTGATCGAAGTCAACTAAGTGCACGCATATATCCTCGACTGGGAAACCCCCATTGTGTGATGGAATTTATGAAAACAGAATAAACTGGTATGACGCATGTGGAGAGAGAAAAAGAAACTTGTAATCCGGGTTTTTGGTTTTTGATTTTCTGGTAGCTCGTTCACCCTTGGGTGTTTTTGTCTGGTTTTTGCAAAGGGGGTCTGACATTTTTGATATATTTGTGGTGATCCCTCGATTTTTGGGAGGGAAGGAGGGGGAGAAGAAGACACATAGTTCCAATCTGACGCTGTTCTCCTCAATTCGCTTGATCTGGTCTTGTCTTGCGCTCTTGGTTTTTGTGTAGAAAGTGACTCGTCCAACACTTTGACAGCAGCCCCTAAGACTCCCCAAAGAAAAGCCCCCAAGTCTCAGTGGCAGCTCTCCCTGGCTGAACATCGAGGCGGGGATCCTCATAAAAAGTCAAGGGCATATCGTGGCAATCTTCCCCACTCTGTCCGCTACCCACGACCTCCATCTCCATCTCCACCTCGACACGCACCTCCTCTTCACCCAGGCTCAACGCCTCGTTGCATACAGATGCGGGGGCTTGGGACCAGATCCCTCAGAGCGAGAAAAGCGGGGTCGTTCGTTGGATACCAAGGTAATGTGTGTATGTAGGGCCACCATTATTGACGACCGGGTGCCGTTCTCGAGGCGAACGTGAACCTGGGGTTTCTTAACAACACTAGCTAGGGATTGTTCTTGTACTCTACTCGCAGGGGACGGGATTTCACTTTGTCCGTCTATTCAATCCAGCCATCCATTTAACCCTCTTACGAGCGAATATTTGACCGTACTGTGTACACCCTCTCTCTTTGTCTCTCTCCCACACACATACGGATACGAAAGGAAAACCCTCGAAGAAAAGACATGTCGAACCAGACGGTATATTTCGTCACTGGAACCACGCAAGGAATCGGCTACGAATTCGTGCGCCAGCTGCGCGAGCGCCCGGGGGCGATTGTGTTCGCGACGTCGCGGGACCCGGAGCGGGCGACGAAGCTGCAGGCCCTGACGGACCGGGGGAACGTGCACGTCGTCAAGATCACCAAGCAGCCCGAGGCGGTGCAGGAGGCGATCGAGGCGGCGGCTCTGGTGAAGAAGGTCGCGGGAAAGGTGGACGTGGTGGTGGCCAACGCGGGCATCATCGGACACGAGACCAGCATCGCCGACGCGCCCGTGTCCCAGTACCAGGACTTTCTGGACGTGAACCTGCTCAACAACATCGCCTTGTTCAAGGCGCTGCGGCCTCTGCTCCTCGAGTCGGCGCGCCAGGGCAACACGCCCAAGTTCGTCGCCATCAGCACGCAGTACGGGTCGCTGGCCATGGTGGAGGACCTGCCGGGCCAGTCGTCGGCGTACGCCGTGTCCAAGGCCGCGCTCAACATGTTCATCCGGCACATAGCCTACGAGGAGAAGAAGAACGGCATCGTCGCGTTCCCCATGCACCCGGGCGTCGTGGCCACCGAGACCGTCGCCCCGCTCGCCGAGCGCATCGGCCTCGCCACCATCGAGCCCGCTGAGAGCATTCGCGGCATGATGAAGATCATCGACCGCGCCACCGTCGCTGACGAGGTGCGTCTGTGGAGGTACGACGATACCCATCTCCCATGGTGATAGCCGACGCGCCACGAAGAGCAGCTAGCAAGGGAGGGAGAGAGGGAGAAAAGACCCAAGGGTAACAGCAGACTGTGTACTGAGTACTGGGCGACTGACTCTCTCTCCTTCGTCGATGGGTATTAAAAGTCATGTCAGATATCGACATCTCACACCCTATCTGGAATCCATTGCGTTCTTCTTACAAGTTTCTTGCCCGAGCAAAAGCTCCCTGTTTCCTGCATATAAGTCGTATAGCAAAAGCATTTACTTCAGTCCTCTATATACCACGGTAATGTGTGTCGTTGCCTGTGGTACTGGCCTCTTAGTTTCTCTGCGTTAGGGGTATAAAAGCAGTCAATATTCAGGATGTTCGCTACTCGTGTCTAAGATACAACATTCCCACTGCAAAGCGCAGCCCGCAACCATAAAGCGCGTTTTTTCCCTGTTAAAACCAAGACGAGATCCAAGAAACGCCCTGCACTAGCATCCTTCTCATCATCGCTCAGACCGCGTCCCCATTCCTATTCTCCGGTCGTGATTCACAATCAGACTGCACCACCGATCCTACCGTCGACGGCGACCACTCCGAATTCTCTCGAATCCCGTGCTTTAGCCTTAGATGCCTCTTGACCGCGTCCGGCCGGACGTGGCTATATTTGCACAAATGACACTTGACCTTGTCCTCATCCGTCGCCAGGCCATGCACTGCTTGAACATGCTGAATGCACCGTCGCTTCTCAGCGAAAGGGCGGCTGCAGTGCGGGCATTTAAACGGTTTCGTATGTTTGTACTCATGCCGCCTGAGTTCACATGGGCGTGCAAATGACTCTGTGCAGTCTCCAAAGTGGCAGCGATGTTTATATGATGGTAAAGGCGCAATGCTCACCGGCGATGCTTGGAGGTCGAGTGCTGGAAATAGATCGGCATCAGTGAAAGGTGGTTTAATGAAGCTTTCGTCGGACGAGAACAGGGAAAAGTCGTTGTAACTGTCATACTCAAAGTTGTCCAGATAGCTTAGGTTGTTCAAAATGTCGTAATCCAACTCCATTCCCTCCATGTCGGAAGAAGGGTCGGGTGATGTATCGAAGGACAGAGAAGGGGTGGATTGTGTTGTATGTGTGGTTGGGCTTTGGGCAACAGAGGCCTGTTGCAGATGGTGTACTTGTTGGGCCTGGTAATGTTGTAGTGGTAATGTGCTCTCCAAGGGCTGACACGTCGCTCCTTGGAGGGAAAAGATGTAAGATGGGTCCCAGAATTCGGTGTGGGTTTGACCTTGATGATGATCAGGGTTCATGCAGGAGGGATCATAGGGCGCCATGATTTCACGTAGCGGCTGCGTGCTCGATGGCGGACTATGTAGTACGGTCGGCGAAACCTGTTGCTCGGGATGTGTTTGCCCGTCCTTTCTCGAGGCGGGACAGCGCCTCGGGTAAGAACAGAGCAATCCACAGTCGCAAGCCAGGCTTCATCTGACTGTACATTCTTCGATATCAATGGAGAACTGTCCCACTGATGATAGCAACATCTCAGAATCGTCGCGATCAAAGAGTTCGGCTGCAGTGCTCTCGGTGCGTGCATGAGCATCAGAGGGGTTGGGTGTCCACTCAGCAACAATGGACAAATGCCCAATGCTGGCAATTCTAGGTCACTGTTGTGGTCATCAGACACCAATCCACCTGCACACAAGGCACAGTTACTAACCGTCGTCTTGCATTGCCAGAACCGCGCGGCTGGCCTTGTTGAAGAGACTGGCTAAGTTGGTGGGTCATCTGCTGGTTAGTCGAAGCCAAGCTTGGTGGGAGTGAAACTCTTTGCAGTGGTCTGTTGTCGGAATCTCGAGATCGTATGTTTGTACCTAAGAAAATGGTTAGTGTGGCTATACGGGCGTGCCTCGAGCTATGGTCATACGTTGATCGGCACTTGACAAGAACTTCAGATCGTTGCTGCAATATGTTTCCTCCAGGAGCGCTTTGGCCTCTGTTGACTCTCCAATAGTCATTTCTAGCCGCTTCTTGACGTTGTGACCCTTGGCCCTACGACCGAGGTCTTCCATTGGCATCGAGGTGTTACCGTCCGAGGAAGGTGGCATTGAGGGAAGATTAGTGAGAGCCGAAGGCTGGAATTGTGATGGAGGTAAAGAGGATTGGGAGAAGTCCAGGCAACGAGGCTGGAGGAAAAGAGCGGCTTTTGAGTCGTGCAGGTGCGCGGGGAACGAAATGTGGCCTACAACGGGAGGATTGGAGCTAATGTCGCTAGTGGTGGCGGTGCTTAGTTTATTGACGTATTATTGGTCAGATTGTGTCGGCCACACGGCGCTAAAGATGCCGCTAAACCCTAAACGCTCGTTGCATCAGATGAGGCTGAGTCGGTGGAGAGAGGATCGAGCACCAACTTCTGCGCCTTGACTCACCTTTCACCCAGTCACCTACCTCGTACTTGTAGTTCCCCTTCGTCAATCGCACATCTCGCAAATTCGATTCGATCTCATGAGCCCATCTACCCCTCCTTATCACCAACTGTCATGAGATAGACGATCATTCTAGGCGTTTACGGCATGGTCTCCCAGTCTGGTTCTGGCTGGGTGTGGAAACCTTCGAGCCTTATGCCATTTGCATCGACGATTCAAAAGCTGGACTTCCTGCGGTTCCAAGCGCGAGATCAATGGTGTGGGCCAAAACATCTTGAACTGTTCTCCTACCAGCCAGATAGGTAGCAGCTCCAGCGGCCTCTTTACTCGCGTGGGAGGTCGGCTATCAATATAGGCCGTTGTTACCCTTGGAGCTCGTTTGCACAACTTGGCTTTTTCATGTTTCGACACTTGCCATCTGGACTCTTCCATGTGACACTTTATGCTAGATCCCAGCCCTTGTCAACGCTGCTGGTTTGTCGTCAACAGTGCTGGGCTCATCCCGAAGATTCGAACAACCTGTGGCAAGCACCACTACAGTTCTCAAGCAGTGGACTTGATCTGGATTCCTCAGCAGCAGAAGCGTTCTCAGCTCATCATGGCTCTTCCAGAGATAAAACAGCATCGTCCTTGCAAGCTAGAGCTCCATCAGCTACACCATCTCAATATGACACTCATATTTCCCGTGCACAAGCCAGTTGTCGTTTGGCATCACCCACGGGGTTTGAAAAGGCAAGTTTCACTCCAAGAATGCCTCACTTACTGGGGAGACAGAAAACGCCAGCTTCAAACGTAGAGCAGAGCGCTGCAAACGAGCTTCTTTTCTCCAAGAGGATACAAAATGTTCGCTGCAATCTCTCCCTCTCTCTCCCCTTCCCAGATCTTTCAATTACCAGATACCTAATCTTATCTTCGACCGGCATATACACAAAACGCCCATCATAACAAACCGTTGCCTCCAAATTGATCCCATTTGGCACATCTCACAGACTTGCAAAGACCCAGACGAGCGAGCGAGCGAGACATTTCGCGCCGCAAAGAGTCGTTTTACCTCTTGGGAAGAGTGTTTCCTCCCTCTCCCTCCGCCCTTGCCGACTCTCTTCCACGACTTCGACTTCTGCCGTCTTGCTTGGTTTTCATGCTGTCCCCAAGCCCTCCGCCCCACTTCTTTTGAGTGAGTGAGTGAATACAAGAGAGAAAAGCGCCAAAAAAAAGAATGTCCACCGATCCCCAACGGCCAAAAAGACGGAGACTTCCACCACCAGCAGCCAAGCCTCCGAAGATATCCAACGTGCGCTGCCAGACGGAAGGGTGCACGGGCAGGGGTCCGCGCGGGACGAGATGTCCCATCTGTATGTGGATTATCCGGTGATTCGTTCTCTCCTGTTTCCTGGACTTGGGACCTGGACCTTGAACCCTAGACATGGAACGGACATGGATGGGAGTGGGAGTAGGGGGAGAAGAAGGAAAATCTTTGGCTTTCTAGCCTCCAGAACTGATGATAATGGGCGACGACAGAGGCGACAGGCGACGACGATGACGTCGGTGTTCGTTTGTTCGTTTGTTCGTTCGTACACTCGTTCAACACTCATTTCTCCTCCGGCGTCTTGAATATTTATTTTCAACTATGCGCCCCCTGGCTATCTGTCGAGGGCCGTACCCGTCTCAGTCACGAGTGTATATCGACGTGGCCGGCTTGGATGGCATTCTTCAGGAGTGAGTTTCCCCAGTGAACGGGTGAAGCTGGAAGAGTAAATCATCCGAGAGGACAAAAGGGATATTGTTTATAAAAGAGCTCACTCCTCCCAAGATGGAGAAGCAGAAGCTTTGACCGCGTGATAGATAGAAGTACAGTACAGTACAGTACAGTACAGTATAGTAGATCAGTCAGTCACCAGCATGCATCCATGGATATTGAGTACCGCTTTCAATATACATTCGGACTGGTTCTACTCTAGCAGGCACTGACGCAGGTGTCTCACCTAGGTAGGAATGTATCTGATCTTATCCTCTACGATAGCACGACGCAAATCGGTAGGGCCGTGGGCTCACATAAATTCGATCTCTTGATCGTCCCCGTGGTTGTCGTCCAGATCCACCGCACGCTCTTTGCCTTTCCCTTTATCCTTGGTTTCAGCCTCGCCTCCATTGACCGGGAGGCCCAAGCTCGCGATCTCGTCGTAATCATCACCAACTTCCTCAATCCTGCCACTCCTGTTATTCGGACTCCTGTCTGTTGCCAAGCCCCTCTTCGCCATCTGGCCTTGAACACCATCTCTTCTCACGACCCTCGCCCGCCCATCACTTCCCAGGCGCACCTCTAGACCCAACTTCTCAGTCGTCTCCCTCACCAGCTCGGCATCATTTTCACCGGGTGGCGGGACAATTTCCCTTGCTTCGAGGGAAGAAACAAGTGCCTGGTTTTCTGGGTTGTGCTCCAAAAGGAACTTTAGACACATCACGGCGTGCTCTTTGATGTACGGATTGCATGCTATAAGACCGAAAACTGTCAGTAAAATGAAATGGAGCAAGCATTTGGACGAATTTGGTAGACCAAGACGACAATGAACAAACTCGTCCTCTCAGAAAAGATGTTTGTTTGTAGAACAAGAGGCGGAAGGACTCATCACCTACCATCATAGGTTGTACAACTCAGGATCGTCTCAACTCCACCATACTCCCGAATCTGATTCTGTACAGTCGGTGACTTCCAGACCAAACTCGACAACACCAGCACGATTAGTTTCTTGAGGTTACGCCATTCAAAATCGGCTGGCTCTTCGGTCACGGTTGTTGCCGCGGGAGGAGCTTGTGCAGGGGGTGACGGTGAGGGTAAGTCATTTGGTGGTTGGGGGAGCGACTCGGTGACCGTTGAGGTGCCATTCTGTTGTGCGGGTCCTTCGGCTGGCATGGCAGTTTCATAAGGTCTCTCGACGGCAACGTGTGCAGGAAGCGTTGATGCTTGCTCTAGATGTTCGACACCGGCCGTGCCTTGCGCCTCCCTTCCATTGGTCGACATCTTCAGATTCCCATTCACACCCGTTGTGGGAGGAGGCATAGCCTGCGTCAACCCGACCTTTGCAATACTTTGATCCAACTCCTTAATCAACGTTACCAAATCATACACGATCTCCCACTGCACGAGCAACTTTTTCCAGTCATTATTTTCTGTGAGCACTGCAAAGAACTCTAGGAACTGGTATACGCCTTCGTACACACGCTCCATATCCCACAAGTTCAATGGGAAATCCTCTGCTAGCGCGAGACCAGCGCGAATTTGGCCTTGCAGGTAGATCAGGGCGCAGGTTTCGGGAATGATGTTGCCTCGGAAGACGATGAAAATATAACGAACAGTGAGGACATCTACTCGGCTGAGTGGGGAGGGGGCCAGTCGAGGTTTCTGATGCTGTGCTGTTGGTGCTTGCTCGCCTGTCGCGTTTTGTTGCTGTTGCGCCGCCGAAGGAGGGCTGTATTTTGCGCGGAATATGTGTGTCAGAATCTTGATAACAACAGCTTGCGCTGGGGAGATGATGTCCTTGGGCTGGCCAAAGTCCGCGTATGCATGGGACATGAGTCCATTTTTCAGGATGGCTTCCATGATCTGCACCATCATTTTGAAGTAGAACTCGTCATCTGGCAAATCCCACGCAGCGATGAATATCAATAACTCCCGCAGAACATTACGGCCTGCTTCTTGAGCGAGTAATATATGACAACGGACCGCTTGCATGTTTTTTAGACCCTGCTGATGTGCAGTGGTACTGTTTTTCGAGCCAAAATTGTCCACAATGCCTGCTTGAATGATCATGGGCAATGCTTCGATTTCAGTCGGCCCGAGGACGAGGGGAACGTCGGTGAGCAGACCGCGTTCTTGATCTCCGGATCCACGGTAATCGTCGTCCTCCATACTATCTCCGACGCTGATGAGATCGTCTTCGTCGTCTTCAAGTTCATAGTCCTCTGGATCAACATCGTCATCATATTCCGCTCCGTCATACTCGCCCAAGGGACCAGACCGCGGATGTAAACGGGCCATGAGTTCGTCTTTTGCTTCTTTCAACGTCGCAGCTGCAGATTGAGCGGTTCGGGGCATGCTCAGGTCTTCTTCGGTCAAATCTTGGGAGGTCTCATTCAGGTCGCCATACGACCCCGGCTCGGGTAGATCGCTCCAGTGCGCATCCCTCAACTTGGCGCTAGGTTTGTAGCCGTTGACTTGGGTGAGAGCCATGATCTTCTCGGCAACCTGCTTGACTTGTGTAGAATTGGTCTCGGTGGCAGTAACATCCTCCTTGTTCTGCAACCAAGCCCGTAGTTCCGCGCCCACTTTCAACAGCACATCTGGGCTATCGTCCAGTTGATTCGCGTTCATACCCGATAGAGTTTCCATGTCGGTTCTGATCTTGTCCATGAGAACTTTTGCCGCCTTTTGAGTCTGCTCATCCGGCTCTTTATTGGTGCTCATCAGGTCGAACAGCGCATGGACATCGTCGATGTTGTACCCGGGGTCATCGCCATCCATCGCAAGCCGACCCACTCGTCGTGGCATTTTCTCAACAGTCGACCGGATCCTGTCCTCCTTTGCAGCATGGTCCTTGCCTTCATCGTCGACAGTCTGCTGGTCTGGAAGACTGCTCCGGTCGTCACCCTCATTTGCTTGGGACTGTCCAAACAGATCTAGCCACAGAACCAACTTTCGCTGTTCATTGTGCATAATGAAATTGTGCAAGAACTGCAGGCAAGTGATCAACAGCCGCTTGTACAGATTCACCACCTTTTGCCATCTTTCCTCGTTTCGGGGGTTTGCCTCGCCATCGAAACCCCGAGCCGTGACCTTAACACAGACATCGATGAGTTTGAGGATCTGTTGATCGAACCCTTTTTCCGCAGCCAGGTTCTGTGCTTTTTTGGTGGTGGCCAGGAGGTTGCGTGCGATGGTACATAGATCATTGAGTCGTTCAATGTCCTTGACCAGGCTGAGGTAATGGGCGGCAATGAGTTCGGAGCTGCTGCCGCCGAAACCTAGGTGCGGAGGGTGTTTGTAGGTAAAGGATTGTTGTTCTAGGGCTGGAAGAGCGTACTTGAGCACTGTCGTCAAGCCCTCCCATATTCGCGGGTTGAATCCCAGCGCAGATCGGACGTCGCTCTCTTGATGCGACTTGTACAGAATTTGTTTACCAGCAATTAACAGGTGTTCCAATCTCTTCTCATCGATCAATCCAGGACTTTCGTAGTGAGTCTGAGTGCCGGTGAGGACTAATTGCAGGAGTATCGAGGGGCTCATGCTGATAGCTGGCACTCATAGTCGTCGTGACCTCTGTGAATCGTGCACTGAATTTTTTGGTGATATCTCGTTAGAGGATCTTGGGCATGATGGCGTTGGAAATTCCGCAGCCTGCAGTTTTCGGTAAAGCGGTAAAGTCTACGACGAAGCAGGGATCCTGCGGTCGCCATAGTTGCCTTTGGACCGGCAATTACAATATGCCGAGGAAATATACCTTCTCCGGAGTAGCTGGCACCTTGCCAGTTCTATACAATTTTTTTTTCTTGCTCGACATTTTGCTAACGTCTATTAACAATTCTGCCTCGTTTGCTACCTATCAAACACCCCTTGAACATGCTGAATTTGTGCTGAATATGACATGTGCTAGAGTGCGGCATTGTTTCAGGGGTATATGCCACAGATTGCAACCTGCCAAAAATCACATCATTTACCCGGCCCTTTGAGATACACCGATATTCGGACCTCCAGTCTAGAATAGTGTGCCGTGCACTGCTCCCTCCTACCTCCTCTTTCAAAGTTTGAATGCCTTTTTTCAGACATATCTTGTGTCCCTTCAATCCTGTCCCCAGCAGCCTTCTTATCCAACATATCCTTGTCCGCGGGGACTATTTTCCAACCATCGCCTCGGAACGAATGACTCAGGTTGTGATCAACTTCAGGTAGTCGGCAACGATCAGGGTGATCATTCTGTTCAACGTCAGCCTGTGAACCCTCCTGAGGGATGTTTGTACTTACGCATGTGGTGCAATCCTGACATAGTAGGTGCCGAATCCACGGTAGAATCTCAACCAACCTTCATCGCGGACCACCTTCTTCGCACAATCGAAGAAGCCGTTGTAAGGGAGCTTCCCGTCAGGACCTCTCTGCTGCTTCTGCAACCGCGTCTTGACGAAGTCAAATGGCAAGCTGAAGAACGAGGCAAAGAACCCAGCAATCGCGGACGCGCCGAAGCGGTTCGAGCTTTCTGAGATATCAGGGAAATATTGCTTCAGCTGAGTCTTGGATTCGGCGAAGAACGTGAGTTGACCAAAGTTGAGCGCCATTGCGCGGATGACGGTGGGGTATGCGCCGGCCCAGAGAGCCGTGATGCCTTCAGCTTTGGCAATGCGAGTTAAAGCGTCAAATACTGATCTATAGTTGGCGCGGGCTTCTTTGGGTTTTAGCCCGTCAGATTGCATTCGAATGAGTGCCAAATCAGCGGGGTTGCCAACCATGGCAGCCAAACCACCGGCCGCAAGGCCTGCGGCGCCTCGCTCCGCGAATGTGACCTTTGTGCCGTTCTGCTCAGCCCGTGCCTGCAGCATGTTCTGGAAGGTGTCAAAGAAGCCCAATCTTGCCGTGGTATAGACGGCTTGTCTCAACAGACCCGCTGAGAGACCATTGTATAGATCGAGCACCTTCCCTTGAGCAATGATGTCTCTTGTTATCCCCAGAGCCGTGGGCTTGGGACCTGTTTTCACACCCTCGCCCGCCAGCTGTAGGCGCACCTTAACCATGTCTATAGGCTGGATGCACGCAGTTGCAAACATGCCTGCAAGACCTCCGTTGACAAACGGGAGAGCAGCGCGCACGACGGGAAGGTGGAGGAAGTCATTTTTGGCCTGTACAGGGTTGTTCACTGCCTCGCTCGCTGCTTCTTCAACCTTTGTGGCGGCCGATCGAGCGCCATCCTTGATCCGGTTGGCAGTGCTACTAGACATTGTGCAAGGAGGGGAGAGGAGAGATGAGGCGGGGGGAATTAGGTCGACGTTGGCCCAGACAGCGGCAACACAGCGAGGAGATGGTTCGTATCTAAGCTGGCGCAGTGTCTCGTTAGCAATTTCCCCACTTGCGTCCAAACATCGGTAAGGTGGGTGGTGTTCGAGAAACCAGCTCCAGTGGTCGAGTATTGCTGCAGGAAGAGGTGTCTAGACACGAATGGACGATGACTCACGAAACAGCAACAAACACCAGCAACTCTGTGCAAGTCAACGACTTGTCTCGTGCGGTGAGAAGGCGGTCTACTGACTGCCTATACACCGAGCGGGGAAGAGGAAGACGTTTTGGTGCGGAGGCTTTGGAGCTCGTCAGACACACACAACACGCAATTGGGACTCGACGGCAGCAGGCGACGGCAGGCGACAGCTCTTCACGTCGGTGACCGACAGGATGGATATACAGGAAGATGCAAACCCACACCAAGATGAAGGTTGTCTTGAGGACTTGTGGGTGTATTGCTGGGTTAAGAATGAAGAATCAAGGACGGCCCAACAGCTAGTGGGAGAAAAGGAAGAAGCCGGTCGGAAGAGAGGCTTGCCAACTCGGTTCAGATGATGTGCAATAGCTGGAGTGAGCAGCCGTGGCGGTTGGCCGTGTGTCGGCGTCGTGTGTGAGTGTCTTTGAGTCGACCACTGACCTTGCCCAGGTGTCTGACCCTGTCGAGCCCTGTTCAATGGGCTAGAGCTAGGACAAAATGACGCTGGGGAGAGGAGAGGGGCTTAGGAATGGCAACATTCCAGGCCCGAGGATTGGATGAGAAAACCGGCCAGCGGCTTGATGGGCATTTGCGATACTCCGGACCCGGTTTAGCGATCAGAGGAACAAGGCGCCAGATGCGGGGAAAGGATTTTTTGGTGAGCCAACAAGCATCATGCACCACCAGGCGCTGCCACCACCACCTAAAAAGCCCTTTCCAAGGGGATCCCCAGGGGACCCTTTTTGTGTCTTGTTTGTTGAACTGGACCGTTGACATGCCACCCATTCGCACCCCCCCAGCCAGCCCTTTCTAGCTACAACCAAGGACACCACCGCATCTCACCACTTTTTCCTTTTCCCCAATGCCTTTGGGGTTAGACCGAGGCCTCACCACATGCTACAGACTTTCTCCCTCTGCTTCAATAGCTTTTGGCCTTTCCCCAATCTAAATCATCCAATGGATCCTACTCAATCAAAACAGCTCGGATGTCGCTCTGGATCCCTGCGAAACTGCCAAGTGGCGAGTACACCGAACGAACGACCCTCTGTCGGCCCCTCGGAAAATGGCATCACCCCCCGAAACACTGCTCGCCGGCGGAAAGATTCGGGCTTTTCCTCACTCTCCGTGGCCCACTGTCCCAAGATGTCCATCGAGGCTGATCTGAAATTGCACGTGCAACGAGGCTGATCAAAGCATTGCCTAAGAATTGATGTGGATATGATGGATTTGGTGGGTTTAGTGACGAGTTTGCAAAGCCAGACTCGTCAGCACTGGCGTGTTGATGTCATTGTTGTTTGGTCCCCCCACTTGTTCAATGATACCGAGGATAGCCGCCCACTCTAGGCCCTAGGCCTACTGGTGCAGCCCAAGTTAAGCCCTTGTGGCCCCTGTGGCCCCTATGAAGTCGCTTAGCGGGTTGCCCAACGCAAATCTGGGGAAGGCTTAATAGTTAAGCCCACCCACTGGAGCGGCCTCTATCATCCGCTCCGGGCACTCTTTTTGCCTACACCCAATGCCGACCTCGGCACCGCGGTAGGAGAAACTTTTCCATATCACCCAGCACCACCATGCATCAGAACCTCAGCCTTGTCACAGGACAGAACCACGCTCTACCAAGTACAAGTATGATGATGCTATGAGGGATGGAAAATTGCTTCTTGCGCCCCTACGCTGGGCACAGCACCCAATCCCGGAATGTTCCGAGCAGCTTTCCGTCACCCACCATTCCATGAGCAGGAGAGGTCCGGTCTTGCTCCCGAAACTGTGGCTCGATCCCTCACTCAATGCTTGGAATATCTCTGGGTTCTTAGCCGGCTACCATTCCGGATAGGACAAATTTCGGATCCTAACCTCGACGGAACGACCATGAATGCGCCATTTATCTTTCCACACGGAGGTAGAGCCTCCGATGGTGACAACGGCGCTTTGCGTGGTTGACGGTAGATTTGTCGGTCATACCCTAGGCTTGTCCTTCCGCTTCAGGAGCGCTTTGACGTTGAAGGGTTTTTTGATCTCCTTGATTCGGCGTAGCAAATCTTTCATTCTCTTCTCACGCTGTTCTGGCGTCGTGGATCCATTTTCACGGGGCCCGGCCTCGGAAGCCGCAGTGGACGCCGTTTCAGTTGACGCTCTTTTCTGCCTGTTGTCTTTTGCGATCGCTTGGTACACTAGAACCCAACCTGCCACTCGCTCCTTCTTCGGTGCAATCTGCTCATCCGTAGTGCTCTTGCGAAGCCCTGTTTGTAGTTCGGTGTCCTGAGCCTCGGCCGTTCTCCAAGGACAATATTCCAAGTGGTTGTCTATGGCATCCAATTTCTCAATCGCAGGTGATTCGCCACGATATAGCCAGAGACCCAGAGAGCGGAAACAGTGGTGGCATTCAATGACATCCTCAGATTTCCTCTCCCAGCCACAGATCGCTAGTCTAAGTGTGTCAAGGTGAGGGCGTTCGAGTTCACTGAAACGGAATTCTTCCAACTCTTGAGCATTCACAAAAGGGGTTAATGGTAGAGGCTCAACGGGGGGGATTTCGTCTGAGTGGCTGGCAAGACTGTCATAACGCGTTTTCAGTCCGGACAGAGCCAAAGTTGTGTTTAAGAGACCTTCGATGCGCTGGATTGAGGTGTCACACCCTCGTTTTCGCCAGAGACAAGTTTCTGCATGTGCAGTGACAATCATATCCTGGTACCTTGCGATAATATTGTCATAAATCTCGGCTGAGATTGCGAAGCTGTCTTCCTCGTCTGCGACTACTTCCTCGTCCGCACCTTCGTCACCAGGCTTCTCGGAAGACTTGAGCAACTCCTTGTCAATATTAAGATCAATATACAACCTCTCCTTGCAAACACCACATGCTACTGTATCTGTATCAACACAAACCCAGCCTCGTTTTGCCCACGCTGCGGCATTGATGGAATCGGTAGATGGGACATGCCATTGTGTCACATGGCGAAATGTCTCCAGTCGCTGGAGAAAGGCAGCTCGGCTTGATGGGAGATAATGTCCGCTCAGCGCAACCGGCGCAGAAGTATATGATGCTGTAGTGTTTGAGGTGGGCGTAATCCGACGTCGCTTAGAGGAGTCAGAGGCAGCGTAGAGAGAAAGTGAGGTTGCGGAGGCGTTGACAGATGAACGCGACGGTGAGGCTGGAGTCGAGGGGGGAGCGGAGGCGGCACCATCGGTAAGTGCCTCGAGGATGCGATCGAATTTGCGCTTCTTGGTCTCAATAGCATATGACATTATGAGGCGAGGCTCTAAGTAGGGTAGATGGACGCAGTTCAATACAACTCTAGAATGGAGAGTGCCTTTTCTGTGCCTTGCGCATTCCACATTCAGAAACGAATAAACATGCGCTAACTTGATTTGGTTAGTCACTTTTTGGCTGAGAAACCCAAGTCGCTTCTCTTGATTCAGACTTTATCGTTCTTCACTTCACTCAGCATGTCACAGTATATGGAAGAGATGAACATGTGTCTTCCTCGTGCGGTTGTGACTGTCACTGAAAGCAATGCAACCCTGAAAGCCGCCAGACACAACTCAGTGCTAATCACTAACAGCCTACACTGGCGGTTCTCATCTGCCTCATCTGCCTCACCTGCTGTCACTCACCTCTTCAATCTACCGTACCTGCACTATGCGATCTACTCGGTCGTGAAGATTGAAACTGTTATAATGCCTCCGATGGACTGGAAACACAACTTTTCACACGCGGCTAGTCCTGCTCCCGTGAAGGATGGATTGCCGAAGTCTTCACTGGCGCACCCCAACATATTGCCTTCTTTCACAAACGCGCCACTCTTCCTCACCTCTAATTACTTTCTGCATGACTCGTTTGACTGAACATCTCCTGTCTAGGGCTTTCTAAAGACTGCTACTTTTTATGTTTGAGGTTCTTACAAGACTCTACCATTTGCGATGACCTCGCCTTCATCAGGCAGGAGCTGGTCGTCTAGCAGTGAGCTGGATGAGATTGAGGTGGTGGCCGATGCTGACCCACAATACCCTGTCCGGTAGGATTGCTGTCAGCAGATACATTGGAAAAACAGATAATTTCTAACAATAGTAGGCACAACGGCTGGACACACGTCAATCTGCCACCTATGTACGTCACAGCCAATCTTTCCTCTCCCCCATCCTCTCAATCAGATATCGACGATGGTGAAGTACCGTCGGTGCTTGCCAGTCATCTGCGCAACAGGATCCTCAGCTCAGCCCTCCGCATCAAGCAAGGCCGGAAGGGCAGGAAACGGACGACCACCATCTTCACGTCACCACCAACCAGATATCACTTTGAACTTGTTTGGCCTGGGTATGACCTAAACAGTACGATGCTAGCGGATGAAGACGACAAGCCATTCACCAGGATCGCTCGACCAGTCGAGAGGACGAGCCTCAATCGTCTCAAGGCCCAAGAGGGTATCCTGCCGATTTGTCCAAGTGGACTCAACATGACCGTAACTGGGCATAAACGAACGTCACCAGAGGCGTTCTTTGACTCTACTGAAGAGCCACCAGCAAAGAAGATACTAGCCATGACACAGGGTGGAAAGGCCTCTGTTTCTGTCGCGGCTGAAAACGCACTCATTACCAGGGTGATATATCCAGCTTCGACCCTAGCCGGAGTAGGATCCTCCCTGTTCCTCAAGGCACAATCAACACCAACCCAAATTAGTGAGATGATGAGACAGGAGCCGCCAATGGAGCCGTTCATGGACCCCTTTCCCTTGCCTACCATGCTAACAATGGCGACACCCACCGGGCCATTCACACAATTCCTTGCAATCTCCTTCCGTGTTGAAGCGGCTCTTCGCTATGTCTCGTCTATCTTTTCGTCGCGATCAACCACACCATTTTACGGCGTGAAGAGTTTTGAGCCCAGCACTCCCGCATTGCTGAATCTTCAGATTTTTGCCGTTGTGGACGCCACTGAGAAGAACGGCGTAAGAAACACTATTTCTCTCGCAGACTTGTTCTTTCCAGATCGCCCTCCCTATCTCACAGGTACCATCGGTCCTCACACCACTTCTCAGACGCTGGACCCTGCTTCATACATGACATTGCCCAAGGGCACTTTCGTGAGAGTCATTGTATCGATCTCTTTGACACAAGTCTCCAACGGCTTGGCCGCATCGGGAAGAAGTGCGCCTCTTATGCCGTTGCCAAATCCTGGCGTGAACACACCGATGCCAGGTCGAGACACATACAACATCAGCATATTGAATATCAATTGCTCCAATTGGGACGAGGTCCAGTTGATGAAGCGCATCCTGGACTCGAAGCCGGGGGCCGTGCCGTCTTCTCCTCCAGTTGTCCCTCCTTCAATCTCGACAGGGAGCGGCCTGGCAAGCGTCCGAAGCAATGAGTTTGACCTTTCCCCCATGGCCCTCAGGAGCAACCAAGGATAGAAAATGGTGTGCCGACTTTTGTGGGTGATGACTTTCAACCAGGACATCACCAAGAGCTCTCGAGAGAATTTGTTTTTTTTGTCTTTTTTTGTGGAAAGAAAAACTGTCGACCCGGACAAGGGGGTTGTGAACTGTGCGAATGTTACCCAACATAGGATGAAGAATGAAAGGATGAAAACCTCACTGAGAGATGAAAAAGAAGAAATGCCGTGGAAAGACAAAAGGACGTGACACTCAATGTCGCGGACAAAACTAACTTGTCAAGTAGCTAGATGGCCGATGAGCGAGCTACAAAGAGCCACGAAGGGGGTTGGTTGGTTTGTGAATGAAGTGTTTGATTTGATTTGATTTTAATTTTGCATGCAATAGCGAATAACCATATTGCCCGTCAACACAACCCAACAACAATGGTTGGAGTACAACTATTACCCTATCAGCAAGACCTTGCCATAGGATGACGGAGGTCGAATACAATGCTCTGTGTAATAACATCAAAGAGCTGGAGAATAACAATAGCCATAACCCAATTCTCGTCCGATCCGACGTGTCCTTGCCATTACCATTAGCATTACCAATACCATGGCATCCATACCCATCCCATAATACAGCACTTGATACAAACAAAAAAATACACACCGCCAGCGTGAGCGTTGAGCGTCGGCGTCATTACTTCCTCTTCAAGTATCCCACTGGCTTCTTCTGGTTCTGAAACTGCCAAACCCTCAGCAACCCGTCATAACACTCCAGTGCCCAGTCCCAGAGGTCGGCCCTCCGCTGAGTTTCGTAAAATGAATCGTCAAGCACGATGCCCCTGGTCTTCAACACCCAGCGTTGAGAAATGATCTCTCGTAGGAAGATCAGAGCCTTAAGTTCCTTGGGATTCACCTTTCTCATCCTGGCTCGTCGGGCAAAAATCTGCGGAGATCCGAAGAGATGCCACATTTCCGGGGGCGGAAGGCCAGCGCTAGGAGGGACGGGGGATGCAAGGAGGCTGGCCCTGTTTTCCCACGGCTGCCGGATTTTCTTGGTGACGATGAGCCAATCGCGCATTCTCCTCCTGGGTTCAACATCGCTTCTGACCTCCTCGAGGTCGATGCCATCCAGTGCTGCGGCCGCGGCCACGACATGCTGGATCAGGCGGTCCGGTCCACGCAGGTGAGGCTCTGCGGCACCACCATTTGCTTCGTCGTATCGATAGCGCCAATCCCATTCCTCAACCACACAGATCTTTCTGCAAAGAATCTGATTGTCAAATGGATCAGCTGCCCTCAAAATGTGGAGCATGTGGCTCTCTCGTTTGTTCAAGGTTGTTCTAGTCGTTGCTGAGGTATTGACGTCGCCATTCATCTCAAAGTCTCCAGATATAAGAGGTCCTTCGACCCACAAGGTCGTGGCCGGGCCATCAGGATCGCTGTCAAAGACGTCAAGGAACCGGGGCAATAATGGATCAGGTTGGGGTATTGTGATCTCAATTTCCCTGGGACTCTGTCGCGGATCGTTGCAGGCCTGTGCGCTCCCCTTGTCCTTTGCTTTTGCTTTTGCCTTTCCTTTGCTTTTTCGCGACGGACCTTCCAGCGCTGCCGTCGCTGGGGATGGTGAAGGGATCTCCTAGCCCTTCACACCCAACGATCCGATGAGACCATCTCTCCATCGACCGATGTCCTTCGCCTTTTTGTTCCAGAGTTTCTCGGTCTTTTCCATCTCCTTGCGTGCGGCATCCAGTGCTTTTTGTGATTCCTGGACACGTTTCTGTAGCGCGTCCGCGTCAAGAAGACGGACATTCACATTTTCTGTCGTTGCAGTGTTTGCTGTAGTAGCAGGCGCTGATGGCGCCGGAGAGGGTTTGTTTGCGTGTTGAGGACCTGTGCTCGGACCAGCAGTGACGCGATTGTCCTGCTGTGCAGGATCTTCCATGCCAATTGATGGGCCTCTTGAAGGCAAGCGCAGCGCATTCGTCCTAGAATGCGGACCAAGGCCGGGAAGAGAGTTGATCCGCCCACCAGAAGCAACTCTGGTGGCTTGATGAGGGTCCCGAGTAGAGAGATCCCAGCTCCCAGGCATGTTGACCGGATCGTCGCCTTCAAAGCCTTCCTCGCCCTCCTCATCCAGGCCTTCCCCCTCGCCGTACAGCTCCTCTTCGCCTTCTTCATCGCTATCGCCGATCTCGCCGTCGATCTCGCCGTCTTCGTCGTCGAATGGCTCAAACTCGTCGTCATCAATCATCTCACCATCCTCGCCCATGATCCAAACTACACCGTGTCGTTCACCCTGTCGGGCAAGCCTCTCCATCCCGCCGCCAAGGTTGGTGTAATCGTCGGCTTCGAGGACACCCAACCCAGCCATGGTGCCCACGTCTCCGAACTCCTCTAGATAAAGTTGTCGTCGCTCCTCGAGCTCGAGTAGCTTCTCACCCTCATCAGCGCTGAGATGTCTTAGGACCCATCCATTAGGCGTCACCAGACATCTTTTCAATAGATCGTCTTTTCGCTCCCCTGCATCGGCAACACTAACGGCATTGCCGTCCTTCAGTGCTTGCTTCTCCTTGAGTGGTAGGTAGATGTAGCCAAAAGCATCGTTGGCACTGTATCCGTTGCCATCGAGATACTCTTGGCCGCGTCGGGAGTCTGGCGGTAACTTATACGTAGCTGAGTTGAACGACGGTGGATTGAGCCACGGGTGATCCCGAGAAAGGTCCCCCATTTGGATGAGCGATGAGAAGATCTTAGGCATCGAGGAGATATGCTCGTTGAGGAGTTTTTGCATAGCTGCATGGGTCGAAACGTCGTCAGAGGCTGCTGCCATCTTCTCCGCCTCGTTGTACAGGTCGCGCATTGTGTAGGTGCTCTTGGCCTCCTCGAATCTAGGCGTAGACTCGTGTCGGGGTGTTGCTGTTCGAGAAGAGCCTGATTTCTGAGTCTGGCTCGCAGATTTTTCTGCCTGGCGCGAGGCGGGAAGAGCAGCCTTCTCCTTTTCCTCTACCTTTTTTGGATCTGCTTTTGCCTCAATCGTTTCCACCTTCTGTTTTTCGGTTACGTCCTGCGATTTGATGCCAACATTCTCTGTCTTTGGCTTCACTCTCTCGTCGCCACTAGCTGGAGCGCTACTCTCCACTCGCTGCTTCTTTTGTTTCTTTTGTCGAGCGATGACCGGTGCAACCTCTTCCACTACGGGCGTTGTAGCAGCGCTTGGGACCGTATCTGTGGTTTCGGTTGTCTTCTTCGCCTTCTCTCGGCGTTCTTTCTTTAGTTGGGCCTTGCTTTTGGTTCGTTCCGGAGCAGATCCGACAATACTCGGCGGAGGAGAGCTGGCACGGGAAGCATCATGGGAAAGGCGCTCAGACATTGCGGGAGTCGAAGGCCTACTAAGCTGAGCCGATGAGAGAGATAGCCGCCTCGAGCCTTTCTTGATAGCAGAAACGGGAGGCACAGCGCTGGATTTCTCGGTCGTAGAAGAAGCAGGGGTCTGTTCTAGCGTCTTGCTAAGCGTTCCAGTTGTCACGCGTAGAGTTCTTGGCCGTGGGATAGACGTCCTCGATGTCTCGGATGGAGTTGTAGTAACAGGCGTAGTCGGTCGAGGGCTCATAGTCGCCGGTGTCCCAACGACCGCCGAATCCAAAATCGGCGTGGCAGACTTGTCCAACGCACTGGTGTTGACAGAAGGCAGCGACGAGGTGGTAGGGGCATCTGAGGCGGTCCCTGAAGGTAATTCTGTTCTTCCAGATTTCGCTGCTGGGGCTTTCCCTTTACCCTTGATGTCTTCGACTTTTGCAGGAGTACGGGGGTCATCTTTCTTCTGAGGTTTCTCTTCAACTCTTCCCGATACATCTGACTTTTTCTCAGTCTCAAGCTTCTGGCGGCTGGACTTTGGCTGAGGGGAGCCCAGACTGATATCGGTCACTCCAAGACCAGACTTCTTGCTTGAGACAGGCGCATCTTCAACCGGCGTGACCTTGGCGTCTTCCTTTGTTTTCGGAGTTGATGTGCGAGGGGCGATCGGAACGATTGGCACTGCTGGAGCGATAGGTACGGAACTGACCGATGTACTTCGTTGGCCGACCGCCTGAGCAGGCAGGGTTGGAGACGTCGACCTGATGGGAGGGGGATGTCCGTGGCTGAGCTCAAATCCAGGAGGAACTTTCGGTGTCGATGACCGGAGACCGGAGCTGTAATGACTCTGGAAGGAGGAGACGCGTGAATGCAGAGCCGAAGGCTGTGTCTCTGGACGGACTGGCAGAGGGGGGAAATTCTTCTCATCCACTGTAAGGACAAGGTTAGCGGAGCATCCCAAACAACATCTAAATGCATAGAGGACACAGCCAGAACCATCAGACAACGTGGTGGCGGGTACTTGACACGGGCAACAGGGTACAGGCAAAGACAATCAGGCTTTTCGCATCATCAGATCCCTCAACACAAGACTTTTCTTTTTACAGTCTCTAGAACATTTCACCTAAAATGAATTGTAAGAAATTGTTTTTCTGATCTGCCTGACCTTTTCGTAGCATGGTCAGAGAAGGGTACTAACATACATAACAAAGCCGTGAAAATCGGGACGATTGATGCCGCTGAAGAAAAGCCTGATGCCGATAGATTGATTTTTCGATGCGTCCCACGCTCGCCCGGGACCATGACTGTGACCATGCCGTGACTCCACTAAGCTTTCGCCATTCAGCTACTAGCTTATGCATTGTTCGCTGATCCGAATAGGTAGGCCTCATACCACCAACGCCAAACAGAATCCATCATAAAGAAGAGAAAAGAAACAAAAGGGCAATTGAGATGTTGTGGTTGGGATGTCGTCGGTCACCATCGATTGTACCCGCCGCCGCCGTATAGGTTCGATTGCTGGTACCCACCTTGATTACCCCCAAACAGCCCCTGCCCTGTCGTTGTGCCCTGATGGACTCTTGCTGACGCAATGCTCGGGTCTGCAAGATGCTCTACACCACCTCCTGAAGAGGAAGTGTTAGCGTGTCTGTGCTTCTTGCCCTTTTTTCTTTGCTTGACAAGTCCGGGGTCTTGGTATGTCTGATACTGAGCGTAGAGCGGGTTGAGGACGCCAGGGGCAGGGGCTGATAATGGGGGTGACCGAAGGGGGTTATTTTGCAAGGAAAGGAGCAACTCACGCTTAGACAGATCATGACCTTGATTTGTTCCACTGCGATTTCTTGAATAGACTTCGGCGTTAATGTCTTTGGAAGTTCCAAAACCAGGGTTTGTGAAATTCTGGCCATGAGCGAACATGCCACCGCCACTAACCGGAGGCGTCCCAGCTGTCGGCAAGCCAGGTGGAGGTCCTTGAACGCCGCTGGAATAGAAGTTTTGCTGCTGCCCTTGGAAGCGACTAGTTGTCCCAGCTTTGGCGTCGTTATTGAAGTATCTGGAACCATGACGTTGATGACTGCTAATCTGTTCGTACTGGGCTTGGCTGTACTGTGGTCCTCTTCTGTCAAAATCTGACATCTCGAAAGCGATGTTCTGGGAGCTGGGTTGACCCAGGCCGGGTGCTTGTGGCAGATTGCTAGTGTTGAGAAGGCCCAATTGTTGTCGTTGTTGAGGGGTCAAACTGCGATTATTCAAAGCCGTGGACGGAAATTGGTCGCTCAAAGACTGGGAGGGCCGTCCGATCGCTCCACGAGCTGAAGAACCTCTTGGATCATCCTCTGGTTCGCCCCCTAGAGCGAGGCTACCAGCAACAATGTTGTCTTCGTCTAGAGTCTCTTCGGCGGCAGATGTGGCTTGGGCTTCTAGCTTGGCCTTTGCCTCAGCCTCTAGCTTTGCACGTTCGGCTTCTTCTTTCTCCCGCATAGCGCGACGTTTGGCACCGCCGTAAGGGTCGATAAAACAGGGCATGTCGTCCACTGCGGCGCGAGCTTCGGGGCTGAGACACGAGTCGTCGTAAATGAATCGGTAACTTCGTGATACACATCGTAGAACCTCCTCGTATTGTTTTTGTATCGGGTCCAGAGGTTTCGGCTTCGGTTTGGAGACTGTTTGGTCTGGTCTCGATACCGTCTTGGACGGGGCGGTCGAAGTGGATGGTTGACTGGCATGAGGCTCCTTACCTTTGTGCTCGTCCGTTTTCTGAGCAGCCAGCGAAGCATGTGTAATTTGCGGACTGGGAGTGGCCCTGCTGTTGGTCTGACTTGCTCGTCTCGTGCGTGCGACGGACGCATTGGCGGTCGCCCAGCTGGCTGTGGAGGGTAAGGCAGAACCGTCGTGGGAGTTCTTTCTGCTGTTGTCATTCTCTTTGCTACCTTGCCGAGCCATTGGTTGGGTGACTGAGTTTTGGGCGGCGGAATGAGGTCGAGGTGGAGGGTTCATTTGCGAAGTCGTGGCTGACACTGCAGGTCGAATCGGTAGTTTTGCGCCGTGGGGTTCGTTCTGCAATGAGCTGTGCTGGCCATCTTCACCCGTCTCATGAAGAAAGCTGCAGTTTTTATTGGTACACGTTTCCCCTCGCAGATAGGCGGAGCAGTACTTGGTGGTGCCAAATTGGGCTCTAAGAACACGATCGCCGTTGAGAGATCCATCGACAGTGTTGATGCAGAGAGCAGCGTCCTCTTTGCGAGCATATGTCACGTAAACGCCGATGCCCTGGTTGGCAGCGCCTGGTTTGGCTTTGCTCACCACAATTTTCTCTATTTCGCCGTACTGACCGAAATATTCTGGACCTCGGAGTGTTTGAAGCAGTGCCTGTTCATCTTTGATCTGCGGTATGAGGCCGATAACGTAAACAAGATTTTGTTGCTTGACACGCACACCAGCTAGATTGCGACGTGAAGAATTCTCCACTTCACGTTTCTCGGTTTCCTTTCGTTTGGCTGCGGCTTGCTTTTTATTCTTGTTTAGTTGGTCGAGTTTGAATTCTTCAGCTGTTGGGATTTTGTACTGAATGGTCTTTTCATCGTAAGGTCTTCGACAGTTTGGGCAAGTACTCTTTTCGTAGGTAGTCTTCAGACTGTTGAAGCAGAACTGACATATCTGCGTCGAATGTTAGTAGTGATCGAGCAAAATCGAATGGGCCGACATCAGAGTGCTGGAGATGGTGGAAGTATTCTATGGAGCCGATGCGTACCTGGTAGCCACAAGGACATGGTCTGAAGTTCTTGTCGGATAGATCAAACTCTTCGATGCAGAGTGGGCTGTTTGTCACGTAATTAGCCTCGAGCCAACGTTGCGATAGATAGACTTCAGCCGAACTCACCAAGTCTCCTCGTCATCATCGATGACGGTATCCTGCGACCTACTCATAACGGGGGAGGTGAGGATATGGTTGTGAAAAGTTCCACCTCTTTCGGCTCCTGCACCAGTGAATAAAGGTTAGGAGTGTCCTCCATGCACTATGGGGTTTAATGTCGAGTCTGGTGTGTAGTAGTCATCTGAGGAGTACTGGACAGTTAGGGAACTGAGTCTCAGGAGTGATATTGATCGGGACGAATGGCTGAAATGAGGCAAAAGGGTGTATACAAAGTGAAGCGAAATGAAATACGCCAGCGAAAGCCACGGAGAGAAGGCGAAGGTTGCGTTGCAAAGACTCGCGACTGCGGCAAAGAACCTCGCACTAAGCCAGATATCGTCTAGTGGGCAAGCTCCGGTCTTGGCACGTCAAAGAGCTCCGCCATGACCCTGCGATGTTATGGGACTGCTTCATCTTGTCAATGAGATTCTGTCTGATCCAGGCCTGCATTTCCACGGTCTGAGACCTGCAAAATGTCGTCGACAAAGACAATACTGCGTCTGGCTAGCAAGAGGCCGCTAGGTGCGGTTTCACAGGCTAAGGGATGCGTCCAGCGCGCTACTCTTTCTCAATCGACGAGGAGTTATGCCGCCGACAAACCTGGACCAGACCTCAGAACAGCTGGGCCCGATCTCCTCTCCCAGCTGCGAAAGGCTCCTCGCCCGCGTGAGTAAGGGATACTGAAGAATCCGAACAAACTGCTGACGCTCGGAGAAGCCCAGGGTAAACTATCAGCACCCATCGTCAATGACGCAGACAAATATGCAGACAAAGCCCTACCTCTCCATCAGTACGGCCAATACCTGATGTCCTGCCTACCCAAATATATCCAGCAGTTCTCAGTATGGAAGGACGAACTCTGCATCTACATTTGTCCCACCGGTGTCATTCCTGTCTTTACGTTTCTCAAGTACCACACTGCGGCAGAATATACCATGGTTGCAGATATTACTGCGGTAGACTTTCCTACCAAGAGCTACCGGTTTGAAGTTGTGTACAACCTGCTCAGTGTGCGACATAACTCCAGAATACGAGTCAAGACATATGCGGATGAAGCGACCCCAGTCCCTTCCATCACGTCCCTCTACGACGGCGCAAACTGGTATGAGAGGGAGGTCTATGACATGTTTGGCGTATTCTTCACTGGTCACCCTGATCTACGGCGAATAATGACGGACTACGGTTTCGATGGACATCCGCTGCGCAAGGATTTCCCCTTGACTGGGTACACTGAAATTAGATACGATGAGGAGAAGAAGCGAATTGTGGTGGAGCCCCTTGAAATGACACAGGCGTACCGAAACTTTGAGGGCGGTTCAAGTGCTTGGGAACAGGTTGGTGTTGGCTCGGACCGGAAACCTGCAGAGTTCAAATTGCCCACACCGAAGCCTGAAGAGAAGAAGGAGGAGAAGAAATAGGCCCAGCAGTCTTGCTGGCCGAAGTCTGCAAAGGTTCATGAATTGGAGGGGAGAATGTGGAGCGTCTCAAGACGCCATGTACATATGGGAGTCGATACATCAACACGGTTCCATTGCAGGCCTGTCGCCTCCGAAAGATACTGACATCCAGTCCCTTTGCAAGCGCATTCACTTCCAACCCGACTTTATAAGATATCACGCTGAATAACTCTAAAATGGTTCACATTCATCTCGTCGTGAGTGACCTAAAGTGCGCATTCACGTAGTGAAGACAGCGACCTCGACGCCTCGGGGTCTGAATCTAACTCCCCAAAAAGAGGTGGTTGATAGGGGAGCTGCCTCGAAGCAGCTATATACATAAAATCCTTGTAGCTTTCCGTACATCGTTGAGTCTCCTATATCCCCTCCTTTTCGTCATGAGCACAGGTTTTTTTTCTTTTTGCCCATTTCGTTCTGAATATCACTTGGTCATCGTGGGTGCGTGGTTCTTCGTCCCCCAATCGTGTACATGTCACGGAGCGTTTTCCAGAAGAGCCATCCATCTACAGACCTAATACAACATACCTGACATACAGTACAAAGCCACGGCAGCATAGTAGGGTGCAGGAACCTTTGCATCTATCTACTGCAGGTGGGTGAGTAGGATCTCTTCGGTGCTTGACGAAGAGGACAGGCTCTGCTATTGCTTCTGCTTCTGCTTCTGCTTCTGCTTCTGCTTCTCTCCGCCGTGGGCTGACCAGTCAAGATCCTCAACCAGGTCGCGTGCGTTTTGAGGGTGGGAGAGTGGGTGTCAACTTCATCAAGAGTCTGGAAACCATGTAACCTTCACAAAGAGTCTAGAAACAACACGACTATATTTTCTAGAACTAGTTTCTTAACCACTCTGACATTTTGACTCTCCTTATCTCCTAGGTAGGTATTTATTCCGGTTCTACACCATCTCGATGATGGATGGCTATATGGCATGGAAAAGCAGTGCTTCCGCTTCCGACAGGCGTCTCCGCGCAGGTAAGATTATTTGCGCAAGGATGTTGAAAGTTGAACAGTTGACGAGCTGATCTCTATCTATCTGGTGTATTCAATGTGACAGTCCCTGGCCTTTTTTTTTGGTTGAACAAATCCGGACTCCCGTCTTCTCAATAAGCACTCTCAAAGAGTGACGCTGCTGACACTCAAGACGCCCTTGGCGCCGACGAGCTCTCTCTTGAGGTCGTCACCCACCTCCTTGTCCACACCCAGTATCATGAGTGCCTCGGTCGTCTCTTTAGGAGGGGGAGCAGGGGCTGAGCCTTTCGCGGCCAAGTTAGCAGAGAACGTCGCGGGCGCCACGCTCATAAAGTTGATATTGACGCCTTCTCGGCCGAGGATGCTGCCCACGACACCAATCTTGCCTGGTGAATCATAATTGTGGCAGATCAGCAAGGTGCCTTCGGGCACAAAGGACGTCGCGAAGCGATCCAGCCGGGAAATGAAGGGCGAGTTATCGCTGCAGTAGCCGGAGATGATGTGCTGCTTGCTGGCAGGCTGTGCCTGTTGGTCGCCTGCTGCATTGGACGATATTGAGAGTCCTTCAAGCGCGCTAGAATGCCGGCTTAACGACGGAGATCGGCTCGCAGGTCGTGCGATGAGGGTGACCAAGCTCGAATACGCTTGCGTGGACGGGTCTCGAGACTTTTGCTCGTTGACAAATATCCCTCTCTCCTTGGCCACCATCTCCGCATTGACGATGTTGACGTTGAACCCCTCGGCATCAGAAATAGGTGAAGTAAGCCCTTTGATCAGGGCCGCAAAGAGCGGTTTCGTACTCGACATGTTTGCGATCTCGCCCTCGTAGATGAGGTCGAACGTATTCATGTTCCTCTGGTGGAGGGGCTGTGTAGGGGACGTAAAGTGTTGCGTGTACAAAGATCCCATCTTTTCCACCAGTTTCACAAAAGGTTGAAGAGTCTTGTATTCGGCGGGTAGGATAATGGGTGCGTTCACAGCGCTCCTCGGTAGGTCTCCCGCCAATATCTGGAGGACCTGTTCGCAGACGTCTATGGAGACGTTTTCTTGTGCTTCGACCGTCGACGCACCAAGATGTGGTGTTGCGATGCATTTGGGATGTTGGACTAGTTTTGCTGCGGATGAGTTTGGGTCCTTATGTGGTGGTTCCGAAGTAAACACATCGATTGCTGCGCCGGCTATTTGACCAGATTCCAAGGCAGCCAGAAGGGCTTCTTCATCAATGATGCCTCCACGGGCTACGTTGAGGATGCGGGCGCCCCGTTTCATCGAGTTGAGTTCGGCTGTCGACAGCATACCGCGGGTTGCCGCAAGCATTGGTGTATGAATGGTGAGGAAGTCGACAACAGGCAAAAGCTCGGTCAGGGACTCGACGAGTTGGACATTGGCAGCGGCTGCCACTGATGGGGAGGCATAGGGATCTGCTGCGACGACATTCATGCCCAGACCCCGGGCCATTCGAGCAACAATCAAGCCGACTAGTAGACACAAAAATCGTCAGAACCGGCCTGGACCCGTGATGAAGACGGAGGAATCATGTATACCTTTGCCTAAGCCCACAACCCCTAACGTCTTCCCCTTGACCTCCACACCAACAAGCCTGCTCCTCTCCCATTTCCCTGCTTTGAGACTTGCACATGCATCGGGGACATTCCTCGCCATGCTCATCAACAGGGCAATAGTATGCTCGGCAGCAGCTTGAATATTCCCACTTGGAGAATTCACCACAACAATGCCCAGCCGCGTTGCAGCAGGGACATCGACATTATCCACACCAACACCGGCTCGGGCGACTACTTTCAACTTCCGCCCTGCCTGCAGGATATCGTTGGTGACCTTTGTCTCAGACCGGACGAGCAGAGCATCGTATTCCGGGATGATCGAGATAAGTTGTTCCGGCGTTAGACCTTGCTTTTCATCGACAATAAGGGTTTTCCGAAGCAGAGCCAGTCCGTCTGGGGACAGTTTCTCCGGACAGAGGACTCGGGCCTGGACTGTATCACCATTGCTGGTAGCCATTTTGCTCCAAATTCAGTCCACGATTTTGCGTGGGACAGTCAGAGGGCGGTGTACGTATCACTAGCAAATAGTATTGGTCGACAGCAAAAAAATTGACTGAAGCTGAGAATGCAAAGCTTTCAAGAACCCAACAATGCGAGACCAAAAAGGGACAGTGGCGGTTAGAAGATTGGACTGTGAGGCCAATGGAAGGGACAGATAGATAGATCTGATATTTCTCGTGCTTTTGACTACCCTTTGAAGTCCAAAAAGACCAATGATCGAACCATGTTTTGGGTTGTGCAAAGACATTTTCATTTTCTCCGTGGGTCGGCCCATGCTCCAAGTCCATTCGTTGGCTGGATGTTGTGCGTCACTCATATTATTAGTGACAAACAAGCAATGAAGTCGACAAATGTGGAGTTTCAAGTGGCCGAAGTCGCAAGGGCAGGAATTTTGATGCCAACCCCACGATCTGGGGGAGTTTGTTCGGGGATTTTGGGGGGTGGCAAACAGTGCAAACAGAGCAAACAATTTGGCCCGAAGCAAAAACAGCCATTTCCAGACCATGTGTCGCCTCCCAAAGAACTAGATATACACCCAGAAACATTTCTCAGTATTCCAGTGCCTCTTCAAACAAGCCTCTCAGTTGCTCTCTTTCCTCGTTCACCTCAGCGCTCAACTTGGGTGCCAACATGAGGACCCGTCTTTGAGGCAATGTCCCCTCTACCAGATCGTCAATGCTCTCGCGTGTGAACCCCAGGGGTTTCAAGCCTCGAGGCTGGTCTCCCAAGCCGATGAGGAACTCTGATAAGGCTTCACTGAGGATCTCACCTGCGCTTTCCTTCTTGACATTGGAGATGTCCTTGCCAAATACTTCTGCTGCGGCCAAATGTCGCTCCGGATTGCTTGGGCCGGTGAACTTGAACACAGCAGGAGCCGTTACAGCAACACTGACACCATGGGGGATGATAGGGGTCTCAACCACGTATCCGGAATGTTTGTAACCCGGGTTTTGACCACTGATCGGGTAACTCATGCCGTGGCACAGATGGACACCGGCATTGCCAAAGCCGACACCAGCCAAGGTCGCCGCAAGAAGCATTTCACTTTGAGCTTCGTGGTCTTCCGGATCTTTGACGGCGCGAGGCAAGTATTTGACTGTCGCTCTCAGCGCATTCAACGAGAAAATATCCGAGATGGGATTTGCACCCTGGTAGGCTGGGCGATTGATGGGATTTGTAGGTCTGGGTGTTCTCTCGTGGTAAGGAATGGCAGTCCAGGATTCTAGTGAGTGGCACAGCACATCCAAGCCAGAGGAGGCATGGACGGCTGATGGCATTGTGCGAGTATTGAGGGGATCACAGATGCCCAGAGTAGGCTTGAGGTTCCGGTGTGCGATACCGGTCTTTGCCCGCTTCTCCACTAGATCGAAGATGGCTGTTCCTGTCGTCTCTGAACCTGTGCCAGCCGTGGTCGGGACAGCCACAAGCGGCTTGAGTGGTTTTGTGATTGGCAATCCCTTACCCAGGGGAGCATTGACAAAGTCCAAGAAGTCCGCATCTGGGAAGCAAGTGTATAGGTTCATCAACTTCGCCGTGTCAATGACCGAACCTCCTCCCACAGCCAGAAAAGCATCTGGCTGATATGGTTTGGCAAAAGCAATGGCATCCTTGACGGAGCTGTCCTTTGGCTCGACCCGGCATTTGTCATACACAGTGAACTCGATTCCTTCTTTGGTCAACCCTTCAATTACTTGCTTCATCGCGTTCAACTTGGACACATTCCCGTCGGTGACCACACAAACCCGCTTGGCGCCCATATTCTTGAAATCCATACCCACCTCTTTTGTGCAGCCTGGTCCAAAGCGGATCGAGCTGGCAGCCATCTCGAACGCGTATTCTTTGGATCGCGAGCTGTCAATGGGAGTTGCCAGTCTTCGTCGGGCCTCGCCGAAAGCTGCATGGTCATGATGGTAATTGGGGTTGGAATGACAAGGACAGTTGGGAGGATGACCGAACTGGATCGCTCGCAGCAAAGAGGTCGACCGCTGGGAAGCGGTCCTTGCGACACGGATGGCGGGTGAAAGGACCATGACTGTGACGGATGAGACGGATTCAGCGCGTGTTGGAGGGTATAGAGAACTCGGCGCACGCGACAGGACAGCAACTATAACAGGAGAGGAGAGACCACGGCGATCTATGTGACTGCCCAGCTGTTTACTGTAGGTTTTCACCAGCAGAATGTTGACTTATAAAAGAAGCGGAGATACTCGTACATAGCTGGCCCCATATTCATCTCTTGGTGCATCATGGGAGGAGACCGAGGCAAGTGTGGAGGGAGCTACCAGCGAGTTGAAGCCTGGAAATAAGCTGTGGTTGACTATGATTGGGGGACGCTGGGGGCTTTCAAGGTGGGCGATCTGTGATTTGACACCCATAGCTGCGGGGCAGCGGCAGCTGGTAGCTCTCCAAAACTTCCACCGGAAAGTGTTGTGGATGAAACTCGGGCACCCGACGGCTGAAGGAAAGGCGGGCGTCGTAAGGAATGGCGGGGTTGAAACCCCCTAGAAAGACATGGGCGATTGGGTGTCGCAGGTGCCGTGAGGGGGAGAAGTGCGGCACCAATTCGTAAGCCTGTCAACTGCCCCACGTCATGCTGCGACATTGCGCATCATTGCAGAATTTCAATGAGCAGTTGAGTGCTGCAAACACGACTTCCCCTGGGTTTGCGACCTTCTCAAGTCAGCTGTCGACTGCATTTGGAGCTCTGAGTTGTATCTGAATACCTTTATCAGTCGGCATTCGATGCTATCACGCCTCACATCACGCCTACCTCGACTCCAACAACTCTTGCACCACTTCCAAACACCCAGCACAACTACTACGTCTAAGCCCTTGACAACCTCGACCTCTCAGTCTGCGACAATGACGGATCAATCAAAATGGAAGTTTAATCACACCATGCTCCGGGTGAAAGACCCGCAGCGCTCTATCGAGTACTATAATCTCCTGGGTTTGAACTTGATTAACAAGCTGGACTTTCCTGACAACAAGTTTTCTTTGTATTTCCTAGGTAAAATGCCGTCGTCTTCCTTTCGTCTAGGGCTTTTGCTAACGCTTCGCAACAGCCTATGATGGCCCTTCCTCCGCCTCGAAAGATGCGCATTGGACCGATCGCGAGGGTGTTATTGAGCTCACACACAACTACGGTTCCGAATCGGATCCGGAATTCACCATCAACAACGGCAACAAAGAACCCCACAAAGGCTTTGGCCACATTTGCATCTCAGTCGACAATATCCAAGCTGCATGCCAACGCATTGAAGATGCCGGGTATAAATTCCAGAAGAAGTTGACCGATGGACGCATGCGGAGCATCGCCTTCGCTCTGGACCCCGATGGATATTGGGTGGAAGTCATTGGTCAAAAGCCGGTGGAGCAGACAGAAGATATAAAGACAACAGAGACGAGCACTTACAGGATGAACCACAGCATGATCCGTGTCAAGGACCCAGAAAAGTCATTGAAGTTTTACCAAGAAGTCATGGGTATGTCACTCATGAGGACTTCCGAACAGAAGGCTGGTGGCTTCACTTTATATTTCTTGGGATACCCGGGCGACTATGGAATTCCGAAACCAGAAGACTCTCCTAATGGGGTGAACCCACTAGCTGGGAAAGAGGGTCTGCTTGAACTGACCTGGAACTATGGAACCGAAAAGGAGGAAGGTAAAGTATACCACAACGGCAATGACCAGCCTCAAGGGTTCGGACACATTGCCATCAGTGTGGACGACTTGGACAAAGCGTGTGCGTTCATGGAGGAGAAGGGAGTCAACTGGAAGAAGCGGCTCACAGACGGTCGGATGAAGAATGTTGCCTTTGTTCTGGATCCGGATGACTATTGGGTTGAGATCATCCAGAACGAGAGACTCAAGAAGTCGACAAATTGGTGATTTGGCCTGAGCGTTGTTGGACTCGAGGCTGGCATGATTCCGTAGAATTCAGGAGGAAGCTGGATTCAGAGCAGGCCATGCTCTACCTATGAATGTTATCGAGCATTTACTGCGGTACAGCGAGACCAAAGAGGGAAATAGCCACGTCTTTAATATCCTTCTGAGCGATCACCGGCTGTAAGCTGCTCTACCCAGGTGCCTGTGATTCATATCATCTTGCTTCCAAGAGCAGTCTCTGCAGTACATGCCATCTTAGGCCTAATCGTTGGACTTACTACATATCTCGCTCGTCCTTCGTCTGGGTTGAGCCATATAAGGACATCTCGCCCCATAAAGGGGGTTAGGGTGATGCCGGCCTAGCATTAGGAACTCACCTTGATAGGCTCCGGCTGGTCAAGATCGGCAAACGCTTTGTCTAGACTAGCATTCGCGCGTGGAATGCGGTAAGGCTGGCTGGGCATTTTCGACCTTAGCGCCATCACAGCCTCACTGCGTCCTAACAGTCGGTAACCATTTGTGACTTCGAAGTCGACGGAGAATGCTCTAACACTTGGAGTTGTATACAGGGGAATCTCTGCCCTCGCTGCGTTTTACGCTCAAGTAAGTTCTCCCACCACCATAAAGTGATACAGCAGGTTGACGGACGCTTCAGCCTGGAAGCATATCTAAACAATATCCCTCGAGGATCGTTTGACATCGACGTGCAGGACTCGCGAGGAAGATCAGCCATGGCTTGGGCTGCTGAGTATGGCTGGCCTTACGCCGCAAGCTTGTTGATCAAGCACAGGGCCGACCCGAAGCAGCCACGGCGATCGCGCTATGGTGACCTCCCTCCCCTTCATCTGCCGCTTGCAGGCTCGAATGTTGGGCAGGGTTCAATCAGCCTGGGATGTTCTTTCAGCACTGTCTCACCATGGATTGTAACTAAGCTGGGACTAATGCCATGACCCCAAAATTGTTCGAAGTTGCTCCGCCGTGTTCGTCGAGGAAACGCTAGGATTATCTCACGATTCGGACTGTCCAGCACATCTGCGTCTATTCCATAACCTTCATTGCAAGCGAGCGGCCCATCTCTATCGCCATCCACAAGACACAGCCGAGAATTTGTTGCCTTTGTGAAACATACGTACTGGCATTCCACTTCATCCGTAGCAATACCCGGTGTCGTCGAGTACTTTCCTAGCCACATTTGCAAACTCGATCTAGATCTTCTCGGAGGTTTCGATGACTTTCGTCAACCCCGAATCGGACGTTCTTGCGGTAGATACTATGAGGACAAATACTGATCCACTTTCTGAATGATTCGTTAGTTCTTGTATCAGTTGACGGCGTGTCACTGAATTTGTGAAAACTTCGAGCAGTGCCGTTACAGACTGCATGCAGGACGGCATAGAATCCACAGGCATTGTTTATGGTCTGTCTCACCCCTACGACGTCTTTTCGCTCCTCTCCTGTGGAAAGGTTTCGCCCGAAGCTGGTAATATCCGGTTTGGCGACGTCGGCCTCGGGGAAGATGACAATGAGAGCCAGAACAGGGCGGCAAAGGGCAGGTTTCGACCAACCCATGAGCTATGTCAGATGCTCGAAGAGGTATCCATTACCAACGAAGTCAGTGGTGATCCTTTGTCAAAACTTTCAAACTCGGGGATGGACGATGCCCACAATCACTGAGTCGCATCAGCCGGGAGGGATCCAATTGATGTCTGTTTGGCAGCCTTGAAGCGGACATTGGCTCGTGTGTTCCCATGAAATCCCCCTCCTTGCGGCTGTCATTCCTTGACATTCGACCGATATCTGCTTGATTTAGCCCTCCAACCAAGATTTCTTTGAATTTCTCAGAGAGAGCAGCCAATGAATGGTCCTCGATCGGATATTCGTGGCGAGCCCTTGAGGTGAGCCGAGTCTGTGAGAAGAGTGGTTTTCCCCAAGGCTTCTCGGCTGCCGTAATTCTTGTTTGGTCTTTGGAGTGTGAACTTCGGGCTATCAAGTCCTGAGACGCGCAGCTAACTGTGTGCGTGCGCTGCGTATGAATAATGATACGGAGGACCAGATTTTCCCGACCGTTCAATCCCCGGGTCCCTTTCAGGAGACGTTTTGCGAGCTGCAGCTACGGAGGATCCAAGAGACGAATAGTAATCACGTATTCGGGACCTCGTAGGTATCGCGTGTAACACATCACGTCTCGCTCTCGTGCGTTACACCCTCGTATTGCTTGATCGTGCTTACTTCCCAATACTATTTACTTTGAGATTTCTTGATTTCTTTTCTCCGGTTTCTTTTTGAGAGCAGAGCCGTGATCAGTTTCCAGAATCGACTTACTTCCTATCCTGGGGAAGGTGGCTTGTAATACGAGTTTCTTGTACGAGCCTCGCTCGGCCGTTTCGCGCATTTGCGAGTGCGAGTGCGAGTTAAGTACGAGGTACTACAGATAATCGAGGAGTTGCTCTGTTAACCATCACCGCCACCAGTGCCACAACCTCTTTCCCACCCGAGCTTGTCATTGTCCGATCCCATTTCTCTGTCCCACGACCATTCCCTTTTTCCCCTAAAAGGAACGAGCGAGTGGTAAACAACACACTACGGCCAGTTGAATGTCACAACTTTCTACTAAGTACTAACTCGTCCAAAAGCCGCCGCAGAAGCAGCAGCACAAAATGTCATCAGACACGGTAGCCTCGCATCGACAACCGTCATTTCTCCGTCCTAGCATCCTCTTAGTGGGTAGAAGCTGTATCCTCTTTTGGTAAGTAGAGACGGATGACGGAAGCCGGATCACACCCACACACCCCTACCTGGTCCCTGGTTTGCCCCCCAAACGCACGTAAAGGGGTCATGGAGAAGTAATATCTCGCCACGCTATACTACTACCTACTCGGTACAAGGCTTGCTTGAGAAAGGGTTGAAGTCGATCATGGGATTCATTCGCTCGATGATACTCGACAGGTTCGTCTCTCCAACTCTGAGGTTAGAATCGTCTGACGGGTTTGCAGGTGCAACGAGAGGACGAGGCTTCGTCCGTAGTCCGCTACGCACGATAGATGATTACCCAGACATTTGCCTGAACATTCTCTACCTACTCCTAGAGATCAAGGAAGGCGATGGACTAGGCCCTAAACAGACTGTGGACCGCCAACGAGCTTCTCTCAGCTGAACGATGAAGCCGATCCACACCACACAAGAGTGTCCATTGGCAAAAAGCAATAAACTTTTGTCCATGGGGTTTCCGGTTCTGCAATTTCCTATAATGGCAATATGTTGATTGGGAAGCTATCAAGTAGCTGCATCTGGCATCATTCCCGTCTCGTGGTTCTCCAAAGTGTGTCCCTTGTGTCCTCGAATCGCAAAACTGCATTGACTCAAGACGGAAGTCAGAAGCACCTTGGGGGGTGAACCAAGGCCTGTGACCCTGGCACATCTCTCCCTTCATCCCTCCCCCTGTCGACGGGATCCTGTCTCATTCGTACGAACGAGGACCGAGTACGCGCTGTGCATTTCGGGACATACATCCTATCCTAGTCAGTCCAGCACCAGCACCACTTGTGCTTCTGCACCCATCCTCATCCCCATCTCACGATACCTCCTTTGTGCATTGCTATACTTCCTGAACGGGCAACAGCTCCAACTTGCCGGTTCACGAAAAGTCTTTGCGCTGGTCAAACACGGCAACCACATTGCTGGATCAAGTAGTTTGACCTGGAATGTCAGCTGCTTCAGGGGTACGAGGTGGGCTCAGTCAGTCTGTCACTCTCGGTTCCTAGGTTCTCGGCGCTTGGTTGTCCTTGAACTATATTGGGGAATTTGTCGGTGCGTCGTCCCGAGGACAAAGTACAAGGAGGTAGGTGAGACGAGGCGGCGAGGCCTGGACGGATGGGTGAGTGAGTGGGTGGCAAAAGTATACAAGTACACGACTCTTGTGCACTCGATGTCGAGTCGAGTCGAGTCAAGTCGAGAGACAGCGCTGGACTGACAGACAGACAGACAGACACTTCTACTCGTAGTCCTTTACTCGCACAGAACATCTACTCGTTTCAGTTCCAAGGGCACTCTACATACATACATATCTTGGTGCCGCTGGACGAGGTCATCCATCTCTCTACCTTTACTCATTTCTTTATCCTCGAACACGGAGGGACAAGAGAGGGTTTTGATATAAACATCCACATACTGTAGGTACTGCACAAACCTCTACCGCCAGTCGGTCGGCTTGGCTGGCTGGCTGGTTAGTGGGCTGGCAAACCAAGAGTCGCTAGAGCCAGACAGTGTACACAGGTAGAGCATCAGGCTGTCACTGGCTGTGGAAGGAGATGATACCCGAACCGACGAATGAATCCCAGTCACTGTCGACAAGTGTGGAAACCAGCACGCCTCGTGGTTCCGGTTTTGATTCGAACCTGCAATTTACCCGTTGAGGTAAAAGCTCTGGTGTACATTCTTTTCCACTGAAATACTTATTCGTACGGGAGAGGCTGTCTTGTGATTTACAAGGGGATCGTCGACATGTCAACCATTCATTGGGCACGATATCACATGCTGCATTAGACGTGGGAGGTTCTCTCCCTCGCCTCACGACTACCCTGGTATCAAGGGGGAATTGACCAGTAAGTTAAGATTCCACAAAACGCAGACTCAGTGGTGACAGGGAATGCATATCATTTGCGTGACGGACCTTGGGCTGTGAGGAAGCCAAAGTCGCAACCAAGATGTGCCTGGTTGACTTCACGCTCGTAGAGGCCTCGGTAACCCCTCCGACCAGCTCTGTCCACCCACGGCTCGGGGTTGTTCGACGTCTTTCCCTCAGAACCACCAGAAGGCAAAGTATCCTGGGATCGCGCTTTACGTTCGGCGATACGTCTCGCGATCTCATCCTCGTCCACCTCGAGGAGCAACGTCCTATTCTCGACGTCGCAAATGATCTTGTCCCCCGTCTGCACCACGCCAAAGACCGAGTCCAGGTCCGCAGACTCGGGCGATATGTGCAGGATGATCGTACCACCGGCAGTTCCACTCATTCGTCCGTCGCTGATTCGCAACATGTCCGTCACGCCTTGTTTGCCGAGCTTTTGGGGTATAGGTATCAGTCCGGCCTCGGGCATGCCAGGATTTCCCACGGGCCCGATGCTCTTGAGCACCAGTACCGAGTTCTCGTCAACCTCCAGTTCTGGGGAGTCGATGCGTTGGGCCATGTCTGCGGTGTTTTCAAAGACGCAGGCCGAGCCGCGGTGGTGCAAGAGTTTCCGGTCCTTTGACGCCGAGGCTTTCATCACAGCGCCTTGAGGGCAGATGTTGCCGTGCAAGACGACCAAACTCGAGCTAGGGTAGAGTGGGTCTTCGAGCGGCCGGACGATCTGCTTGGAGTATTGGAATGATTTGAAGGGAGTGGTGTCGAGAAGCTCACCTAGGGTCTGGCCAGAGTAAGTCTTTGCATTGAGATGTAACAACGGCCGTAAGGTATGCATCAATGCCAACATGCCGCCTGCATTGTGGAAGTCGGTCATGTAATTGTCGCCGCTGGGCTTCAGGTCCACCAGCAACGGGGTCTTTCTCCCAATCTCGTCAAAGGTGTTAAGGTCAATAGTGCCCGCTACTTTCGGGTGTCGGTTGATAATGGCCAGGAGATGCACTACAGCATTCGTGCTCCCACCAATGGCCTGGAGAACGGTGATGGCGTTGAGGAAGCTTTCCCGGGTGAGGAGATCTTGTGGCCTCATGCCGTCCTTGGTAAGCATGGCCACTGCATTCCGCCCAGCTTGCTCGGCGACTCTGAGTCTCGCCGAGCTCACGGCTGCAGCGGTGGCCCCAGATTTGAGTTCAAGCAGTCCCAAGCCTGCAGTCACACAAGCCATGGTCGATGCCGTGCCCATGACTCCGCATGTGCCTCCTGTGGGCGCCAATTCCTCGTTGACGGACATGATGTCTTCCAAGTCGACGCCACCCGCTCGATACTTCGCCCAGTAGCTTCGGCAGTCTGTGCACGCCCCGACCCTGACCCCTTCTACCGAACCCGGCATCATGGGGCCAGTGATGAGAGGAATGACTGGCTTGTTCGCGGATATGCCGCCCATCAACTGAGCCGGAACGGTTTTGTCACACCCGCCTATCATGACCACCGCATCTACCGGCTGGGCCTTGATCATCTCCTCCGTGTCCATACTCATCAAGTTCCTGAGATACATGCTGGTCGGACTGGCAAAACTCTCGTGGATACTGATGGTTGGGAAATCGACGGGCAGACCCCCGGAGGCCAAAACACCCCGTTTGACGGCTTCAATAAGTTGTGGCACATTAGAATGGCAAGGATTGAATGACGAGTAGGTGTTGATGACCCCGATGATGGGTGAGGAGAGTGCCGAGTCCGAATATCCCAGGGCTTTGATAAAGACTTTTCTGAGGAACAGCGAGAAATGGGCGTCGCCGTATGAAGTCAATCCAGAGCGAAGGCCGGACGTCGAGGTAATGGGTTGAGATAGATCATAGTCCTTGGATATTGAGCTGCCGCTGTCTCCGTTTTGCGTGGCTGTCGTGGAAGTGTGGTTAGTTGTCGCCATGATCACCGATTCACATATCACTTATGATAGTTTCCACCTCGATCACTTAAAAATTATGGCTTTCAGGCATTTGTCGAGATAGGACGAAAGAAGTGACCACATCCTCAATGAGTGGTCATCACAACGCACTCTATTGGAGAAATTGTAGTTTTGCGCAAGACAGGAGTCGGAGGAAGGCCGGGCTTGACCCTCTCGGGAGAATTGTCACCGATCGAGCGCCCGAGAACCCATTGATTCACTGGCTATGAGAAATTGGGGTTGTTTATTTCTTACCCCAGAGTCAGTAGAAGGGGAATGGGTTGTTGTAAGAGTCTTGAAGCATCTCCCGACGGCTCGGAAGTTCCGTTGACCTCGTCGCTCGTGTGGCCTGTTTCCATTTGTTCTGTTGCACTCGAGCCGCTGTTACCGCTTGTGTGAGTAGGGCCGAATTAGGAATTATTTCTCGGTACAAACACCGATGATGCCGAGTAACTAGTTCGGTAGTAGCCATACAATTGTCCGATGACGCCATCCTCCTCCGTACAAGCCCGTGACTCAAACCCCTCGAATCAACCCCACCACACATAATTTCATCAATATATATTTTGCAAGAAGATTGTCCTTCAACAATCACCCAGCACTGCCGGGGGTAAGTCATCATTACCAGAACATTTCAGAAGATCCAACCTTCTAACAAACGTTGTAGTAGCTCAATCGGTAGAGCGTGTGGCTCTTAGCAAAGACCAACCTCAAGGTTGCGGGTTCGAGTCCCGCCTTCGGCTCAATTCCGTCGAGAATGGTGAACTCCATTCATCAACTTTTTTTTCGTACTTGCTCTTTCAATTTTTTTGAACCCTTGAATACTAGGTAGTTTAGCCAGCGAGCCAATGTCAAAAAAGTAAGAACCATAGTCTGACGAGAAACGGCAATAAAGAATTCACTATTAACTCGGAGGTGTCCATTATTACAAGGGCCATTCATTCTGTCCTTGGGCATAATGGCACCCCTATCCTTATCAATAACATCAGTGATATTTGATCAAGCGGCTGCCTCATCGCTATTGCATGACTACCTAAAATCCGAGAGGGCGTCCACTCGCTGTCAGACTGTGCCATGTCTTCTAGGGGTCGCAAGGTATTTATTGTGTGCGCCCTGGGTAAGTCGAGAGATCTCGCTGGCGCACGAAAACGAGCTCGTCCTCTCTGACTCGGTCGTCTTTAGTCCACCTACCCACCTACTTCTATTGATCACCTAGGCATGATTTTACATACCTACTATAAGTACGTAGTGATTTATACTGTGTTCCTCTGACATAGCGACACGAGGGTGAGATTTGGCCCTATTTCTTACTATCATGCGTCGTTGTGTCAGAACTTCTACAAGAACTTACACGTAAAAAGCTTTCAGGGTTTCCCATGGGGGTACAGCGCAAGGCTTTGTTTTTGACCTTTGAGAACCACCAGTCCGAAAATGACACTATTGTACAAATACATACATAGTCAGTGCCTGTTGATCCGGCGTGATTGACCCGGGACAACGACGGCCCCAATACTTGACTCGAGTCTCATAGACCATAATCCCCGATGGGGAGATCTGGACAAGAGACATTCATCAAGGACACCAGCCCTTTCCACGTTCTTCCCCGTTCCCCAATATTTGTCGCCCAAACTCCATCTCTTTCAAGGCGTGGGATGAGGGACGAGAGTCTTCCCCCCCTGTCTCATCCTCAGACACCTCGATCCTCGTAATGGATTTGCATCGACTTTGTCTGAATGATGGTCTTTGCACTGTCATCGTCCCGGTCCTTGTCGTGGGTCATGTCATGGTGGTTCCTCCAGCTATTGTCGACCTCGACGGGTCTTCCGCCCTCGACCAACGTACCCATGTGGTACCCCGTGTCGCCATCATCAAAGCCGTGGTAGTTTTGTGGTTTTGGTCGGGGACGGGTGCTGTTGCCGCTTCGTTGGCCGCCTAGAATGTATGTCGGGCCTCGGCCCGCCGAGTTGGCGTTGTTGCTCCTCCCGGCAGAGCTGGCGCCCAGCAAATTGGGAGCAACCACTTGGACAAAGTATTTCAGGGTCGGGATGCATGCGCACATGATGAGGAGGTTGGCTTCGATGCAACTGATGGAGTCACTCAGCAAAGACGTCTCGACCAATCCTCGGCATTGGACTACGGCAGGGGGTCGAAAATACTTACATCCCCACAAGAACGGGTCCGCCAGGCCAGGGAGCATCGAGTGTGCCAAAGTCTCGAATGAGGAGGTAAAGCCGGACAATAGATGTCACAACGGTTCTGTTAACCCAAAAGGATTTGTCAGTGTCAGCGCACCCAGACCGCACCGCAGGAAGAGGACAGAGATTATGGGGAAACAAGCAAAGGGACACGGCCGTACACTGAGCCAAGGCCGAAAAGGAAGAAAAGGCCAGCTTTCTTCGCTCGGGAGAGATGGAGGCCAACGACCATGGGAATTGGGATCAAAAAGATCATGACGTCGGTGACGATTCCGAAGGCCGCGATCGACTTGTACACAGCTTGCAAGTTGATGCAAGATCCTCCTGTGACGGTGATGTCCCACGATTTCCGGATGGGGTTGCAGCCAAAAGCCAGAGCGAGGAGCAGCCCGATATTGGATCCAACAGTGACGGCCATGGTGAACCAGATGCTCCATATGTACCATTTTTGCCGGTTGCCCAACTTCAGGAAGAATATGAGGAGAACCATCTTTGAGAGCATCGTTGGAACTATGTAGATCGTCGGCTGGATGTACGCCGAATACTAACTTTGCCGTCAGTAAAAAGGAAAGCATCTTGACCTCTGCAGGGGCGCAGTACCTTTACGAACTCGGCAAAATTGGCAATTGGCATCTCCCAGGCGTGTATTGCGGCTTCTTTTCGAACGAGGCCCCCTAGCATGTAGGTCAACCCCTGTCAAGCTTGATTGATCAACAGGCATCCACTCACTTATTATCATGATCTGTAAGACCACCGTGAGTGCCTATATCAACATCGCGTCAGTCTCATGTATGAGGTAAGAGTAGTCGACCTGATCAAGAGGTGATTCTTCTCTCGATGCGACATTACACCACATCGGACGGTGGTTTTGGGCGGCCACAAAACGTCCAGGAAAACTTGGGAAAGAGGCATGACGAGACAAACCCAAGCTAGAACCACCAGATCTACCCAACACGCCCTTGAAGTCAGCACCAGATTGCGTATAGAATAAGCCAGCAGAACATGAGTTTGTTTCAACGTACAATCGTCAAGGCCGAGAGCGTGGAAGAGGCGCAGTCTGACATAGATGCGTTGAGCCAGAAACAGGAGAGCCAGGAACATTCCGATTCCGGCGATGATGTATATCGCCGGGAGTGATCGTCTCTGGGGATTTTCAAAGTCGACCACATAGCTCTCGAGTGGGGGGATGGCGACGAGAACTCCATTGACCATCGCCATGGCTGATGTCAGGGCGCTTTGGCAAGAATACCTGTGGGTGAAGAGATGTGACAGTTGTCGGGTTCATGAGTCCCCAGGCTGGGAGGCCTGGTCTCTAAATGTGCATTGTGCGTCCCATGTAGTGTCAAGGGTTCCCCTTCCTTGGACAGGAAAAGGAGCCTGCCATTGGCATATGGCTGGAGGTCAAGACCTGGAGTGCAGTGACCCCAGCTCACCTCGTGTTGGATGGGGGCTTGTCACAGTAGGGGGTTGTTGTTTTCCAAGTTTTACTTACTTGGTAGGGGCACATAACATGGCTGGGATCATTTTACGTATTCGTAGTCCTAGAGTTGGCTTTTGGAGACTTGGACTGCACCGTCGCTCCCCCAAGACGGGGAAGCAATGTACTGACTCTGCCAGGCACTAGACTGGTACGCCACGAGCTGCACGAGGCACGCGAGGTGGCCCTTAGTCTTCACTTCGCCGCCGCCGTGCTGTTACCCCGTACATAGCGCGGAATTGTAAATCAAATCCACCTCGGTTTTGCCTCGGTGCTCTTTCTGCGTGGAACGACTGCTGTTCCAGAACGACAAGGCAATAACGTGAAAATAGTCTTAGTGGATCTTCTGATAGTCTCGGGGCGGGTTGACCCCTAAGCATAATAAGTGAGTGTACATGTCGCTTTCACCAGATCCCTGGTTACACCGGAGAATGCCTGGGAAGGATCGTATTCTCGGGAATGAGGGCAGAGTATTCTGTATACGAGGTAGAGCTTCTGTGGACCGGTAGAGACCTAAATATGACTTTCCATGACAAACACATATGGGGATCTGACATCCCAACAGTGTCCATTCCGTCCGTTGTATTCTAGTCTTTGGTGGCCGCTGGAATCCCCTCCTGCAGGACAGTCAGAAGAATTTTGTCAAACATCCACGAGCACGCGCCTTGGATTAGTGGTGAGGACAAGAAAACATTTCCTTGTTGTTTTTCTAGAGCATCAAGTCACAGTATGCAACTCGGGCTCTAACAAGAAAGTTTGTATTAGTGCCTTTTCCTCTTGACTCCATATTCCTCCCTATTGGTGAGGAGAATACAAGTCCTTCCAGTGCCCGGCGGTAGCCTGGATTGAACTCCCTGACGCCGGTCTATTCTGTGATCAACAGTCCGCAGCCTGCAAGGTTTAGCTCAAACTTTAGCTCTCGTATTACTGACCTTGAAGCTGATCAAAGGGGAGATTAGCCATGACCGTAGCACTGGCGAGGTGGTGATAGTGCCTTGTACGGAGTAAACCACCAGTCTCACAGACTTTTATCTTGGCGTCGATCCTTGACCGTTCCTACCAAGGCATGGACGAAGCCCGGCTACGAGTCGTAGAAAATATCAAGTACCGCTGGATCAAGTCAAGCGCCAGGGGGAGTTGGGTCGGTCGGCTGTGCATAGGAATATAGGCATATCCTGGACCACATGGCCAGCCGTATGCTTGAGATGGTTCATTGCTTCTGCGAGGTGTTCGGGCATTCCACAAGGAGGAGTTCGTGGCACGGCCCTTGGTGGGAGAACAGGTTGTATAGGGGGCGAGTCCACATGGTGACGTTGATCTCGAGATGGTGATCAACAAACTCGGTACAATTAGCTCTTGGGTAGTCCAGAACACGGAATCCGTGTTGCGACCGCACTAACCAGGAGTGCCAGGCACATCCCAGGCGGTGCCTGAGACAAATGGTGCTAGACAAAGTCTGTGGCCACGTTTTGGTACAAACTAGTGCCTTTGCTGTTGACTTAGACTTTTACAGTGTTACTGCCGGTGGCCGGAACAAAGTAATTCCCCTACGGCCGATATTCTTGGCGCTCGTCCCTCCCTGAACTCACACTACTCCGTACGGAGTACACATGGACTATCGAATGAGAGAGACCTCGACCCCAAGTCCCCACAACCGGGAAGGAATCGCGCCACCGTGTGGACGAGGTTTATGTGCCCGAGAAAGGCTCGGTCGAGCCAAAACCTTAGGTAACGGATTCAATGCACAACAGACCAAGCAGCAGAGCAAGGATCAGAGCACCCTACTCGGTAGTCGTGCCTGGTTGCCGCCGCCGTCTTTCTCCCAACCTTTTGTTCGGCCCGACAGATCTTCACTACTCTCGCATTCAGCGGTTCGGGGCCGTCGTGGCGTGACTAACTACCAAAAACCGCAGAACTACACAGGACTGTGTACGGAGTACAAATACATGGGAGACAGGCATCGTTAATGCGCAATCCCTATGGTCCCACTCCAGGCCTGCAAGCAACGACCTCTGACCTACTTGGCACGGCCAAGTGCTTTATGCTGTTTTGCATCGTTGCTGCTTCCTGTCAAAGCGGCACCATCGGAGATGCGAGGGCCGAGGACAAGTGAGCGATTATTGCATTGAGGTTCTTGGAAGTACTTAGACGAAATCATCTTTCTCCTCCGACAGTCCAGAACACTTAAGCGATGGCAAGCTATAACACTCCTTGTGATAAACAAGGTATGAGGCTTCGGCAAGACCGACTCATCGGCTTCAAGGGTGGAGCTAAATGCACTTGTGGAAGTGCTGTGGCTCCTCCTTGCATTTGTACCGAGTACATTGCCATGGGACTTCCTATCAGGCGTCCTTTGGTCGGTCCGAGTATTCTGTGGCAGTTCATACATAGTACATTGATTTTCCAGCTTCTGCAAGACGAACTCCAGCATCGACTTTGTGGCCTTCAGGATTTGGTCGTTCTCATCACTCTCAACCCTTGAACGACTATACGCGCCACGATGGTTCGAACGTTTTTCTGGACTGCTAGATTAGCGGCGGTGCTATCAGCTTGCCTGTTGGTGTCTGCGCAAACCGACGAACTAGACCTCTCTGCGCCGATCGAGGAACTGGAACTCTCCGCGACAACCGACAGCGTCTCGACACAGAGTGTTTCATCCAAAGGTGTAAGTCCAGAAACCTCCTTCTGTCACCACACCATTAATTCACCCTGTGTGGATGGATGGTGGTTCATTTCCCACCCACTGAAGAGTCACCAAGCCGACGTCGACATTCACTTGTGTTGATCAGTTGATGGTGGCTGCTATGCCCTGATGAAGCTTGCAACAACTTTCATCAGAAGTTAAGGGACTAACAAGTGACACAGTGCTCTGCCCTCTCGAGCGCAGGTCTTCGTTCTTTGCTGCTCTATCCCTCCGACCCCGCCTATGCCTCACGCGAGGCGTCTTACTGGTCACCAATCGCCGCGTTGGGACCACAATGTATTGTTCAGCCACGAAGCACGGCCGACGTCTCCAAAGTGGTAAAAACCTTGGCCAGGGCAAAGGCCAAGTTCGCAGTTCGAAGTGGCGGGCATGTTCTGTGGGCTGGCGGAAGCGACATCAAAGACGGCGTGACAATTGACTTGGGCCTCATGACAGCTGTGACTTACAATTCTCAGACCAAGATCGCTTCCATTCAACCTGGTCCAAGATGGGGAGACGTCTATAACACTCTCGCACCACTTGGCGTCACCGTTACTGGCGGCCGTGATGCTGGTGTTGGGATCGGAGGGTTCTTGACTGGTGGTGGCCTCTCATTTCTGTCAGGCCGGAATGGATTGGCTTGCGACCAGGTGGTCAGGTTCGAAGTTGTCCTTGCCGATGGACGGATTGTCCACGCTGATCGTACTTCGAATCGGGATCTCTGGAAGGCGTTGAAAGGAGGCTGGGCGAATTATGGCATCGTTACCCGGTTTGACGTTACAAGTACGCCTCTTACGACTGCCTGGGGAGGCTTCAACCTTCATGACAAGTCGGTCGGCCCTCAAGTCACAACGGCTCTAGTCAACTTCATCAACAATCTTCGCCAAAATCCGGACAACGCCCATCTTGCCCTAGCAGCTTACAACTCCTTTATCCCGGGGGAAACTTCAATCGGGACCTTTGCCATAAATACGCTCGGGGTGGAGAATGCGACTGCTCTCAGGGAGATTCTCCAGGTGCCCACTATCGCGCGGGACCTGGATTTCCTTACCCTCGGCGAGCTCGGAGAGAAATTTAAGGATCCAAGTGATGATCTGTGAGTTTCTCCCTCCAACCTCGTTGATGTCCCGTGACGAACATTTTCTAATCGATTTAGCGTCATCTGGCACACCCTCACCTTCAACAACGACGTCAATATCGCAAACAAAGCACTCGCGCTGCACGATGAACTGGTCGCAAGGTTAAAATCCACCCTTGGTGCCGATAAATTCAACTCTCAATGTGTTTTACAGCCCTTGCCCTCGCTCTTTGCCGAGATCGGCGCCAGACAAGGCGGCAACGTACTCGGCCTGGACTCGGTGAACAGGAACTCGATTCTATGGATCGGCAGTGTCGGCTTCCAGAACGCAGCATATCAACAGGCTGCCCACGATGCGGTCTCAGCGTACGCACGTGCCCTCGAGTCATACGCGCAATCAAGGAATGGCAACGTGGCATTCAGGTACATCAACTATGCCGACAAGGACCAGAATCCTCTGAAGTCGTACGGGACGACCAATGTCAATTTCATCAAGAGAGTGGCAGCCAAGTATGATCCGACTGGCGTGTTCCAGAAGCAGGTACCTGGGAGCTTCAAGGTCTCGGCAATATAACACGCCACTGAACGAGTCTCTCGAGAAAAGAATACCATATCCACTATACAATAATGTAATATCTGATGGGGGAGGCGGAGCGACAGATTGTGGGCGACAGCAGGGGATGTGATACAAGTGAGAGAACCACGGCGCACAAAAGCTGTGTAGCATCTGATCGCGTTTTGAGCAATATCTTCATTTTTTCATGAGTGTTTGGGTTTTGGCTTGTTGGGCATATACATAGAATAGAATATACAAAGACCTGGGAATCGGATAGATGAATTAGATTTCTTTACTGCCATGCATATTGTCGAGGACACTTCAAAGATGGTCTTGTCCCCCTGGCCACTGACTGCTCAGGAGTGTTACCCTGATATCTACCTAGGTGTGCAATTTATTAATCCAAGTCACGCAAGAGTCGGTCCGCGTTGCGGCATCAAGATGCGGGGAACCGCCCAGGATGCCAGGCCAAGATGGGCAACGTTGGCGGGTGGTGAGAGTCAGGCGACGCATTTGCGCATCTTGTTTCAACTCATCATCTATGACTTCGCTTCATCGACATCCCCTGGCCCTCTTCAGCCTGTAAACCCTCAAGCCCGTCGTCTCCCTGTATCCACCCCTTTTTCCTCCACAGAAGAACAATGGCGACCTCGTCGACGCAAATCACCCCCGCCGTAGGGATCCTCTCGATAGGTGACATGGGCATGGGGGTTGCCCGGCTTCTCCGCCATCACAATTACACCGTCTACACGGTCGCCAAGGGCAGAAGGCAAGTGCTTTCAGATCTCCACCCAGATGACATTGAACTCTTTGCTGAATGGCCCTCAAGTCAGCATACCCTTGACCGGATCAAGTCGTCGCAGATCACTACCTTGGAGTCGGACGAACAGCTCGTGGCTGAGGCGGACATTATCCTCAGCATCGTGCCTCCTCGGGATGCCATAGCGACGGCTCGAAGGGCGCTGGAAGCCTGCCGCTCGCAGACGGCGATCAAGAGGCGCAGCGAACGACGAGGCACTACGGCTGTATCGCAGGCGCCGAGTCTGACGTACATCGACATGAATGCCATTAGTCCCAAGACGGCCCGATCCATCGCCTCCATGTTCTCGACACCATCGACTCCTGCCTTGCCCCGAAGACTGTCCATCTCGCGCACATTCTCCTTTCACCCGAAGAAAGAATCCGAGCCAGAGCTGGACCCGATCCCGATCGACTTCCTCGATGGCGGCATCATCGGGGCCCCTCCATCACTCAAACCGGACCAGACCTGGAAGAAGCCGTCGATCGTCGTGTCCGGGCCCAAGCACGCCGACCTCCTGACTCCCGCAATGATTGAGCTGATGAACATGCGGATTGTCGGCCCCAAGATCGGCACCGCATCGGCGTTGAAGTCGTGTTTCGCCGCTTTGACCAAGGGCATGACGGCGCTTTCGATCCTGTCCTTCACCACGGCCCAGACGTGCGGTGTGCTCAAAGAACTCCAGGCCCACCTGCAGGAATTCAGTCCGCAGCTGCTCGCCTTCGCCCAGGGAGGCCTGGTGAGCATGCCGCCCAAAGCGTACCGCTGGGTGGAAGAGATGCGGCAGATCAACGAGACGTTTGCCGAAGAAGGTGGGTTCACCAACGCCGTCCTCTCCCCATCCCCCTCTTCCCACAACGGATCCGACCACGACAATCACGCCCGTCACCAATCCCCAAATGGCACCCTCATCGCCGGCAGCGGCAATGGCAACGGCCACAGCCAGCGTGGGCCGGGAGGCGTCTTTGAAGGCATCGCCGATGTGTACAGCTTGATCGCAAACGACACCGTCCTAGGCGACGAACGCGTCGAGCGTCGCAAACGCGGCACCAACCCCGAGGACGTGGCCGAGTGCGTCAGAGACGGCATCGCCAGGAAGAAAAGGAAGTTGGCAGGGGACGAGTCCGAGTTGGAGGTCGCCTGGAGGGGCAGCTGGGGCGCTTGAGAGCCCAGCAACAAGAACTTTGAAGTCCTACTCCCAGACTTCGTCTAACCCTTATAACCCTGCCTAGCCATATAGGTTCAGAGTGATTACCGCCCCTTTATCGATATCGCCATCGACACCCATCCACCTGGACCGAAGAAAGGGATACACTTCCCAAGTTTTGGGTCTAGGTTGGGATGTGACGGTCATGATCTAGATTATAGATTCCATCTGTCGTTATTATGTACCGACTACCATGCAATGAAGTACGAACGAATGTTACGGGACACCTATATAGATTTTGCTTGAATGATGTCTGGTTGAGGGCACGCGGCTGCTACTACTTGGATTTCGGACCCTGCGTCAAAGTGATATGGATGATTGGATGGTGGAATTATAGGAAATTTTTGAGTATTGTTGGTGCCGCGACGACTATGTACTGCTCAAGAGAGTTCACATTTTTTTATCTTCTTCAAATATACCAGGTCCAGCGAAAGTATTCAACGAACGATGAGCTTGTTAGTTAGCTCGGCGTCAATTTCTTTTCGAGATTGGTACCTAAAATACCCCGTGGCGGCGTCTCGTCAACGGGCCGCCTCCGACGACGACGACAATTCACTTCTTCAAAGAGAATCCGATGCCAGTATCACAATCGGAGCGTGGCAGGCGATGGCCGTCTCCCGTATTCTCTGAGCGTTTCCACAAGCCCCATAAAGCAGAGTCGATTTAAAGCTGAGGGTGAGCTGCGTGGTGAACAAGCCCAGGTCGAAGTCGGTGTGGTCGTTGATATACTGCTGCACATGCCCTACTGCTGGGCCAAAGGGCGACTGTGTGAGGCTGGCAAAGTGGGCATGTTCTTTACCCTGGCCGTCGAACTTGTGCCAGTGATGCAACGTCCACGTTGTCCTCGTGCGGTAAGCGCGTAATGCTGTCTTCAATGGCTCACACGCAGATGTTCCTTCGAGATTGGTGAGACAATCATCGAACCATGCCTTTGCTGCGGTGAGGACTGCGACGGCATATTCCATTCGAGATTCCTTTGTTATAGAGGAGATCGGCGGGAATGGTTGTAGGACATGGAACATGGTGTCGATAGAAATCAACAGGTCTGCGTCAACAAACTCACCCTTCGCACGGACCGCACGACCGAGAGTACGGCAGTGATTGATGTGTCGATTGTATTCCTCCCAGCGTCCGGTCCAGACACAGACAACAGCGATCATCACTGCGGCCAGCACTGTGGATAATGACGGTTGTCTCTCCTTGAGGACGGCTTGTATGGCCAGATGCATGTGGACAACTGACTGTTTCGATAAAATCGACTGCAGTTCTAGGCTCCAATTCGACGCTCGAGCCTCAAGCACGAGTGCCGTTGATGCAGCAGAGAGCAGGCTATGCCTTACGACGTCGAGATGCCATGCAGCTTGTGGAATATACCGCCCGAGAGTGTTTCGTATCGCATCCGCCGGACAATCGGTGCCCCCTGGAGTGGTCAATCGGAGCCAGAAATCCAAGGCAGTCTGAGCTTCGGCAGTCGTATAGGGAGATGTAAACACGCCATCATACAGTGACACAACGGTTATAGGTTCTTCCAAAGCATCATTCGCGGATTGACTCCCGCGATAATGACCGGAACGTTCGCTCCAGGGTTCAAATATCCAAGGTTTCGGGTTGTCCGCATAGCCGCCACAGATTTTGCCCAGTTTGATGCAACTACAAATCTAGCTGGTTAGCCAGTCAATCTATCCAGCGGGAGCGGCAGCTTGTGATACCGTTGACACTGCGGTTTCTCCTCGCTACATCTCACATGGCGGGCCTTGCAGGTTTTGCACCCTGTCCTCGCCTTGGGGTGCCATGCTTTCCGCCGTTCCGGCAAAACTGAATCAGCCATCGCACGGGAAATCTCTACTGCTATTTTGCTGTATAGACAAAGCTTGGAAAACGGAGGCCGTTTGCAGGTCGAGTTATTGAGATCCTGATCGGAGAGCCGTTACCGGGGCCAATGTCACGTTCTAGACTCTCAACCATTGCTGTGACAAGATGCACGAGGGACATTTCTGGAGGCAGAGGAAAGCGGAGGCGGCACGTTTTATCTGCAAGGGAGAAATGAGGCCTCCCACCTTGTAGGCGAGAGTGATCGCAGTTACAATATGCTCCACTGTAGTGGCAATTGACAGCACGTGACAGACCGGAGACGGTCATTAGCACCGGAACTGGGCATCACTGACATTCCGCCTAGACTGCGCTGCATCCTCAACCCGTTTGTCTATTCAAGAAACAACCCGCCAAATCTTCACCTTCCGCCTCGAGGCTTTTCGTTTTGCTGACAGTAGAGACAGTGACACCTTGAAACTGTCATCGCATTTTCCTCCCTCCTTCTCTACCCGGCGATGGCTTGAGTTGCATCGCCTGGCCGACATGCAAATCGTTGAAACACCCTCCGAATTCCAATCCTGTCGGTACAAGACAAAATGCCGCTCGATCCTTTCGAAGAGAGATATCCCAACCCCCTGCCTCGTATCGTCACTCGCAGGACCTCTGTCGGGACAACGGGCCATGAAGAAGGACAGGACTACTGTCGTATTTGCCGGGGCGAAGGCACCAGCACACAACCTCTATACTATCCGTGCAAATGCTCTGGCAGCATCAAATTCGTCCACCAAGAATGCCTGATGGAGTGGCTCTCACATTCCCAGAAGAAATACTGCGAGTTGTGCAAGACTTCTTTTCGGTTCACCAAACTCTATGACCGGTCCATGCCCGCCACCCTGCCGTTTCCGCTCTTTCTGCGCCAACTGGCTCGTCATGGGGCGACCGAGTTTGCTCGCTGGTCCCGCTACTTGCTGGTGAGCATCATCTGGACCTGCTGTTTGCCTTGGTGCATTCGGCAGATATGGAGAGGCTTGTTCTGGCTTGCAGATGGGAACTGGGTGGATGAGTCCAACATACAAGCCATGTCCGACCGTTCGTCGAATACGAACGACACGGATGCCGGCCCTGGAGCCTCGCTTGCCGCCTCCCTGAACTTCACTATTCCTGAACAGCTGGAGAAGATTAAACTGGTGTTTCCTCCGATGCAAATTTCTTTGGCTGATGTTGCGCGGCTGTTTTCTGGTCAAAGCGTGTTTGGCAGAATACTTCGCTTCATTCTATCCGTCTTCACCCTACGTTTGAGACAAACCGATACTCCTGGACAAGACCAGAGTTCCGTCGGGGAATTCTCTCCAACGACCAGGAGGCATCCGTCACTGTTATCCGATGTTCAGTTTATATCGTCATGGTCCACTTCTCCTTTGGCTAACCATATCACGGTCGACGTGATCGAAGGCCAGCTGATCTGTGTCCTGCTGGTTGCGGCATTCATCCTCGTCTTTTTGATTCGAGAATGGGTCATCAATCAACAGCCGATCCTGAACATGCCCGACCCGGACGAAAATGCTCAGGCTGATGATGCGGGACCACGTCTGCCTCCTCATCTACCGCGTGTCCCCCGTGTTGGGGATAATGTCGCAGACGAAATAGCTGCCATGGAGGATCTGGCAGCACAGTTACCTCCTGATCAGGTAGCTCCGCCTAGACCACCTCCTAACCAACGCCGCGTTCCCCGTTTCGGCAATAACATCGCGGATGAGATAGCAGCCCTGGAACGTCTTGCAGCTCAAGCACCTCGAGAGGAAACGACACCGCCAACACTATCCCCACGTCGTGCTCTTACGGACGATGATGTGTCTAGTGGAACGGGACCTGAATTTGAAAGACCGATTATTAGGACTAGGTCGCAGAGCTCATCAGCTATTGCCGGCACTGCTCAGGAGCAGCCTGGTCGCTGGCGAAATCCAAGGGGGAACGATGTGGATTCAAATGAACCTTGGAATCAACTATTTAGAAGACACAGCGCTGACGACACCGAAGCTAATCACTATCTTCCGTTAGTAACTCCGAGTCCTCCTCTCGTCGATGCGAACAGTGGCGAGGACTCCCCTGTCCGTATGGGGCATTACTGGTATCCTGATGATGTTTCCGAGATCTCCGAATCTGAAGGACTGCAGGACTCAGAGCATCGGCCATTCAGACAAGAAGAATTGGAACCAGCAGAGACTTCTAGCCGGAGAGTGTCATTTGCAGAGGTGTCAGATGTGGGTGACGACGCACCGAATGGACTATGGGCCTCGAGCTTTGATCAACATGAGTCTGATTCAGATGCACTTGCCATACCCACACCCGATTCGAACGATGCGGAACAACTTCTGCCGTCAGGGGCTAACGTATTTGATGGTGAAGGCCAGGAAGTCCCTTTCAACGTTGCAGATGATGTACAGGCTGAGGAAGTTCTCGTGTCTGGGGACGAAAATCCGCTTGAGGATACCCCGTTTTGGGGAAAGATATCACATTGGCTCTGGCACACGGATTTTGAGGCCGACGGACAGCCTCGCGCAGAGCCTGGCGATGCCCCACGCGCAGAGGACCAGGACGAGGAACGCATTGTGGAAGATGTCGATGCAGAAGCTCCGTTCGTTCCGATCCAAAACCGAGACGCTGGACCTGCCCAAGCGCTTCCTATTGCCATCGAGGCACAACCTGCTGGACCTGCAGAAGCCAGGGAGCCTAACATGCTCTTTGGAGTCGATCTCAATGAGGCTAATCAAGACGACGCAGAAGATCTTGACGGCATCCTGGAACTTCTTGGCATGGAAGGACCAATTTTTGGCATGGTTCAGAATGTCATCTTCTCCCTGTTCCTCATCACGGTGACCTTGGCGGCTAGTGTCTGGTGTCCTTATATATGGGGAAAGATTGCACTGTTGTTTCTCTCAAGTCCTACCAGCATGTTGGTGAAGGCGCCACTATTCGTCCTGTCACGAACGGCGGATATTGTGGTTGATATCATTTTCTTCGTGTTCGGCCTGACCGGCTTTCTCCTGAACCAGCCTATAAAAATCATGCACACTATGATGTCTCTAGCCATGCCACGACTCGGCGGCATCCTCGACACCACCACATTGGAAGGCTTCAGCCTTGAT